TTGGGAAAGGGGAAGGGAAAGGGGAAGGGGAAATGGGAAATGGGAACCCGCATCATCAGCTGCCTTGCTGAAACTCAAACTGAAGTTGAAGCTGAAGCCAAGGTGCAATTTTATGATCCTGTTGCCGATCACGGGCTAATCACAATAGTCCTTTCATCCTTTTTTATTCTCCACTGCCACACGCCCCGAAGGTTTCCAATTCTAATGGCAATTTGATAAAGTCTCGAATGAAGTGCGATCGTTAAAATTTCCATCCCATCCCCATCCCATTTCGATCGTTAAATGCCAAATCCCTGAAGTCCAAGGCATGAAGTCTGGCAAACAATTGATCGGCATAACACACATTTTAGTGCACTTTTACTGCTTTTACTGCACTTTTATTCACTGACGCCCGGCCCAAGAAATTTCTGAAATTTTACGACTTGGATTTAGGGGATATACAATTCATTAAGCACGTTTATACCTCCAAACTTTTACACTTTTTTTACGATCCATCTTTTGTGGACAAACATTGTGTGTTGTGAGGGTTTCCCATATCTATTAGAGATTATTTCGAGAGGAAAACACCTTTATTGCCTCTTAATGAAGTGCATTGAGTCGGTTAATGCTAAATTTGGTATGCAAAAATAGGAAAATTAGCTCGATTTTAGTAGTAGGATAAGTTATTTGAGAAACGAGGATGTATGATGATGATCTATGCATATTGAAGTGCTTGTATAACTCCAATATTTAAAGATGTAACTTAATGGATAAATTGATATTAATATCTATTCTTTAAATATATTTTGTATATTTTGCACCAAAGCTTGAATGCTTTTTCTTTCAAAGGTTTCATACACATTGCCGACTATAAAATCATTATTTCGGAATTTTTTTGAATACGTTTTGAGTTCACCAAGGACAATTGAGCAGGACTCAGCCACAAGATAAACAAAGCCGCAAAAGTTCAAGGAACTTCAAATTGGCTTAAGTGCTTAAGTTCGATCCGCTTCTTTCACTTTCACTTTAACATTCACTTTCACTCCTTTTGGTCCTTTCACAGCATCCTCATCCTCATCGTCATGCTGAACCTCAACCCCCTTGATCCCCTCGACTGACCGTAAAGATACTTAATTACCCTTCGGATGGACGGCGATAAGAAATGTATCTATTAGCTTGCATTTGGCATTGTGCCGAGAGCTAAAGTTTGTCGGGCAAACAACATTAACATAGGCAATCGGAATCGCAATCAGGCGATCTGAAGATCGGAAGATCTGGAAATCTGGAAATCTGGAAGATGGAGGACAACCCTTTTGGCTGCCGTCGGACTATGCAAATCGATTCGATTGCTTGATCCTGTGATCCTGTGATCCTGTGGTGAAGAACGACTCCTGATCTCCCGACCTCACTCATCCCTCGAAGAAAGTGCGACTATTTTTCAGTTTGAACTAGGATCCAAGGTGTCTTAACAACATCTCACTGGAAGAGGAGGAATTCCTTTATACTTAAAATCAGAGACAAGGACATTCATTTGGCGCGCAAACCCAAACTAAAATTCAAGATGTTGTCCTGGAAGGAAGAGGGAAAGAGAGAGAATATGGAAGAAATGAGGGAGCGAGGCACTCACAGCACACAGCACATTGATTAATCGTCGAGGATCTGGATTTTCTTACTGCCGTGAAATCAGAGCCTTTGACAAATACAAATAGTTGGCAATTTCCCCGCCGATCCTCCCCTGATCTGGTTTTTGTTTTTTTGGTTTTTGGGCCACTTTCATATATTACTTATTGCTCACGTCATATGGGATTAGATCCTTGTCCCTCGCAGGACGATTTCCCTCCATGGTGCTCCATTTATTGACAGTTGCGATTCATTCTGCTTCCCGATTTCCCCCTCCATTCCTGCTGCTTCCTATATCCTATATAGGAAAGTATGGCCTGACGTTGATTGTTGTCTCACAACCTCGCTAATGATCTTTATCAGGTTTAAGCACTCTCCAGAGATCTCTAAGTAGATCTTTCGATTTCACTCCATTAGAGTTCATTTTATTTCATTAACAAAGGTGTTTCAGCAATATCACAAAGGCTTCCGAATGAAATACCTTCAAAGGATTGGGAATCTTCTTTAAGGGGTTATATCCAGTTGCAATTTTGAAAAAATCGAAAAATTTTTTTTTACCTATTTTGAATGTACATATATATACTTAAGAATATTGTCCGATTTTTTTCAAATTTTAATGACCCCTACCTTTTTCCAAATATGGGTTTGATAAAAGAAGAAAAAGAGGCATACCTTTAAAAGTTTGTATTTTAATTCTCCAATCAACTGCATCATCAGTTAATTTTTAATTTTTTGGACACCCTTTCCAAATTCCAAAAAATGGGTTTGCTGAAAAATGACCAAAATGCAGTACTTCTAAGTCCAAAAGCTTGTCCAATTTTACTCCGATTTTGAAGTGGCATACCTCTTCAAATTTGTATTTTAATTCTCCAACAAACTGCATCATTAATTTTATTACCTTATGTACTTTATATAATATTATAAATCCCTAGTTGGAGAGCGTGTTTCAAAAGTACAAAAAAGATCGCGCGAATTCGCAGCTTCTGGCACTTTGGGTTCGCTTAATTTCCGGCACTTAACCCTATTAGACCGTCAATTGTTGTCCAATTTACAGCGGCAACATGTGGCAGCACTTGAGCAACTCCTTCAACTTACTTTTCTGCTCCCATTTATCCTTGGTTCCCTAGATCCTCCTCACCTCGCTCCCGCTAAACGCTGTTTGCACTGAAAGCAAAATTGAGTGTACTTCCTCTTGGATGCTTATAAGATTTTATAGTTTCGATGCGTTTTTACTGTAGGGTTTTTAGGTAATGAAAAATATTAAATTGATTGGTACTGAAAGAAAGATGTAACTCATTATTTTTATTTTTTTTATGATAAAAATTTATCTAGATAATTTATCATCGTGTTGATTTTTTACAATCGTAACATTTTATACTTGTTAAAGAGTTTTGTTAAATGTTTTGCATATATCCAATATTAAAGCATATTTATTTCAGTGTATAATTGCGTTGGTGTTTTGCGACGACAGCTGTCCCCGAGGACTTCCCCCTCCCCCGCCTTCGCCCCCTACTTCCTTATCCGCCGACGCATGCCACGATGCGATTTTGTGTCCTTTTTCTTGGGCCTGCTCCTTGTTCTTATCCTCATTCCGAGTCCCATTCCCATTCCCATTCCCATTCCCATTCCCGTTCCCGTTCCCGTTCCACCTTTTGTGTTTGCCGTTGACTCGTGCTCGCTATTCTCGCATATTCCCTTTTGGCGCACTTTTCCAAAAGGTGTTTTTTGCGCCTGCACACTCCTGCTCGAGATTCTTCTCCCCATTCCTGATCCCGTTCTTATGTGACATTTGGCAAGTTAGAGAAAGAGAGTAAGAGAGTGAGAGCGCGGGAGAGGGAGCGGAAAAGAGCGGCAAATCAGAGTGCATCACCTCCACCTCCACCTCCACCTCCACCACCACATCCACATCCTCCACCTTCAATTCATCTTCAAGTCGAGAGTTCTGGAGTTCGGGATTCAGGATTCAGTTTCTCGGGCAGCTGGTTAAACTCAATTGAGCAGAGCAAATGGCAAATGGAAAACGGAGGCAGCGCTCCAACAATGAATCAATGCATTGCATCCGATCTGCGACAGAAACGAGAGCGGTAACCATAAACAGGAACAGGACGTAACAATGGCCAGGGTCCAAAAGGTATTTATCCAAAGGCATTTAATGGACATCTAACAACGCCAAATGCAACAGCCGACACATGTACCAAAAAAACTACATTTCTTATTAATGATATTTCTTATTGTTGAGAAAAATTCTTATATAATATAAATGTTGATATGTATTATTTGATTTTTAGATTTTTTTTATTTTGCAAAGACCAATAATATCTGTATTAAATATTACACCATAATATATCTGAACCCTACAAAGTACTCCTTGTTCAAATTGTATGTTTCGTATCCTGGCCAGCTGACAGGGCAGAATTAAACCGTGTATATGGTATGTATATCTCCGCCCCCTCAAGATCGGCTGACATATAACTGGCATAACTTAGTTATGGCTCGGTAATTCGCAGTCACAGTTCGTAAGTGCACTTACAAAAAAAAAGAATATAATTGTGATATGTTTTAAGTTTCGAACTATTATACATTGGTGGAATCATAGATGAGATTAGAAATACGAAAATGATGTGACAATAACCAGTGTATTTTACTTGCATTTTTTCCAGTGCAGTTATGGATCGATGGGCAGCTCTCGTACTTCTGGAGTACAGTTAACAAGGACCTAGAATCCTGGCATTAAGCAACAAACAAACGGAAAGGCAACCGGAGACCGGAGACCGTGGAATTCAGTCGATTCAATGCAAATTTATGCAAATGCCCACCGTTTTGTTGCCTGTCGTTATTTGTTGGTGGTTCGGTGGTTCGGTGGTTCGCCATTCGGTGGTGCACAGGTGCGTGATAAGTGCCGTGTAAAAGGACGCACAGGATATGCCGCAACATTTTTACTGCGCCAGAGGGTTGGGCAATACCATACAGCCAGTATCTATAACTCCCCCACCCGCGGAATTTCTTCTTGTCCTTCACCTGAATATCCTGTCCCACTCACAAGTCGACGTTCGCCAATGTCCTAGTCACCACGCTGATGAATTCGTGGGCGGAACGCGTCACTGGGATCCGTGAGAATCCTGTTTGCCGCTCAGTTGGCCAAAATACTGCCAAGTAATCCCCACGAAAAGGTAGTTTCGAGAACGCAGTTTATCCCTAATTAATGGTTGTACTTATCTGGCGCTAACAAGGATACAGTTTTGTTTTTGTGCCATGAAGGTCTGTAAATTATAAGATAGTGTTTTTGTGTTCCTTCGCCTCCTGAAAAATGATATAACAATTTTTTCTTTTTTGAGACACCTCCTCAAAGAGGAAAGGGGGACCCATATTTGCAAATAACAATTACAATTATAAAGTGTATGTACTTTTTATTAAAATCAATGTTTTATTGGTCAAAAAAAGTTTGCTTAGATTGTTATAGGATCTGTTTCAACATTCGGATTTCAAGGCAATACGCTGCGCTTTTAGCCACACAAAAAAAAAATGGATTTCATTGTAACCAAACAGTTGTCAAAAATCAACACAAGGAGAACCTTCCACTGGGGGATCACTTCTCCACGAACAGATCCTCGGCGAAGGAGAAGCTGAGTCGCCTCTTGGTGGCCGCCGGCTGCATTCGACCAGCGCAGGATCCCATGGCCATCAGCTCCTCCTCGAAGTCGCTGGTCGAGTTGTGCCCACTGTCCGGACTGATGTGGCGCCTCTTCTGGGCGCACCGCTGGCCACTGGCCACTCCACCAGACTGGGATCTCGCCGCCGCCAGCAGCTTCTGCGCCGACTGCCGCACGCTGGAGGAGATCTTGGTGGCGATCTTCCGCTTGCGCCGCACCACCCGCTGCCTGCGCAGCTGCAGCGAGATCCGCTTTCCGTTGGAGTGCACTCCGAGTGGGAGTGGCATTGGGTGTGGCAGGGGGCGGGGGAGCGCACCTCCCGCTCCTCGAAGTGATCCGCTGGCAGGGAGTCCCTTCGCGAGGGCGACTTCCAGTACTCGCAGAGATCGCTGGCAGGATCAAATGCAGGTCTGTAGGTTGGAGAGTGGGTCTGGACCTGGGTGTGGGTGTGGGTGTGGCTGGTGCGGAGGATCTGCTGCCTGTGCCGCTGGCGGAGATGCTGCCTCGGCTGGCGGGGATGCGGCCCCTTGCGGTTGCTCTCGAGGATCGCGTCGATCATCCGCTCCAGAGTCACATCGCCCATCTGGCTGGAGCTGAGTGTCGTTTGCCCGCTTTCCGGAGCAGCTGGATGGGAATGGGGATGCGGATGAGGATGCGGATGAGGGAGGGGCTTCTGCTCCAGGTAGCGCGGCTTCTCGAAGTAGCTATCCGGGATGCCCACTCCGCGAAGGGCAATCAGGGAACCAGGAATGACTGCGGCATTCGGGGAGTACTCCGCCTCGAAGGTGGGCAGTGTGCAGGCGAACTTGAGGGGAGCTACTGCTCCTCCATTGGCTACTCCAACTGAGGGGGAAGGCGTGGCCAGGATGTTGCTGAGGTCCTTCAGGAGGGGCGTGCGGGTGTTGAGGGTCAAGGAGCTGGTAGTGGCGGGCAGCGGAGTGGAGGTCAGCTGGTTCTCCTTGCCGTGGGCCAAGCCAAGGGACTTCCTCTTCAGCTTTCCCCGCAGGGCGTGGAACTCGCTGTAGCTGGAAGCCACCACCTCTGCTTTTGGCTCCATTGATCCCGTTTCCACTCCCGATCGCGATCCTGATCCCTTTTCCATTCCCAGGAGCAACTCCTTGGCCAAATACGAGTTCCGCGGCTGGTTGACAGCCCACTTGAGCATCTTGCCAGCTGTCCTTTGTTGCTCCTTCAATCCCAAGATATCTGGAAAGTGGCAAATAAAAAAGATAGGGCTAGTTAGCAATTGTCTATTTTTGCGAAACGGGGAATAACTTGAAGATACAAGAGGAGGTAGAAGGAAAAAAAAGTGGAGCGAAAACCCGATCAACTTGTAGCGAAACGAGTTTCGCAAGGGGTTTCCTTGGTTCCTTGGGATTTCGGCAAGGATTCGCACTTCAGCTTCCCAGAAGCCGATTTCCGCAAGGAGTTCCTGATTGATTCTGGTTCTGGTTCCGCTTGTCCTTGCAAACAATTGATCGGGCACAAAGAGCCGCTGAACAAAGGAAAAGCGCGCTAAAGCTCCGCCAATTCCTGCGCCTCTGCCTCCGGTTCCCCTTCCCATTCCCATTCCCATTCCCATTCCCGCACTGCCCTCCACTCCAGCTGCGATTCAGCCCAAGGTTCTCTGCCTCGAACTTCGCTCGGGTGGTGCGACGGCACAGGGAGAAAATATCACCCAAAATTTGTCGGCATTTTGGCTTTTATTTGCCATCTAGTAGAACATTTTAAACACTTCGATTCCGAGAAAATAGTTTCTGATTATGATAAGTTAACTAACATACATTTTACCATATTCCCAGAAACTTCCTGAAACTTTCGCAATATTATTTATTGGGTTCCTACAAAATCTTTTATAGAAAAATCTCTTTGAAAGTTAAAGTAATTTAAAGAAGATGAACTTCTACATATTTTAATACCCAAAAATCTGACTCAAATATTTTCCAAAATCATTTTTTTAAAAAGGAACTACGAAGCTTTTAATTGAAAACAGGTTCTTTTCAAGCTTTCTGTTCTGATTAAAAAGTGATTTGAAGATTTGTGGGGAAAAATGTGCTTAAAGAAAGGGATATTTTTCCCCGTGTGGGTCAAAACCAAAATGGTGGTGCCGGCACACTCTGGTCCTCCTCCTATTCCTACTATTCCACCTCTTCCTCCTGCTCCTCTGACCCATCCTCCAGTGGTGTCGATCTCCGGCCACTCGAGTTGGATGAGCCGATGGATGAGGGAGATCCGATCCGTCCAGAAAAGCGAGGAACGAAGGGATTTTTAGGATGCGTGCTAGCATTTTTGCGCATTTTGCAGCCGCCGCTCTCGTTTTGGTCTGAAGAGCACTTGAGCACTTGGCCGAGAACCCGGGGTTCGGGTTCGAGAACCCATTTACCCATTACCCATAGCCCAAAAACCCAAAGCCCGAAGGCAAAGGCCCATAACCCAAAATCGCACGCGCACAATTTATGCATTTTCATGCGATTTTAATGGGGTGTTTTTAATTAAAGTTCGCTTCCCAGACACTTCGGCTTTAATGCATTTTTAATGCACATTTAGCCGAAAAATATGCACACATGTTTCTCTACATTTCACTTCATGCACTTCACTTAAATTTACCTTTTTATTTCAATTTTTAGCTGGCGATTTATCCGCGTTTAAATTTCGTATATCCAAAATAGAGTTCTTTCTTGATTTTCACAGTCAAAAAATAGAATAATTTTGCTTGTTGCACGGTAAAAAAAAAAAATATGGGCAGGCGTGGTAAATCAGAATTTTAAATTTTCAAAAGTTCCTTGCTCGCGATTGCATGAGAACGAGAAGGACACGTCCTGTCGAGGCAACAGACGAAAAGTGACTGATTCTCCCTTCGCACGCAACGTTGCGTGCTCACCTCGCCGAAAAACTATCGCTCCGAAGGGATCACCCTCTCTCAGTACACTGCAAAACAAACTATATAAGATTCATACCTTAAGCCTTAGCAAGGGATGTATAAACTGTTCCATTCCAGATGCCTGTTAAAAAAACTACATAACATATGAATATATATTTCATAAATAATAAATAAATTTCAGAAATAAGCTAGTTAAATCCTGACTGTTAGTGTAATTTTTGCAAATATTTACCAAAAATTTTATACACCCAATCTGTTTATTTCAGTGTACCGGTTGAACAACCACCTTTTCGGCAGCACCTTTCAATATTGAAGGTGAGATTGCTTTTTGCTTTCTCTCTTTCTCTCTCTCTCTCTCTCTCTTTGTCTTCCAATCGAATGCAGAGGTATTTGCTTTGGATTTTGGCAGGACATTCCCTTGGACTGAACTTGAAAACCTTCTACCACTTCCACTACCACCACCACTAACCCTGCAATGTCAACCCGTCCCGCCCCCTGGAGCGATCGGGTTGATATTGAAATCGAATGCTTTGCATTCCATCTCGCATGTCATTTCACTTGGCATTTGTCAAATTCGGATTTCCACCGAGTAAATGTTTGACAAATGCCCCGTTTACGATCAGCATATATTATATTAATGGTTCGCAAGGGACTCGCCATTGGGATATCATTTGTGCGATTGATATACAAATTCGAGAATTGATCGCTTCCAATGGAACAATTAGAAGAAGCTGATTGAGACCTTATTTTGGTCTCTGGGAAATATTTCTGGGATGGTAAACTTAAACTATTTGAATCGAATTATTTAAAAGAGCTTACGGCACTTTAAATTACGAATGAATTACCAGGAATTATTTTGTTGAATAAAACAGGTTAAGCAGCCCAAAGTATTCAATTGATTTTCAAAAAACTAAAGCTAAGGCAACCATAAATAAAATTTTATAGCTGACTTTGAAAACTGTAACATAAATTGGTAAACATTATTTTAGGAAGAACTTACAAAAGATTAGAAAAATTTAAATTCTACACAATTATTTTTACAAATCTATTCTTTCAAATTTTCTTAAGCCGATATAAAAAGCGTTCAGCAATGTAATACTATAGTGTGTGCCTAAACAATGCATTGCATGACCGGCTTTTCACATCCTTTTTCCGTTGGTTTTTCCCCAGCCAGATCCAATTATTCGCTGTGTTCTGCATCACCTATTGAACTGCAGATCCTTTCTTGGGATTTCGCAAGATCCTGGGCAAATAACCCGATCGAGAAGCCTCAGGTCCTTGAAGTGCCCGTCTGTCTGTCAATGGAAGCCAGCTTTTCACAGCGATCCCAAATCAATCAAGGGATCTGCAATCTGGGTCCTTTTGCCCGCCAGCCTTATCGAGTAGGGAAGAACCAAAAAAAAAAAAAATAAGGATATATATAAAGCAAAAGGAGGCTCTAAGTAAATACAAATACTCTGCGCAAAGGGAGCTCCGTTCGCTCGTTGAAATTCTAAATTATGGCCCATAATTCAGGGCCAGGTTTTAATAATTTTGCGCGCCCCGAAGGAGAAAGGAGAAAGCAAAGGTGAGGGAGCAGGAGCAGGAGCTCGGTTGGTTAGCTGTGCTAATCCCCGAACACAGCTGTCCGCCGGCCAGGGATTGTGGCTCCTCGCAGGACCTTCCTCCTTTCCGTGCCTCCTTAAGGCTTTGCGTCCTGGCGCTATCAGTGTGTGCGGCGTGTGATTCAAGATTACTTCCCCCGACTCCTCCTCCTCCATTCGCTTACCTACTTTCCACTTTATCTAGATGTCCTTGCCGCCGCACGTTTTTCCTGGCGCGATCGGCAAGCGGGATGGGGCGGAAAAATAGCAGCGATCCTGCAGAGAAAAGAAAGCCATGGAGGTTATTAAATCAAATATTTAAAAGTAGCTTAACCAAGCCAAAAAAAAAAAAAAAACATTTTATTTTAATCAATAAAACTTGGTGTGATGAGAAGCTAAGATAAAAATATATTTATGATTATACATATTGGAATATATCATTCACATGTTGTAGAAATTCAATTTATTTTATTTGTATTGCTTAATAATATTTGTATAATGGTATTATGTGCATATTTTACTTTAAAAGCATTCAAAGCAAAATAACATTTTAAATTAGTACATAATTCATATTATTATAGCAATCTCTCTAATGTAACTAGTTTCCTGAGGTACCATTTTTTACTTATTTCTTTATGTGTAGAAAAAGAAAACACCATTGAGTGGAAAAGCGATTGGAAAGGAAGGAAATGCAGAAGGAAAACGGTAGCAAATCGCCGTGCAATTTCTCCATCTATGAAAAATTGCACAATTGTTGGGCAATTTATTAGCGGAAAGGCTGGAGGAGGAGCTGGAAAATAAATCGAAATGAAACTCCTGCCCTAATTTATCTTGCTTGTCACCCTCTCTCCTTCTAGCACTCTCTCCGTCTCGCTCTCTCCTTCGATCCCTTCGGCATTATCCTTGGGCCCTTCGTTGCTAGTGACCAATGCGTAAAATTGCCTTCGATTGAAAAGGACTGGCACGGATTATTGGGAAGATCGGTGAGGATCTCAAGGCAGAAGATTCGGGCAGCTGCTGCTGGCCAACTTCCACGAGATCTCCGCCCAATATTATTGATTTATTTCAATTCTCCTCGTTTTTTCCCGAGATTTATCGTTGGTCACTCAACATTGCAATGGGGCAGCTGATTGCTGTCCGATGTCTCCGATGCAACCTAATTTCCACTTTTCCCCTCAATGGGACAGTAAATTAGGGCTCACTTTGAATTTGGTCTGGGAAACGCGCCTCTCGAATGTCAATTTTGCGAAACGAAGGTTTGAGATTTATTTCAATAAAGCGATTGTGAGAAAAACGATTGAGAATTGGTTCCAGATTGCTGAAATCCCACGACCCAAAAAATATATTATACAAACTAGAAATAATATAATAAAATATATACAATTTTTAGTGAGAAATCTAAACTCAACTTGAAATACGTAATTAAAAAAGGGATCTTATTCAAATTGCAAAAAATCTTCCTTATAAAGATGTCATTCAAATATTCCCATAGGAATCAATTTAAAATCCCAATGGAGGTGGTCCTGATGAACTCATATCACTTGAACATCTTCAATTGTCCAAACAGGAGCCATAAATTAGTAATTCACTTGGTGGTCCGGAACTGTATTGAACTGAATGGAAAATCCTCGAAGGACCTGCTTCAATTTACTTCCTATCCAAAAGGTGAACCTAAAATGTTTTTTCTTTTGCAAAACACTGTCAAATAAATTTGCCAGGCAATATGGACAAACAAATAATCGGGGATTCCAAGGCTTGCGAATGGGCAGATGTCCTGCTTCCTTGCGGAAAGATTTAATTCTCTTTTCCTTTAAAACGGACACTCGGCGGCTGCGAAAATATCATAAATTTTCGCTGAGGGGAGAAAGCAGGAGGGAAAGTGAAGGAAACGTAGACGGAAGGAAGGACGAGGGAGCAGGAGCCCTTTAACCAATAAATTGCAAAACAATTGCACAATTTTCCACAACATTTTTCTCCAGGCAGCGACGTCGGCGTCGGCAGCGCAGTCACTGCTCAGCTTGTCCCATAAACAATGGGCCAAAATTGTACAATGCCCAAGTTCCTGTGCCACCGCTTGTGTGTTGTCCTTTTCTTGGCGAAAATCGAAAAAGAACGAAGAAGTACTTTCTTTCAGAAGAATTCGTAGAGTAGAATGTTAAATATCTCGTACTATGTCTAAACTTAGGTAGACGATCATAAAAAACGTTTTCAATTAATTATGATTGACACACACATTTTAGAATATATCACAAATGTATATTTCGGTTTTATTCGTTTTAGAAATTGTAATTTATAATATTTATTGAAATATTATATTTATCATAATTAAAATTCCAAACTAAAATATACTTTACCAATATAAAATACATTCTTCTGAAATAATATTAACATTGTATTTCTAGGGTTTAAGACTTTTCTAACTTTCAGTTCTCTAGATTACCCGATATCTAGTATACCCCTAGGATATAGAAAAACAGGGTGTAAGAAGGAAACCAAGGTGAAAGGAGCCACACGCTGCGAGAAAGGTAATTGAAAATTATGTTTTGTGGCGTAAGCGGCGATGAGAACAGCTGGCCAGCTATGCTCTGTCCCACTTACACTCTTCATATCCCCTTCTCCTTTCCACAGGGGAACCTGGCCAACTGATCATCTTCGGTGGCCATTAAAAAATCTCACGATCATAGAAGATTCGCACAGCTGTTGCCAGGATCGTAAATCGATCGGTAAATGGTTATAAAAACCGATCATCAAGATAAGTTAATGTGGATCGAAGGGAAGTCTATAATGAACTATGAAATTTCAAAGATATTTTGTACCAACTTATGCTGCATAAATAGTTTTCTAGAAAGATACTGCCTAGAGAGATAGTTAGATAGAAAATGTTTCCGTGTAGAAAAGGATATATTGTTAATTTCTGTTGGAATTTCGGAAGATTTTGTATGCAATTTATAATAAAAAAAAAATTCTTATTTTAAAAATATAACAGGATAGTAATCCTGCCACCCACCAACGGAATTGAATGCTGGTTGAACGATCGGCCCGTTCAATTGACACTGTTGCTCTCTCCTGCGCATGCGCAACATGTCCGTTCTCCCGATCACTTCCGCTCTCTCTCTTTCGTTCGCTCTCTGCCGCTTCCCCGCTCTCCGGTTAACCCATGTCTCACCTCGGGCAGCTAAGGGTTCCGAGGGTTAAGGCGACAGTCATTCAACCAGCGAACGGCGAAGGGAACGCACACAGTCGATCTCCCAGAAAAACGCGACAAACTAAACGATACACTAAAAAAAAAAATCCGACCGAACGTGCACTTACGATTGCCAAAAAAAAATCAGTGAACTCTATTTTTTTGCTGTTGAAAAATATCTGTGCCCAAATCAAAAACCCTATTGAATAAGGTAAATTCGAGTGAAGGATAAAAACTCTTTGAAAATTCGAAAATAAAAGAGAATATAAGTGTAAAAAAAAATAGTTGTTTCAAGGATTAGTTTTAAAAGCTCTTAAACCACATTAACGTGCTTAACAAAATATTAAAAATGATCGACACTCCATTTATCCATTAAAAAATACAAAGCAACCCAACCCAAAAGTACATTTTTAAAGATTATAACTTGCTTTCTTGGGATTCATTCAAGTATTAAATTCCAAAAATATTAAATTCACGTAAAATTTATAAGAGATCCCCTCGAAAATGCCCAAAAATAATTGACCATATCATAATGAAAGTCAATTAAATTATTAAGGTCCAGCCAAGGCTGCCCGTGGTCCATTTAATTGCTCGTGAGGAGTGGTTGATTTCGTTCCCGATTTCATTTTTGCCGCTTGGCTGACTTCGCCATATCAATATATATAAATGCACATATATAAATACGTTCGGTTCGCGGAAAAAGCGCGCCAAAATTGCCGAAAACTCACCCGGCAACTTTGCTGCTGCCCTTTTTGCATTTATTTCATTTTTTTTTTTTTTTGGTTTATCAGAAAGTCAAGTTGTGGAATGCGAGAACCAGAAATAAGGCAACCTCCTAACCCGTTTCCTCTGCTCTTCTTCCTTGCAGCACCCACTACACAATCCAGAAATAACTCAAAAGGAGTATTCCGAGTCGAAGTCCGAGACAAAGAAGATGCTCAAGTGGGCCGTCAACCAGCCGAGACCCTCGTACTTGGCCAAGGATGAGGCGATGGCCGCCAGTGAGCCACCAGTGGGTGCCAGCTACAGCGAGTTCCACGCCCTGCGGGGAAAGCTGAAGAGGAAGTCCCTTGGCTTGGCCCACGGCAAGGAGAACCAGCTGACCTCCACTCCGCTGCCCGCCACTACCAGCTCCTTGACCCTCAACACCCGCACGCCTCTCCTGAAGGACCTCAGCAACATCCTGGCCACGCCTTCCCCTTCAGTTGGCGGAGCTAATAGAGGATCCAATGGAGTAGCCAATGGAGGAACCAATGGAGGAACCAATGGAGGAGCAGCAGCTCCCCTCAAGTTCGCCTGCACACTGCCCACCTTCGAGGCGGAGTACTCCCCGAATGCCGCAGTCATTCCTGGTTCCCTGATCGCCCTTCGCGGAGTGGGCATCCCGGATAGCTACTTCGAGAAGCCGCGCTACCTGGAGCAGAAGCCCCTCCCTCATCCGCATCCTCATCCGCATCCCCATTCGCATCCAGCTGCTCCGGAAAGCGGGCAGACGACACTCAGCTCCAGCCAGATGGGCGATGTGACTCTGGAGCGGATGATCGACGCGATCCTCGAGAGCAACCGCAAGGGGCCGCATCCCCGCCAGCCGAGGCAGCATCTCCGCCAGCGGCACAGGCAGCAGATCCTGCGCACCAGCCACACCCACAGCCATGTCCAGACCCACTCTCCAACCTACAGACCTGCATTTGATCCTGCCAGCGATCTCTGCGAGTACTGGAAGTCGCCCTCGCGAAGGGACTCCCTGCCAGCGGATCACTTCGAGGAGCGGGAGGTGCGCTCCCCCGCCCCCCTGCCACACCCAATGCCACTCCCACTCGGAGTGCACTCCAACGGGAAGCGGATCTCGCTGCAGCTGCGCAGGCAGCGGGTGGTGCGGCGCAAGCGGAAGATCGCCACCAAGATCTCCTCCAGCGTGCGGCAGTCGGCGCAGAAGCTCCTGGCGGCGGCGGCGGCGAGATCGGGAGGAGTTCCTCCCGAGAAGATTCGCCACATCAGTCCGGACAGTGGACACAACTCGACCAGCGATTGCGAGCTGGAGGAGGAGCACTGCCAGCGGAATCGAGGGGGGATTACTGGGTGGCGAGGAGTTGGAGGAGGCCTGCCAACTGGACGCCATGTGGCTGCAGTCGCAGGTCAGAGATGCCACCAAAAGACGCCTCAGCTTTTCCCTGGCGGATCACAGCTAATCCTTAAAGATATTCCTATTTTATTTTATAAGAGACATTTTTTTTCATAGCTCTAAGAAAGTGTTTTTTTTTTTAATCGGAATAAATGATTTTTTGTAATTCAAACTTAAATATTTTACTGGGAAACTGGGAAGCGGGGAAAGTGGAAAGAAGGGGAATTGAAAATTCGGGTGAAACCACAAGGAACCAGCAGTTTATGCAAAACACCTCTTGAAGATCAGCGGAGCATGGAGAGCAATTCTTGCCGAGGGACCAAGTGGTCTTCTTTCCCATCCAAACACCGGGTTAATGAGCGTTTTAATGCTCCGATAGCGAACTATAGTATGTTCACCACATATAGGGGATTCCAGAAGACTCCTCGCCTCGGAAACGTGGACTCTAATGAGGGCCAAAAGAAAAGGGGTTGAGCTACAATTGTCGCATGGAATTATTATTTACGACTCAAGTGCACACGAATCCAGTGGGCAAGCAGCCGAGTTATGTGGGATCTAACACGATAGTGTCTACCTGGAAAAGGAACAGGTAGTGGAACACTACTTAGAAGGGGTTTTAACGATCTTAGCCGGATCTTGGAAGAGGAAGTTGCACAACTTTATTGTTGCAAACAGGGATTTTCGGGGGTTTATGTGGATGAAAGTGTAATAAAAGTGCCATCATATCGGGATAATGGATTTATAGTACTAATCTTGGATATTTTTATTGACACAAAGATTTAAGATTTAGTAACTTTTACTATAATATTTTTATATCACAATTAACAGTATAAATATTTTAATTTTAAAGATATTTTCTAGATCAAATATTCTAGTTAAATGTTCTAGTTCAAATTGCATTAAGGATTTCCTTCACATAAGAATATGCTTTCTACCCAAATATATTATAATAATATCTATATATATATTATATCTAGTTTTTGAACAATCCTAATGAACACAATAAACAATTTGAACAAATGAGTTGACCTCCTGCAGAGCCAAGAAAAGGAGTTTAGTGAGCTTACTATTCCTTGTAACAACTATAACTTGTTAGGAAATTGGGATAACCAGCAATCAAGTATGCAGATCTCCTGCAGGGCAGGAATAAGACCCATTCCCACAGCTCCCCAAGGCGACTAACGTATAATAAGCTATTATACGAGCGATCCTCATTAGCCGACTGGCCAGATGGATGACACCCGATCGATGGCTCGCCAATCCACTTTCGAGACGCGGCGTTAAATGAGCTGTCATAACATTTTGTCCAACCCCGAGACGAAAAACGATGGACGCAAGGAGTGGGTTAAGCCAAAAGCGTTAACACGTATTCTCGAAGGAACTTCCCATGGCAATGGCAATGGCAATGGCAATGTTCACTAGAGCGTGAAACTTTCATATGCAGATGATGATGATGGTCAGCCCATCGTCCTCATCATCATCATCATCTACAATGATGATCTCGTGTATGCAGCCAACAAACATTGTGCAATGTGACGGGGAGAACAAAGTGAAATACTTTATTACGTGATGCCCAATCGCCAGGAGCAAGGAGCAAGGAGGTCGAGCGGTCAAGCAGCCAGCTAGAAGGATATAGGATATAGGAATAACCCGCCGAAATCAGGGCAGGTCCTTACCCTTTTCCTCTTGTCAAACCCTCGTCCTCGTCAGCGTTCCAAACTTTCCTTTCGAACTTTTCCGAAGCGAACAAAAAAGAAGGTTAGGTTAACGCCGCTGCTTTTCCTCTTTATTACTCTCGCTTTTCTTCAGTTTCAGTTTTCCACCGCGATGTTTTGGACTGCTGCCCATTATTATTGTTATTATCTGGTTCTTGTCCGTCCGGCTAATGACCGCTCCCGAAACTCCATTGTTACGAACGCTCCGGGATCTACGCGTCCAGTTCTGGACTTGCCGTCTCATTAAACAGGCATTCCTCTAATTTCGTTTTGATTGAAAGTGAAACGGATACTTACGCATTCAGAAATCCGGAAGTGTCGTGTAGTTGGGAACACTCGGAGACTTCGCTATCTTCTGGTTTCGGATGGTTGACGAGTAATGAGTCGGGTGTTAGTTGAGGCACGGTTCCATAACAGATCGTTCAAATGGAAAATCTGAAAAGGTGTAGAGAAATTAAGTGAATTTTTTAATGGTTACCCCGAAACCAAAAAAAAAAAGCGGAATTTATTAACTGAGGTTTTTTTTTTGTAATGTGAAACTATTTTTTAAATTCTAAAAAATTCTAACTAGGCAATATCTATGCTGTCATTTATAATTTCTATGCAATGTATTTAATTAAAATAGTTTAAAATGATTTATTTTTCTAAAAACAATGGAAAACTTCAAATCAAGTAAACTTCTAATTGAAATATCATCCAAAATTCGATGTTGTGGACACTTTAATGTGGAGAAAGAGATGTTCCGTACAATGAGACAATGAAATCTGCACTCAATCTAAAACCCATTTCGGGAAAATTGAGAAAATTGTGAAAAATCGGCCATTAAAGCGGGCACACTCCAAAACTCTAATTGCAATTTAAACGATTCTCGAGTGGCGAAAATGGAAACACCGGCGCACAGGCACCCGCTTAATTTTGGACAGTGACAAAAGTCGTGAGGCATGTGGGGTATAGCTATTGTTATATCCTTGTATCGCTGTTTCAGGATCGAAAGAGAGAAGGAGATGGGAATAGAGACAGAGACAGACAGACTAGCGAACCGATTGACAATATTCAACGCACCTTTCGACCCGCACTTTGTTGCCCGCTTGAGGAACGCTGGCCACGCACGCGTGCCTCCTCCATTATCGCCTGGCGATCTGATCGATCGGCCGATCGGCGCGAACAGTTGCAAAAACAGTCCGACAAAACCCCGAAGGACCTCCGGCAGAAGCCAGAGGGCGGGTTGAGTTGCAGTTTCCCGTTTCCCGGTCCTGCATGTCCTGCCAGGAAGTCAACGTCACTCGCCGCCGTCGACGTGTGCAAATGTGTCAACATGTGCAAAAACAGGAGACACTTACCCACACACAGGGATACACACAGGGGTACACGAGCCCAGGACAAAGGACATTTAGCGTTTAACAGTTAGAATGCCGCGTCCTGCGGGCGCCCCTCAATTTCCCTCACTCCAGAGCAAAAACATTGCCAAAATTTGTATTCAACGAGGCAAGATTCCACATCCGTACAGCAATCAATCTGCAAAATAAAAATATATATTCTATATATAATGTTTAACAGCAATCAATCTGCAAAATAAAAATATATATTCTATATATAATGTTTAACAGAAACAGATAACATAATTATTATCTGCCAGAATAAAGTTTTTTTTTAAATGTTATTAGTGAGTAACAGAATTGTGAAATCATTTTTACTTTCCAATATTGTTGTTCGTATTTGGAAATTCTAAATTTAAATTATTTTATAAAATAAAGTAAGGCTAATATTTGCTCATTCTTTTCTGCCAGTGTAGTAGGAATGTGGGTGGAGTTGAACTCCGCACGAAGGCGCTAAATGTGCTCGAAAAACAGGAAAAAGTTGAAACACTTCTATCGAGGTTCTAACAAGCCGTATCCCTCGCCACACCACACCAAGTTTCACCTGTTGGCCAGGGCAATGTCCTTCGATTCCTTCGACTCCCTCGGATCCTTGCAGGTCCTGGTGCTGCTGCGTCCGCCCTTGACTTTTCGACTCATCCTTGTTCTTTTTTCGGCCCAATTATGCCGCACATAACATGTTATTTGGACTGCCAAACCGCACATCATCAAGCACACTCGGTCAACGGCAGGTGTAAAGGTCACGAGGATCGGGATCGGACTCGAGGTCCTTGGCCTGTGGTCACAGCTGAAAATCTAGACCAAGTCTATGGGAAGTCCTTGAAGAAAGAAATGATTATTTACAATTTTAAGAGAAGAAAATGTGATAGAAAATACAATAACATCCGATTTTCATAATAAAATAAATAACTGAAATTTAAAAAACCATATAACAAATTGATTAAATAATTTTTCTGTACAATATACCAAAGAACCTACACATACATAAGATAAATTAAAAGTATGGGAACTTCCATCAACACAAAATATGCATAATTTAATAAAAGAAAGTTAAAAGAAGATGCATCGAAGAGCCTAATTTCAATATAATCCTGCGAAGCCAAGGAAATAATCAATCAATTTTTTTCTGCCCGCGAACTGAACTCAAGAAAAGCCAGAAGAGTGTGGCGAGGAAAGGAGATTGCGGATTTCTCCATAAATATTCAACGAAGGAAGCGTCTAAACCTAGTCGCAGCCGGCCCCTCGACATAATCAATCTTATGGGTTTTTTAGATCTGGATTAGACTCCCTCTTTGATTTGCATATGCTCTGCATAATATCGCCATGCATCATCGTCCGGGCGACTGGCATAATTGCCAATATTCCTTACGGCTACCCAACACTTCTAGGAAGCGAAAAGGACGCAGAAAAAAAAAAACATAGATGAAGAACCCATCAGGATTCAGTCAACAGAACAAGAGCAACCCTTTCCCAGCAAAAAAAAAAAAAAAAGGGCAGGACGAACAAATGTTGCACATCATCATCATCGGGCCGCATATCATTAATGCAAATCTATATGGGACTGTCATATCATTGAAAATATTATTGTAACAATTGCCGGCAAAGGATGCGAAGGATATCTTGTGCGAAACTTTCGAGCGATCTTATTTTTGCTTTTTTTTCTTTTCGGCAATCTCTGTTGCGATCATCTTCCCTTTTTGCTACTTCATTAAGTGCGGCTCACTTGTCAGAAGTCTATCGGGATGTGACAAAATCATCCTTGCACCCGGGAACCCTTTAACCCTTTGGGTTTCCACCCGAGACTCCATTCACTTGAAGTGCGCAAAAATTTAAATGAGACGAAGCGCGGCAGCGGATTAGAATTGAATCATTTGCAATTTTCCGCATTGCCCTAATGAAAGGAGAGTCGGTCGGGGAAATGCAAAAGGAAAATCCCAAGGGTGATCCTCGGAGGGTGACAAATGCCAAATGCCAAATGATGGGATCCTTCCTCTTTTTTCTTCCTTCTGTAATTTCCTTTTTCGCGCGCGCACACTCTCCAATTCCAACTGATTTGGCAAACAAGTTTACAAATGCACTTCAGAGCTAAGGTCGCGTTTTTTGTTTGTCTTGGCGGCTTGGCGGGGTCGTTGATTTTAGGGGGTGCCGCCCGTACAGGTAGGTAGCGTGTGTTCCGCTACAACGATCCCCGCTGCGGCCATATGGACTTGACAGGCGCGACTAAAAGTCCGACTATTTTGCATAGAATTCCAGCAACAACGGCAGCTGTGAATATGCTAAATGTACGAAAAGAAAGAAATATATTTTTAAAAAACAATTAAGGACGAGGAAACTTTGTTTATATGCCAACATTTCAACCCTGATATCCTATTTTCATAAAAATAATTAAACAAAACGATTAATAAGTGAGTTGTTAGGTTAAATATTATCAAAACAAGTGCACAAATGTTCAGTTTGGTTAAGATTCCATATTTGAATTTGAGACGAGGATTACCAACTTTTCGGCTTACAAGAAATATAAAAACCTCACCCTATGAGCAAAGAGCAGATGGAGATGGAAACCCAGGCCTACGCCTAACTAGCTTTGTGCTTGCCATTTGCCGTAATTGAAGTTGAGACCCCGGCGACACCCAAAAGTCTCGCCAACAAAAATCAAATATCATATATCAACTTACATATCAAAACAACGGATGGCAAACAACAACACAGCCGAATGGAATCGAATGGAAGATATGGTAGGCGAGTAAGGAACGTCCAGGTAGAGTCAAATTCACTGCCATTACATGGGCTCACACCTTTTGCCGCGCCAAAGGAAGCAGATTGGATGGAGATCGAGATGCCTGCACCCGAAAGAAATCAGAAAAAAGAAAGAAGGCTGAGGGCAGAAGGCAGCTGCCTTATGCAAATCACGTTTATGCAAATTCCCAGGACACACGATAGCTTCTTGCGTTTATGAATTATTGAACTATTGGCAGTCTAAGCAAATATAAATTGAGCAATAAATTGTTCGAGGGTCGCGGGATCACAACAGCAACATGACGACTGCTGTCCGCGGGGACATCGATACGCGTGAGTCCTTTTCTTCCCTTTTGCAGCAAAGTAGGAACACGAATTCGTACAACATGTGACATGACGCAGTCGAAAAAGTAGCAGAAGCCAGATCCAATTACGATAGGCACTTCACTCCACTGTTCGCTCAGGTCACAAGTGGAGATGGAAAGCGGGCCAATTAGAGGAGTTAGTCGCCCGTTTGATGGGCCCAAATTGAGGTGACCACGTGACCACGTGCAGCTGACAAGCGCAGTGCAAGTTTGCCCATCGCAAATGAAGATATTACGGAGCTCCATGCGAAAGAAAGTGGAGAAGAAAGTCCAGGAGTTCACGCAAGGCAACCTAAAATATCAAATACAGAATAAGTACACAAATGGTAAAGAACAAATTACATTCCCTAAATTAATTTAAATATAATGTAATGTAATGGATATCAATTCTTGACCTAAACGCCTTTTTAGGTGAACTTGCATTGGAACAGCAAGCAGTTTAAATATTAAATCAAATCAAATGTCGATATTGAATATAATAACATTGAAATAGTCGGTTAGAAATGTAATTTTAAGATGGCACAATAATAAATGAGATCTCTAATTGATTTACAAATACGCTTCTGATATCACAAAAACATAAACTCAATAAACGACATATTCTTATAGTCATTTAAGCGTCCTTAGAATGCGATTCCGATTTTGGGTTACAGATAGGAGCTTTTGTCAACGCAGTGAAAGACATTGGCTCCTCTGGCATTGTCAATCACTGTCGAGAGGGACAGCTGGTGGCGTGGACAAAAAACAAGGAATGCAAACAAGAACACAAGAACACAATGCGCCCATCCATCCATTTGGCTTAGAGCGTCTCAGGGATCGTCGTCTTAAGCCAGATGCAAATGTTTGGGAGCAGGCACCCACACCACACCACACACGAACCTGGTGAGCAGCTGCATCAGATCCCGAAGGCATTGTGCAACGGGCGAAAGGATTCCAAAATGTTGCAGGATTCGCCTGCAATACGAAGGCAATTGCCGCAGAGGGCTAAGCCAAATGAGTTCCACACACAGTCGGGGCATAGAAAGCAGGATTTAAGGAACTAGAATGGAATGGAATGGGACAAGGGTCGTCGGTCAAAATACTTGCGCGTGAAAGGAGGTGAATGGAGGCGATTCGATGAATGGCACACGCGCTCAACAGGACTCAGGCGCATTAGGTGCCACCTCCTCCGGTGCCTTCGGCCGTCGGCTCATGCTAATGAGGATCTGTGAGGATCTGCCGACAGGTAGCAGCAGGTAGATCGTAAATCACAACTCAACCCGTGTGTGTGTGTGTGTAGGCGTTGTTAATCCCTTCGACACTTAATTAGTCCAAACTGTGTGGCTAAGTCCCGAGCCAACGAGAAGCATAGAAATCGGCATTCGTCTTGGATGAAGAAGATCGCCGGAACCGGCAGAGATCGGATCTGGAAGAGATCAGGGCAAACGAAATGAGATCATAAAGCAGTTGGCTGGGTGCTTTATCTTACCAAATCCCAGTTGTGGAAATTCACAGGTTCCGGCTGAAAGAAATCCCCTAAATCGCCATCTCCAATGTCCGATTGTCCGGGATAAAATAACAAGACCAGCAGGGAGTATTTAAAAGGATTAGCAGAACCAACACCCGTTTAACATAGTTTTTTATTAGTGTACGTTCAGTTGGGTAAAAGAATAATAATTATATAATTGTTAGATGATTAGTTCAAAAGAAGAAACATGCCAAGTTAGAAAAATATCACAGGTTAGTTAGAAAAGGCTACTCGGTATCCGAAGAGCCAACTTCATCGACGTGCGGACGACGGAATGGGCAGTATCGCTTTTGATAAACTTTCCTCTTGTTCCACAATTTTTGATCTCGACCTCGACGGCCTCGCGGCGCCGAGGGGAAGGGCTCGCCGATTTGAATTGGAGCTGTCGGTGGTGATGGTGGTGCCACTGCACCCGGCATCCTAATTGGCAGGGGAAAAGCTGTTCCGAACCGAACACCCGATCCCTGTGAAACTGGCAAACGAAATACAATTGGTGCTCGATATCTGGTTGCTTCAAACCCAAATGGCAAAAAGTTTGTCAGTTTTCCCAACTTATTTGCCTCTGGGTCGCAGTTCCCCCCACCGGAATCCAGAGCTTGGCAATCAGAGTTCGTTTTATCCAGCATCCTGTTCAGTTTACAATCACGAAGATCTGGTTTTATTCTAAGAGGATTGCTCTTTATCCTCTTCAGCAACTCAACGACTGTCTCTGTGCCTTTTTCCTGCACGTAAATAATTGTGGTTCGCAGTTGAAGATTCGGACTGCATCTCAGTGTAGATGGCAGTTTCCTATAATATATTTCCCACTTTCTGGACTCGATAGTCCGGTGCGAGGTGTGACGTCCCTCGTTTGGTCGCTTTAGGGCGCCTAAATTAACCGCCAACACAAGCTGGCCCAGTCTGGAATTCTTCCTTGATCTGGGCGAGATCGTGTGCTGCTCCGTGGACTGCGGTGATTCAAGATTGCTCCCAGGAAACTGCAGTTGTAAGCTTTCTGCAGAAGCATCAGTTTCAGGTTCCAATTCCTTAAGCTTATGATTTTCTTCTTGAAGTATTTGAGAGTTCTTGACATCATTGGCAATTGTTTTCGATGGTTCGTTTGCAACTTCCTTTGGAGTTGGTTTAATCGAATTTCTGCATTGCTTTATTATCTTCGAATTTGGTTTTTTGAATTGGTTGTCTTCAGTGAGATCATCAGATTTGGTGGCTTCTGGTTGTTGTTCATGTGGTTTCAATCTTAAATGTGGTGACAGGGCCGACCAGTACTCTAGTTCCTCTTCATCTGACTTGGGTGTCCAAAGTCTTAAAGATTCATCATCCGACTTGAGCGTAGCAGCTCTTAAGGCCTTAGCCTTCTCCCTCGATTTTTTAGCCCTGGCCGCGTCCTTGGCTGCCCTTTCCTTGGCCAGCTGAAGGTTCCTTTGGGCAGTCTCCCTTTTCTTTATCCGCCTCTTAAGCTTTTTGGAATTAACAGACGTCCGGGGATCTACATTTTCTTTCTTTGCATCTGGCAAAGACACATCATCCTCTTCGATTTCAATACACGTTGACGGCGATTCCGACTCTTCCAGCAGCTCAAACATATTCGATTTGCGAACCATTGAGTCGCCCACTGGCTGCTCGATTTTTCTGCTGGCGTTAATTACTTTTTTGTGCTTTAAAGCAAACGCCGGCTTTTTGTCGAATGATAATTTCACAGAATTATTCGCCTGATTTTTAATCAAAGGCTTTTTGTCTTGCTGCCAGTTGGAAATATTCTTTTGATTATTCGTCGGCTTCTTTTCTTGTAACGAAAAAGTAGGTTTTGATTCTTGTACTTTATTTTGTGAAGGAGTTAAAGACTTCTTGTCCAACGAGCATTTCACGGCATTGTTTTCCTGACTAATCAAAGGTTTTTTTTTCTTGCGGGAAGAGGGAAGCGTTAATTTTTGGATGATCCAGCGGCTTTTTATCTTGTGGCGGTTCAGATACATTGGGTGATTTTGTCTCAGATTTGGATACATTGCTCTTTAGTGGAATTTCTTTATCATTTGGTGGATATTTTTTGTCAGTTCTTTCGACAACCTCGTTCTTTTCGCCAAGAACTATGCGTTTTAGTTCGGTTACAAAAGTTCTCAGTTTAATGTTTAATTGGTTTTCATCACATTTTTGCACGTAGCTTGACAAATATGCTTTCTTTTTTGGCGATATTTTTGCTGATAAGCCGGTGCTCAAAGCTGGCCAGTGATCCTCTTTGAACTTGGGTTTTCCAGTGATAAATAGCTGTGAACAAAAATAAATATGGTAACTGATTTTAGTTGGCAAGATAAAGCTGCAATGGCTTACATCTTTCATTAGCGGTGGGATCTGTTTCGATTTTTCGGTGGGTTGTGAGGGAGTTTTAATGATCTTCGGCTGTTCAGTCGGTTCAGGTTTAAGAGATGCAGGGAAACGAGGTGAGTGTGATATCTTAGCGGGAGCAGGAGCTCTCGGAATCCGATCGATAGAATCCAAGCTCGGTGGAGTAGTTTTGGACAAGGCCTTCTGTGATTGTGGAACCTGCTCCGACTTGGAGGCTGAAATATGCGGAATATCGATGGGTTCGTTCACGGTTTCCTCTGGAATCGTATCCAGCTTGGGAGCAGTAGCATCAGAGGCATCAACCGATTTCCAAATTGGTGCATTTATTTGGGTAAGTGCTTTAATAGCTCCATCGAATGGTGGCTGTTTAAGGATATGAGGCTTTGCTGCCAAGTTCTTGTTTTGCATCGGAAAGGCTTTCTGTTCCAATTTCGAAACCTCCTGACCGACATTAAATTGTAAGTCCTCAGGCTCTTCCTTGATATCTTTCAAATGGTGTGCCTGCTTAATCACCAACTTTGGAGCCTCAATTGCAGATGAGTTCTTGGATATTGTTATCTGATTGATATCCTGAATCATGTTGTTAGGATGCTGTTTTATATCGGGCTGTATGTCCTCTACAATCGGTGAAGTCACTGGTACCTCGTTTTGCATCGAAGTGACTTTTTGTTCCAAATCCGGCAGACGAATTGGAGCTTCTTGCTTTTCCTGATCTTGCGGCATCGACTTGGAAAGATAATAAGATAATAAGAGAATAATGTTTGCCCAATTGGGTTTTTCTAATATAAAGCGATCTGGACCGACAGCTAATATATCAAAGAAAAAAATTAATAAATATATATAATTAATTGGAGATGCAACTATTAGACTGAAACTTTAATATCACAATTATTTTTATATTTACTTACCTCGCGAACGTTGCAAAGCTGCTCCTCAACGACTGGATCCATGGGCAAGGGCTTCGTTAGGTCAATGATTAGCTTTTCGTGGGTTCTGGTGACCGGAACCGAAGGAGCCAACATGATCTCCAACCTCTGCGCAATCTGGGCTAGAGGAAGATTTTGTGGTGCAGCTGGCGACGCATTTATTGCATCATAGGCTCCTGGAGCCTGATAAGGTGGCTGCAATTGTGGTTGTCCTGTCGTCACACAAACCTGATGCTGCTGGGGATCCCCGACAACAAGTTGAGTTGGTAGTGCCTGCTCGGTCAACTGGTAGTTACCCGGTTGTACTGAACCAGTTGGTGCTTGCACCGCAGAGTAAATTATAGAAAATTGCTGAGTTGGCATTTTCTTGGAATAGTTAACTAGAACCGGCTGCGATTGCTGGGGATGCTGATGTGCCTGATTCATGGTGTAGATCTGCGGCTGTTGTAGATATTTCAGTGGTGGAGCAGGTGATCTTTGCCCGAAGGAGTTGGTCACTGGAGCCGCCTGGATCGACCGCTGTGGTTGAGTATCCCCCAGTGGAGCGGATTGTCCTTGTCCATTGGAACAGTATAATGGAACCTGCTGATATGGTTGCGATTGCTGTCCCCTTGCATAGGCCTCTCTGGACACAAATTGAGGACCTGGTTGTCCTTTCCCCATGGAATAGTATAATGGAACCTGCTGATGCTGGTGCACAGCATATATCTGCGGTTGCTGAGCCATTTGCGATGGCTCTTTCATTAAATAAAGCTTCGGTTGACTTTGAGGCACCGACTGTTCTTGCCCCAAGGAACAGTTCACTGAAACCGGCTGCTGCATCTGTTGATAAGGGGTCATTGCAAAGGACTCCGATTGTTGTGGATACTGATTCCTTGCATAGAGGCGCGGTTGAGCAGGCGGATCGGGTTCCTGCACCGATGGATAGGCTACGGCAACCGTTTGAGATTGCTGCCGTTGTGCTAGCATCACATGAGCCCGCTGGTGTTGGGCGTTCTTTTTTTTGGTAGCTTTTTTCTGGGCTCGGGCCAGTCCGGTGTTGTACCAACAGCCGTGGTAATAATAGCCCGGCGTGTTCCCGAAATGCACGGTCTTTCGGCAATTCTGTTGGCATTTCGGAGCCCATCGATGAACGGAATAATATGGCGGACTGTATGAGTCGCTACAGTAGTCTGCGTAGTTTGATGGGTAGTTTGGGGTCATTCCCCACGGATTAATGCCACATGGTTGCTGAGCAGCGGAATGCCTGGCATAAGTTAACTGCTGCTCCCAGTTGCCAGGGGGCGTGGCACATCGGCAGCAGTTCGGGTCTCTACGTCTTGGAGCACGTGGCTCCCAGGGCTCATCCGCATAAAACATTTCGTTTGAATTTTGCTGACGGTAAAGGATTCCCTATAATTCAATCGCCATTGTTTGCTGGTCGGCGTTGCACAATTACATTTTGGGTACTTACGTTTGAGTCCTGGTGCTAAAATTCAATGATTTTTGCACTTTTTCGGTAGCTCTCTTCGGGACTAAACTTTACGCAAGCGTTTCCGAATCGAAAAAGGACGAGTCAGGTGAATCGATTTGGGTTAACAACGTGGCAACGCCGCGCAGATTTTTATCGGCGCAGTTAGCTTACAAGCACTTCACACATTTTATTACGTTTATCGGATAAATGTACATTAGAATTACAAATATTCGATTTTTAGTATTTAAAATATAACCAACGTAATAAATTTATATAAAATCAAAAAATAAGAAATAATCCGTCGTAAGCTGGTAATTGCTAAAATAATTTTTTTTTATTAAATAACATAATTATAACCTGCATTCTTAGCATAAAATAATCTTACAATAATTAATCCAATTATTAAAAATTACAATTTGGTTATTATTTGTGTTGGGCGACAATTAGTAGTAGCGACATGATGTTTAATAGTAAATCTGTCCGTGTAGAGCTGCTTTTTATTAAAACAAGTGGCATCTCTAGCCGGAAAGCGTCCGTCACCATCTTTTCCTGCAGATCTGACAAGAAAATAAGCAGTACTGTTTATTCTACTTAAATAACTCAAGTTCTTGTGTAAAAAAACGTTTAACTATTCCACGCATCCCTTAAACCTGCGGTAAGTGTTGTAAAAGTATAATTGAGGGCAAACACAATACAACTTGCCAATTATAAATTGTTGACCACCATTTTCGGCACAATTTTCCGAAAGTCTTTTACAATTTTCTGACCAGAAGGCCCTCTTGACACGCCCCTATTTGTTTTTCGCGCACAAATACGACAACAAACGCCTTCAAAATATATAAACATACATATGTACGGTAAATGCTTCCATTTGCATATTTAATTGTAAAGAAAATTACCCAAATAAAATGCGTCAAAATCCGGGGAAATGCAATTAATTCCCGTGGAAAGCAGCCAACAAAAAAATAAACTATAGGTCCTTTTCCATAAATCTCCTGCATAGTGCAAGTGAGAGAAAACGAGAGCGCCCAAATGAGTGCGAGCGAGAGAAGAATGTGACCGCAAGGCGGCAAGAAGACGGTCGCGGCCTTGAATCATTAGACAAAGAAAAGGGTTAAAATGCAAATTGCAATCCCAAATGAGAACGGAATCCGTCGCTCGTAACCTCACATCACATCAAACGTCGCCCCGGGAAGAAGTTGCATCAGAAACATTTGACAGCGACGCGATCAGGTTCCGAAATTAATGCATGGCTGGCAATTAAATGTGAATAAAATGTAAAAGTTATCGGGCGAAAAACCCTCGTGGATGTTTCCTTAAGGTTGCGTAATTGATTAGCCCGCGGCACTGCTGGCAGGATTTTCATTCATTTTCCTTCGCAGTCTTTCCGTTGCCCTCCTTTTCTCATCATCCACCGGGATCCTTCGAAAATTCGGGGTGACCTGTGTCCAGGCGTCGCTAATTGTGACCCAAAACCCAATTATGGTAAATGGCCGACCCTCCATGTCAAGGCCTTTTATGCCTCCATATGGCGTGCAAAGGTGGATCGGCTCACTATATGTTTATTTTACTAAAAACTGTATTTTTGATATCCCCCTAAAACCATTTACAGAGAACCCAACTCAATACTAACACTATTTTTATAATCTTTTCAGATTCTTAAATCGAAGAAATTTCAGGATGGATTTCTTTGAGAATAGCGTTCCGCGTAAGCATTTTTATTAATTATTAGCAACAATTAATTGCTTTCTTTTTTTAATTTAGTTGTTGTTTACTATATCATTTATAATCCAACGGAATCGTTAATCGTAGTTGAAGCAGTGCCTGTGGGCGAAGTAAATTCCGACGACGACGACAGCACCGAAGAAAATTTGGATGAAAGCGAGGAAGATGGATACTTTTAGTTTCCGCTTCCTTTTTTTTTTTAAAGAAATCGTCAAAAGACGTAATAAAATGACTCAATTTATTTAAAATTTTATTAAGTGTTTTGGAAAACCGAATTTTTCAAACTCATAAAATGCTCACATCGAAAATCTGAAACCTTTAATAATGCAATACTTTAATTGCCGAACCTTTAAAATAATGAAAGCGACAGTTTTACACACCAACAGGCAAAAACTGGAGCACAAACAGAGATCATTGCATTTTTCGCACGTTTAAAATGGTGATTTCTCGAAATCGCAACCCTTAACCCCTCGCTTAACCCTTTCGGTCGACGATGCGGTGGTTGTGACCCCGTCGGTTGTCTGCTGATGCTAAACGTATTAACCCATGACCGCTTTATCCATTGTTTACTGCCTAATTTGCGGTTAAATTTTGATTTTGGCACAATGATTTCATTTTCGATTTCACATTTTCAGACAGATTGAGATTTATGTGTGTGCGCATGTTTGCCAAATAATAAATCTGAGCAGAGTGTGTGCGAATATTTTTTTTTTTGGCGCGCCGTGTGCAGCGATAAGGAAACACAAAGGATCTCAAAAGGAAGACGTGAGAAAGAACCTAAATCCGAGGGCAACCAAAATCTGCTGATCGATATAAGGTATTTTAGGTATAAGTACGAAATCTATCTCGAACTTTGTATTTTAAAAGTACAACATTAACCCTTTCAATTGAAAAGAAATTTTAATTATAATTAGCTTTCGGATTTCATAAATTTATAATCGATTACTAACTATTTTCTTAATTTTAATTCTATCTAGCAGACAACCCTGAAAAAACTAAGTGGAACTTTTCCTATAATTTCTATTAAATCACTAAGGTTTTCCTTAATTTTAAACCATTGAAAATAGTAAATTTAATATAGTAAATAAATGATAATTTTTCTTTTATACACAAATTCATTAATCATGCCGCTGGTATCGCGACGGACTTATCTGGACCCCCGGCTAATGAAGGAACCTGGCAACTTTGGTCAGTGCAGAAAATCAATTAAATACAAAACGCAAAATGCTTACAACGTAATGACCATTGACCGGATGACCCACCACCAACAAAAGCGGCAACTGAGGGTCAAGGATCGCGGCGGCATAATGATAAACTGTCAAAACTACACCGCGAGATCATATCGGCAAATTGCGAGCCACTGTCCAGGAGGAAACCACCCCATCGCCAGGTCAGAGTAACCCACGCGCCTAACACATTAACACGGCCCACGGATCAAGGACCAAAGGACCTGCTGTCCGACTGACTGTCGATCAAAACTTTATGACTTCTGGAAATGCGTTCGTCCCGCCCTCGGTTTGCTTTTCCATACCATATTTTTTTTTTTTTTTTTTGTTCGATGTAATGCCCTTGACTTTTGTGTGGGGTAATTTAGGGTTACCCACCAGCTTTTACGACGGGAAATTTGTCAGACGTTGACAGTTTTCAATTATATGTTTGCATATCGAGCACGTTCTAATGCATTTGTAGCATGTTCCTCTGGCCAGGAAGTCGGGAAAGTCAGGTCCTTGCATAATTACGAAAGTTTTTACTGCCCGGGTTGCCAGGGGCAATTCTATAACTAATCGAAATAACGGCCGAAATATGGTAATTCAACAGATTTGTGGTGCTATGTGTTTATTTTTAAAATTTCACTATTTTTTGTTCAACGTTATAAGTTTGATATTTTTGTTTTCATAACTTAAGAGAACAAATCAGAGGGCAGAAATACAATAATGCTTTATATTAGCAGTAATATATAATAGTCATTTACTCACTCCCCTAATGACAATTCACATATCTGCCTTTCACCTAAGAAAACAAATAAATTTAATTTTGCAGATAGGAGGTTCGTTAAAGAGCTTTTGTTGCTAGTCTGAAACTGGAACCGAGTACTCGAACGCTTTGTAAACACTCACATGGATGTAATTATTATGGATTACCATTAAATGTATGGGCCATATATCACCGGACCCATTGTAAGATCCTCGGCGACATCGCACTGATTTATGTCCATTGCCATTGACAACTCCATTTTCGCTCGCTTCCAGGTAGCAAAGCTGACCAAAGCTGTTTACACCAAATTTATGTCACAAAATCAATTGTCCGACACAAAGCAATAAAAACAAGAGCAGAGGAGGGGTCAGCTGGTCGGCTTGGGAATCAGGATCGGAGATCAGGAATCGAGATTACCCAGTGTGTGTACGACTATGTGTGTTGAATATTTTCGCTGCGCTAATCCTGAATGTCGTGCTGCATAATTTTCCGACCCGCTGAACCAACCGCCCTTTTATACATATATATATGCATATATATTATGGTGACCCGCCAAGATTGTCGCCGTGTAATGAAGAGGTCACTCGGTTCACCGGACGCCGCCGGCGTTGTTTGTTTTGGCTTTGTGACAGTTAAAGGATTACAGCGGCCGCGACATGGGCGCGAACTTTGCGGTCCTTGGGTGACACGATGTGCCTGCCATGCGGATGATGACTTCCCGCCGGACAGCTGCACATCCTGGCCGGGACTTCTCACATTCGATACGATTTTTCGAGCATCCGAAATCAGCCGGTTGTACAATGGTCGTTTTGTTCGAAAGGATCTGCGCAGGATGCGGTTTGTGTAACGATCGCCGATCGCTGGACACTTTATGCAGTGTCATATCCTGCGGCATATCCTGTCGCCCGCCGAATGCCGTGATGAATGATCGCAGTGACTCCCAATGAAAATCAGCCCACGAAGTTCCCACAACGATACAAAAGTCAGGATGGAAACTGTATTTTTTATGGTGTTAAAATCTGTTGTGAATGAAAATCATTACAAAGAGTAAATTTGAGGTGCGTATGTATTTATTTTCTTTGCTTTAATATATTTAAAAAAATATTTTTTCGTGATTTTTTTAGAAACAATAAAAGAGAAGGATACGCAGTAAAGTCACAACTTTTTCGTAAATCGTAAAGCTTAGCTGATATTGTCCCAATTGCCTTTACAATTCCTCAACCAAGTTCAATGATAATGAGCAACGTAATTGGCGCATTTTGCAGGATTCCGATACTGACTCAAAGGACAACAAAAGGAGAGGAGCAGCTGCCTCGGGAATTGGCACACAATGGAGCGGCACATGCCACACACTAGCGAAAAAAATCAAATCTAAAGAATAGGAAATCGGGGGACTGAAGGAAGAAGTTGACAAAAAAAAAAAAAAAAAACGGGAACAAGACGGCAATATACGTAACTGCACATTGACAAAAAGGAAGCGTCGCAACAATGGAAAAGTGAAAAATCTCCGGAGGTGGCTACACCCAAAGGACAGCTGTCTGCATCTCCATCTGTTTGTGATTCCCCGCAAGAAAGACGAGACGAGGGACCTTCAACGATCTATCAAAACTGCCTTGATCCTTGCACATTATGCAAAAAGCATTTGAATTCAATAGTAATAAAAACACTAAGAATAACCTTTTAGTAACAAGTTTAGTGAGCACCAAAAATAGTCATTAACAAAATGAAAGTCAACTGTTAAAGCACTTAATCCCAAATCGATTTAGTTTAATAATTAATCTTTATGTTTATACAACACAATTTTAAAATAATTTATTCCTTTCTCAGTTAAACGGAAAATCTTCCCTACTGGTATTTGAATTTAAGAATAACATAATTTGCAGGAAATTCCAATTGAAATGAAAATATTATCCGATCCGATCCGATGCGTTCCTTTAAAGGTTGAAACATATTTTCGAAATGTACAACTTTACGTGCGACTACGCGGTCAATCGCGGTAATTGGATTAGGGCAATCGCGCAACCCTTTCTGCAGCATCACCAGCATCCCACCGATCCGTACGTCTGACCCTTTGACCCTTCGACCCCTCGGATGCTTACAGCCAATCAAGGAATGGCCCTTTCAAGCCCGAGGAAAAACTCGGGGAAATTAATTAAGAAAACAGAAGGCAGCACATCATCCCCGCGGCCATCGGCTTGGGGCAGCGGCGTTTTATTACTTGTAAGTAATTTAGACACACATCAGTGGACACCAAAAGTATTCCTCGCATATCAAATTATCCTGATCCCTCAAAAGATGTTACATCACTTTAAATTTATTTAAAAACTTTGCTTGGAAAATATATTTGAAAAAAAAAAACGTTTTCCAATTTTTGAAGCAAATCCAAAACTTTATTTTAACAAAAAAAAAAAACTTGTCATTTTAAAAAGTACATATTTAAATTACAATGTCTTTGGAAAAGTGTCCGGAAAAAGGCTGGCCAAAGAGGGGGTGAAAATGGCTTAATATAAGTTCATTTTCCGCGTATTAATCTTTAAAAAAAAAATCCCAAAAAAACTGTCTTTCACATTGCTCATTACCTGGCTTTTATTTAAGCTTATCCGCAAAAAAAAAAAAGATTCGTTTATCCCTTAAGTTGACAAAGGCACACCCACCGTCTAAAAACGGGAAATTCGACGTTAATTTATTTCCATTTTCAATTTCCATTGTCTGCGTATAAACAGTTCATTAGGAGGCCAACCAGTTATGCGAGTGAAATTCAAAACGCGACATCGCCTTTTCTTCGTGTTTTGAAATTGTTTTGGACAAACATACGGAAACGGGACACTTGAAATTACGCTTAATTGGCGGAGAAACAATGTTGAATGCCAAAGGAATCGGGAAAATGATAAGAAAAACTTCCTAATTACAAACAAGAATTTTCCGGGTGCGCGCTAAAAAAAAAATGGGAAAAGGGTTGAAGATGAACTCGCATGGGAACCTAAAAACCCCGATTTTCCACCGAGTTCGAAGCGAAGGCTCTTCGATAAGCCTTCTTCGGTGGAAATTTTGTCCCCAACCAGTCATAGATTTTTTAATAAATATTTGACATGGCATTTTCACTAAGGCCAGCGCATGGAAATCCATTGTGTGCAAACAGGAGGTCGAGCAGCAACCCTAAGCGGAAAATTTGTTTAAACAACTGAGCAAATATATATTTGAAATTCGCCCCCTAGAGAGGGGTAACTTTTTTTTATACACATTTTTCGGAAATTCTCCCCAAAAAATAAAAGTAGTGAACAAAAAATTGCTAAGCCGGCAATCAAAATACAAACATAACAGGATCGAGTGCGGCTCAATGGGAGCTATTGTTGTCCAACTGAAGCACCTGAGTATTTGGAACAAGGACATCCCCCATGCTGACTTGGAATGCCAATGTGCATTTTGCAACAGATTTACGATCCTTTATAATCCCTTCAATCGCGCTGTAAACTGGTAACTGGTTCCTGGTTAACGTCGCTTTGTTGCTCTAAATAGCCTTTTCCGAATCACTACACTCGCACAAAGGATTCGCCCTCAATTGCACAACTATTTTGATTTGGAAAAAAAATTAAGAGCATTGGGCAAAACTGGGCACACAAAAAATATCATGTTTAATTGCTCAACTCAGAACTAGCCGTACACAAAAAATTCAATAGGGAAGTATTTTAAATTCATAACTTATTGGCTTTTATTTTTCTTTATAATATTGTATACTATATATTACTCAATACTAATTACTATATAAATGTATCGAATAAAGATTTAAGTTAGAAACAAATACATTCCATCACCATCAGAGTTGGCTGTTATAAAAGTGTTTTGGCAATACTGTTTTTCGTAGTTAAATTTTTCTCAGAAAATATTTACGGCAACATTCGAACGCACTGAATGTTCTCAAAACGGAAAATATTTATTCAACCGTGAGTTGTTCTCTACATTGGCTGATTTAGTAAAAAAGAAGTTATTGCCATAGAATTTATATATTTTGTTGAACCAAAAGACAAAAGACAAGTTGGAAAACACGGATTCAATAGGATTTCCCAAGGAATCATCGAAGCAACAAGAACTTAATGCAGACTTTTATTTTTTGTTGGAAAAGAGTTTAAAAACTGACAAATGAGCACCAAACTTCTAAAACACTAAAACCAAACTTTAAAATAGCTTGTGATGTTGGTGAGAAATTATCTATTGCGAGCAGCACAAACGCCTGCTGTTCGGCCATATTTGACGCAAGTAATACCACCTTATATTGACTTTACAACACTTAGTTTTCATTTCCTCTTTTCGATAGATATCGTGCAAGTACTGCCTTAAAAAATTAAACACACGAGCTTATTGTTAATCGGAATCAATCAATCCGACATTCTTTTACAAAACGGAGCTTGCCACAAGAAGTTGGTTGGGATTGGTGTTCTTCGAAAACGCTTTGTCTCCGCCACGTGGACTACTTGAGTTTTAAGTCAGGGATTCTATTTGGAACTTCCTCGGTAAACAACAAAAAACTTTTGATAAATTAAGAATTTTTATTGTCGCGCCATATTGTGAAAACCTACAAAATGTCGGACGACTTTGAACTTGATTTGGGTACAAGCGATTTGGACGAGCATGAGAGGGCCAACCGAACTCCGGTGCCAATGGAGCCGAATGATCGCTACAGCCTGGTGACCAACTATCTGGGGCAGCTGCAGCCCAACTGGCAGACCGCTGACCACGAGGAGAATCGGTACGGCAGCTCCGAGGATGGGGATGCCACACCGCGAGTGCACACAAGTCCAACGGTCATACTGCGTAGGGCACCGTTTCCCGTTTCGGAGGGCTCGGAAATGACCTCCCAGGCGTACTCCTCGCCGATCGAAGATGGCGGCTCCGAGGGGGAGGGACGCGACCAGGACTCCAGCCAGATCAACGGAACGGAGGAGAGCTCCGCTGACTATCGCATTGGTGGCTACCATCCGGTTGCCGTGGGCGACATCTTCAAGGATCGCTATCATGCCATCTACAAGCTCGGCTGGGGGCACTTCTCGATCGTTTGGCTGTGCTACGATGCGCGAATGGAGCGCTATTGTGCCATCAAGGTGGTCAAGTCAGGTCAGCACTACATGGAAACGGCCCGGGATGAGGTTCGCCTGCTGCAGGCCATCGCCGAGTCCGCCTGGCATCCCTTGCGCCATCGCATTGTCGAGTTCCTCGATCACTTCTATATTAGCAAACAGAACGGAACGCATCATTGCCTCGTCTTCGAGGTGCTGGGCGACAATCTGCTGACCCTCATCCAGATGTCCAACTACCAGGGCCTGCCCATCGGGAACGTCAAGCAGATCGCCCTGCAGGTCCTCGAGGGCCTCAACTTCCTGCACTCCCAGTGCCGCATTATACACACCGATCTGAAGCCGGAGAACGTGCTCCTCGTGGCCGACGACTCCACCGTCCGCTGCCAGGTCAACCAGGCAGTCACGAATTTCCTGAAAGGCCATGGCCAACTCCACAAACAAGGGTTCGTACGACTTGCAGCCAAATAGAAAATAATTTTAACATTCAAAAATGATATATACTCCTTTTTATATTTAACTTTTGGAGTAATTAGGTAATGGAGTTGTGGAGTAACTAGGTAATATATAGTGAATATAAATATTTCAACTGATGTTAGTTTCCTTTTATATTTTTGAAAACGATACATTTTTGTACTTAATAATAATAGATATTAATCTATTTGGATTTCCTTAGTTATTTTAATATTTTTCTTTTTATTACAGTTTCCTATTTCAGTTTTGAAAATGTAACATATTTTGATTAGATCTTTCCTCCTTTCAAAAATGTTAAGCAACTTTCAATGATTTTTTTGTATTATAAACGTGACAAATTTGAAGTGTATTTTCCCGCCTTCCACAGGCATGGAGATGGCACTGCCAAGCTGACCAAGACGGCCAAGCGCAGGAGGCGTGCCCAGGCCAAGCGGAGTGTCGCCTTCTTCCAGGAGCACCGCCGGTGGCTCCGCCAGCGTGCCATCGAGGATTTGCTGAGCTTGGCCGAGCGCGGACAACTTTCGCCAGTGGCCGCCGCCTTGGGCGTCACTGGGAAGCTGCGCTTCATGCCCTTCTTGTTCGACGATCTGGTGATCCTCACCGACAACGATATGGCCGAGCTTCAGCGTTACTTTATGACCGAGAGGGTGGGCGATATGCCAACCGCTCTGCTCAACAACCGTCCGCCACCACAAACGGGTGCGAATCAAACTGGAAGTGTCAACGCATCCAATGCCAATCCCGGCCAGAAGTCGGATGGGAGCTTCTCCGCCTTGAGGCTTCTGCTCAAGAGCCCGGAGCAATTTATGCGGTATGTTCAGCAGAAGGTCACCGAAGCGGATCAGAAGGAGATGGCTCGCAATCAGTATGGCAAGAAGCAGAGGGCTCCGAAGAAGCATCGAAAGAACGAGAAAAAGAAGAAGGAATCCAGGAGGAAATCTAGTTCGGTATGGATTATCACTGAGGTCTCATAAGTAGAAAGTTTTCCATTCGGTTTCTACAGTCAAAATATATTGCAGCATACTTTTGGACATCGTTATTGGAATTTTCAGGGCTCTAGACGTTATACTTCCAATTAGAGCAAATTTATTGACCATTTTGGTTTGATTCTCTTAAAAAAAAACCCGCATTAGATATATATTTTTAAGCTTTATATATCCCAAGTTCAAGGGATGTGTTAGATTCAAAAGAGCAGTATTTAATTTTAAGGATTTATCAGATTAATGAATTCAATTTTGATACTTACATTAAATTAAATTTCAAAAGAATGAACAGTTTCTAAAGTTTTTGTTTATATTAAACATATTTATTTAAAATTTGAATTTATTGTTTATTTATTTAATTTATCTAGGCTAAGAACGAACCTCCGAGGCAATTCAAAAAGGAAGTCAACATTCCATCGATCTCGCCCGTAGAGCCGGGCAACCAGTTATACAATCTTCAACTGAAAATCGCGGACATTGGCAACGGATGTTGGGGTCACCACCACTACACCGACGACATCCAGACGCGGGAATACCGAGCGGTGGAGGTGATCCTCGGAGCGGGATACAACGAGACGGCGGACATCTGGAGTGCCGCCTGTCTCTTTTGGGAATTGGCCACCGGTTGCTACCTATTCGATCCGAAAATGATGGAAAAGATGGGCAGGGCTAGCCAGGATGAGGTGCACATTGCGTACATAATCGAGATCTGTGGGCCCATTCCGCAGGAGCTGATCGATCAGGGTGACTTTTCGGATAAGATCTTCAAGCCGAACGGCGAGTTGCGCCACATAACCAATTTGTATGCGCGTCCGCTGGCCGCCATCCTGATCAACCTGTACGGATGGACGCTGGAGGAGGCCAAGGAGTTCGCCTCCTTTCTGACGCCCATGCTGCAAACGGATCCCAGCAGGCGCATCTCCGCCAGGGGCGCCTTGCAGCACCCTTGGCTGCGACTGGAGGGCGATAATAATGGGATTCGTAATCAGAATCAGAATCGGCATCAGAATCAGAATCCGAATCCAAATTCGAATCATAATCGCATGAAGACGAACAGGGAGACAACACGTCCTGGAACACCCGATCCCCGATGCACCGACTTCACATCCGTTGACGAGGACAGCGACTTTTAAATTGTTTCTTTTTCATCATCCTTGTAAAATATTTTTTTAGGGTAACCGATCTTGTATAAGGATGGTCAAACCTGTCAAGAATAACAATTTAAATTCAAATAAAGTGCGCCGGCCGTGTACGAATGTTTTAATCTTTTCACTTTTTCTGGCAATCAAGAACATTGACCCCTAATGTCAGAAAATAATCTCAGAAAAGGAAATTTTAAACTCACGTATTTTAGGAATTCAATAATAAACATTTTGAGGTAAGCCGCTTTGGAAACGGATTAGAATTTAAAAAGTTTTGGGTTCTGGAAGTCCGGTTTTGGGTCAACTTTATTTTTATACCCTTGCAGAGGGTATTATAATTTCAGTCAAAAGTTTGCAACGCAATAAAGGAAACACCTCAGCCCCAAAAATTATATACATATATTATATTATTGATCAGAATCACGATCTGAATCGAAATACGTCTATCTGAAAACAAGAGAACATTTTTGATGAATTGTTTACATTGGAAAAATGTTTGATTTTGCCTCTATTGGCTTAATTTTTTTTATTTTTGCAAATTAACATGCTCCACGGAAAATGTAATATGCAAAATGCAGTGGCGGATCCAGAGACGATTCTTGGGGGGGGAATTGAACTTATTCTTCGATTTGGGGTTCAAACTTATTATTGCGAGAGAAATACAGTACAAATTATAAAACAAAAATTATCCATCCCAATTTTTAGGTAAACAAAGCGGTTATATTTGAAAAGTCAACCATAGCAAACAAGTAAAATTTTCAGGTTCTGTGGTTCCAAGGGGGGGGAAATTTCCCTAATTTCCCCCCCCCCGTGGATCCGCCACTGCAAAATGCGATATGTATTTTGCAAATTTAACACCTGAAAAATGTTAGATAACATTAAGTTAACATTAATATTTATTTTTAATGTTAAAGTAATGTAAATTAAATGTTAATAACATTAATGGGCCACGTCATCGGGAATGGTAATTAATTATTTTTAACGTCTACAATTCCCAAGTTGTTCTGGCCGATTCCTCATGGGATAGGCGTTGATTTTGGCTCATAAATTAGTGGACCCGACCATGGTACAATTATACAAGGTAGTCTCGTCGGCTGCCTAATCGTTCGGCTTTTTAGTCAGTGCGTTCGTGCTTGTTGAAGGATGAGCACGCGTGCGGACGAATTTTTTCAGAGTATTAACCCTTGTGCAAAGATGTCGTTCTGCCCTTGGCTGCAAACTTTTTTTGTTTTTTAACATGTCGTTTCAGATAATTTTAGTGTAACAAAAAATGTAAAGGAGAAACTATTAATAGCTACTAAGAAACATTAACTTAGATATTACAAAAATTTACTTTAATATTGACATTTATTTTAAAATTAAGAACCTAAACAAGAAAATAACTATCCAAAAATAAAAACAACGTTTAATTTTAAATTCAAAACTATTAAAAATTAATTTATTAAAAACTTCAACTCTTTTTTCTATAAATGAGCAATTTAAGCCCCATGCGCCATCTAAGGGTTAAGCAAAAAGCTCCTTTGTCGTTTCACTCGCACTTACTACGCAGACTCCTCTCACTCGCACTTGTGGTGAGTAATGAATAAGGGAGCGCTTTTTGCCGACGAGACTACCTTGTATAATTGTACCATGGACCCGACTAACCGGAAGTTCCCTTCTGGAACTTTTTCGGATTCTTGCTGTGCGCGTGTGTGTGTTTGGTATTGCCTATATCGCGATACCTCCTATGGACCAGCTCCAGGATGCAGTGCGTCAAAGCATCCAAGTGGTACCTGCTCCCATTTTTTGGGACTCAATAAATTTGGATAAGTATTCCCCTTGTGGGCAACTCCACCTAGAGTGGAGTGCGGGATGCAATGCATCTCCGCTATGGACCAACTCCAGGATGCACTGCATCCGTGTGAGGAGGTACCATTTTTTGGGGTTGAATAAATTTGGGTGCGGGGAGTCCACCTTGAGTGGACGCCGGGATGCAATGCATCACTGGCATGGACCAACTCCTGGATGCACTGCATCCATGTGAGGCGGTACCATTTTTTGAAAATCAATCAATTTTCTTCCCTGTGGATGACACCACCTGGAGTGGACTCCGGGCTGCAGTGCATCGGAAACCCAAAAAGGTAAGTGATTACGTGGCTTTCCGTAAATGCAACTTAATAATTAAATAATTGTTTTTATTTATTTATTCCAGGTTTCCGAACTCTTGCTGTGCGGCTGTGTGTGTGTGGTTTTCCTGGTGTCGCCTAAACGGCGATACCACTATGGACCAACTACTGGATGCAGTGCATCCAGGTGAGGAGGTACTAGTTTTTGCGATTCAATAAATTTGGATAAGAATGCTTCACTGCAGATAACTCCTCTTCGAGTGGACTTCGGTATGCAATGCATCGGAAACCCGTAAATGGTAAGTGATTACGTGGCATTTTGTCAATGTAATTTAATAATTAAATTATTGTTTTTATTTATTTAATTCAGGTTTCCGAGTTAGTGTGTGTTTGAAAAGCAGCTGCAGCAGAGGAGTGGCTCCACTTGAACTTGGACAACAAGATGCAGTGCACCGAGGATGAGTCGCAGTGAGTACTTAGAACTTTAAATACCAGTCGTTCTGAAATTTAAATATAAAATAGCGCCACACAGACAGACGGATAGACAGATACACGTATTTCGATTCAGATCGTGATGCTGATCAAGAATATATATATTCTTAATGGGGTCTGAGGTGTCTCCTTCACTGCGTTGCAAACTTCTGACTGAAATTACAATACCCTTTGCTCTGAGAGGGTATATCCATGTTGCAGGTGATGCTGATCCATTCCTGCAAAATATCTTGTGCTAAACTAATTATTATTATTATTTTAATGAAATAAATTTGAAATGTATGTTTGAAAAATAACAGTCAATGATCAGCTACAATATGCCAGAAAGCGATATAAAGTCAAACAGAACGCACCGATAAATCAGCTGATTAGGTTTTTTGTGTTCCATCCCTAGAAGTTAACGTGCTGGTAGAATTGGAAGCGAATTGAAATCGCGCGCTGCTTTATTCGCTTGTTTATGCCAAAGTCCATGGCTAGATCATTTCATTAGTCGTCTGAAACGGGACAGTACAACTAAGTGACACAATTTAACCAGTGGGTTTACTAGTAAGTTTGAAGATACCTTTTACCAACGATGCTATTCCAATTTGACTTAATTTGCAGCGCTTGGCGTTGTTTGTTATGTAAAAAGCGCATAAATTGTCTGGCGTGTTGATAACAACAATCACTCAGCTGATAAACATACACAAAGCCCATGCGGAAACAATTGAAACCGCCTACCGACCCCACAAACACCCCACGCCCACCACCCACACGCACCTTGGATTGCCGCTCAAGGTTGCGCCAGTGATGAGCAAACAAAACAAAGACCGTGATCGTGCATATAACGGTCAAGTAACTGTTTCACGAACCGGTTAATACTCGTTCAGTGCTCACTTCATTTGTGTTAAAAAGTAAAGAATATATACGTATGCAAAGTATATGTAATTAGTAATTTTAATGCATTTTTAGTTACTAAACAGTTTCTTTCTCAGTCACATTTTTACTCATCTCCATCGTCTGTCGGATACCGACGTTAGCGCCAAATTCGAAATGTCAAGAACAGAAATCCGAACGTAACCACATAACCATATAGCTTATCTTGCGCCGGCGATAGATAGTGACTACGTCCTCCTCCTATCCCCCTCTCACTTTAGCCATTGGATTTGCATCGTTGTTTGGAGCCATGCTGCTTTTTCACCTGTCTGTTTGTCTCGTTTTCTACACACAGCATGCCCAGGGATTGCCTTCGGCTTGAGTTCTGGATACACTGAGCCGTCATAGCAGTTAAAGCTGCCCCGCCCACTCCGGGGCGCTCAGATCCCCGGTTCCGAGATTCCGAGTGACGCCAACGTGGTCGACCGTCGTCGTTTTTCGTCGATTTGCGGGCTTATTTAATGTTGGCCACAGGTCTTCTGGCTTGCAGAAACATTCCAAATCTGTCGGCGTTCAATTCATGGCGAACGCTTCTCCCGACCGCTAGAAACCGCTCCTTTTCCGCGGCAGCATTTAAAATTCCACTGCATAGGGTTCCGGAACAACATCAGAAACAGCAGCAGTTTACAAGAGCTTACCCAGCGTAAGTACATTGCTATATTGATACCCAATTAAAGGTATATTTAAAAAAAAATTAATTTCTTTTAAAATTAAAGCTCAAAAGACATGGATACACCAAGCGATGTCTTCCGCGGTCTGACGGATCGCTTTGCCGGAGTCACAGTCGATGGACGCGAAGAGCAGGTGGATCCAGACGGCTTCCGGGACAAACTGAAAAGTAAGTTCCAAATAAATTTAAAAGCTTACTCAAAAGTGTTTTAATCAACTCTTTGATATATTTTATTTCTGCTATAAGCTTACCAACCGTAATTTCTTTCAATCTTTTTCCAGAATCACTTGGTTTTTGGACGACAAACAAGAACCGAGCCATTTGGTTCAAGGTGTACAAAGAGCAGGCCGACTGGGTGCCCATTCTTGCGGAGAATGGCTTCGACTTCCATCACGCACGCACCGGAGTGGTTGTCATGTACCGCTGGCTGCCAGAGGACGAGACCAGCAATTTGCCAAACTTCGCCCACACTCTGATGGGAGTTGGCGGACTGGTGATCAACGATAAGGACGAGGTCCTGGTTGTGTCCGATCGGTTCGCGATGATACCCAATAGCTGGAAACTGCCCGGTGGCTATGTGGAGCCGCGGGAGAATCTCATCGATGCGGCGATCCGTGAAGTTGCCGAGGAGACAGGCATTAACACCGAGTTCCGATCGGTGGTCACTCTGCGACATGCCCACGGCGGCACCTTCGGCTGCTCCGATCTTTATGTGGTCGTCGCCTTAAAGCCCCTTAATTTGGACTTTAAGCGTTGCGAACGCGAAATAGCGCGACTCCAGTGGATGAACATCGAGGAGTATCTGGAGCATCCTCAAGTTCACGAGACCAACAGGCAGTTCGTTCGCACGTTTTTGGACTACCAAAAGCGCGGACTGACAATCACCTGTCGGGATGAAGTTCATCAGGTGCTTAAAAAGAAATACAACCTGTATTACGTGGAGCAGGAGGCACAGCAGCAACAGCCGGATCAAAAGAACTCGTGAGACTTGAAGGTTCAGTGGCCAAATCCCTAGTGCAATTCATTTTACTATTTTCGACCCAAATCGAGGAGCAGCACAAGTGAATATTGATATGTTCATAATGTATAATTTAATGTATGAAAGATTTTCTGAAGGTAAAGAAATATTAAAAAAAAGAAAAGAACTACTAATATGACATCCTACTATTTACTGATCATTAAAGCCAAACTTTATGCAATTTAAGAACATGTAGAATTAAATGGCAGCCTTATTGTTATTAAACTCAGGAATCGAAAATATAGAAATTCTTTTTAACAAACATTGAAAAAAATATTTTCTAAAAAAATGTGATAGTTAAAAAAACAACGATGATGTAGCTGAAAAATCAATGTCGATTATAGTAAAACATTGAATAATATTGATGATTATTTAAAACCCACTTCTTATAAAGATATCGGGTTTTCAGGTCTATCAAATGATTTGAATACAAACGCATTTTAAATTAACTGCCTTCCTAAAGTCTTAAGATAGTTACTCCATTTTGAATCAGTTTTGATAAATAATCACAATTTATTAATTTTAGATTTTTTTAAATAAACAAATGTCTGCAAATGATAAAATAAAGCCGTTCTAGTGAATGTATATTAATAATAAATATTTGATTGGCAGTTTCTCAAACGCTCTTCTGGTTTATTTGTATTACATAACATCCAAAGGATCGCAAATTCAAGACCCACTTGTCGCACAAATCAGACGAGAACCGCATATGAAATGGATCTATAAAATATATGATCTAGAATTTCCTTTAAAAGTAGGCCACTCGAATGGGTTCAGTTGAGAAAAAACTAGAGTAAAACTCTTTCGGGAAGTCAATCTACAGTCCGGTGGCCTCGGATATTGGCCAAATGCGGCAGAGCACACGACTCCGGATGAGACCCACCGGAATAGGTCCGTAATAGCGTGAATCCGAGCTATTACCCTTATTGTCTCCCTCGATCCAAACGTAGCCGCGCGGCACATAGTCCTTAATCATTATGGGCTTCGTTTTGACATCCTGACTCCCGCTGTATTCGGCTTCGATGGGAGTCGGCTTCTGGATGAGCACCTGGTCACCGGACACGGCAACGATCCGTTTGCAAATGAACTGACTGGCGTTGATAGGCGAGATGGCGATAACGATGTCTCCTGGCTGGTAGGTTCGCCAGTGCTTCGACAGGCGTTCTGTGAGCAACACGTTGTCCGAGTAGAGAGTGGGCTCCATTGAGGGTCCTTTGCACTGGATGTGGAAAAGCGAAATGCAAGAGCTTACTTATTGTATGAAAGGTAATGTTTATTGTGGTCTAAGGGTCTAACTTCGATTACGAAAATGTTGCACATAGGAGCAACTTATCGGGTTCTTTCCGTTTACTTCTGGGTTAAGTATCCAGCTATGTTAATACCCTTGTGTAGACAGACTCACCAGGACAAAGTCGCCGATGTACTCGAAGGTGCAGTGTGTGATGGCCGCATAGGCGACCGTGTAGCGCATGAGGCGACCCAGTCGCGAAAGGACCTTCATGGCGGGTATCCTGGCGATTCCTGCTTTGGCTGCTCCACATCCACCTGCGCTTGTGCTCAGAGCATCTCCTGTGTCCTAGATCCGGCAGAGGTGCTATCAACCCGGAAAGAGATGTTTATGTTGTGTAAAAATCAGGGCTGCACTAAAAAGCACAGCTGAGTGCCAATCGAGGGCTTCCGCAGAAATATTGGAAATGAAACGATTAATTTTTGGGCGCGACTTTCAATTTAAAAAAGCTAGAAGACCAAAAATTTAGCACATTTAACCACATATATTTATTCCTACTTTTCATCAATATTTTTGACTAGGTCCACCAAGCCTGGCAGATACATTATAAAGTGTACATCTAACATCCACTTTTCATATATTTCTTGCAGGTCTCCAATTACATTCTTTTAACTTACGATTAGAAATACATTAGTTACATTGAGAGATTTACTGGGGAGGAGGTCGTTAGTCGAACCGAAATTGTACACAATAAGATATAACTCCTGGAAATAGACACTCATTCATATATATATATATATATATATATATCTATGTGTATACATATATATGGGGTGTAAGCGTCACCGAAATTGTAAATTACGTTAACTAAAGGCAAAATAAATATGCAACACCTACTGACTGGAACGAATCGCTTGAATTTCAATTTCAATTCAAAAATCATTTAAATACAATTTGTCGGGTGACCTTGTCGCACACACCCGTCTAACTAAAAAATACAAAATAAAATCAACAATCTTGCAATAGCGCATAAAAATAATTTAAATTCTACTACGGCCTATTTGGTATGCCTAATGCCCCATATTTCATCTGATCGCTTTTATCTTTTCATGTTTTTAGTTTGCTTGGAATCAAGAGTTGTGTTTCGCTTTAGTACTTTGTTTTTTGTGAGAACTAGCGCTGGAAGACGCTGGTCGGGACTAGATTTACTCCAATTTCTTGCCGACCACCGGTTCGGATTTCTGACGCTTCTCCTGTCGTTCGCGCACATCAACGGCAGCCAAGTCGATGCCCGCCACATAGGCGTGCATTACCGAGATCAAAGCCTTGAGCACGGCAAAGGGACCCGTGAGGAAGGCGAGTATCTTGAAGAGCGAAGCTCCAAATACTGCAATTGATGGGTAAACATCGATTAGATTAGATGTCTAACTGGAAGTTACGCTATATACTCACTCAGTGGGCCGTAAGTGAAATGCAAAAGGTACAAGCACACGTAGAACAACTCGTTGACGCAGCACATGAATGTGAGAATGTCCTTCTGGTAATACAGACGCATCACAAAGTTTTCGTTCACCTTGTGCGAGCTGCGGCCAACCACAACGCTCCTGCAAAGACAATAGTATAAGTATGCAGACATTCGCATTCCTGATTACATGTCCCACTTACGTCTGCATGAAGAGCCAGTGACAGGCCACGTCAATGGCGATGGACAGCTGGAACCAGAACATGTACTGCGGATAGAAGTAGGCCAGGGTAACGAGCAATCCGGTGGTGCCGCAGCGATCGGTCAACTGGTCCAGCATGGCGCCAAAACGAGTGCCTGCAGAAGAAGAAGCAGTTCAATAATTATAATTATAATAATAATATTAATAATGAAACACAAATTCTGTTTACATTTATCACAATTGATTTGCTTAGCAACAAATTGCCTAATTCCATTTCTGTGCAATTCCTGCTTGATTTCTGTTCATTTTGTGGGCACACGTCATACTTCTATTGGCTATCCAGCCGTGACCATATCGGGACCTTTGGGGCGTGCCGCTTATAAACAAATATCGGCAGATAACCATTGGGGAGACAGGTGTTGTGGTGCGTTGCGGCCAAAGTGCGCGCACAAATCAGATACAGATATATGTAGCTCTAGCTATAGCTAAAGCAAGTGCTTCGTTCTTTTAGATTACCGAGGAGGGAATTGGTCTTACTTTGGTTAAAAGCCCGGGCGGCATGTCCATCGACGGCGTCCAGCAGGGCAGAAGTTACATAACACCAGCCAGAGATCACATAGTTGGTGGACATGAACCAGAAGGCGATCAATGCCAAAACGATGCGGGCATAGCCTGGAAAAAGTCAATATGTCAATATATGTATTCCCCATATCAATATCTAGGTGGAAGACATCGAGGGGGTGGTTCGGTGGCTCTCTATATCGGTGAACTTGCGCCCTGCATTTCACAGGTTGCCAACCCGAACATCCCCTTAAATCCAATTAGGGGAACACACAGAACGCAATAACTGCGCCGCATAAATCGAACATGCGATTTGTTTACCCCTATGGAACTTGAAAAACAACAACAATAACAACGTCACTCACCGATCAAATTTGGCACAAAGATAAAGACGTTGTCGTGCTCGGCAATTGCCATTTTTTGTCGCCTGCTGGTGTCTAGTGATTTTAAAGTTTAGTTTGCGATCTCCTGACTGTTTGTTTTTATCCAATGAAATGATAAAAAGTGTAGCAAAAAACGAGCAAAGCAATTTCGCTGTATCTGGTGTGACCCCAGCGGGACCGTCGTGAATTACCATCAAACGCAAAATAAAAAAACCAAATATACCAGCACTGTGAGTTACTAGTTTGTTTCCACTGTCACGCATCTCAGGATTGGAACTATGTATAGTAAATTCATAAATAACATTGAATGAAATCTCAAAATGGAAAACGTAGGTTTTACAAGATTATTGACTTTCTATTTTTTTTTGCGTATTCATACACGTACTTAGTACCTCAGTGGGGTATCGTGTAGTTGTATATAATGAATTATTTAAATTTTGCCCTTGTTTTTCTTTGTTAATGTAATCTTATTATGAATACTAATAGAAAACAAATAGTCTTGTAACGCTTTTTTGCGCCAACGTAAACGGTTACTCTTCGCTAGTGTAAAATGGACTTAAATACCAACTCGCAACTTGGTATATTCCTCGTCGGCCCATGCAGCGGTCACACTGCCCATGACGAATTCCACAAATAATAATAATATATTGCCGAAAATAATGCACAATTAGGTCGATCAGAAAGAACCTGCAAGGTAACCCACATGTTACAGCATGGATAAACTCCGCGGCGCCAGTTTGATCGGCGGTGGATCATTCGGCGGAGTGGGATCGACGAATCAGGGTTTGGAGCACCAGCAACTGGACCAGTATCCCAAAAACCTGATCGAGCAATATCTTAGGGCCTCCAGCAAGATTAAGAAGTTCGAGCGTGCCGGCTTCTTTAAGTGAGTATCAATAGATTATTGAATTTAAAAAAATAACAAACCCTAATTGATATTAAAGCAAAGTTTTTGGATGTGTTATAAGTAAAAAGAAAATATTCCTCAGTTTATTTTGAGTCCTAAAATCTGTGAAGTGATACCGATAATATTTTGTATAGCATACTTTAAGGCTGAACAAAAAGGATTTTAAGTTGCCTTGAAACTATGAGTTTAATATATAAGGCTTTAACAAATATATTAAATAGCTGAATTGGTGATTATTGCCATTTCAGACGCTTTGCGCCCAGCGTGGGCGATGTGCAGGCGGACTTCCAGCGACTGGCCTACAGCTTCGAGGAGTCAGGCATCCTACAATATGCGGCCATGTGTCACATTGGCTTTGCCAAGTGCGAGTCTTACGGCGGCGCACCCCAACGCGAATCGGAGGCTTACCTGCGGGCAGCGAGAGCCTTCTTGGGGGCGCACAACGAATCTGGAAAGCTGCACCTGCGCACCCGGCACTCGGGTTTTCGGGAGGGAGCCCTCCATTGCTATCATCGGGCCGCCGAACGAGCCGTGGATGGCTGTGTGTACAAGGCGGCGATCCTCCGGGAGCTAAAGCAACTGCAGCGGCAGTTGGACAGCACCAGCAGCTTTGCCTCCCCCACCCATCAGATCCATGATCTGGAAATGAGCGCCGAGACTTGTGGTCAGCGTGGGGATTTCCGGAGTGCCCTGCAGCACTACGACGACATTGTGGATAATATTTACGAGCGACGAGGGGCTCACATGTACGGGGAATTGTTGCGAAGTGTCGAGGTACTGCGTCTGCTGCTCCTGGTCCATCTGAATCTTCCGCCTGCTCGCCAGTCACCTGCCCACATTAAGCTGATCGAGTACTACTACAACCTGGCGCAATTCGAGATGCGTCCCTGTTTAACGGACGATGGCGGATCGGTGGAGCGTCCAGGAGCATTTGTGCCCGAGCAACAGCAGTATGCACTGGCTGAGATTACGTGTGCCTGGGTAGAACGCAAAATGTGCGATCTCAAGCATCTGCTGCGAGACTTTGGAGCCGAATTTGGAGCTCTGAGCAGCGTGGAAAGGCAGCTTCTCAAGGTCATGCATGAGGAATTGGTCAGAAGCTACTAGACCTAAGATTTTACTGTAAATTATACAACTCCTGTATCATTACCACTGAATAGCACATGTAACTATCGCTTAAGTGTAACCAAGTCTACCAACTAACCTTTGAACGTGCCTACACGCATTCAGAAAACAAATAATACATTGATAAATTAAAGACCAGGTGAATGCAGCAATAAAGAGATCGTGTAAAACGCAATGGAATGTAATAACATTTAAACGAACACATTTGTACAATAAATAAAGGAAACGGAATGGAGATTAAAATGAATATAGAATATGCTCGTTGATTTGAATCCCCAGTAACTCAAGAAAAATGTTTACAAAAAAATATTTTTTCAAAATCTAACTAGAAAAAAATGAAGTTAATAACAGCATTCAGTCTTGAACAATTTACCTGAAAACAAATTCAAGAAAACCAAAGATTTTTTTCAACTTTTGGTCATTTAATTTGTTTATTTACCTTGTCAAGCAACTCTTTGTTTTATCTTAGCAATTTCTCAATTAGGTTAGCTAATAAATACAACACAACTCGGCTGCCACAACTGAATTTCAGCCTCATATCGTGTAGATTTCTATATCGCATTGTATATGTTTCGTGTTCTCGTGTTGTCTGAATACAAAACGTTTTGTTTTCGCTGGAGTTTACAAATCCAATTTAATAACCTATAATATCTGTTTCTTTTTTTTATTTGTTTATGTAATTTGTAAATTTTAATATATATATATATTTATATATATATGTACGTTTCATGTAATACCCATTTATCCATTCTATACCAGTTTTTAGTTTGTTTTTAATTTAAATCGAATATTGAATCGCTAAGCACACGCTGTCTTTGTCGAATCCGCGGGCAACAAAATCACGGTTCGGATTTGGGAGGGCAGTTTAACATCGTTTCTCACACATTTTGGTTCGACTCACTTAATCAGAACTTTAATTACATTCTTTAGTTATTGTAGTTTTAATCGTTTAATATGTAAATATATAGTTAAAGCGTAAATAAATTACAAAAAAATAAAAATATATTCTTTATATATATGTTTATATGAAACCTAGCGAAGAATTAAACGAAATTACATAAGCGCAAGATCACAAGCAGTTTTGTAGTTGGTTGGTTGTATTTATAAGTTGTAGTTCCTGATTGTGTTTTTCTCCACTTCATATTTATATATTTATAATTTTTATTTAGTTTAATTCGACACATAAAATGAAAAAATTCAGCTAAAATTTGTGTATTCTTGTTGAATTCTCAACAGTTGTGGTTCGTTGGTGTTTGAGTGTTATGTATATGGATGGTTTTTATTGGATTTGGGTGTTTAAGGTTTTATTGTTTGACGGTTGTGTTTTGCCGATCGTATATAGCTGTTTACATGACTTGACTATAGCGTAGTGTAAACTCAAGACTAATTTCGCACATTATGAATCATTAGCGAGCGGGCACAGCCCAATATCCGGGAATCGCCCGCCGCCTATTGAAGAGAAATATAGTGAATGTCCTTGTGGGTGGGGTGTGGAGTTCTGGGGAGTGTGGGTGCGCGACTGTGTGTGTGCGGGTGTGTGTTGGCGTTCGCGTCTATCCACTAGATAACGCGTATCTACCGGATAGCATCTACTTTGCCGCCTTGGCCTTCTTCTCGTTTTCGGAAGTGATCTTGTTCTTCAGATGATCCTTGTAGTCCAGGATCCCGCCCTTCCACTTAGTCACCGTCTCCTTCTCGCACACCCAAATCTCTTCTGCCACCTGGATAAAGGAGAAAGAAACGTAAGTTTTTGTACGTTGTAAGTTTATATGTATTTACATATAAGATATTAAATATAAATAGTTTAACGCATACCTGGTTAATCAGTCGGAAATCGTGACTAACTAGCACCATGCCGCCATCGAAATCGTTGATCGCATCGGCGAGTGCGTCAATGGTCTCCATGTCCAAGTGATTGGTAGGTTCGTCAAGCAGCAGAAGGTGGGGCACCTGCCAGGCCAACCAGGCGAACACGACGCGACACCGCTGGCCATCGGACAGCTGGCGGATCGGACAGACTTGCTGGCGACCGGTGAGACCGTAGCGACCGATGATCTTGCGCATCTCCTCCTTCTCCTTGACGTCGGGGAAGGCGCGCATCATGTACTCCAGCGGACTGGCGTCCAAATCTAGCAGCTCGTGCAGATGCTGGTGGTAACGAGCGATGCGCAGATGCGAGTTCTTGCGGATCATGCCAGAGGTGGGCACCAGATCTCCATAAAGCAGCTTCAGCAGCGTCGACTTGCCTGCTCCGTTCGGTCCCACCAAGGCTAGACGAGTGTCCAGATCAATACCGAACTCCAGATTCTTGTAGATCCAAGGTGTCTCATCGTTGTATCGGAAATTCACATTCTATTGACAAGAAATAATCCCAGTCAGTTATGTATCATAAGAGATAAGTAATTCTGGCAGATTTACGAACCTGCACCATAATCACGGGTGGCGGCACCTTGCCGCACGATGGGAAGTAAAAGTTGAGCACCTTGTCGTCAGACACCTTCTCCGTTAAGCCCTGTGCAACCATCTTGGCCAGCGTCTTCTCCTTGGACTGCGCCTGCCGCGCCAATTTGGCGGAACCGTGACCGAAGCGGGCAATGTAGTTCTTCATATGCGAAATCTGATCCTGTTCCCAGTTGTACTGCTTCATCTGGTTCTCCAGCAGTTCCATGCGTGTGCGCACAAAGGCCTCATAGTTACCCGTGTAGTACTTGAGGCGTTTGCTCGTCAAGTGGATGATGTTCGTGCAGACGCCGTTGAGGAAATCCTGCGAGTGCGAGATGAGCACCAGGATGCGCTTGTATGTCTTTAGCTCCTCCTCCAGCCACACGCAGGCGTCCAGATCCAAGTGATTTGTCGGTTCGTCGAGCAGCAGAAGATGGGGCTTCACAAACAGAGCGCGGGCCAAAGCGATACGCATGCGCCAACCACCTAAATGTCAGTAAAATACCCAATAATTAGCTAGGGAAAGCCAGAAATAAGCAGGTTGGTTAACCCACCTGAGAAGTCCTTGGCCTGTTTCTGTTGCATGGCCTTGTCGAAGCCGAGACCGTGAAGAATGCGTGCCGCCTTGACCTCCGCCAGATCGGCGGACATATCGTCCAGACGCTCGTAGATGTCGATCAGCTGCTCCTGGGCATCGTCCTCCTCGCTCATGGCCAGCTCTTCGGCCAGTTTCTCCAGCTTGATGCGCTCCTCGTCCACCTCCATGACGCACTGCAGTGCGCTCTTCGAGCTGGCCGGGATTTCGCGTGTCAAATGGAAGATATCGATGTGCGGTGGGATGGGCACCTCCCGACCACCAAGTACCGCCAGCAACGAGGATTTACCGCAGCCGTTGAGGCCAATTAAACCGTAGCGACGTCCACAATTCAACTCGAGCATGGTGTCCTGCAGCAGCTCGGAGCCAAAGAAGGTGATCGAAAAGTTGGCGATCTTAACATCGCGGGATCGCGGATGCACCGCCAGCGATCCGGTGCAGGATCGGGCCTCCGCACTGATCCGGGCCTCCTCCTCCAGCTTGGCGCAGAGCTTCTCCTCCTCGGTCAGTTCGCGTTCCGGCTGGCCGTTGGCCTTCTTCGAGGAGGGAATCTGTTGGATCTTCTTGTTGCGCGCATCCTTCTTCTTCTGCGCCTCGCGTTTCTTCGCGGCGGACGACATTTTTATTCCGGCTGCAAATGGTCCGAAAAAATATGAAATTACTTAACTGGTATTTTGTTTCGCTTTTGGGGGATTTTATTTCAATTGTGCTCTGCCAAAGGTGTTCTATATTCTGGCCTGATCAGTTCGTAACAGAAGTGAACGAAATGAATATCAATGCTTACTACATTTGGGTTGCTTAAACTTTCTTAAATTTCGAAATATTTACTAAACAATAAGTTGTAAAAAAAAACCCTTTTCCGCTTATTTATTATTAGAGGTATAATAATTCAAATAGGACTTAGCTAAAAAATGTTTTATTAACTGAAAAGGATTAGATATTTTTTCAAGGCCGTAGAGCCGGAACAGGTTCAAGTTATGTTGTGGTTTCCTTATCTACAAACACCAGACACTGCGTTCTTTTTTTTTGCAGTCGATTACCTTTTAGAGATTAAAACAAAAGTCTCTAGAATATAGACCAAATATTGCCCATCTAAGATGTTTTTTCTGTTTTGCGTTTTGTTTGTTCTAAATAGCTAAAGGCAGTTTATTATTGTTACACCAATTTAAAGAAACAAAAAAATAGGTACTTTTAGTGTTCGCTTTTCCAGCGCGTTTACTTTATGAATTCAGTAGGTTGTTGGAAAAATTACTTTATCGAGTAGTGAGTGCTTTCCTTCTTAATTATTTACGTTTTAAGTTTCCTTTAACTTAGAACAATTCGCAAGTTCCTCACGTGATTTGGTATCACTGTTGCTAGCCCTTTGCCGCCTTTCTTTCGCTGGGCAGCACTTTTCGTGAGCGTAAGAGAGCCAGGATCACGTTCAAGGCCACCTGTCTGGATTTAAGATTTTCTTCGCCCACAATCACACCTGCACAATCATAGATCGCGTGTGAACAACTGTTTCAACAAAAAAAAAATCTGAACTCAATTTTAAAATTAGACAGCGTCAGCAAAAACTCAAAAATTTCCACTGTGCTTTCTGCGTTCCACTGTGCCGCTCTTCGCCTTCCTCTTTACCCCACAACACACGCACACACTTCCTCTCTTTCATTCTTGCTCTCTGTTGCCGAGGGGCATACTTCTTCTTCTTTTTGTTCTGGCCGGGATGTCTGAATGGATTGGATGATTCACTGGCTCATCGCGGGACACCCTGGTTACAAAGGAATCGTTTGATGACAACGGGAAAAGCCAGGAAAATGGCGAGAAAAAAAATTGCAGCACGCGATCTGCCACCACTCACCCCCTCGCCAACACAACTCACACACATTCGGCTGATGTTACAACACACGGACACACCGAGCCACCTACACATATACACAAACGGCAAATTGCATGTGTGTTGCGCTGCGCACATTATTGAATTTTCCACGGCGAGATGACGATGACAATGTGCAATTACTCACCTTGGCGTGGACTTTGTTAATAATTTAAACCAACAACTAAGGGTGTCGCGCGAAGGATTCAAATTATGCGGTTCGCGGAGGGTAACGGCAACGGTGACGGAACGTAACGGAACAGATCGGTTCGGATCGCACACACACACGCACGCACGGAGCAGCTGCTGAAAAGTGCCTGCTGCCTGTTACCGTTTTCGGTAGAAAAAGAGAGAGACGACTGAACGGTGAAGAACGGGAGAAAGGCTCCACGTGGTGGCGGTGGCGTTTTGCGCGGAACGCACGGAGCGGTGCAAGATTCGGTATCCAGTGGTGAAAGGTCACACTGAAGCAGGGGCACACTGACCGAGTGATGGCATCGGAGCACAGTTTTAAAAAGCTAAAAAAATTTTTAACTAAAATTAAGCAAAAGGAGCTTTAATTTCTATATTACATTTACTATTCTTTTATATAAATTTATTTTTTTTTTTTTAATACACTTCTACTAATTTTTAACTAAAATACAACTTATCTGTATTTTATAGGACTACAGCAGTAAAACTTTTACCGCATTTATGTCTGGAAATACTATATTTGTTTTTGTTCTTTAAATAATACCAATTAAGTTCGAACTTGTGAATAAAACTAATAAACTGAAATTTTTACGCTTAAGTATCATGAAGCTACATTTGGGTAAAATATCAATGTAACGGTCTTCACATTGTGACGAAGCGTACTGATCGAGTCTTATAATACACATCTACAGAATGGAACAGAAAAATGAATAAAGGGTCAGTAAGCCCTTCCAAAAAATAAGCAAATATGTGTATGATTTTGATTTAAATAATTAGTTTTTGCTTTATTTGGAAGTACAAAGAAATATGGTGAAAATTTGCGCACAGCTAACAAAGTTCTCAGTGGCTGGTCACACTAAACGGGGGTAAACAAAACTTGTGTTGTTTATTGGCGATTTATTTTGATTGGGCAGGAGTAGAGTTGGCCCAAAAGGGGGCAAAAAGGCCATGTCGAAGCTGAGCGACACCAAAATCCCGATCACGGAGTTTCTAGAGGCGTACCGCCGTCAGCCGTGCCTCTACAATACACTGCTGGACACCTACAAAAATCGGGTGTCCCGGGAGGAAGCATACGAGGCGATAATTCGCGCCCTGAAAATCCCTCAACTGACGGTGGTGGACATCAAGCTAAAGATCAAGAGCGTTCGCACCGTCTACTCCAAGGAGCTGCGTATCTGGATGCGCGAAAAGGAACTGGGCAGGAGCTATGAGCCGAAGTTGTTTTGGTTCAAGTTGGCAGACTCCTTTCTGCGCTCCGTTTCGCTGTCCCATTGCAAAAGGGTTAGATTTGGTTTGTCGTTTCGGTTCTTATGGGTAATGTGTACCTCTTTTCACCCGCAGTCGAAAAACAAGCATTCCGGTGCTCCCCAAACGCCAGTTAAAACGGAGGAATCGCTGGTGCCCTCGAGTAAACTGCTCTTCACTGCCGCCGCGGATATAAGTATGAGCGAAGATGCTCTTGAGGAGGAAGATGAGCAAGCTGATGGCGAGCCGGAGGAGTGTCTGCCGGACAATGGCAAAGCTCCGGCAAACAACTGTATCATTTCGTTGGCCACGGAAACCACTCGTAGCGGCAAGCCCGAGGTAATAATCGATGATTCTTCACTCTGTTTGGTGGAGCAGCAGCAACATCATAATCAGGCGCAAACCCAACAGCTCCCGGTCACGCCGGTACAACGTAAACTAAAATATAACCCAAGTCTGGATTCTGCCGGGGAGGATGAGTTGATGATTTTCGGACAGAGCATTGCCTCCCAGCTGCGCACTATCACGGACTCATATTCCCGGTCGGTAGCCAAACTGCGCATTCAGCAGGTGCTTTTTGAGGCTGAAACCGGACAGTTTCAGAGCACCGAGGTCAACAGTACACAGCTTCAGCATACCTTCTAATCCATAAGCCTAGATTTAAGACATCTAGTATGTGTATTTACGTTCTTATGTTATATTTTTGCTCAGTTATGGAAGTATCTTTGCTTAGAATAAGCCAATTTCCCAGGGGTATTTTCAACCTGTCTGTCGTTCAGTGTTTAAAGTCTTGTTCATTCCAATATTTGACCATTTAGTTTAAATTGTAAATATGCCTTTTAATATACATATATACTGTAAGCAATAGAATCCGAAGTGGATAAGGTAGTTGGAGCAAAATTTGGCAAAGAGTTGTAAAACCGTTAGCAACCATGTAAGTTAAACAACAAAAAAACGTGTACAAATAACATGAGTAATCATTTTTTATTGTTTTCCTTAAAACATTTTCGAAATAATATTTAAAAACAGTACAAACTTCTGCATAAATAAACAAATTGTAAATATTCATTTTAAATATTCATTGTTTCTAAAACAAAAAAAAATATATTAAAAATTAAGCAAACTATCGAATTTTGTGTAATTTTCGTTCGAAAATTAAAATGTTTTTTTTCTGTCACCATTACTTATTATATTAATTATTTTTATAAATTAGTGCCGTCACAATAATCCTCAAGTTATAACATTATTAACTTCAGTTGGTAGTAATATCAAGTAATATAAATCGGTTTGTTATAAGAACTATCGATATTTCATTTTACCTTAAATTTTTATTTTATAAAATTAGAAACATTGTTGAGTAACTTTTTATTTTTTTGTAATCAAACCTTTGTATTAGAATAGCATGTATCACATAAATACACGTAAAGTCAATTTTAATTTGAAGTCTCCAAGCTGCGATTTTTTTTTTAATTTCGCTATCGATAGCTATTGGTAGACAATAACGACTGCAATTTTTTCGTGGCCGCGGATCTAATCGCATGCGGTGCTTGGTCACACTATTTATGCTTGCATTTGTCAGTGGAAATTTCATTTCACAAAACCGAGATTGTTAAATTAACCAAATTAGAGCGCTATTGACCGAAAGAAAAATAGCAGCAATATGCTGCAGTTTAATATAATTGTGAGTATCGCCAGTTGCATTTTCGAGAACCCACACACACGGGCCAGTTCGAGCACACCCGACACACACTGGCAAACACAAACGCACACAGACAAATTCTCACCCATTGCATTGTTTCTGTTCTGACTGTGGCAATTTCTTTTCGCTGGTCTCTTTCTTTTTTTTGTTGTATTACAGCTAGGGTAATTTTCTTCAAGTTTTTTTATACGCCGTATATATTCGTGTGTGAAAAAATAAAGTATGCTTCCTAAAACAGCCCTGAAAGGGAGAAAAAGTGCATTGGTGAGTGGTGGGGAGAGAGTTTTTGTTGTTGTTGTGGCTGCTAGTGCTGCAATAATGAAAATTCGGTGAAGCAGACACACATACACTTATAGACTTCTCATTTTCACTTGTTTATTGTGAATTAAGGGGAAATTGGCGTAAAAAGAGTGTTTTTTCAAGCAGACGCATGCTCTGCTACCTGTGTGTGTGCGTGTGTGTATGCGGGGAAAAGGAGTTTGGTGCAGTCTCCTGTTTTGTTGTTGTGCCAACCTTGACTTACGCATCTCTCCTCCGTCTCCTCTTTTTCGCTCATTTTCGCTCCTCACTCTCTTCGCCTTGCACCTTTCTGCGCTTGGCGCTCATTTGACATTTTGCTCAAACATGTTGCGTTTGACATGTGTGTGTGTGTGTGTTAATGTGTGTGAAAGAAAATAGTGCAAAACAACAATTGAATCGGATATCCAAGTCGTACACCTTATTTCTATATAACCCGAAAACGCAACAACAAAAGTCTGTTAATGCGCGCGCGCTCTGTTTAGTTTTGGCTTTTTGTTGTCTTCCCTGTTGTTTTTCCCGTTCTTTGCGCTGTTGCCAGTTGGAAATTACTGTCCAATTGGCTTGGCTCAGCTGACAAGTGCAGTTAGCCCCCCAGCCACCTAAACTTCAAACCCCCCGAAGTAACCCCATCACACTCCCATCGCCTTTTACTGTCAAAAATTTGAAAAAGATTTGTTGAACTGGAATCGCTAAATCATGTCCATTTAAATTGTCGCACAAGCGTGTGCCTAGTGTTTAGTTTCGGATTTTTTTTTAGATATTTTTTTTTTATATATTTTCATAATAGTAGTTTTTAACTATTAATCAAATCGTTCAAAATTCATTTGCAGCTTATTGAACGCGCTGACGTATACCTTTAAAACCAATATTAAATGCCCAACCTATAAGCAATCGACGCCCTTTTCGCCACAAACCACCCAATTTCAACATACACGACATCTAACCACTATTAGACACTCTTGTCACTGAAACACCGGAAGTAGAAGAAACACAAAGACGAGGAGGAGCATCAACACCACCACCGAATCGCCCAGTGGTGGCCACCTGCTGCTCCAGTAGCACCAGGACCAGGACCAACAACAACTGTCGCGATGAAGGTGGACACGGTGAAGCTAAAGAAGGGCTCCTCTGAGCTGACGGCCGAGTGCCGCGAGCTCATCGACGAGCTGACCAAGCGGCGCACTCGGGCCGAGCTGCTCGAGTTCCTCGACACCGTCCACGTTTGGATCTACGGCAAATGCGAGCTGTACCACTGGATCGAAATTCTCGATCGGTTCGACAAGATCCTCGAGGAGGCATCGCGCCATGTCAACGCCAATGAGTTCGTGCTGCAGTGCGACACCAATTTCCAGGAAACGGTAAATAAATCATTTTCTATGTCCATACCCTATGCTTTAAGCTGGAAGAATTATACGGAACTAGTGAATTCTGTAAAGACAATATACCAAGAAGTATTGCAGAACTATTTGTAATGATAAAACCCTACAGATGGTTTACGTTGCTTCTGAAGAAGTTGTTATTCAAGTCGAAATTGATCCTGTTCTAGGAACGTGAAGCCTAAACCGACCTTTTAGGTCTTAAAACAATAGATATCGGATAAAGCGCTACGGGGGAACCTGTGCAATACACTGATTTTCTAATATCTAAATACCATTTATCTCAACAGGACGTCACACTGCTGCTGCACGTACTTAACTTCACCACACTGCTGATCGAGCACTCGTTCTCGCGTCACCTGTACAACTCCATAGAGCACTTGACGGTGCTGCTCTCCTCACAGAACATGGACATTGTCCTGGCCGTCCTCAATCTGCTTTATATGTTTTCCAAGCGCAGCAACTTCATTCCCCGCCTGCCGTTTGAGAAAAAGGAGCTGCTGATCGTTAAGCTCTTCAACATAGCAGAGGTGGTGGTTTATTATATCGTTAGTTTGTTCTACTTACTTATAATATTTTTTTTTATTTAGCGCTGGGGCGATCCCAACTACGGTCTGTCGCTCAAGGACTGCTGCATTGGCGAGCCAAAGCTGGAATTCCTCTACCAGCTGTGCATCGACTATGTGGACGAGCACGGTCAGGCTGCCCAGCTGGAAATACCGGACATGATGGACCTCTGTCGCACGACACCGGCTCCCGAGGTGATCAAAACGATTGCCGGACAGATCTCAAAGCCCAGTGAGGCAATCAAGGTGCGTTCATCAACTATACAAAATACAATGATTATACGCTGACTTGTCACTTGATTTCATTTTTCAGATGCGCATTGCACATCGAGTGCGCTTGATCTCAGGCTTCAACAACTATAAGCTGCGCCTCCAGTTTGTCCAGGCGCGTCTGCAGGCCGTCTCCATTCTGATCTATTCGAATGCCCTGCAGGACAACACGGACAAGGTGTTGTATGCCGGCTTTGGCGAGGAGCTGTGCGAACTGATCGACAAGGAGGACGTGCACTTGGTGGAGATCCGGGCGGCAGTGTTGCGCACCCTCACCTCGATGCTGCACTTTGATCGCAATCCGAATGTGCCCAGGTAAGTGATCGATTGCGGCCGTCTGGCCTGTGGATTTGCCCCTGATAATTGCTTCATTCCTTCTCCCCAATGCTTTCTGTGCAGCAGGGCCGGGTCGCGTCTGATGAAGATCGTCCACTACACAGGTGCCGAGCGGCAGGGCGGGACGTTACCCTTGTTGGTTCGCGACTGCATAGAGAATTTGACAACACACGGCCTCACCGAGCGCTATCCGCTTATCCTGGCCACCTCGCTCTTCTCACTGCTTTACCATCTGGCCAGCTACGAAATGGGTGGCTCGGCCCTGGTCAAGAGCGGCATGATGCAGTCGCTGCTCTGTGTGATCAGCTGGCCGGGAGTCGACCTCGAGCACATCACGTTCGTGACGCGAGCGGTGCGAGTGATTGACCTGATCACCAACATCGACATCGCTCGCTTCCACCAGAACAACGGACTCAATGTGTTCATCGACCGCCTGGAGAAGGAGATTAAGAGCTGCTGCAAGGCACTGGCCGATATCGGCATTACCCTGAAGGAATCGACGCTGCGCGACGATCACAAGCTGGACACCTCGCTCGACCAAGTCGACGAAGATGTGGAAGGTGAGTGGCAATAAAATAGAATTCCTTAGCATCTATTATTTCTTAGCTTAAACGATTCCCCCCAATGGGTTAAACAGATAGATATCTTTATATTTGATATGTAAACACAAAATCACAGTTCATAACACATCTCCTGGTTACTCTTTTCACCTTTTCGCAGACGGACACGGAGAGAATACCTCGGTGACCAGTGGCAATGGATCGCCGCGGCGCGAGAACTCAAACGAAGCTGTGAGTGGAGGCGCCAGTAGCAGTGCCTATCGGGCCTACCACGAGCACAGTGGTGGATCGGGCTCAGGAGCGGGACTCCTGGACATTGGCGGAGCACGCAGCTTGGCAGGCGGCAATGGCAGCGGCGGAGAAGCGGCTGGAACATCCGGATCGATTGCAGGCCTGATCAACAGAGACGGCAGCTCCACTCGCCAGCCGGCCACCATGTATCCGGCGAACAGCTACTACGCCCGTCCGCTGGCCGAGCGCAAGGCGGAGCTATCGTCGCAGCTGCCGAGCAGTTTGGCGCCGAAGAAGCCCTCCTGCGTCACCCAGCGGGCGGCGCTGCTCAAGTCGATGCTGAACTTCCTGAAGAAGAGCATACAGGATCACGCGCACTTCAGCAACATGCGCAACATCATGGAGACGAGTCTGACCCAATCGCTGCGCCACATCATCGCCAATGCGGAGTACTACGGACCGTCGCTCTTTCTGCTGGCCACCGATGTGGTCACAGTGTACGTGTTTAACGAGCCCTCGCTGCTCTCCTCGCTGCAGGACCTGGGCATAACCAGTGTGATGCTGAAGGCGCTGCTGCAGAAGGATGTGCCAGCCACGCGCGAAGTGCTGGGCTCCCTGCCCAATGTGTTTTCCGCCTTGTGCCTAAACGAGCGCGGACTGTTCGAGTTCCTGTCCTACGATCCGTTTGACAAGGTGCTGAAGGTGCTGCTCTCGCCGGACTATCTGGTGGCCATGCGGCGGCGCCGCTCCTCGGATCCGCTGGGCGACACCGCGACCAATTTGGGCAATGCCATGGATGATCTGATCAAACATCATCCGTACTTGCGGGCGGATGCCACGGAGGCGATTGTCCGGCTGCTCAATGAGCTGGTTCGCCTGGGATCCGATCCCAGCTTTATTTGCTGGCGAGCGAACAAGGAGAGCAGTGGCTCGGGCTCGGGATCGGGCAGTCATGGCGGGGCTCATCACGTGACATCGACGCCCTCGCCAATGGTCTTGGTGGCCGGTTCGAGCTCCACTTCGGTTCTGCAGGGAGCAGCGGATACGAACGACAGCAGCGGCGATGACGACGACGACGATGATGAGATGAGCTCGGCTTCGCAGCAGCAGCAGCAACCCACAACGCCGGGTCAGAGCGGAGGAGGAGGAGCCACCACGCCGAGGACACAGCAGGCAGGCGGAATCGGCGGAGGAGGAGGCGGAGGAGCAGCAGCGGGACAGCCGACGACCACATCGCAGGCCGTTAAAGTGGTGGCACCACCGGAACGGGAGGCCATCCCACTGATCGATTACATTCTCAACGTGATGAAGTTCATCGAGGCGATATTCAGCAACAGTCCCAACGGCGATCACTGTCGCGAGTTTGTGCTGCACGGCGGACTGAAGCCCATCCTGCAGCTGCTGTCGCTGCCCAATCTGCCGGTGGACTCGCCCGTCTCCACCACGTCGCAGGCGGTGGCCAATGTCTGCAAGGCCATACTGAGCCAGGCGCAGGAGACGAAGGTGCTGGACGTGGCCCTCAAGCAGCTGGCGGACATTGTGGCCCAGCTGAAGCCGCTGATCAAGCACTTCACCTTTCCCGGCGGCAGTGTCCTGCTCGCGGAGCTCGTCTGCTGCCAGCGGCTGGAGGATGGCTTCGCCAACGCCGAGTACACGCCCATTCTGCACAACATGAGCTTCGTCCATGGCTACGTGGTGATGCTGGTGCACCTCTGCCGGAATGCCAGCAACGACATGCGCTCCATTCTCCTCAAGCGCTGGGGGGTCAATCGCGAGACCGGGGTTCAGTTGCTCCAGCAGCTCGTCCAGTTGTACATCTCTCTGGTGTGGGAGAGCACGATCCTGTTGAACCTGTGCTCGGACGAGCCCACCCAGCATCCGGACCTGATTTGGGATGAGATCGCCGCCCAGATGTCGGCGGCAGCGGGCACCGCGGATCCGCTGACCGAAGCGGAACTCTCGCGGAAACTGGAGCGTGCCGCTGAATTCCGGACGAAGTACACGCCCGAGGAGCAGTTTCGCTACATCAAATCCCTGCTGGCGGCGAGCTCGCGCCTGGGCAGAGCCCTGGCCGAGCTGCTGGGAACGTTGGTGAAGCTATCGGTGGGATCGCCGCAGACACGACAGCGTCGCATCAACGATTTGATCAGCAATATCAACAAAGTTCCTACGCCCGAGGCCCGTGAAATCGCCCGCATCCTCAGCTCGATCCTGGTGAACGGCTTCAGTCACGAGAGCATCCTGCCCAAGCCGGTGCCGAAGCTGAAGCTCACCTTCCTCATCTGCTCGGTGGGATTCACGGGGCCGATGCTGTTCGACGACAAGCGCAGCGCCTTCCACCTGATGATCTCGCAGTTCTGCGCGGAGAACGGACTGAAGGCCTTCTTCGAGATGTTCTACTGGGCGCTCTCGCTGGACAACGTCTCGCAGAAGTTCGACTTCGACCAGTGGGCCTCGATGGAGGACCTGATGCAGTCGCACGAGGACGACAAGCGCGACTGTCCGGAGGGCACCGGCGAGTTCCTCGACGCCTGGCTGCAGCTGCTCGAGAAGATGGTCAATCCGCGCGCCATGCTCGAATCGCCGTACACGATGAGTCCGCGCCTCAACTACCTGCCCGACTCGGTGCCGTTCGAGCCGGTCTTCTACCTGATCCACATCCACCAGCTGGCCATGCAAGCACTGCGCAGAATCTGGGCCCGTCGCCCGATTCCGAACTACGGACCGAGCATGTTCGAGACCATGATTCTGATCCTCAAGCACATGATTAAGTCGCACCAGATGCTCCTCGATCGCTACAACACGCGCATGAAGGAGATCAAGTTCGAGAACCTCTACATCCGCAGCACGGACGACGGCCTCAATGCGGACCACGTCAAGGTGCTGACGGACATGGGCTTCATGCACTACCACGTCGTGGAGGCGCTGCGGACGAACGCCTCGCTGGAGGAGGCCACCGATTACCTGCTCAACAACCCGGAGGCCAGTGCTCTGTCCACACTGACCACGGGACCGCACCACCCGCCGCCGCCACCGCCGTCGTCGGCCGCCACAATGGACATCGACATGGACGCCCCCGCCGACGGGGAATCGGCACAGGGGGCAAATCCTCGGGTGCCGCCAGCTCCTCCAGCTACGACTACAAGCACCTCAAGCTGATGCCGGCGCTGATCTTCGATCGCTTCTGCGACGAGGCCATCTCGCGGGCCTTCGAGTTCATGGAGGCGATCCCGGACACGGTGACCAGTGCCGCCGACCTGATAGCCGTGCTCTACAGACGCCACAACCACCTGAACAAGCAGGTGTTCGTGACCAACTTCGTGCGCAACATCATCGAGTGGGTGGACTTTACGCTGCAGCTCTTCGAGCCGCCGCCCGGCAAGGTGGGTGGTGCATCGAAGGCCTCCCGCCTGGAGGAGTGTCTCACGGGCATGACGGCCACCCGGCTGTTTGTGCGTCTCAAGACGTCGACGCTGCTGCTGGAGGAGAACTACAGCGACATGCACCGTCCGCTGGTAGAGGCGATAACCGCCCAGGACGCCATGGTGTCGCTGGTCAAGCTGCTCGACTGCATGAGCCAGTGGATGCTGGAGCAGTCTTCCGACACGAACTCCTCCTCCGCCGGCGGGCAGCGGGCGACGGTGCCGCGCTGGGTGCAGAACCTGGTGGATCTAATCGACGCCATCGACAGCATCAGCCACATCCTGCAGCGCAAGGCGAACATGCGGGCGGTGAGCAGCGACGTTTGGCGCTGGTACGACGCCTCCACCGGCAAGTGGAACGCCTACTCGGAGGCCAACAACGAGCTGATCCGGAACGCGTACGCCGCCGGCGAGCGGTGGCTGCACATCAACATCGGACGGCAGCGGTGCACGGTGAGCCTGAACTGCATGCAGCAGGTGAGCGAGGCGTCCGGCACCCATCGTCCCGTCTGTCCGGCCCTCAAGCTGAGCGAGGCCATCAACACGCTGAAGAACCCGATGGCCCTGCACAAGGTGGAGCACCTGCTGAACCGCATCGTGCGCACCGCGCCCGACGGCTCCGGCACCGTCAACTCGGACGAGCTGATCTCCCTGCGCCAGCTGGTCAACATCACCGATGGCCAGCACCAACAGCAGCCGGAGACGCCGCCCACCAACGAGGAGGCCGGTGAGGATGGTAGTCCCACGGGGGAGCCAGCAGCGGATCCCCGCCAGCGGCCATGACGACGCGCAGCAAGGCGCGCCAGAAGAACGCGGCGGCAGCCGCTGCGGCCAAGGTGAAGTCCCAGTCCCAGGGAGGCTCACCGCCGATACCCAAGCGCACCCAGAAGATCATCCTGAACGAGGAGCACGTGGGCCTGAGCAAGTTCGACTGCGGCCGCATCATCGGCAGCATTGTCGATCTCCTGCAGCCGTCGCACCTGATGCTCAACGACACGAAGCTCTCCCTGCTGCGACTCTGTGCGCGCTTGACCAGGAACTACGACAACGCCCAGGTGTTCATCCAGCGGGGCGGAGTGCGGATGCTGCTGCACCTGCAGCAGGCCTGCAGCTTCATGGGCTTCCCCACGTACGCGAACATCATACTGCGCCACGTCCTGGAGGCGCCGCCCGTGCTCCAGGAGGCCATGGAACGGGTGCTGGGCATGCGGGCCGCCGGCATTGTGCCGGTTGGCCACCGGGACCTCATCTACGTGCTCACCCAGGTCTCGTCGGCGGTGTCGCGCAATCCGCAGATCTTCGTGGCCGCCGCCAAGGAGATGCTCAAGGGCGAGTACCTGCTCAACTCGGCCAACTCGGCGATGGCCGACGATGCCCGGGTGATGGTCAAGTCCAAGTTTGGCCAGCACCCGACGGCGGCTGCCGGCGGAGCCACGCCCAATTCCCAGACACCAACGCCGCCGCCGCCAGCGGCGAAGGACGAGCTCAAGGACGATCCCCAGGTGCAGTCGTCGGTGTCCGTGCTCAAGGATCTGCTGCACGGACTGGTGCAGCCGTGCTGGCACTACGGCGGCACCGGATCCTCGGATCGTGGTCAGGGCGCCGCCGGTGAGCTACTGCAGCCGGATCAGCAGCCAGAAGTCGGCGGGCAGCAGGGATCGCACGACAAGGAGTTGTACTTCCGCTTCCAGGAAACACCCGCGCCCGTCACGAACAAGAAGCAATCCTCCGGCGGCGGAGCAGGAGGAGGAGCAGCTGCTGGCCAAGCTCAGGCGACGGAGAAGTTCGAGCCGTGCTGCTGCACGTGGCACATCCCGACCAGCGGGCACACGCACGCCAAGCCGACCATTTCGCGGGCCACGCTCCTGAAGCTCCTGGCCGATTCCACGCGAGCCTACCAGTCGCTGGTGCCGCGCGTCCTCCTGTCGCACGTCTACACGCCGGCGGACAGTCCGCTGATCACCGGACCGCAACAGACGTTCCTGGGCGTCCTGCTCGACCGCTTCCTGCCGATCACCCAGCGCCACCATGTGCCCGAGGTGAGCACCATGACCCGGGTGCTGATCTGCTCCCTCTCCGATTGCTACCAGCAGCCGGGCGTCCAGGTGCACGTGGCCGAGGAGCTGCACGCGGCGGTGGCCCGGGCCCTGGCCCAGCCGGACTCCGCCGAGAAGCACACCCGTCTCCAGGTGCTGATGAGCCTGTACCCCAACCTGATCGAATCCCCGATGCTGTACGACAAGGTGCACATGCACCGGAACAACATGTACCGGGTGCTGCTGCGCCAGGGCGTGATGACCTACCTGACCAAGGTGGCCCAGTACAAGGACCTGTCCAACCACAACACGCTCAGCACCCTGGCGGCCATCCTGCGACCCATGGAGATCCTGCTGCGGTTCAGCGTCTCCACCACAACGCTCGGCTCGAAGCGAATCCTCTTCGGCGGCGGCGGCGGCGTGGGCGGAGCCAATGGCACCGGGAATGGCAACGGAGCCGGCGGTGGCAGTGGCACCGGTCCGGGAGCCGGCAACACCTACGGCACCATCATCAACCGGCGGCTGTATCCCCGCCTGGCTGCCCGTTCGGCGGTCACTGCCGCCGTGGAGCGATCCAATGCCATGGGCGGCGAGCACGTGCTGCGCGACATCATCCGCAATGTGCTGTCCGATCGCCGGCACGCCTTCGAGTTCATCTTTAACTCGGACGAGATGGCCGTCGACTCGGAGGACTCGCCGGCAGCCACGGCCCGGGGATTGGGCGGCCGGGTTGGCTCCGGGATGAGTGGCCTCGAAGGCAGCATTTCGGGAGGAGGATCCGTGGGCGGAGGCACTGCAGCCGTCATCGATGTGGTCGAGGAGCGGAGCAATGGCGGCGATACCAACGATCCGCCGGCCACCGTTAGCTCCGGATCATCGGCCGTGGGTCAATCCTCGGCCGGCGGCGGTCCCGTTCGGCCGGTGCTCAACTTCGATCAGCTGTGGGACGATTTCCTGCAGAGCGAGGGACTGCGCTTGGCCTCGCGAAGCGGCAGTGGCCAGGGATCCGGAGGTGGAGCCGGCGGAGCTGGTTCCAGTGGCCAGCAGAACGGAGGCAATGCCGCGGCCGGCTCGACCAACTCGGGCAGCAACTCGGGCAGCGGTGATCCTCGCCTGCGCACCAATCCCGACGTGGATGTGGGCGGCAGCAATGGCGCCGGCGGCAGCGGTGGAGCCAGTGCATCCAACTCCGGGGCTGTGAACGACAACGGAATCGGAGGCGGCGGTGGCAGTGATGGCGCGTCCACCTCATCCGAAACGGGAGCTCCGAGCGGAGCGCGCGACATGAACGCCTCGCTGCTGGGCGATGTCAGCACCTCGGAGTCCGACTCGGACGCCTCCACGGAGAACGACGAGCGGAACGAGGAGGACGAGGACGAGGACGACGACGCACCCGACGAGGATGTGGACGAGCACAGCGAGACGGACGTGGATGAGGAGCGACCGCGCCAGTTTATCGAGGTGTACGACGACATCTTTGAGCCGGAGTCCTCGGATACGGCGTCCAACGATGCGGATGTCGATAACGACGACGATGACGACGAGGATGAGGACGATGTGGACGACGACGATGATGACGACGAGGACAACGACGACGAGGATCGCGAGGAGGGTCAGAGCGCAATGGACGCGGAGTTGGACAACCAAATAGACATCGCCCTCGCTCTCGTCTCCTCCAACAGTCGTCCGCGACGCAGTGCAGCGGTGAATGCCTCTGGCGATGGCCCATCCGCCAACAGGCCGAATCCCGATGACGAGGTGGACGACGAGGACGACGACGTCGATGCCGATCCCGATGGCGATCCGGATGTGGATCCCATCGGCGGACCAGCCACCGCCCAGGCGGAGGCCTATCTGTACGAGCGATTGGGCAGCGGCTTGATGCCCACACCGCCAGTGGGTTTCCGTGTGCGGATGAACAGCTCGATCGCCCAGCCGCTGGACATTGACGTGAATGGCGGCAACGGCGGCGGCGGCGGTGGCAGCGGTGCGGGAGCCATTGGATCGGCTGGCGGCTCCGGCAGAGGTTCATCGACGGCGGGAACAACGGCCAGCATTGGAGCCATCGCCTCGGCGGCGCTGCGTCCCTCATCCGGATCGTGGATGGCACCGGACTTCAATTTCATCGGCGTGTCGGGCGGAGCGAGCGGTTCGGGCGGAGGAGCCTCCGGCAGTGGATCGGCCAATGCCAACGGAGGCGAGGTGAACGCCTTCCTCACGCCCTCCATGTCGCAGCTGGAGCGCACAGGTGGCGCCTCCGGCAGTGGCCAGAACATGAGCAATCTGCTCGACGAACAGCCGTCGGTGGCTGGCGGTGGCGGCAGTGGAGGGGGCTCGGCCTCCGGAGGCGGTGGCGCCGGCGGAGGAGGAGGCGGCGGCACGAGTGGAGGAGGAACCTCCGGCCAGCATCCCAATGCCACGCTCTGCACGAACGGAGTGCGCAGGCGACTGCTCTACCTGGACCAGCAGTACTGTGTGTGCATGCCCACGCACCAGAATCCCACGGAGGAGACCCAGATGGAGACCTTCACTCAGGACGGTGAGTTTTGGAGTGCCGCTTCCCCCTCTGAAAACGATAAACTAACGGGGATTTTATTTACAGCTCTCCACTGGTGGCTCGAGGAGGCCACACTCCTGGACATGGAGAGCCAGACGGACGCCTGCCTGTACGCCGCCCACTTCCTGCTGCCGCACCTCATCAAGGAGCTGAAGATCACGAACCACCAGCGCAAGCAGGATGACGCCACTCGCCCAACGGCCACCAATTCTACGGCATCGGCTCCGGTGTCCAATGCATCTGCAGCCGGAAGTGCCGGAGCCGGCACAACCACCCCGAACACATCGACAGCAGCGGGTTCGGGTGGTGCCTCAATGGCGTCCAGCATACTGGCGAATGCCGTGGTCGCTGGACCGGGAAGCAACAGCGGCAGCAGCAGCAGCGGCGGCATGGTGGTGCCACCGGTGGCCGCCTCCGCAACGGGAGGCACCCGTCGCAGTTCGATTCCCGTGCTCATTCCCTCGAGTTTCGGTTCGAACAACAGCATCAGCAGCAGCGCCACAAATGCAGCGGGAGGAGCCTCTGGTGGCGATGCTGCAGCAGCCACAGCGGGTGCAACCACCAGCCCCTTCGTACTCACAACCAGTGAGTACCGCCATCCTGAACTCGCTTTTAAACCATTGCTCCTTGCTAATTGAAACCCGTCTCCTTGCAGCGTCCATGGGCGGCAGTGGATCTCTGGAGCCGCTGACCACGTCACGCACGCAGCGTCAGCGTCCGATGCGCCAGCACAACCAGCTGCCCTTCAACATCTACGCCGAAATCGACCTGACCAACGAGCAGGATAGCCAGGGTGCCACGTCGACCAACTCGACAACTGGAACACCAACCGATGGAGCTGCGGCAGTGGCGGCGGCGGCGGAACCACAGCCACAGCAGAACTCCACTTCCAATTCGGCGGGGGCGCAGGTGCCGGTGCTTCAGCAGCATCAGCGCCATCCGCCGGTGCCGCTCCTGCCGTCCAGCGGAAGACCATCGCGACCCCATTCGCGTCTCGACGAGGCGGAGCTGCTCCTCCTGCAGGTACACTTAATACGTGGAATATCCCCCTGCTGAGATAACCAATTAATCAACCAATTAATCTGCTCCTTTAGCTGGCCGATCGCCAGGCTGTGCGCAACCGCCTGCAAGTCTCCAGCGGACACACCAACTCCTCGCGCACCTCGGGATCGGCGCTGATCAACGCCCGACCCAACCGGGATCTGCCCGGCCGTTTGCAGCGTCTCGTCCAGGCGCACGTATCCATTTCGGGCCGTGGCAGTGGGTCCAGTGGCTCGACGCCAGCACCGACGCTCGTCTCCATGCCAACGCCCATTTCCAGTGCGGCCCTGGAGCAGCTGAATGTCAGCGCCCCGGATGTCGTGGGCAACGAGCGAAGCTTCACCCTGCCGCCGTCGCTGGAGGTGGATGTGGACGTGCTGCCTGGGATACTGGACATGCCGCAGCAGGAGGCTCAGGGATCGGCCGAGGAGGATCAGCTGCTGTTGCCGCCACCGCCGCCGGCCATCGATACGGGCCCGTTGGTCCTGGCCGAGGATGATCTGTGGCTCGGGGCGCTGATTGGTGTGCGAACCAGAGAGGATTCCCCCGTTCCAGCAGCAGCTGCAGCTGCAGTGGGAGCCACAGAGGCTGTCAACAATGAGGCCGGTCAAGCAACGAATCAGTCGACAGAAAGTGTGGAGACTGCTGCTCCCACAAGCCAGAGCGCTGCCCAGGCAGCCGCAGAGGTTCCTCCGGTGGAATCGGGAGGAGCAGAAGGAACTGCCAGCTCGGCCAGTACCCAAACACCAGCTGCAACGGAGGAAGCTGCGGCGGCAGGAGGAGCGAGTGCCTCAGCAGCGACAGCGCCGGCGACAACCGCCACCACCACAACTACAACCATAACGGACATGAGTCCCGAGGTGCGGGCCGCTCTCGGCGATCTGGAGGTGCCCGAGGGCGTGGATCCCTCGTTCCTGGCCGCCCTGCCCAGCGAGATGCGCGAGGAGGTGATCCAGGAGCATCTGCGCATGCAGCGCATCCGCCAGCGGGCGCAGCAGAATGCGATTCAGATCGCCCACGACTCGCTGGTCGAGGTGAATCCCGAGTTTCTGGCCGCTCTGCCGCTGAACATCCAGTCGGAGGTCCTGATGCAGCAGCGAATCGAACAGCAGCGCCAGGCGGCGCAGACCGCCAATCCCGAGGATCCCGTGGACACGGCCGCCTTCTTCCAGAACCTTCCCGAAGCTCTACGCCAGGCGGTGGGTTTAAACATTTGGTTTTCCTCCTTCAAGGGTGTTGAATGTAGTACGTTCTCTGTTCTTACAGATTTTAACCGACATGGAGGAGTCGCAGATAGCCAGTTTACCGCCCGAGTTGGCTGCGGAGGCCCAGTTTCTGCGTCGCGACTGGGAGTCGCGCAACGGTGCCCGCCTGGACACTCATCCCGCCAGCAATGCGTTGTGTAAGTTCTCGCTTTTGATTAATTAATTAATTAGCTCATTAATCGAAATAAATCTTCTGCCCTTTAACAGCACGTTTCCAGAGCACGCTGCAAAGTCTGGACGAGGCGCGCTGGCACAGCTCCATTTGGTACGACGCCAGTGGCAATGCCCAGCCGCAGCACCACCAGCACACGACCATCGTGCACCACCACGCCCATCCGCACCACGCGCCGACGATGGGCAAGCCACTGGCCCTGCTGATGATGGAGGACGAGAACATCCTGCTCGATCCGGACTCGCTGGCCACCCTCCTGCTCTTCCTGTTCGTGGAGGATCAGAAGATGAACAGCATGCGGCTGCACCGCGTCATCCGCAACCTGTGCCACCACGAGCCCACCCGCGACTGGATAATCAGCGCCCTGATCAGCATCGTCCAGAAGACGAACGAGGACAATGCGAACTTTGGCGCTGGCCAGGCGGGCGGCAAGCCCGAGTGGCTGAAGTTGCGCGTGGACGCCGCCTTTGGCTACAAGAGCAACATCTTCCTAATCAACAAGCTGTACGAGGGCAGTGCCCGGAGCATCAGCATCAATCCGCAGGCGGCGCAGATGATTGTGCGCAACTGTCTGGACCTGCTGTTCGTGCTGGCCAAGCACTATCCGTCCAGCTTTGTGCCCTACAATCGCGAGGTGAAGGCCAGGCGCATTTTGAGCGCAGTATTCGGCATGCCATCGCCAACGGCGGCAGCCGGAACAGGCGGAGGATCATCAGCGGCAGGCGGGGGAACAGGAGTTCCGGGCGGACGTCTGTCCGACGATGATCCCCCCGGCGGAACACTGGACTTCCGCTCGCGTTTCTGCCGCTATCAGGTGGCCAATCGCTTGCGCGGCATCCTCGACGATCATCCTGCCCCGAAGCCAGCGTCACCCTTGGACGAGGCTCCCTCCACATCGAAGGCGGCCGCAGCCAAGGCAGCCGCCACGGCAAAGGTGTCGCCCGGCGGACAGAACCTGCCCACGGTGCCGTACCAGACGAATGCCAAGAACTTCTGGGATGTGGTGCTCAACATTGACAGACAGACCCAAGTGCGATTGGCCAATGTGGCCCAGTTTCCGCTCACCTCGCAGCCGGCGTGGGAATGGCAGGCGAACACAGCAGACTTCCTGTCCTTCACCGACTCGCCCTTTGGCCAGCTGCTGGAGATGCTGCCCTACAAGGTGATCTGCCGGTCGCCACATCTCACCGACATGCTGGTCAAGCTGCTGGCCTCGCTCAGCACCGAGCTGCCCAAGGAGGAGGAGCAGTTGCCGCTGACCGACCAGATGCCCACGCTGATACCGATTGGACAGGCGGCGGCGGCGGCGGCCGCATCCGCAGCTGCATCCGACTCCAACTCCCAACCGAATGCAACCGAGATCGGTGACGGACTGGCGGCCAACAGCGAAGAGCAGGCCGCGCCGGGCAGCGGAAATCCCGCCTCCGGTGACGGCAATGCGGCCGCTCCTCCGAAGCGCACCCAGCTGCCCACTTTGAGTGTGGCCCTGCCGGTGGCGCCATCGAAGCCGCGTCGCAAGATCTACGCCAAGAACTTCTCGCAGCTGCAGCTAGTCATCGAGGTGCTGACCCACCAGTGCGGCACCACCGAGGGCCTGGACAACGTGGCCAAGCTGATTGTCAATCTGACGCAGTGCTCGCAAGCCTCCAATGCGATCTTCATCCAGTACTTGACGGCGGCCATTCTGGGATTGGCCGAGGAGGTGCGTCAGGCGATTCAGATGCTGCTCAACGAGATTCGCATGTACAACATTCACAACGCTGCCCCAGTCTCCAGTCAGGCTGCCTCCACTTCCTCCGGAGCAGCAGCAGCAGCACCCTCAACATCAACTGTATCTGGAGCCAGTCTCCTGCCCAACTTGGCCGTCCACGAGGGCATCATGCAGGATCGCTTCACCGCCGAGCACGTGATCATTTCGGCGCCCAAGAACGCCAAACCCACGTGTGAACTGCAGCTGCCCTCCATGAAGAAGCTCATGTCGAGCTCCTCCGCCCAGCCGTACTTCCTGCGCACCCTGAAGATCTTCATGCAGGTGCGTGACATGTACGAGGCGCAGAATAGCACGCAGAACGGCGGCGGATCCGCCGGAGGGGCCGGTGACAACGAGGAGGACATCATCGACATCGTGGGCGATGGCGGCGCTTCCGGCGGCAGCAGTTCGGATATGGCGCCTGGATCGGCGAGCACAATATCACCGCCGCCTCCGATGGAAACCAACCAGACAATACACGATGGTGACGAGGACGAGGACGCCGATGGCGACGGCGATGGCGATGACGATGAGGCGAGCGCCCTGCCGGGAGTCGGTAACCAGGCGGCGACGGATGCTCACAAGCCGAACAAGCCCACCCTTAGCCAGATCCTCTGCCTGGATGTACTGTGGCACACGCTAAGCGAATGCCTTGTGGCGCTGGAGGAGTCCAAGGACGAGTTCGCCGTACTGGTGCTGCAGCCCACCGTGGAGGCGTTCTTCCTTATCCATGCCTCGAATCGCGGCGCGACCAAGAAGACGGGTCGCATAATCCCCACCGGATATGTGCCCTCCGGTCTGCGGGGAAGCGCGGCTGCCAGCGGTGGAATTGGAGGATTGGGAGCAGCCGCGTCGTCTGCCCATGAGCACAGTCCCTCGTTGGACGAGACCAGCAGCGCCAACACCCTCAGTTCGGCCAGTTTTGAGGGTAAGTTTGAGCTTACTTTTTATAATATTAAGAGTATGCCTAATTGTTTCCTTACGTAGATGAGCCGCGCATGCAGGATGCTTCGACAAACACGCCGCTTTCGACCAACAACGCCGCCAACACAGCGCTGAGCGCTCACGAGGCCCAGTTGCGGCAGGACCGACAGAAGTTCCTGCAGTTCGCCGAGAAGCACCGCACCGTGCTCAACCAGATCCTGCGCCAGTCTCCCACTCACTTGTCGGACGGTCCGTTTGCCGTCCTGGTCGATCACACGCGCATCCTCGACTTCGACGTCAAGCGAAAGTATTTCCAGACGGAGCTGGAGCGCCTGGACGAGGGCATCCGGCGCGAAGAGCACACGGTCAGTGTGCGTCGCGTTACCGTTTTCGAGGACTCATTCCGCGTCTTGTATCGCCTGGGTCCGGAGGAGTGGAAGAACCGCTTCTACATCGTGTTTGAGGGTGAGTTCTCGTTGGATTTCTACTGCATCCATTCTATATATTTATATTTGATTTCCTTATTTTAAAGATGAGGAAGGCCAGGACGCTGGCGGCCTGCTGCGCGAATGGTATGTGATCATATCCCGCGAGATCTTCAATCCGATGTACGCCTTGTTCTGCGTATCGCCCGGCGATCGCGTCACCTACATGATCAATCCCTCCAGTCATGCGAATCCTAATCACCTGAGCTACTTCAAGTTTGTCGGCCGCGTAATTGGTAAGGACACTGGGAGCACTCTTATTTGTTGGTCATTTTTTAAATGCTGTTTGAATTTCGTTTAATAGCCAAGGCTGTGCACGACAACAAACTGCTGGAGTGCTACTTCACCCGATCCTTCTACAAACACATCCTCGGCAAGCAGGTGAAGCACACGGACATGGAGTCGCAGGACTACGAGTTCTACAAGGGACTCGACTATCTTATGAAGAACGACATCTCCACTCTGGGCTACGAGCTGACCTTCTCCACCGAGGTGCAGGAGTTCGGTGTCACCCAGATCCGCGATCTCAAGCCCAACGGACGCGACACCGCCGTCACCGAGGAGAACAAGTTCGAGTACGTGCAGCTAGTGTGCCAGCTCAAGATGAGCGGCTCCATCCGACAACAGTGAGTACCCATCTAGAAATTACTCTTGGTCACGTGATTTAATTGCATTTTCCCTTACCAGATTGGACGCATTCCTCGAGGGCTTCTATGACATTATTCCAAAGCATTTAATTTCGATATTTAACGAACAGGAACTGGAGCTTCTCATATCCGGCCTGCCGGATATTGACATTGAAGATCTAAAGGCGAATACCGAGTACCATAAGTACACCTCTAAATCGGCCCAGGTAAAACCCCGTTTATATACTATATATATATATATCCTGCTATCCCGCTATCCCACTCTAAACCGTGATTTTCCTTGTATTCAGATTCAATGGTTCTGGCGTGCACTGCGCAGTTTCGACCAAGCAGACCGCGCCAAGTTCCTGCAGTTTGTCACGGGCACCTCGAAGGTGCCGTTGCAGGGCTTCGGCTCCCTGGAGGGCATGAACGGCATCCAAAAGTTCCAAATCCATCGCGACGATCGATCCACTGATCGCCTGCCTTGTGCGCACACATGGTAAGAACGAGTTATGCTTTAGGACTTAAAGCGGACTACAAAATTAGGAGCATTGCTATTGAAAACGACAACACTATTTATCAATTAATTAAAATTTCCCCTTTCTCGTGATCAGCTTCAACCAACTGGATCTGCCCATGTACAAGTCCTACGACAAGCTGCGGAGCTGCCTGCTGAAGGCCATACATGAGTGCTCCGAGGGCTTTGGCTTTGCCTAAACAGCACCACCAGTGGCAACTAGTCCAACCAGGCAACCGACCAGGACGCAACACTATTCCTAAAAAGCCTATAAGCACGGGCGAGACGACGAGTAATGCATAATTGATTTGAACAGAACAGCCACTGCAAATGTGCGATAGCGGCAACAAAAACTGCATACATACACAGTACATATAGTTATATAGTATATATAAAAATGTTGAATTAATTATTAATTTTCGCGCCTATATATATACAATATATATTTTCTTAAATTTTCAAAAGAAAAAACGGAAAAAATCTAAGGAACCTAAAAAAAAAAAACAACACAACTGATACAGACGCGAAACTGCATATTCGATTTAAAATTGTCTGCGTAACTCATCCTATTATATATTGTTTTGGAATCTATCCCTGTCGATTTGCACATTTTCATTAAAACAAAATTTATATAAAAATAATTCAATTTTACATATTTTTTTATTTATCTAAACACGAAACCGGTTAGCAAAGGATAAAACGTAGTATTTAGCAAGCGAATGCACATAAAAACACAGATTGTACACTTTGGTTTCTTGTTTACTTAAGTGAATTTACCGAAGATAAATGGGGAGGCAATGGTAAATAATGGATTAAAGTATTTTGATGTAAGAGAGATAAGTCCTTATGTTATGCATTTTATGTTTACTTTTGGAATAATGAGCCGCAGATGTAACTTAAAGATTGTGGAATAAAGTAAGAGTAAGCTCATTTATCATAATACATTTCTAGGAATTATATTTTTAGCGGGCTCATGATTAAACAATTTAAATGGGATTTAATTAAAGCAGTCGAATTTTAAAATTTAAATTACAAAACTATCGTGACAGTTAAAGTAATCGATATCGGCGGCTGGCGCTGAACGGTAGATGCTATCGATTGCCATGTTTTGACAGCTGTTGTTCAAATGGATTTGTTTATCCGAAAGGAATTGACGCTGAGCAGCGGTACCCAGCTGGAGGATGTGACGCCGCACTGCCAAAAGTTACTCACATGGCTGCAATCCTTTCAGGAGGAGTTCCGTTCCGAGCACCGCCACCTGCGGCTCAATCCATCTCTGATTGAATCCCTGTTGAAGGCCCATTTGTACCTGTTTGAATGCTACGAGCGCTTCGGGGATTCGTTGGCGGATCGCTGCGACTCCCATGGCTTTTTCGCGGGCATTTCCAGTATGGAAGAAAGAAGGCAATATATCCGAGAGCTGTGCACAAACATTGTAAATACTAAACGGGGAGAAGAGCATGCACCGCTTCTCCACCTGATGCATCGTACTTTCGCCGAAGTCCAGACTGTTTGGAGTGTTATTCGCGACCTGGACTGGTCGGAAATTCGGCAATCGGAAGCCCTGGCCTGCAGCGATCTCATCAACCCCGATCTCCAGCAGATGCGTCGCTTGGTAAAGAGAATTTGCCGCTTATCCAGCCTTCAGCAAATTGAAACCGCTGTGCAACGCTCAATGGAGCTAATAAGCTTCGTGGTGTGGATCTATCTCTTCCGGGAGCCCAGGGATAGTAGCATCCATTCCGACTGCCACCTTGTGCGTAACCTAATCTGCGACACCCTAACGGAGGGTAGAACAAGCGCTTGCTCCGGTTTCCTGCACAATATCTACCGCTTTGTATCAGAACCCGGTAACGAAGTGAGATTCTGGGCTTGTCTAGAGCATGTCCGTCTGGCTGGCAGCCTGATTTCCTATTTAATCGGCAGTTGGAGCTGTCACCTACCCTTTTTCGATGTGGAAGAGATGCAAATGAACGCCGAGGCTCCTGAACTAGGTATTGCACAATTGCCCGTAGACAAGGCCACCTATGTGACCCATCTGATGCTGGCCGTCCGATCCCCATGTCGCCAACAGTTCAGCCAGCAGCTTCGCACCCTCCTGCCCACAAATTCCTTAGCTTGCCTGCTGGACCTGCTCAATAAAGTGGCCTTCGTTTTTAGTTAAAACTATGCTTTTAATCAGTTTTGGGCAAAAACTCGGAGTTGTCATCAGTCAGGCGGATCACCTTTTCGCCCTTCTCCGCCAGGATTTCCTCGATGTTGCGCTTGCCCTCCAAATCTGTAAACCAGTTCAAGTTGTCGGCGATTAGGTGGTGATTGGAGCAGCCCTCGCATGTCACAATAACAACGCCTCGCTGGTAGGCGATCTTCGAAATAGTCTTCATGTTCCGCGTCTGGCAGACCTTGCAGGTGTAGATCAATTGCATCTTCTTCTCCAGCTGTGCCAAGGGAACGGTATTGGAGGCCACCGTCTCATCTGCATCTTTCTAGAAAGGAATATTCCTTAAGTTTCAGCTGTATTTATTTGTTCCAAACTTACCACCGGTTTGCTGTAGTGTATGTTGCGGCAAATGCACGTGTAGTTGTTGTTGTTGCTGGCCCCAACAACAGCTGTTTGTGTTTTGGTTGACAAATATTGCAGTTGAAATTGCAATTGTGGAGGTTTTATACTCTCGGTTTGTGTTTTTCCCGTAATTGCAAAAAGTTTGCGTCCTACTTCGAGGGCTCTGATTTTAAAAAGTTGTCTCAGGGCGCTCATTTTTGTAATTGTTTTTGATGTTATTTAATTCGATCAAAGTGTGTGAAATAAAGTTGGTCTTTTGGGGATGATAGTTTTGCTCTTCATAATAACACGTGAATTACAACTTTTAAGCATCGCTTACATTTTAATGTTTTAAAATGAACATAAGCTAATACTATAACAAAAATGTGATATCCCTGCTTATTTATAACATTTTTTTTTTGGATCTAAGTTGATTATTAAAAATATTTATTTTAATAGTCACGGTTTTACCCCACTCGTGACTCGTGCACATCGACAGTATCAGCTGGTCCTACCTCACGTGATACTATCGACAGAAGTGTCATCACCATCTGGTTGTAGCACTCATAATATTTTCGAATTTTTTTGTCGAAATTGTTGAGGAAAACAAATTATATAAAGCGCAGGAAGTGATGGCGACACGCGTGGTGGCAACGGCGACAGTGCGTGCAGTCAAGGGACGCAAACTGATTCCAACGCGAGCCGCTCTGACCCTGGTAAGAAATCGCGAACTGATGAAATCGGCGCGTGTTGCTGATGAAGTAACAGTCCTATTGATCCAATGCTGATACCCCAATCCTTTGCAGACTCAGGCAGCGGTGCTGCGCATCAAGACTCTGCTGCAGGACAAACCGGATATGGTAAGTGACTACTGTCAACCAAAAATTTACTAATTTAAATGCCAGATATATGTACATACATACATATGCCTTCAAGGGCTATTACTCCATATAGCATCCCAAACTCTTTAAAGTCTTCCTATAGGCTATTGGATGTGAATAATTAAGACAATAAGGGTCCCAAGCTCCTTACCCTCTTTGTTATTAAGTTTTGGATTCTATTTTAAGTTTATTAATTAGTTACTTTAAATTATATACCTCAAGTACTGGGTACTCGAACCATAAAAAAAACCTCGAAGCGCACAAGTTTTAATTTACTGATATGTTCCTGCAAATAAGAAGAAAATCTTTTTCCCTCTGTGTCTTAACAGTACTGCACAGTTGTTTTTGCTTATAAGAAACGCATTTCTGATAAGAACTTTTAATTGTTGCTGTATTTCGGTTCTAAGCTTTGTAAGTCCTTAGTCAAGCAAGATACTTCTTGTTCTTTGTACCTTAATCTACCTAGATATACCCTCCCAACCAAAAAATTCTTTAATAGCCAGTAGAACAATTACTTCTTTTAATCTTAAGTAATTAAATGGAAGTCTAATATATTGTTTTGCCTAGGTCGGTTTAAAAGTTGGCGTCCGACAGCGAGGATGTAATGGTCTGTCTTATACGCTTGACTACGCCAGCCAAAAAGGTAAGCCATGGTGCACTTGGAGTATGTCAGTAGAGAGCCAATACTAAACTTGCTTTGATAATACTTTGCCAGCAGATAAGTTGGATGAGGAGGTGGTTCAGGATGGCGTCAAGGTCTTTATCGACAAGAAAGCGCAACTCTCGCTACTAGGTAAGTCTCTTCCAAAAATGCCATTGAAAGACAGTAAATTAAATTGTTTATTCCCTCAAAGGCACTGAAATGGACTTTGTGGAAACGAAGCTGTCCAGCGAGTTCGTGTTTAACAATCCGAACATCAAGGGCACTTGCGGCTGCGGCGAATCGTTCAGCATGTAAACCGACGGAGATCCGCCGGCACCCGCCTCGCAGACCTAAATTAACCAAGTTAAATGCAGTACGCGGCCTGACCTAGTAACTCTCATTTCTGTGTTGGCAAAAGCACCGCATCCTATGTAAATTTTACTACGCAAACGAATTCTAAATGTTAAGTTGTGTTTTATAGTTAAATTTTTAGTTGTAGCGCTAGGTAAGTGACCCAACCCGCTTCCTGGCCGCAGGCTGGCAGTTTGTCCTTAGCCCTAGTTGAATATATAGACAAAGGAAAGTTCTATAAAAGCTTGCTGTCGAATTTTATTGTGTACAGTCGAAATACTAAGTCTAAGTTTATACTATCGCTGATTAATGCCCTGGACTCCGTATTCCTCGTAGTCATCGCGCGTGTAGACGAACTCGTCGAAGTTCGGACTGGTGGCCACCTCTTTGCCGCCGTACCAGGCGTAGCGCACCGGATCCTCTGGGCATATGAGCGACACCTCCAGATCATCAGGCACCAGCGTGCGCAAGTCTCTCTTGAGACGCGGTAAGAAGCCGGGGAACTGAGCGCTGCCGCCCACAATAAGGATGTTGAGAAGCAATTCGCGATGCGCCTCCCAAGGGCAAGCCTTAAGGCAATCAGCCACCGCCTCCGGAATGCCCACCTGAGGCACTCCAATGTCCGAGGGATTGAAAAGCAGTTCGGGCACTGTAAAACGTTCATTGCACAGCGGTACCATTTGCTGCTGATTCTCGTCCTCGCGCGGTTTTCCCGGCACACGGACATAGCCACGTTTAACGGTCGTGAAGTCTGGTAGGACATAGTCAACCAAAATCTCGCGTCGCCTTTCATCCGATTGATGGACACGCATTGTCTGTTTAAAGTCCTCAGCCACGAAGCAAACATCCTCCTTGATCTGGTTGACTACATGACTCTCGTCCATCACGTTTAGATGACGATACGAGATCAGCTCTTTGAGGTGATTGGTCAGCGCTTTGCCACCCATGTCGATGCGACGGATGCCCTCGAGAACACGACGACCGAGGACAAAGGGAACGATATGGGTGAAACTGTAGCCGACATCAATGATAATGCAGTTGAGGGACTGCATTGTGGTGCGCTCCTCGCTGTCTGCAACGTAGTTAAATGCGGCCAAATCGGCGGCAGTGGTCTTGTACACGCCAGCCGTTCGATACTCTTCAAACAGCATCTCCAACATCGCCTCCTGGACACTCTGGAAGTTCATCTGCGGCTCGGTGATGACGATGTTTCGGTTCTCCAGCGTACAACCGATGCCGTCCTTGCTAAAGATATAGTCCCATACCGTTTTCTGGGTATCCCAGTTGAGCAGATATCCGCGCTGGAATGCCAGGATGTAGAAAAGAGCAGAGGTGTCCCGGCATTCGTCGATCTGATTGCCGACGAAGGCGCGACGCCGCTCGCTCTTCGCTTTCATAATGCAGTTGGGCACCACCTGGGGCTCGTCCTGGCTGGCCAGCCCCACCTTGGCCGTGTACGCCCCGTTGTCCAGCACCACCACTGCGTTGGCCATCACTATATCATGTTCCGTGGACAAAACAAAACTTCATCCGCAACAAAATTCAGTTTGCTTTAGTGATGACATTATGAAGCGATGTTTCTTAAGAGCTGGACTTTACACGATAATCGATAGTGCTATTGATGGTATCGGCGCTTACTTCTTTACGCTGCTATTAAGATGGGTACCTATCGAAAAATCAATTTTAAAATAAGACGTTAATAATATCATATAAAATAGTTCTTAAACTTGGTTGAAATTGCTTGTAACATTTAGAAAATATTTATTGTTAAAGTGGTAATGGGAATTATTTATTAGTTTATTACCCCGCGAAAAAATTCAAATTAAAAACACAATTGGTTAAAATCGTTTGTGACATCTGGAATCAAACGGTAACAATGCTATATTTTGGCCAAAATACGAACTTATTACAAAACCTCACAAATAAGCCAATGTGCTATTTGGGAATCGAGGCGGCAGGAGCCGCTAAAGGAAGGACTTCCAGCTTATGTGGGTCATTGTGATCGCTGATGAAATGCAGCACCTCGAAGCCCACCTCCACCATGATCAGGATTATGATCATCCACTCAAGCCGGATGTGATGGGCGTCGTTTAGGTTGTGTGAAACCAATTCGGCCAGCTCAACGCAATGATTGATCTTTTCGTTCATAACCTTGGTGCGTCGCGTGATGCTGAAGTAGGAGCAGACCTGCAGATACAGCGCCTCAAGTTCCTCGCGATCCCAGTAGAAATCGGGGGCATCCAAAAGATCCGACGACAGGTTAATCACATGACGGAGGGCAAATAGTTCCCCAGTTTTTCGTAACATGGCCGCCCGCGAGATTCTCAGCCGGCGGCCCCGTTTTAGATCCTCAGTAAGATGTTCTATCGAGTCTATGTAGCGATCCAGGGTCGCCTCCCAAATGCCCAGCTTTATGGACTGCGCCATTGCATTGGAGAAGGTGTATTTATACAGGAAACTATCCGTATCGGCGGTCACAAAGAACTTGCCATTTTGAAAGAATGCCCGCGACGTGCCATTAAAGTCGCTGCTCTCCGCCACCAGATCGCCCTCCACATCCACCGCAGTCGACGGGATATACGTGTATGGCATCACCTCGCTCTCCCCGTGGACCAGAGCACTCACATACGATTCCCGCTCGAAGGAGCGCAGGAAACTCAGCACATTGTTTGTCTCAATATCGCTGCAGTTCCAAAAAACCACTGAACCCTCGCGGAAGAAGAATATCTCTCGCGGCTGCTGGCCCGTCGGATACTTGGCCGCCACAAAGAGCACATTCTGCTCCACGTCCAGGTTGTCGGTGGAGAAAAAGCGCTTTGTTTCGTAAAGATTTTGTTGGCGCAGTGCTATTTGCAAATCCTCCAGATTGTATTCCTCTGCAGTTGTATAGCCGCGCGCGTTTAGGAAGCCCAAAGCGGACAGTTCATCGATGGCCAGACGCTTTTTCCGTATGATCCTGGTACGAATGGGCGATAATATGGACTCCAGTCGTTCCTCGGCCAACGGCTGTGGTTTAGCCTGCGACGGTGATTGTTTCTTTGGGTTAGATGCTCCAGATGAAGCAGAAGCTGCCGACGCAGCCGCCGAGGTGGTTTCACTGGCCAGCCAGCGCCTTCGGTTCATCATCAAATGCGACTGGAGTTGCTGGCGGGGCATTCTAAGGCCGCGTAGGAGCGTCCGCTCGAGTCCCAAGCGTGCGAGGTTCATGGCCATTTCCTAAGCGTTGATTTATACTCCAGAATCAACTAGTTGGCCATTTCTGCTCGAGCGGTTCGGTAACGTATTTAGTGGCTATAATATATAATAGTTAGCCGGCAAGGTGCGTTCCGATTGTCCTTTGTTGTGATTATCGAATTCGATAGGCGGCAGTTTATTCCCTATCCGTCTGCTTTTTTCGGAATAGATATTTACGATAGCTAGATATTTTATACCATTGCCGAAATCAACATGAAGAAATATTATGTAACATTTAACGTAAATAAAGAAATATAATAATTTTCAGGCCCTAACTGACAACCAAATCAACTAAATTTTACTGAATCGGCATCACTATGCTTTTAGCGATAAAAATCGAATTTTTCCAACCAACCGCCAACACTGTTGCGATAACGATAGTCAGCAGCTGTTTGCCTTGTTCCCATTAAATCACTTTGCACCCCAAACAGGGGAAAACAAAAACCCAGTAACTACCCAACAAACAGCACGTGCAGTGCCTGGTTAAGGACGCACTGCACCCGGCGAAAAGTACAAAGGGCAACACGAATGTGCAACCGCCTAATAGCGACGTAAAATGAATGCATTGCGCAACATCTTCGCATCGCGAACGCTACACAACTTGCGCCAGAATGGACTAAACGCGATCCTCAATAACACCCAACAGCAGCAGGCTGTGGACGCTCTACCAATAACCAATGAACCTGACCTGCAACAGTTAAAGGCATCGCGCCCTGCGCCACTCTCAATACCGCGCTCCATACTTGATGCCTGCCATTTTACGGCCAAGCCGTTCGATTTGGGACGCACTGCCTCCGGAAACCAGTCCAGTGGCTCCCTATCACCAACCACACTTAAGCGCTTCAGTCGCATGCAGCGCCGCATGGAGCTGGTGTACCGCTGCAAGCTGTGCAACACCCGCAACACGAAGACCATCAGCGAGGAGGCCTACTACAGTGGCGTGGTGATTCTCCAGTGCGACGGCTGTGCCGTCGATCATCTGATCAAGGACAATCTGGGACTATTCACCAGCAGCGATGGCGATAGCAGCATCAGTTCCGGCATCAGTACCAGCAAAAACATCGACCAGGTTCTGGCCGATCGACATGCCCGCGTCCGGATCATCAAGGTGAACGAGCACGGCGAGCTAATTTAGAAGCGCACTCTAGTCAAAACGAGGCATCAGCACAGGAGAACCTCCTGGTGCCCGTCGTCAACCTGCGAATCGTGTCCGAGGTGGACACACTCGGCCATGGTGGCACATTGAACCCAGCACCCAGAGTACCCAATTACAAAACCGGAATCCCTCATTTTCAGCCGGTTGTATATAATAATTGTACTGTAATTGTTGATTGTTGCGGGCCGTGAGTAATGCCTAAAAAGTGATTAAAAGAACGCCCAGTTCAAAAGCTGAACCACATAAAACTGCTATGACAAAATCTGTTGTTCCTTTCTGGGAAGTCTTATCGGAGTGCACAGAAAGAAAAATCAACGCGATAGAGGATGTGTGTTCGGTGAATTATGTTTATGTTTGAAATTGTAAATCGAATGTTGCCATCTTATGTGAACAAATACAGAAGTCTTCTTCATTTAATGTTTTTATTTGCGTTACCATTGTGCTTTTCTTTCTGTGTACGCATAAGCATGCTATATATTATACGCTGATAAATGTGTTTACCCATAAATAGAAATCGCGTCTAGTCGAAATTCGACGAATCTGGAGAGCCCTAGAAGCCAGTTGAAGCCGAGGGGCTCGGTGGCGGTTTGCTAATTGATCGGATCGATCAAAACACAGCCGGGGTGCTAATTATCGCAACAATAAAAAATTGGCACGCTGCCGCCTTTCCCACCCGATGGTGAAATGTACCGGGTGGTATTGCCATGGCGCTAGACTATAGTGTTTAAATATAAAGCACGCCCCTGTCGAGTGATCGCTTCTACGTCTTAGAGGCCGAAATCCAGACACTTGCGATGACTCTAACCAAGAGAGATAGGCCTTCAAATGGGTTAACAACAGCAGCTTTTTGAAGCTGGCTACGGCACGTGGCTGGAACTCGGAAGGGGTTTATGGTAAATCCGGAGGGCATAGAACTCGCTAAATCAAACATTGCAGCCATTGCTGTACCCAATGTTATGTACATATATAAAACCTTCTAACTGTTCAAAAAATATTTGAATATACAAAATTCAAAGATAAGTTATTGTGTTTAACAGAAATTCAAACATATTAGTTTTATACTGAGCAGGCGTAGAAAAGATATTGCTACTAAGCATGACTTGGCAATTTATGTGACGTCAAAACAATGAAAACAAATTATTTAAATTGTATAAACAAGCACGACAGTTCCATAGTATAGCTTCCACCACTAGAGTCTTGACTAACAGACACATATTTCTACCAGACGTGCGCCAACAACTGTAAAGATAATGACGAAGACGTCATGGGTTATCTTTGGAGGCAAGTCAAGTGGAAACACCCATTGAAAAGTCTTTAAAAACAGCGTTTTTCGGCTGAAAGCAGCAATAAATAGATCGAGGCTTTTAAATAAAACTCATAGGGTTTATTGTTTTGTTTTTAAATTATTTAAACCTATTTATTCGAGAATACTTCGAATATGTGTGTGTATATTGTATCTTACTAAAATCTCATTTGATATTTCTAGGATAAATAAAATTGTGATTTGTGTTTTTTCTCTTTTCGCTCAGTTAATATACATGTTGTTTAGAAGACGCTTCTTATGTTTTAAAATATTTATTATGATGCTAATTTGTTTAAATATTTCGTTCTTATCGGATGAGTTTCTCTTTGCTTTTTGTAGGTTGTGTTTTTACCGTCTGATTCTCCTGGAAGCGCACTTTTGTTACGATTCTTGTGTTTTCTAATCTCCCTCTGGCTTTAAAGGTTCCCCTTGTTTTTGTTTTTTCGTTTCCTAGTTGCTGTTAACTATTTCACAATTTGTTTGAATGATTGGCTTAATCCGAAGGAAACCAAGACGATCCGTTATCGTCGAACGGACCTTGATAAGCGGTCTTCGATTTTGGTTAATTTTGCAAAAGTAAGCGGAAATTGTGCTAAATGAACTTAGGCTTAAATGAAGCATCGCCCGGCAGCAGTGGGCTCTCGTTTTCGTATGCTATATTGCCACGGCTATAGCTATTCATGCTGTTAACAGTTAGTCGGCCTGCTCGAGTTATATATTTACAGGTAGGATTACGAGTACGGTTACAGTTACATTTACAGGACGAAGCGGCGTTATTTTCGAGAACCAAACTCGCCTCGAAATGTATTAAAGATTCAGTCGTTCGCGGACAGTGCGTTTCGTGGCCAACGGGCAGTGGCAATTGCCTTATGACTGCGACTCGCACTGCACCTTACATTTGTGTGTGTGTGGATTTCGTTTTCAGGGGCTTAAACATATTTGTTTTTTTTAGTAACTTAGTAACATAGTTATTGCTGTTTAATTATCTGCTGCAGTTTTCTGTTCGGCTTTCTCTCAGTTTGATGGCAAATGGTTGTCTGCACTTTATGTTTTGCATATAAATATATAGTTAGTACATAGAATACTTTACGAAATACTTAGTTCTGGAATGCATCGACCCGCTCACATCGATTTTGGGGGTACGGGGAGGAATGTTTACAATTCTTACATGCTTAATTAAACTATTTGTATTGAGTGTTTTGGGGAGAACTCGAAATTGGCACAGAAATGTTAAGTATTTGTTATTTATTATAAGTACCGCTCTATCCCTCTCTATCATTCTGGCCCTTCCTATCTCTCTTTCTCTGTCTATTTGAACCTAATCAAAACTCATTGGGAAGTGGGTGGAAGTTTTCGACATGTAGCTTAAACCTAAACTTGCGTTCATGGGCGTTGTTAAATACTTTTGCTTTTAAGTACGACTACAGGTAAGTGTGTTTATATAAAATACAACTAAGTCTAGGTTACAATCAAATTATTATATTAAACAAAATAATACAATACAGCCTGATTGCAATTTCGTTTCAGTCAAACCTAAGGCTTTCCTACTCATTAAAGTTCGAAAACATTTTGATAGCAAACGCGTTTGTTTAAGTTTCCTGACTATAAGAACCTTTGTCTTCCAACCGAATCGAAATGCAAAGGGGGCTGAACATTGAGTGAGTCTTAAATTAGTATAAGTAAGCTAAAGAAAGCTAACTAAGCTGCCTGAATTACTGGCAATTTAAAGACGTTACAGTTGCAGTTTCAGTTATTCGTAAAACTATTTGACGTATCGACCGCGACCGCGTCCGCGGCCACGACCCCGCCCCCGACCGCGGGTTTTGGCCTTGGACCAGTCCCTGTCCTTGTCCCTCTCCCACTCCCTATCTCACAGACTGCTACGACCCGAACGCCCCACAGCGCCGACGGCTCCATTGGGTCGATTGTGCCGCCGCTTGTGCAGATAGAGTCCGGCCGCCTGGGCGAACGCCGAACCGCATATCTGGCACACGTAACGCTTCACCTTGTCGTGGATCTGCTTGTGGTTCTGCAGATTCTTCGTCGACTTGAACGTCTTGCCGCAGATGTCGCACTTGAACTCCTCGTTGCTGTAGTGCTGCTTCAAGTGCTCGAACAAACTGTTGCGCGCCACAAACGATTTATTGCACTGGGGATAGTCGCATTTGTAGCATCGCTCCCGCTCATCCTGGTGGACGATGCGATGCGCATTCAGGTGCCCCGGCGTGGCGAAGCTGCGGCGGCACACCTCGCACCCATACGGTTTGGCGATGTCGCTGCCGCCTCCGCCCATCCGGTCTTCATCGTCGACCATGCCCTCCGGGGACTTTGAGGCATTCGCACCGCCCGTCCTTCTTCGACGGCCACCGCTGCCTCGGGATTCCTCGCCTTCGGTTGCTATCTCATCGTCCGCCGGACCGCCATCCATGATGCTGTGATTCAGCGCCAGCGAGGGCAGGAACAGCTCCTCGTTGTGCCGCCGCAGGTGCTCCTCGTAGTTGGCCTTCTCCCGGAAGCTGGCCGTGCACAGTTCGCAGTTGAACTTCACCTCCGCGACGCCGCCCAAATGCAACTGCTTGTGGCTATCGAACTCCTCGGCGTTGTGGAACTGAATGCTGCAAATGTTGCAGTAGTAGCCGCCACCCAAACTGGGCTGATGGGTCAGCATGTGAAGGTCCAGTTCCCTGAGTGTTTGCACAATCTCCGGACAGTGCGGGCACTTGAACGGCGGTATGTCGTCGTCCATAAAGTGCATTTGATCGTAGTATATATAGTTGGCAATGAACTTCTTTCCCAGACGCTCGCTATTCAGCCGCTCCATCTTCTGCTTGGAGTAGTCGAAGCGCAGCTGGGAGATGCGCTTCGAGATCTGGATGGTGGTCACGTCGATCAGCTGCTGCAGTTCAATGGCCATCTGGTGGAGGCCCTCGCCGCGCCGCTCCTTGCTGCGGTAGTCGGGATCGAAGCGGTTGTAGAAGCACTGGTACCGCTTCACCATGCTCAGGAGCTTGGCCGTCGATGTGTCGTTCCAAATGGCCGAGAAACGGCGACGATAGGAGGTTTCCTGCCAAAAGAAACAGTTTTATTTATTGGAAAATGCTTACTTAAAATTAATTTCTGGCAAAATGCAGCATTAAAACATTCTCAGCTAAAAACAAAACAACAAAAAAACATATTAAAATAGATAATGAAGGGCAACTAATGTTTGCCAAATTTATCAGATCGATTTTACTTACCTTGACTACGGCATCGGACATTTTGTCGTTATAGCTGTACACCTCATTGAGGAAGTGCAGCTCCTTGAAGTACCACAGCGTGCTGATGTTGGTCTTCTCCAGGGCCATCCGATTGCACTCCCGCTTGTACACCGTCCGCAGGTTGTCCCACTTGCGGGTGATCGCGTCCTTTGCCAGGGAGATGTTGAAGCGGCTCTTGAACTCCAATACGATCCAGTCGAGGAAGCGGGCGCGCTTCACGCGATCCCGGAACTGTGCGTTGCCGTGGTCCCACAGAAAGGGGTTGCGCTGATACGAATGGATGAGGAACTGTATCATCTTGCGGTCCTTGATGTGCATTGTCACCTCCCTGTCGCGCTAAGGGGTGGCAAAATAGTAGAACAATCATTACAGAACACGGTAAATGGAAATAAGGGATTATTAAGGGTGGAAGAAATATAATTGAAAATTGAAATTGTTAGGAAAAACGTATTATTTTAACTAATTTCAACTCTAAGAACTATTTACTATTTTATTAAAATAGTTATTAAATACGAGCAATTAAATACGATGCAATTTTTAGGATGAAATGCAAAATTATGATTACTTTATGTGAACCAATGACAATACCAATAAGACTCGACATACAACCTATTCAAAATATGTTACCTACGTAAAGCTTTTTTGGGGGATTATAAAATAAAAGACTGTATAGAAATAACTTACTCCCAGTAGCGACTCCTCCACCATCTCATCATAACTGAGAAAATCAGATTCGGGGCCAAAGCCACCGTGATTGGCACCATCGAAGCCGCCATAGTCCATGTACTCTCCGGAATTGTCATCCATGTAGCTGTGGTCCGGATCGCCGTAGTCGTCCAAGGAGGAGTCACCGTCTCCGGCGATAAGACCTCCGCTGGGGATGTCCACCTGGCGCGGCTTTGTTACCTTCTTGCGCGCTCGTGACTTGGAGCTGACCACCGGAGCATCGCTTTCGGGCAGTATGGCCTCGTCTTCATCTTCTCCGGCGTCGGAATCATGCAGCCTATCGTCATCGTCCTCGTCGGCAACTACATCGTCGTCGCTGCAGGGCAACTCCTGAAGCTCCTGTTTGATGACCATCTGCGGCTCCAGGAGTGCTGTGTCCGCATCCGTTAGGTCCTCGATCTCGTGGAAATTGGGCATATCCCCGTTTCGACTGGACAGGGACATGGGCTCGCCGAGATTGTAAGAGTGACGCGAGGCGGGATTCGCCACGGACTGGTCGCCCAAATGGACCGTCTGCATGTGGCCAATGAAGGAGTCGAAGTAGAGGAACTTATCGCTGCAGAAGATGCATCGCAGGGCGAAGTACTGGAAGTCCTCAGTGGCTGTCACCACTCCGCAGTCCTTCGTGCAGTGACGGAAAATCTCCTCGTCGTTAGTACGTGGATACGCCAGGACACTCATCGTGCCGCCTGGGAATCCTCGGCCTATCTGGTGCACACTGGCAATTTAATTAGGGCTTTCGCTACGCTGCGTTGTGATCGGCGCACTCGAATATCCTGCTTTATTTGACTTTATTTTACTTTATTCAGATTTTGCCAATTTTTTAGTGTTGGTGTATAGAGATGGGGTTTGGGCGCACAGTTGCCTTTTGTTTGCTTATCGGCATCAGCTCTAGGTAGCCCATCGATTACCTATTAGGCTAATTTTGGCAAAATGCTGCGGGAAAGTAGCTGTTTCTAGCGGGAAATATATTGTTTACATGTATCGAGTTAGGTGAATCGTAACAAAACTTCAATGTTATTATCCAAAAAAAATATTATTTGGTAGGAAAAAATTGTAGCCCATAAAAAATACTAGTCACTATCGTGAAGGTGTGAAACCATGATATTACCTTTGTGTAAAAACTATCGTGTAAAATACTATCGATAGTTGACCTGATGTTTTGAAGTGTAATTTTATTTATTCTATCTGGTCACACTTGTCTCCTTAATTTTGTCGGCTCACATTCAGCGTGTTTCGTTTTCTGCCGATTTCTTGATTTAATTAACTCAACAAGAAAATCTCTGTCTAAATACAAGACGCAATGGCTTCAATTAGCTTACTGAACCCCAAGGCCGAGTTCGCTCGCGCCGCTCAAGCTCTGGCCATTAACATCAGTGCCGCAAAGGGACTGCAGGATGTGATGCGCACCAATTTGGGACCTAAGGGCACAGTGAAGATGTAAGTGAATAAAACATAACTCTATTATCCCTTTTTTAAAGTTGGGAGGGCAGTTTATGTGAAAAGTTGAGTTGTTGTTGCCCAAAACATGCATTTTGGCCACAGCTGCGGCGACTGCAAGTTTGAGGTTAGAGTTGTCATAGCGGCATGCGTCATAGCAAGAGAAAGAGATGGAACGATTCAAGTTCAATTTAAAAAGTAATATTTACGTGTTTGTATTTAGTTTAACCACTCAACTAAATGACAGTGCAATTGCAGGGCCTTGTTTCAGGGAGAAATGTCGCCAAAGTTGTATTTTAACTTTAGCTTGAGTCAGAACGTGCGATAGGAAAAGGCGTGACCTCACGCGCTTTGTGGAAAAATATACTAATTCCAGAAACTTCGCAGGTTGGTTTCTGGCGCCGGCGACATCAAGATCACCAAGGATGGCAACGTGCTGCTCCACGAGATGCAGATCCAGCATCCCACCGCCTCCATGATTGCCAGGGCCAGCACGGCTCAGGATGATTCCACCGGCGATGGAACCACCACCACGGTGATGCTCATCGGTGAGCTGCTCAAGCAAGCGGACATCTATCTGTCGGAGGGTCTTCATCCACGCATCATGACCGAGGGATTCGAGAAGGCACGCGACAAGGCTCTTGAGGTCCTTGACAAGGTGAAAGTGCCCGTCGAAATCAACAAGAAGAGCCTTGTGGAGGTGGCCAACACTAGTTTGAAGACCAAGGTGCATCCCGCTCTGGCCGATCTACTGACCGATGTCTGTGTGGATGCCGTGTTGACCATTGCCAGTGCCGACAAGTCCAAGCCTGTCGATCTGCACATGGTGGAGTTGATGGAGATGCAGCACAAAACCGATACCGATACCCAGTTGGTGCGTGGCCTGGTCATGGATCACGGTGCCCGCCATCCGGACATGCCCAAGCGTCTGGAGAATGCCTACATCCTCACGGCCAACGTCTCGCTGGAGTACGAGAAGGCCGAGGTGAACTCTGGCTTCTTCTACAAGACCGCCGAGGAGCGTGAGGCCTTTGTGCGCGCCGAGCGCGACTTCATTGACCAGCGTGTGAAGAAGGTGATTGAACTGAAGCGCTCCGTGTGCGATGGCACCGAGAAGACCTTCGTTCTGATCAACCAGAAGGGCATCGACCCCATCTCTTTGGACGCCCTGGCCAAGGAGGGCATCCTGGCTCTCCGTCGCGCCAAGCGCCGTAACATGGAGCGTCTGGCGCTGGCTTGCGGTGGCACTGCCATGAACTCCTTCGACGACCTGCAGGAGGAGCATCTGGGCTACGCTGGTGTGGTCTACGAGCATGTTCTTGGCGAGAACAAGTACACTTTTGTGGAGGACTGCAAGAACCCGCTGTCGGTGACGATCCTGATCAAGGGACCCAACAAGCACACGATCACCCAGATCAAGGATGCTATTCGGGATGGTCTGCGTGCCATTAACAACACCATTGCCGACAAGGCCCTGGTGCCCGGAGCTGGCGCATTTGAGGTGCGTGCCTACAACGAACTGGTTGCCTTTAAGGACACCATTAAGGGCAAGTCCCGTCTGGCGGTGCAAGCTTTTGCCGATGCTCTGCTGGTCATTCCCAAGACTTTGGCCGTTAACAGCGGCTACGATGCCCAAGACACAATTGTCAAGCTGACTGTGGAGGATCGCCTCAACCCCGAACTGGTCGGTCTGGACCTGGCCACCGGTGAGCCCATGAAGCCTGTGGATCTGGGCGTCTACGACAACTACATCGTCAAGAAGCAGATCCTCAACTCCTGCTCAATCATCGCCAGCAACCTGCTACTCGTCGACGAGGTTATGCGTGCGGGCATGACAAGCCTCAAGGGCTAGTCCCTTCCCATTAATTCGACTCACTCTCGTTAACCAAGTTAATACACCGCCTGCTCTTCAACCCGCGTCTCTCAAAACACCACAACCAAAAGAAACTAACGTAATATGGTACACAAACTCGGAATGGTTGCGGTTGCAAGTATTCACAAGAAAATATAAAATCATACACAGCTCTATACTTTTCGCTAATGTATTTCTATATTTTCATTACAACTAATGTTTACTTACTAAAAACCATTGGTTTAAAAATAAAAACAAATCGAAAGATAATAAAAACTGCATTTTATTGACATTCACCAAGAAATCGCTCATTTTTTTAGTAACTTTAAATTTAAACGAGAACCGCCAACTTTCGAACTGGAACCAGTTCATGGTTGTAACCATAATAGGTACATTATTTTCGGCACTTTCTTTTTTTATAAGATATTGGTGTTCTTTTAAGTGTCAAAGATGGCCGTAAATTAATTAAATTAACAATTAAATTCTATCTTATTCATTTTTGTAAGCAAAAAAAGGAGCCCTAGCTATACCATGTTTTTTGAACCGTCTGGTATTTTTTTACTACCTCATTCGCGGCCACACTGATATAATTGCAGTCAACAGTTTGTCGTCGCTTTCGCTGAAAACTATTGCATAGTAGGATCCTGTAAATATTTCTATATTCCAAAGATGATTTCGGTAACTTGTGTAGCCCCTGTGAATATAGCTCTTATAAAATATTGTAAGTAAATTATTCCCTTATTAAGTTTTTTACTACAAGCTCATGAAATGCACTCATTTAAGGGGGAAAGCGTCACGAAGAGCTAATTCTACCCGTCAACGACTCTATTAGCATGACTCTTAGCACAGATGAGGTAAATATTCCCAAATTGTATTAAAAGCTAGTATCTGTTTATTTTTTTTAACATAACATATTAAAGCTAATTTTCATATAATATAACACACAAGCCGGTTCAAATTATAACCTAAAGTAAGCGTAAAAAGCTTTTATTCAAAACTTTCTATTTATCTTTTGGGAATGTCTCACAGAATTTCACTTTTCCCCGCATTTTCTTTGTCTGAGATTTTCTCTTAGCGTGAAACTACATATGTATTTAATATTTAAATATATTTGTTTGAACTTTATGTATGTGGTTTGTGCTTGAAAATGAATTTTCTTTAAATTAACATTTTTAAAAATATTTTTAATTTACTGCCCTATAGCTGTGCGCTAAAACAACAATAACTGCTTCAGAAACTTTTGAAAAGAATCGAATGTGGTTAAATGGAGATGAAGTTCCTTTCGAAGAGGGTTCTCGCCTGATGCGCTGCTTAAAAGAAGGTGAGTTGTTAAAAATGCATAATAATAATGTTCCTTGCAAATGTAATGCTTATTTATTTTAGTTCATCGGCTGGCTCTAGCAAATGGCTCTCAGAAAGTTTTACCATCTTGGAAAATTCACATTGCCTCGGTTAATAATTTTCCCACCGCAGCTGGATTGGCATCGAGTGCAGCTGGATACGCCTGCCTTGTGTATTCCCTAGCTCGTCTTTACGAAATCCCACTTAATGAGGAGTTGACCACGGTTGCCCGTCAAGGAAGTGGATCAGCATGCCGCAGTCTGTACGGAGGATTCGTCCAATGGCACCGCGGAGTCCTCGATAATGGCAGCGATTCGGTTGCCAAGCAAATTGCACCATCAAACCATTGGCCAAATATGCATGTGCTCATTTTAGTGGTTAATGATGAACGGAAAAAGACTGCCTCAACAAAAGGAATGCAACAGGCTGTGAAAACATCTCAACTAATCAAGTATCGAGTGGATAAAGTAGTTCCCGAAAGGATCCCAAAATTAAGAGAAGCAATTAAAGCTCGTGATTTCCATGCATTTGCAGAGATAACGATAAAGGACTCGAATCAATTCCATGCTATTGCTTTGGACACTTATCCGCCATGTGTATATATGAACGATGTGTCCCACAGAATTGCATCTTTTGTACATGCTTATAACGAAATAATGGGAAGCTTAAAGGCTGCCTATACATTCGATGCTGGACCAAATGCATGCCTATATGTTTTGGAGGAAAATGTTCCGCAGCTGTTGTACGCAGTTCAAAAGGTGTTTCCAAGTGATTCAAAGGACAGTCCTGCCTATTTACGAGGTCTATCCGTCCCAAAGGTTGACAATATTGAGGTTGCTCAGAAAAACAAAATTGATTTATTAGATGTTCATTCGAAAAATGCATTTAGATACATTATTCACACAAAAGTCGGTGAAGGACCGAAAGAATTGAGCGCTGATAATAGTCTTATGAAAAATGGACTACCATCGGTTCACTAAGAGAAACAAAAAAACTGCCTATCTGTCACAAATATTTATAATCTTAAATATTCATATAAAATAAAAAGAGGAGTTAGTTCGTTGTGTGGTTAAAAATATTAAGTTTTAGCTTGTAAATAGCAAATATCCTTACGTTTAAAATTATTTATTTTATTTGTTTCACTTTTTATAATTCCATTACAAAAATATTTTCTATTATCAAATCAGATAACAAAAATAATTTTATAAAAGGTTTTTAGGTAACTAATTTGTAATAAAATGTTTACATTATAAATGGGTATGTAATACGTAATAAAGGAGAGACCTAACAAAAAGTTTTGCTGTGTCTTTACGTTTTAAAAAATGTTTATTTATGCGTAAATGTGTATGCAGGATTGTGAAAAGAAACTGTTTTTAAAATCGTTTAGTAGAATGTGGTCAAAGGGGACGGCGATAAAGATCTCATACTTACCGAAGCTAAGGAACCTACAAAATGATAATCTATACAAATTTTTCGTTACTCATGTTCGGAATACATTACTTGCATAAAGCTGTGAATCACTAAGAAACGAAAAAAAACAAGTGGGTAAATACAAACATTTTATTTGACCGCGCCCAAGATCCATGATGATATAAAAACAACAAACAACATTTTCAACATTCTACGTTTTCTTTGCCTTGCTAAGAAAATATTTATTATTATTGTTTTTTTTTTTTTTTGATATGATATATGGCAGACTTCAGTTTAAAGTTTACATTTTAAAAGTGATCGAAGCACTGCTATTTATTTTTATACAATGGTATATGTAGTAGATATTAGATACGATGTAATCCATTTTTGCACAAATTACGTGAATTATGTATAAATAAGCAACAAATGAAGAGCGTAACAATTAGTAAATAAATCTTTGCAGTTGCACTGAGTTTATACTCCTTATTAATTAATTAAAAATAAGTACATTTTATGGTCATGGTAATATAAAGGTTAACATATTTATAAGGTAAGATTGTGGTTTCCTGGGTTGGCATAAAATGCAATTCATCTCATGTAAAACCCCATGGGTATATCATCATCGAAATTAGTTTTTACACAACGATTATTTTCAGATTTCCTAAATTTCATTTTAATTTTATCTACCGACGTATGCAAAAAATAATAGGGGGAACTCTGCAAACTCATAATCTAATGATGAGGCTTTAAGTGTTCCACATAGTTCTCCGGAATGAGTCCTGTTTTGCCGTTTAGTGTACCTTGCAGCCAGCCAGGTTCATGAGAATACCGAACTGTAAGCAAAGTATATTTAAATAGGCATGATTTATTTGTATATTTATTTTAACTTACCATTAGTTATTATTTGGTTAGGCTCAAATGAAAGCTCACCCTCACTTTCTCCCATACAAGCATAAAGTGTGCGCACTCGACTGCAGAAAGGAAATGTTTTGTTTAGATTATATGCTCATTATACAAAACATTTATAAACAAATACTTACGCTGTGCCCGTTGACAAATCCCGTTTTATTTGGTTAATGTCGCGATTACGATGCATTTTACTTGGCGGATATTCGGAGCTTTCGTTGGCGGAACCGCCGCAGCTGAGACTAACGGAGGGCAATGTGGTCTCCGCAACGATCTCGTCGTAGGTGGGACCAAGACTCAGTGCATACTCATTGGAGTTCCTTGTGTTCAGGTGCTGTGTGACATTGCCGCTGTTGTTGCTAGTTGCCACAACGGAGCTGCTGCCCAGGCCGTTGTTGGAAGAGAGTGAATCACAAACACTGTCGTTGGAGCTCGACGTTGAGGTTGGCATCAAGGGGGAATAGTGTTTCGTCTGGCCATAGGAGTGCAGTCCCCGTTGGACGGGCGGATGCTGTTGCGGCCCACTGACGCTGCCCAGAAATCGCTCCTTTCGCGTTGCGGTATTTGGCGGGGAAAGATTATTAAGACTAATACGATTGCTTGACGTAGCACCACCGGCACCGGCACCACTCGCCGTGTTTGTATATATATGGTTGCTTGACCCCGATTGCGATGACACTGGCGTGGCCGTGGTCATCAGATAATCGGGATGTCGGAAGTTACTCGTACTGCTCACGGGTACGGCATGGTGCGCCTGTAACGTCACACCGCCATTGTTGGCCACGCTGGCACTTATAATACCATAATCGGGTGCCACATCGGTATCGGTACACGAGCTGGGCACGTATCGCCTTGAGCTCGAGTCGTTCTTCGAAATGGTGTGTAGGTTATTGATGCTGCCCACTGTTGGCGCGAGTATTCCGTTTAGCATGTGCATCGGTGGCGACAGCGATATGCAGCCAGCACCGCCGGAACTGTTGATAACGGTCGATCCGCCACTGGACATGCCAAGGGCGTAATTATCGCCGTTTGGAATATTTTGCAAGCTCGACGACATCGTGGGCTCCGTACAGTTGGACTTGTTTACCACCCGATAGATCTTCTGCTGGTTCAAGAACATGGGATTGGCCGCCGTACTCCCACTGCCCATTGCGCCCGTCGATGCCGCCTTTCCTATTTGCGAAGCGCGCGGCATTCGAGTTGGTGGACTGCTGCGACTGGGGTACATGATACTCGGCGTTTTCGTGGTGTCCGGCAACTTAACGTCGCTGCTCGGTTTGTTCTTGAAAATCCGCTCATAGCTGTCGATTAGAATGTTGATGACGATGTTGTTAAACTTGATGTCCAATATGGCGGCAACGGACTCTTCTCGCGGGCGTAACAATGTTGGCCCGAAGACAACTCCAAGATTAAATACGGACATTTTGTTCTTCTCGTACTTGCGGGAAACACTAAAAATATAAATAATTTTAATAATAAGTACAATCGCAAAGTTAATGGAGTGAAGATCAGGGGTGCGACAGAAACCTCTTCCAGTCGAATTGAAATTCTCGGTGGCGAAGAAGTTAATTCTCAGGCTACAATCAAATTCAAGTCACTTACGTATCTGCTTTTGGAATTGCTGGTTTGAAAATTCAACAAAAGCCAAAAGCAATGTACTTGAATATGACTTTAAGGCAACAAAAGATTTATTAAATTAAGTGCTGCGTTAGGTGAAACCAAACTAGTTAACCAAGCAAAAGTTCTAAAAACAAGTAACAAAATTCAGAAAATGTAACGTGATAGTTTTTAAGCGTCTAGATCCTAAAATTGGCCGACAAATCTGCCACTAACCTGCGTCAGGCCTTAAAAAGATCAAAAAGAATGCACAACTACCTTTTTTGCAAGTCTAATTTAAACTTCCGATCAATTATACTTTACCCAGGCCAAATCTCTGAGTAGTTACATTGGGCTTAGTCCATATCCTCAAGGTAACGAAAAGGCTGACAGGCTGTGATAAATTGGGATGGATTAGTATATACGTTAAGAGCAGTAGATGCCATCGAATTATAAAAATAAATAAGATCAGACAGGCAGACATAGTTAAAAGGAGCGTCTATTGGTGCTGACTAAGAATATAACCATCTCCCTTTTAAAGAACAATAATGTTGCAAAAAACCTTTCAGTATTACAAACATATTAAATATTTACAATACCCATTCGTCGGTTTTCGAGAGAAGTATGTACATATTTACAACACTTACAATTCTCCTCTCAAAAATATTTAAAGGTCTATTTTTAGCAAAAAGCTGTAAGTATGTAACTTTCTGTTGGAAGAGATTTCTGGAACAATACCGACCGACAATAAATATTTTAAACTTTTAAAAAGCTTACTTAGAAAATACGATTTAATTTAAAATTTTGACGAATTAGGTATAGACAATTTTAAAACTTTTTTATGTCTAATAAAATTTTTCCTGAAAAGGAATAATTTCCAGATCGACTTACTCTTTTAAATGCGAAATAACCATATCCAGCATCTGGAAATTGGGCTGGGGCAATTTGTAGACCAGCTTGTGCACCTCATTCACGCGTTGGTTCAGGGTTTCTTGCTCTAAAAATATTTGTTTACATTATGTAGATACATATATGATTAAGCATATGCTTACTTGCTGCTTCAATGAAATCGCTATGGTACTTATACGTCATTAGCGGCTCGTTCAGATTCCGAAGATACATTTTGAGGGCACTAGCAATGGTATTGCTCTCCATTAAATCCCGATACTTTTCGTCGACAAATACGTCTTCCGTTTCCTTTTGATTTAGACCAAGGGACAGCAACTTGCTGATCTTTGTTCCAACGCCACTTTTTCTGTAAATGCCCTCGTCCTCCAGACCACGAATTTCTAATACCTGAATGCATTTACGGATAAACATGAACCCGGCTTCATCCAGTTGATATGCTTCGCTGACTTTGATTTTTCCGGGTGCCAAATATGTCTTTGTACGAAATATAAAAATTTATTTTAAATATATGTAAATCGAATTTAATTAATTTAATAGACTTACCGGCTCCGTGCCATCCATAGCGCTTATCCAATAACGATGATCTTTTTCGCTCAAAGCTTGAAATGTGTACACGACTCCTGGCTTTTCCTTGAAGGTCAAATCAAAGCAAAACCTCTTCTCAAACTCGGATGCCCGTCGTTGACAAGAGAACAGCGTTAGTTTTTCATCGTCACGCGCCTCGGGTCTCGTAAAATTGTGATTCATCTGATTGAACTGGAGCATGGTGAATTCCCGCTTTTGCTTCTTGAATGTGCAGTAGTACTTTGTCCATGTTGCTTTGAATGGCTCTAAAAGGGAGATTTTCAGAATGGAACCTATAATTCGTTCGCAATGAAAACAATTAGTTGATGGCAGTGAATTTCGTTAATCCATTATTTTGAAAGGAAATCTCGATATAATAAGAAAGTGAGAAGATAGTGAGCAAGTCTACAATTAATATGTGCAATGTGTTTTGAGTTATCACTCTGTGCTTTTTGTTAGAATGTTAATGTTCAATAAGGATAAGTTATAGAAATTCTTGCCATTAGTTAGACCAGTCTTATATTTCTAATCGGATGGATCGGATGGCACCACAGAAATTAAAAAAAATATGTAAACCAAACCATGCTAAAATGCAGGCAGCCATAAGCCAGGAAAAATTTAAATCTTATAAATGCGAAAACACGTACTTTTTTCCATTAAAAATAGGTAACCACGTTTTGTAAAAATTTCCTCGGGCTTCTGTTAACAAAATAAATTAGAAAACAAAGTAGTATATGTTTTTCATTGACTTACTGTGCGTTTTTCCATGTACTTCGTTTTCAGCTCAGTCACTTTTTCGCGTGCTTCCTCGAAATTTTCCCGAGTCTGGAGAAAATAATTTTTAAAAAATATCAGTGTGTGAAGAGACTTTAGAATTAATTGTGTGTTCTTTACTTACTTTTTGCACTTTGTGCCTCAAATCTTGCAGGTAGTCGCGATGATCTTCCGCCTGTTCGTGTGCTGTGTGATAAAACACCAACCAGCCAGAAATAAATGCGAGCAGTATTTCGACAAATTCGAATTTAATTCGCTCCTGCACTTCCTGTATGCGCAAAACATAGCTCAGCGACTCTTGAATATATTCGCGCTCATGCATGCCCAAACTAGCATCCGCCTAGAACATAAATAAATAATCATATTAATAATATTTCAATTCAGGCAAGCGAACACTGTAAGTGAAAACATCGTGATATTGTTAGTTTCATAGGTTTAAAATAGTTAATTTGTTTTAAAAGGGTATGTAGGTTGAGAAACATGTTTTGCGCAAAACCTGTCGTTAGAATAAGAGTGTTTTGATAAACAGTGCAAATATAACCTCCCCCGGAAATAGTGTCTTCATTTAAGCAGCGATTACTTATGCAGTTGATAACTTACCTCCTGTATTGTGTTTTCTGGCTTTTTTGTTGACATATTCAGAAAACGCTCCTGCGACTGACAAAATTTCTCCGTTTTCTTATCAAATTTTTTTGTTCTCTTTGACGCCACCAATTTGTTTTTTTCGAAAATCCTCCAGTGACTCAATAATATGTTTATCAGCAAGAGTTAGCTAAGTAATAAATTGTTCAGATATGAAAAAAACGGTTTCGAAATGCGGTTACTCAATGGCGGATACAAATTTTTAGAACCACATACTACGGTTTATTTTTGATCCGCCACATTTTTTGTTTTTTTTTAGTTGACTTACCATTTTTTCGCGCTCATCTTCGATATTGCCAATTATAGCACCGAAACGTTTCAGGCTTTCACAAATAACATTCTCATCGTCGGTCTGAGCTGTGCCTATGCACTCAAAGTTAAAGTCGGTAAGTAAAATGGCCAATTGTTTCATTCTAGTGGACAGCACTGAAAATGTAATTCAAATTTGATGAGATATCAAAATAAATACGAAACAAAAAGGTTAAGTTAATGATTACTCTTTAATCAAATTATTAAAAATTTAAAATGTTCCCTCTGTGGATTGTTATTAATTCTAAAATTAACATAAATCAAAATTTATTTGAAAGTGATCAAACAAAAGTGGAGTTAACACATTTCCTATGTTCCGAAACAATTGGATTGTGGATTTACACAAGTTTTCTTGAGCAGGCTATGCACTGAACTTGTCTTACTTCATTCTGGTAGTGAATACAAAAAACATCGACTCCATTAAAGATCAACCCTTTAAGGATGTACAAAACGCGACCTTGGGCGAACCCAAATCCCCGCTCGTAAGAAACATTTCTTTAAATTGTATTGTATTAAATTGTATGTTTTAAAAACAGGAGCTGTGAACAGCGTCTAACAACATTACAAAAATGTTGCGCATTTGCAGAAAAAAGCAAGAGTCTGTTTGGTGACGAGGGAGAAGCAAAGGAGGAAAAGTACGTTGTTCTGAGAAAGTATATTCAACCAGTGAAGCTCCTACAGAGGACTATCTGGGGCAACTATTTTACTGATTGTACCGTCTATGTGGAGGGTCGAGCCTTTCGGTGCCACTCGCTAGTGCTTTGCCTCTACTCGCAGTACCTTGCTTCACAACTAACCGAAGATGGACTTGTGATTAAGTCACCGTATGTCACGGCAAAGGGTTTTAACGAAGCGTATCAATGGATGACTGCAGAACGTTGCCGTGTGGATCTTAATGACCTTTGCGACGTTTTCAGAGCCGCATACCATCTGAAAATAACCGAATTGCTTGAGTATTGCTGGAAACTGCTGGATAGCTATTTGTACACTGAATTCTCAGCGTTTTACTTCCTTTACGAAACACGTCGTGCCCATGAGCTGACGAGCATTCACCAACTGCTCGTGGGACGTATATCCAAATCATTTACCACAATTTCATCAAGTCGGGAATTTCTGTGCCTCAGTGAGATGCAGATTTGCATGTTGCTATCGTCAAACAGTTTGGCAGTCAACTCGGAAATGGAGGTTGACCTTTTTGGTCATATATTCATTGTTATATTTTATTATATTTTCTTTTTTATAGGTTTTTTATAGCGCTCTGATGTGGCTTCGTCATTTATGGCCAAGCCGCCGTTCGAGCGTATATAAAGTTTTGAGTCAAATTCGTTTTGGGTACATGACACCCACCATGTTGAGCAAGTTCAAGTCGCTGGAAAAGCATCTAGTTGGTCCTTTTAATGAAATTCTAAGCGAGTTTAACAAGAACCCCAACGTTGCACCCCTCATTCGGGATGGACTATTTTACAGCACCTTGATAATAACAAGCGCCAATAACCCAAGTTACCTCAAAGAAAATATAGAGTACAATTCGATCAAGTTGATCGATCCTCGTCTGTGGGTACGCGACCTTAATTGCAAATATCATTGTGGCGTTAACGAAATGTGTCCAAATATGCGTTTTGTGCCATTTGGAAAATTCAAAGCCTACCTAAAACAACTGCAAGGCGGCAAACAGGATTACGACAAGAGCATCAAGCTTCCTGGTGAAAAGGAACAGGATGTGCCGGCAGAACCTGAAGATGCTGATTCAAAGCTTGAGAGAATAGCTAAAAAACGAGCTTTCGTTGCAATGCTAAAACAAATGGATCTTGTGGAATGCATAGAAACTATGAACGAAATGTTAGCCCATAAAAATAATTCAACAGAGACATCTGAAGAAACGTCTCATGAGGAATCAAGCCTATAAAACATCTTAGAAAATGCATCATTATTAGAAATTTATCAAGGGATGGAAATTGAGCAACCGGGATTGCAAGTGTTCATATATCATTTATAATCTATTTATAACATTTATTAATGATTCAGAAAGAGAACACATTATTTATAAAAAAAAAACACCAGTACACATTATTGATTGAATTATTCATACTTACTTTTTGCCGCACTCATAAGATCTTTGACCTCTTTGATTATTCGTTTGATTTGATGACTAGTGTGGTCCAGTTCCTTTTCATGCCGATTTAAATTTTCACGAAAATCTGGACTATCGACGATGCACTCTTCAAATTCCAGTGGCTCCAAGCCGCGGCGTATGTTTTTGCCGCCGCCCATTATGTTTGCTTTTGGCTCCAATAATATTGAAGATTTTAAGGCTCAATTTGTATCTTCACAAAGCGGAGTTCTCCCTCAATTGCTAATATACTGTGTATACTTGTCAAGCGTTGAAACTGTAGTTTTTGAAACATTTACAGTAAGAATTACTCCATTAAAGTATTTAATTTCTAATGTAAATACTTTGCGGTTGTTAGACGATGCATAGTTGTATTTCTGTGTATATAACTGAAACAAAAATATTATTTACAATTAAAATTACTCGTATAACACGTATCCGTAAGAATTTTATCACGTTACAACGATTTTTAACATTTTGTTCATGCCCATTAATAAAAACTTACATTTACATAAAATGGTACATTGCTTTTGGCCGTTTGATTTTCAGACTCAACATGAGCCATAAGTCTTAAACTTTTTAAGCCTCTAAAAACTTCTCAGGTTACCTAAGTGAGATTTTTTATTAGCCGTCAATTACCATTAAAAATGCCCATAAAAGTTGTTTTAATAATAAAGCCTCTCTGAGAACTTTGATTTGACTTTGTAGTATGTTAATTTTGGGGCACGCAGGGCGCTTATGTCTGTGATTACTACGTGATGAATTCATTAATTACCAAATAGCTGCAGTTCAGATGGTAAAGAACTAAAGTGAGCACCAACGAAAAATAATACAATGAGATTAATAGATAAAAATTGGGCAGTTATCGACCACCTTGCATCAATTGCGGACGTTTATTTAATTCTTATCTTCGGTGTTTTTCGCTATACCCACACCTTCTCAAACTTCTTATCTCTGCGAGTATACAAGCGTTTACCGAAAGCAAGTTTAAATACACTTGCTATTTCCTATCAAAAATAAACCTACCGCCTACCTGATAAGTACCCACCATTACATAAATACATAACCAATTTGGCAAATCGAATCATTTCAATTTAAAATACATAAAATGCGCAAAGCGATGGTCAACCTGTCTTAAAAGATGCATTTCTAACAGGTGCAATAAATATAAAACTTCATCCTTTTTCTTCTACCGGTATCAATTCAAAACTAAAAAAAAATGGAATGGAAAATTTAAAAAAAATTCCGTAGAAATGATTGGTACTAAGCAAATAAAAGGGAAAATCAAAGGTCACAGCAACAGTGTTCAATTAACTAGTTGTTACTGTTAACATTGAAAGGCTTAATTTGTTAAATAAATACTTAAGTAAATATTGGAACATTAAAAATTTATCTTGTGGACTTTAGCTAATGGGGATACAAACAAAAATATAAAATAAGTCAGCTGTTGCCATAGCTTTCAGGGAAAGTTAGTGATTCTTACAATTTATAAAATACTTTTGCTAGTGGGAAAGAAGATATGCTGGCTTTATAAAGCTTTAAAAACACTCAACCATTCTGCGTTTAAAATTATCTTATCTTCTTTGCATAGTTATAGCAGCTTTAAGTTGTTGATCATGAGTATGTACATACGTACATACTTACATATATACACCGCTGGAATTTTGTATTGCTGCTGCATTGCGTACATGTTTCATTTAAAAATAACTTGTATTTATGTTTTCTTAATGATAAGTTGAAGTAGGTGATAAATAAATCATTTCCACACACTTTGCAACACTATTCATGAGAATATGAGGCGTATCAAAAGTTTTTTTTTTGCATAAACTTGTTAAATTTCGATGTACATATGTAAACATTCATCTAAAAACTGGTTGCGAGGCCACTAACACCATAATTCGGATTTCGGACATACCCCATGGACGAAAATCAACTGCAACACGAAATCCTTTGTTTATTTCGTATACATGTATTTGTTTAAAAAACTAAATAAATTATACATATACATAGATACACACCAGCACACACACACATGCATGGAATCACAAATAAATAAATCCTTAAAATGAATCCGCCTATTGGATCATTTGAAACACTGTTTTATGTGACTTTAGCCCATCGGAATTCACTTATACAAAAATAAATGCTCTTAGTTACGAAAGGCAACCGTCGGTAGTTTTTCGCGTACCGCAACCGCACACACATTTGTACTGTGTTAAATTACTCACAGAGTAAACATTAGTGTATGAGTAATTTCCCCAATATCTAATGTTGCTCTCACAACGCAAATGACCGCGTCGCGAGTTTCGTTTCAATATGCGGATAATATTAAACAACAATTACACAGTTAAGTGTTTTGTATTCTAATGCACCAAAATATATATTACTTTGACTGTTAAAACTCCGATTAGAAAAAAAAAAATTAATGTAGGTCTGATAAAAATACACAAGTTATCTGAACGTGCTGTTAAGTATATAAAATGTGCTGTTAGGCGCATTTACAATCCATTCTCACCGACCACTTGTGGGATGGTCCGTTAGCTATAGTCGAGAATAATCTTTTTAAATTTAAAATCTCTCGTTTGCACTATTTTAATCTATTTAGCAAAATAAATGAATAAGTGTTTTTATAATTATTTTTGGAATAAACTTAAAATTTGTTACGTTAACAGGCGGATGCTGGATTTCATAGTAATCAGTGGGAACTACCGTTTCACATCTTTTTGTAATCTCAACCATTCCATAGGGTGTGCCAGTGCTAAAGCCGTTTACAGCTAATAGAGTATGCCGACTGGTAAAGTGTAATTTGTAATAAGCGTAATTGCGGGATGAGACTCTCCAGAAATCTTTGACATTTTCTGGCAACTCCTTTTTTTACCCTGACAAATCTGAACAAAGGAACAGTTTTTAATAATTAATTTAATAGTATATGGAATACCCTTATTATTTTATTGGTATATTGTCTGGTATATTCTGTACGCTTGAACTGTATATTTCTATGAGCCCTATGCTCTCTTTCGAAATGTTCCGTGGTCACACTGTTCGTTAGACCGGCTCGTGTTGTGCATTATATTGTTGAATTATATTATATAAGGAATATGATGCGGAGTGTCATTCATCAATTATTGGGTTTGAGGTGGGTGCATTTCTTATTGGTGTATTAACGAACAGTCAATATTTGTCTCTTCACACAGGCTTAGTGGTCACTGCGGGGTTTCTCTTACCCAGGTTCGTGAAAAGGGCCATTTGAGTCGACCCCGACTTCGGAATCCCCAATGGTTTTTGCGCAAGGAAGTCACAGTATGTTTTTTATATATATGCCTATTTACAACACATTCATTAAAGTTTCATTACAACAGAAATACGATGATCATATGACGCCAGAAAACAAACAGTTTGTCAACGAAGTTGCTAATGATAACTTTGGCGTTCCAGCAGTAAAGAAAGATAATTTAATCGCGACTACATCTCCATCCAAGAATGAGGCATTGTGGACCCCAAACTTGAGACGCTGCGGCCTGATAGCACGAAAAATAGGTCAATATCCACTGTGGCTTAAAAACGGCGAGAGGATACGAACGACACTGTTGCAGATTGCGGACAACCATGTTATTAAGTACATTCCTCCGGAAGAGTATTTACCTGCACAAGTTCCCAAAGTTCACAATTTGCATAAACGCGGTTGCATTCTTGTTGGCGCCGAGAGCACAAATCCCGCTTTGCTGACCAAAGAGTACTCGGGAATATTTCGAGATTCGGGCGTTGTTCCCAAGAAAAATTTGGCTCGATTTATCGTCTCGCCGGAAGCTGAAATTGCGCCAGGAACTCCCCTAAATGTTAATCACTTCAGCGTTGGCGATTTTGTAGATGTTCGTGGCAAAACGTGAGTTTTTTGTTTATAAAGGTTTATTAATCCTTGGTTTTACAACAATCGTCTTTGTTTCTACAGAGTTGATCATGGTTTCCAAGGTGTAGTGAAGCGTCACGGATTTAAGGGTATGCCAGCGTCCCATGGTGTTACAAAAACACATCGTCGTGCTGGAAATATTGGCGGAGGTGGTGAAAAGGGACGAGTATGGCCTGGTACAAAGATGCCGGGTCATATGGGCAATCGGTGGCGTGTTATTAAAGGCCTGCGAGTGTGGCGAATAAACACGAAGTACAATGTAATGTGGGTGCAAGGAAGCTCAGTACCCGGTCCAACCAATGGACTCGTCTACATCTACGATACTATTTTGCCTCTGCGGAAAAACAAGGAAGCGCCGCCATTCCCTACGTTTTACGGGGAAGCACAGGAAAATGGAGAAGATATCTGGTTTGATAAAGTGCACAACTTTAAAAATGAGTCTATAACATATGAAAACGAATAACTTTAGTACTTAGGGTATTGTAAAATCTAATTTGTTGTTTTGAAATTAAAAAAAAAAATAATTTTACATACGAAAGCATTTATTTTTTATGCTTAAAATAAAAACATATTTTTCGTTTATAGAGCAATATTTGCTATTTAACGCAAAAATATTTGAACGTTTCATGGTCACCCAAAGTTTTACCGATATCTTATCGATATTTCGACAGCTGGTCATTCAGAGGCACGGTAACACTGAATCAAATTTAGAGGAATCGTGCCGGGTTATTTGTTATTTAGTTGTAAACAATTATTATTAAATAAACTAGATTGCACATTCTTTCCACTTTAATCATGCCCAAGGAGCAGTTTCGCGCTTCGGCGCTTAACAAAAAAGATGTAAGTCATGGATTTATTACAGATAAATAAAAAAAATCACGAAATTCCTTCAGTTCACATGTGCAGTTTGGAATCAGTGGTGCCGATGAAATCCAACAGGAGGCCTTGGTGCGGATCATCTCGAAGAATTTATATCAGGCCCAGCGGCAACCAGTTCCCTATGGAGTTCTTGATCGCAGGATGGGCATCAGCACAAAGGATGCCATGTGCGAAACGTGTGGTCAAGGCCTGAACGAGTGCATCGGTCATTTCGGCTATTTGGATCTGGCATTGCCAGTTTTCCATATCGGACACTTTCGTTCAACCATAAACATTCTGCAAATGATTTGCAAGGCATGTGCTCATGTGATGCTCAAGCCGGAGGACAGGCAGTTGTACGAGAAGAAGCTGCACAACCCGAACTTCTCCTATTTGGGAAAGAAAGCGCTGCACGTGCAAATGTTGGCCAAAGCCAAGAAGGTTACCAAGTGCCAGCATTGTGGGTCCCCGAATGGGGGCGTGAAAAAGGGTCCAGGGCTGTTAAAAATCCTGCACGATCCCTACAAGGGACGCAAAGTGGATTCCCTGTTCAACAGCAACATGAACGAAATGCTCCGTTCGACGGAAGCAAATCGGGACCTAAATCTTACTCTGGGCAACTACAGCACTGCCGAGGAACTTACACCGCTCATGGTGCTCGACTTGTTCGAACAGATTCCCCAGAGCGACGTGGCTCTATTGGGAATGTGCTCGCATGATGCCCATCCAAAGCATCTAATTGTCACCAGAGTCTTTGTGCCTCCCGCCTGCATTCGCCCTTCGGTTTTGTCCGAAGTAAAGGCTGGCACCACCGAGGATGATTTGACAATGAAGCAGAGCGAAATCTTGCTTATCAATGATGTAATCCAGCGTCACATGGCCACCGGCGGAAAGATCGAGCTTATCCACGAGGACTGGGATTTTCTGCAGCTTCATGTTGCTCTTTATTTCCATAGTGAAATCAGCGGCATTCCCATTAACATGGCACCAAAAAAGACAACTCGTGGCATTGTGCAAAGGTTAAAAGGCAAGCAGGGTCGCTTCCGTTGCAATCTATCCGGCAAAAGAGTGGATTTCAGCGGACGTACTGTCATTTCACCAGATCCGAACCTAATGATCCACCAAGTTGGCGTTCCTGTGCGTGTGGCTAAGATTCTTACCTATCCCGAGCGAGTCAACCCAGCCAATATGCGCCACATGAGGCAACTAGTGCGCAATGGACCGAGCAAGCACCCGGGCGCCAATTACGTTCAGCAGCGAGGGTCGAGTTTTAAGAAGTATCTTGCCTATGGAAACCGAGAAAAAGTCGCACAGGAGCTGAAGTGCGGTGATATTGTGGAACGTCATCTGGCCGACGATGATATTGTGCTGTTTAATCGCCAGCCGTCGCTTCATAAGATGTCGATTATGTGCCACCGCGCCAAAGTGCAGCCGCAAAGAACATTTCGCTTCAACGAATGCGCCTGTACGCCATACAACGCTGATTTCGACGGTGATGAAATGAATCTGCACTTGCCGCAAACGGAGGAAGCAAGGGCCGAAGCTCTAATCCTGATGGGAAACCAGTCGAACTTGGTCACGCCAAAGAACGGTGAGATTTTAATTGCTGCTACCCAGGACTTTATTACCGGTGGCTATTTGCTTACGCAAAAGGAGGTCTTTCTTACTAAGGAGGAGGCCATGCAGTTGGCCGCATGCTTTTTGGCCAACGAGGATTCCACGATGCACATAAAGCTACCACCGCCTGCGCTTCTCAAGCCTCGCCGTCTGTGGACTGGTAAGCAAATGTTTAGCCTACTGATGCGACCAAACGACGACTCCCACGTGCGCCTTAATATGGTCAACAAAGGTCGAAACTATACGCGAAACATGGACCTGTGCAGCAATGACTCCTGTAAGTAGTGTACGCTTTGTTTCTTTAATTAAAGCTTATAAGATAACATGATCTGTTCTCAGGGGTTCATATACGCAATTCGGAGTTGATGTGCGGCGTTATGGACAAGGCGACAATGGGCTCTGGTACAAAGCAGTGCATTTTCTACTTGCTGCTAAGAGACTTTGGAGAACTGCATGCCACAAAGGCGATGTGGAGACTGGCAAGGGTGCGTATAATCACTGATTAAAAATGTAAACATGAAATGCTTATCATTAGAAAGGCCGCTTACAAGTTTTCGCACATAAAGGTTATTTGCTATGCAGTTCTTTTATTATTGCTTTTCGACTAAAATCCGTCCAGCTTTTATAAAACGCCGCCTGTTGTGTCACTAATAAAGTTCAGGAAGGAGGTTAGACGAACGTAACCAGAAGGATAGCTCGCAGTGCACTGATCCTCAGCAACGAACGAATTAATACCGATCTGCTGCCATTGTCCGGTGCTCGAGTTGTATGTAATGAGCGGACCGCCGGAGTCGCCACTGCAAATGGACATGTTGCTTCCTTCGTAGCCTTTGGCACACATTGTCGAGTCCAAGACGACATTAGTGCCAAAGATGGGCTCACACACGCCATTGTTTATGATCTGCACTTGAGCGTACAAAAGGTTTTGCGAATAGTCCAGATACTCGTCGTCCATCAATCCGAATCCCGCCACAGTTGCCACAGTGCCCACAAAATTGTTCGATTTCTGTGACTCTGTGACCAGTTGTATGGCCTGAATGGTACTTGAAAATGTCAGTGGTTCTGGCAGCCGAATCAGCGAGACATCGTTATTCAAATTGTCATTGTAGTTCGGATGGACAAAAATGTTCGTAGACGTCATATTCAAAGCGTTTTCATCGTTCAGATCCACGCTGCCGAACATTAAGAAGATTGAGCTGTAGCCATAAGTGCAATGTGCTGCTGTCAGCACCCAGTTTTCATTAATTATAGATGCTCCACAAAGCAGATCGTCCCATTCGTCTCTCTTTAAAATCACTTGCCAAGGAAATTGACCACTCTTGGCCTGAGATCCGGATATGATTCGGCCTTTCTGTTTGAATCGAACTGATATAGTATAAAGTTTCATATACTGGCATCGACCAGCGCTCTACTTACAATAAACATTGACGACACTTCGTTTGGATCAGAAGCCGGCTGAGCAAAGACCCAAATCTTCGCCAATAAAATTAGCATTAGGGATTTTTTGAAATTCGCTCCCATGGCTGCCTTCACGCTTTCTGCTCTGACGGAAGTAAATATATTGTTTAACGTCTGGGCCTATTCCTTGACTCACTTCAATTATCGTTTATCTGTATTTTGCACGAAATTCTTTAACATTCTGTCTTTCTGATAAGATTAACTGCTAACTAAACTTAGTAAATTCGACGTGGGTCTTGCTCTTACGATATATTTTAAGGAAGAAAGGTAACTTACCAATTCGTTAACAACTTAAACCGTCTTTAAATTGTCTTTTCTAAGATGCACTTCCATAGAGTTATATTATGTTTAACTTATTTCAGTTATCACTGAATGTTATAGCCACCATTGAAAAAGTTTAGACAAGGGAAAAGTGGCCATGTAATATGTTAGTTGTTGGCTTCCTTATACCCTTTTAAAGGGCATTTATATTTCAGACAACGTAAACGAGATCTCCGATTAAAAAATATATACAGTCCTTTATCTAAAGAGCACACGCGGTGTTATACGAGTGCCAAATGAAAGCTTCCACACATCTATCAATATTATTAATTATTTCCCTATCATAAATATAATCAATCACTTCTCTGTAATTATTAGTTTATTTTTGTTTATCTTGACTTTCTAAGAAATGTTTACCAATTAAATGGTTTTATTGGCTTTTTTCAGGTCGCATCGTACTTTCTGCAAAACCGTGGCTTCTCATTTGGGATAAGCGACGTGACTCCGAGTAAGAAACTTCTGCAGCACAAGGAATTGCTATTGGAACATGGATACACAAAGTGTAACGAGTATATTGAAAAGCTCAAGGCGGGAACTCTGCAGTGCCAACCGGGTTGCTCGCCGGCGGAGACTCTCGAGGCTGTGATGTTGCGCGAATTGTCGGGAATCCGAGAGCAGGCTGCCAAAACATGCTTTGCGGAGCTACATCCAACCAACAGCGCACTGATAATGGCGCTCAGTGGATCGAAGGGTTCAAACATTAATATTTCTCAAATGATTGCGTGCGTGGGACAGCAAGCTATTAGTGGAAAACGAGTGCCCAACGGCTTCGAGAACCGAGCTCTTCCCCACTTCGAAAGGCACTGTAAGTAAACCTGGAAACCTTGGTTTAAGTACATAAATAAATATGTTATACGCTATATTTTCAGCTGCGATACCTGCGGCCAGAGGTTTTGTGCAGAATAGTTTCTACTCCGGCCTGACGCCAACGGAGTTCTTCTTCCACACAATGGCTGGACGTGAAGGTTTGGTGGATACCGCTGTGAAGACTGCGGAGACTGGATATCTGCAGCGACGGCTGGTGAAGTGCCTGGAGGATCTGGTTGTCCATTACGATGGTACAGTTCGCAATGCTGTCAATGAAATGGTGGATACCATTTACGGTGGAGATGGCCTCGATCCAGTGTCAATGGAGACCCGAAACAAACCCGTTGATCTGGTTCATCAGTACGATAATCTGCGTGCTCAACATCCACATGGCAAGGATGTTCCGCTTCTGGCAACCGAAATTTCTGAGACCCTGGAAAAGCTCTTAAAGACTGCTGAATTTTTGGAAGCCCGAGAAGATTTTAAAACAGATGTTCGGTAAGTTTAAATTTTATCTGACTACTTATTGTGTTTAAAATTTAACTGCATTTTTAGAAACCACATTAGTACCGTGTCGAAACGCATTGAAAAATTGCAGAAACGCTATGAAAAACACAAGAACCTATGCAATCAGATCGAATGCATCACCAGTGAGCAGCTGCTGAAGTTCCTGCGCCGCATTAATGATCGATACAATCGAGCTGTTACGGAACCGGGCACAGCAGTCGGTGCTATTGCCGCGCAGAGTATTGGCGAGCCAGGCACGCAGATGACTTTAAAAACGTTCCATTTTGCTGGTGTTGCCTCGATGAACATTACCCAAGGTGTACCTCGTATAGTGGAGATTATCAATGCGACGAAAACGATATCGACGCCGATCATTACAGCTGAGCTGCAGAATTGCCATAGTATGGAGTTTGCAAGGCAAGTGAAGGCGCGCATTGAGAAGACAACGTTGGCCGAACTGTCCTCGTATGTGGAAGTTGTATGCGGACCTTACAGCTGCTATCTTGCGATCGGAATCGACATGGCAAGAATTAAACTTCTTGGCCTGGCCATAAACTTGGATACAATTGTTTTTAGCATACTGAAGTCGCGTATGCGGCTTAAGCCGGTTCAAGTGGAAGTGGTTGCCAAATCCTCGCGAATTGTGGTTCGAGTTGAAGCTACAAGAACTTCAACAATCAATGCAGAGCTGGCTCGTTTGGCTCTCAGTCTTCAGAATGTGGTTGTGGCGGGTCTGCCCAATATTAATCGGGCAGTCATTGCTGTGGATGATGCAAGACAACCTCCCACATACAAACTATGCATTGAAGGTTACGGACTTCGCGATGTTATTGCCACATATGGTGTTGTAGGCAAACGTACTCGCAGCAATAATATTTGTGAAATATACCAGACGCTGGGAATCGAAGCAGCGCGCACGATCATCATGAGTGAAATCACCGAGGTGATGGAGGGACATGGAATGAGTGTCGATTGGCGACACATCATGCTCCTTGCCAGCCAAATGACAGCACGCGGAGAAGTGCTGGGAATCACTCGACATGGTTTGGCCAAAATGCGTGAGAGTGTTTTCAATTTGGCATCGGTAAGAGAGCTAACTCATTTTATTCTATGTGAAGATTGTATATAATTTTGTATTCCATTTCTACAGTTTGAGAAGACGGCTGATCACTTGTTCGATGCAGCATACTATGGACAAACCGACGCCATTAACGGGGTTTCGGAGCGCATTATCCTGGGAATGCCAGCAGGCATTGGTACTGGGATCTTTAAGTTGCTACAACATCACGAAGACAAGCAGGTTCCGCCCATTGAACAAACGATATCAAGTTCATTGAATCTAGTGCCTAGTGCATAAGGAGCGGGTCTTCTTAACGTAACTTCGGTGTTTAGAATTAAAGTAACGTGTTATGACTTAGCTATTTTCCAATTTCCTAAATTTATTTTCAATCAAATAAAAAATTTTCATAAAATTTGTGTTGAATTAATCAGCGAATCTCTTTTTAAAATTCTAATATTTAATTATGTCACACTTTTAAAGTTGTAACTGCTTCTTTAAATCAAAAACTTTTTAAATTTTGATTTTTTTTTTTTACTTTTGGTTGCATTCCACCGTCCCAGTTAACAATCAGCGGCGCTAGCTTGATAAAAGTGTTTTTGTAATTTTGTTAATCGACGGTCACATTGGCTGTGTTTTCAAAACAACGTGCTAAACAAAACAATTATGGTTTTGATTTCTGATGCTTTTGGCTTGGATGTATCCCCCGATTGCATTCTGGTTGGTATGTAAAAAGCTTAACATAAAATATATGATTAATTATTTATTGTTTATTTATTCGTAGGTCATGGAGATCAGGCAGTTTTATACAGTTCAAATGGCAAAGTCGAAGTGCCGGCTAGGCTGCGTCAAGGAAAAGTTCGTGGATTTGCGTGGAGTTCCTTAAATCAATCGCAAAAACTATTATTGCTTTACAGCGAAAATGAATACTCGCTTATTATTTGCAATTATGGTTCTGAAAAGGAGCAGCTTAAACTGATTTACGAAGGCGAAACCAAAGACTGGATTAATGCTGCTATGTTTCTAAATGATGATAATTTAACAGATAAAAAGCGGTTTGTTCTACACACAGCACATAGTGCAATTTTATATGTGGAATTTGATACAAAATCAAGTGCAGACTGCCACGTTTTGGAATTAGCCAAGTGCACTGATAGTTCCATACTTTACTACACTCGTTTGCACGGTAATTGCTATAACAAGCTAGCAATAATAAGCGGAAATGCTTTTGGTGAATTGTTAGTTTGGCAAACGCAAAGTGCCTTAAAAACCGAATCAGAATCTTCCATAAAAATATATCCCCTACTTTTGCGTCTCCAAGCACACAATGGAGTCATTCACTCGATTGATTTTAATCTGGAATCGCAATTGCTGGTAACAACATCCGATGATCGTTCGGTAAAGTTTTGGAATATCCAAAAGTCTGAGGACTGGTCAACAGTGAAACTAAAGCCAATGTTTAGTTGCTTTGGACATGGTTCACGCGTTATGTGTGTTATCATATTTAAAATTGGTAAGCTTTTATTATTAATACATTTCGTAAATATGCTTACATTTGTTTGTTGCAGATGATAAAATGTTAGTTGCCAGTGGCGGTGAGGATTCCTACGTCTGCGTTTGGAGTTGTTCTGGCGACTTGTTACTGAAACGTCGTCAACATTTTGGAGCACCAATTTGGAGGCTAGGCTTTAGTGAGGAGACATCCACACTATATAGCACTAGCTCTACTGGTAATTTAATTGGACAAAACCTTCAAGAAGTCGTTAACCGCTCAAGAAATATCCCTACTATGCTAAATAGTTTAGGTTCCACAAATGAGTTTGTCAGAAATATCAAGTTTCTTAATGATAATATAATCGTTGGCTTGAGTAGCTCAAATCAATTGTACTATACTCGAATAACGCCGAATTCCTCGTCCTCGAATAATTGGCTCATTGTTAACGATTTTCCGACTTACAAACGGACAGTCTTAGAAGTTTTTGATGGTGTTATTGCCACTTGTGGTCATCGACGAATAACAATTCACAGGTTTAATGCGGAAACAAATAAATTTGAAATGCTTTTTGATGGCATCAGGATGAAGGGCACAATTCGTTCTTTCCATTTTTTGAGCAAAGACGAGTATCTTGTATCTGATAATTTGGGTTATTGCCTATTACTTAAATCACACGAGCTTAGCATAGATTCTCATATTGCACTTTTTAATGACCGTGAGCCATGGATAACAGCTGCTTTGCTGATTTCCGAAAAATATCTTCTCCTGAGCAATCGTAAAGGTCATGTAATGCTCTACCATCGTAGTAATGGAAACGACTTTTTACTAAAAGATACAATTAAGTATCTACATGGTAAAATGGGTTGCAATTTCTTCAAGTTGCTAAGTGTTAACAAGGAGAGTGCCTGTGTTATGAGTGGTGGTCATGAAGCCTTTCTTAAATACCTGCACGTAAGCTTAAGTGATTGTACTTTAAGTGTTAGCCAGCGTGAAAGTATTCCACTGTCTTGGCTTGAAGCATCTCCTTCCGAGGACCTAATTTTAGGCTTTAATGATAATCACATTGTTGCTTGGTCCCGTCAATATGATGTCCTGCTGCAATTGGCCTGCGGCGGCGGCAATCGATGCTGGGACTACCGACTGAGTAGTAATTCGCTCAGCATAGCGTATGTCAAGCAAAAGCGTGTGTTTTTCTATCGAAATTCACTCTACAATGCAGTCGGTAATCAAATCGAACACATAAAACACAATACGTGGCACACACGCAATTGCAATACAATTCGACTCCTTACGCACAAAAATCAATCGCATCCTTTCATTATCTCCGCTGGCGATGATAATATCATTAAGGTGACGAAAGTAATTGATGACTCGCTATTTCAATGTGCAGAACTGCACTCACATATCTCAACTGTTCGCTATTTACAAACACATATGTACAAATCGGAGGAAGAGTCAAGTACATGGTTCATTTTTTCGGTTGGAGGACGATCACAGCTCTGCATTAGCCAACTGAATATAAACATATCCAATAGGTGCCACACAACAGAACTGTGTACTCATACACTGCAATACCCAACTTTATCCACAACAAGTACTATTGAAGCTCGGCTAATGGCAATCGATATTGCCCAGCACTCAGAGAAGAAAAACTTTTCAATATATGTAGCAGGAGCTGATGGAAAAATTAGTCTTTATAATTGGGATTCAGAAAATCCCTCCAGCCTCGATTTGAGAACTTTTGTAGATATAAAGAGATGTCCGCTCAATGTACAATGGATAAGTAGCAAAGAAATGTTATTGATCACAACAACGAATGGAGAAGTGTACGGATTCGATCAATCACTACAATCAGTTTCTGTCCAACTTCAACTCCATGTGACGGGAATAAATACAATAGACATATACGTTGATAAAAACCTCTTGCACATTTTGTCAGGAGGTGACGATGAAAATATCAAGTACACTGTACTTAATTTGGACAACAATAGTGTGGAACATAAATCGGAATTTTCGGGTCTTCACAATGCCCAAGTAAATGCCTTGGCAATACACTGTCCCAAACTAACCACCGAGAAAACCGAAATGTTTGCCTATACCTGCAGTATAGATAGACAGATCTATAGAATAAACCTGAAAACCCAACAATATAGTCGAGTTGGGTACACGTGCATATCGGATGTCAAAGGAATGCTCATCGATGAAAACCAGCGAATGTACTTTTACGGATGCGGATTGCAAATTATAAGCAAATATTAATTCCTTTTTAAAGTGCATGTTTTATTGTATTGACTTAGTGTTTATTTTTCAACATATGTACATAGTGTTAACAGTGGAAAAGAGTTATGAAAAACACGAATTGCCTAAGCTGTCATTGTTATTGTTAAACTTGAAAAGATCGTGCCGTTGTTTTTGATAAATAAAAAATGTCTTGTAAAATTCTATCAATATTTTTTCTCTTGGTTTGGAAGAATTTTCAAAAGCAAAAGAGTAATAAGCTAGTTTTACTTCTGTCGTTAGTCCTGCCTGTGCTTTTTTCTTTATTTTTTTTGTTTATTCGCCTATCAAACGATAAACAAACTACAAGCAATTCAAGCAAAGCGGATTCCAATGAGCTGGAGCTGACTTGGAGTTCGCTTCTCGATAAAATTAATGGACGCCGAGCAGAGATGGTGAAGAAGCAGAAAAAGTGAGTATTACAAAAAGTACAATTCTTCAATTAAAATTAAAAGTATGTACAAGTTTTCCTAGTTTCCCATTTCCGCTTGTCTTATTTGCATGATTTTTTAAAAGTTTTTAACTATCCCTACAGTTTTGAAAGGAATGTCTTCATACCGCAAATAAAGGTGGCATATGCTCCCAGTTCAACGGCTGGCATACAAAAACTCATGGCATCCGCCTTGACAAAACTTTCCATCCCGAAAGATAAGATAGTTGAATTTGAAAATTGCAATGACTTGCGAACCCACGCTTCCTCCGAACATTTTTTAGCAAGTGTCTGCTTCCGCAATGTGGATGAGGCAAGAAATGGTTTGCCATCAGTATTGGATTTCGCGATAAGGATGCCATCGGAGCTCCGAAGCTATGAAGCCACTTGGATTGGTGACAGCTGGAAGGAACTGCCTTCCTTTGCCAATCACAAGAGTTCCGGGGAGGAAAAAGGCGAGGATGGTGGCGACACGGATTATTTACGCGAGGGTTTCGTTGCACTTCAGTATCATATTTGTGCAGAATATCTGCAGACAGCTTCAAAAACTGACAAACTCCCAAAGGTTTCTCTGCGGCCGCTAAATGCGGATTCTAAAACCAATGCACTTTTCTCCAATGAAGTAACCACTTCGGGAATTTTGCTGATTCTTCTGGGATTTATGTTTCCTGTTTCTGTGCTTATAAAGGTTTGTATAATATTTATCTTAGATTTATTCGATTAGCTGTTCAAAGTTACCTAGGAAATTTACTTCAAATCCCATTCCATAATTTAACTCTGTTCTTAACACTCAGACATCATACACTTTTCGAGTTTATTTCGCATACACTTATTTTTTATTTTAATAATGGAGACAAACGTTTTTTTGCAGTTGATTGTGGAGGAACGCGAGCTTGGACAACGTCGTCTTTTGGAGTCCAACAACGCCAGTGTTGCAGTGCAAATTTTGGCCTGGATGTTTAATGTTTTTTGCCAGCTGCTCATGGCATCCATTCTCATCACTTTTATATTCAAGGTAAGAGTTCCTATTAAGTGGATGAGCCGAAAAGTTAACTCCTTTCTTGCAGATCGAGTGGAACGGAATGGTGGCATTTTTTAACAATTGTCCTTGGCAGATATTGCTCCTTTTTCTAGTGTCGTATGTGTTCTCGGTAACAGGATTTGTCGTTTTCATGTCATCACTCATAAGCTCAACCAAAAACGCCCTCTTCATGGCTCCGATCTTATGGCTTCTTGTTCCACTGCCTTTTATATCGGAGGAAGAAGTAATGTCGCAAATTCCCCATGTATTCTACTCGGTGGCCACAATAGTTCTTTGCAATGTGTCCGTAAGTCGAGGACTTAGGAAGTTGTTTTACATGGAGGATCATCCTATGCAAGGACCGTTCACCAAATTCTTGATGTCCAAAGTCACCGAATCCGATTATGGACTACTTTTCCCAATCGGATGCTTCTATGTGCAGGCATTATTTTGCTTTCTTTTCGCCCTGATCCTGGAAAATGATGTCTGGTCATGGTTGGCCGATCTTTACAAGAAATCTTGCCGAGCTTGTCGGCGAACCAGACTGTTCTTCAGTAAAATCCAAAAAGAGGAGCGTAAATCGGGTGTTGAACAAAGCACCAAAACCATGGAGGAAACGCAAGCCTCTATTTACATTCATAATGTTTGGAAGAGGCTATCGAACAGATTTGCGGTTGAAAATGTTACGGTGACTGTGTATCCCGGAGAGGTGGTGGCTCTGCTGGGCAAGAATGCCTCCGGAAAGAAGACACTTCTGCGATTGGTCAAGGGACTGACCAGGCCGAACAGTGGAGAAGTCTTTGTGTCCGGCTTCAATGTGCAAGCCGACAAAATGAAAGCCATTAAGTTTTCCGGAATGTCCATGTCATCGAAACCAGAGTTTTCCGAGTTCACAGTGTACGAATATCTAACATTTTTGTGCCAGTTGCGCGGTCTCGGAAAATCGGAGGCCAAAGATGAGGTGAAATCGTATCTTCGCTTCTTGAAAATCGAGGAGTCGCAGAAGACGCAAGTCTATGAACTTAGCAAAGGACAGAAACTGGTCGTACGAACTCTGGGTGCCTTCGTGGGGAAGACCACCATCATTGTCCTCAACAAACCCTTCGATGGCGTCGACGATGCGAAGGCCAGATTGCTCTTCAGCTTCATCCAGAAGCAGAAAAGCGGTCGCAGTATTTTCTACAGCACCAGCAGTTCGAGAGTTGCAGGCGCCTTTGCCGATCGCATCGCCATTTTCTCGGATGGAAAGATCCTGTCAATTGGCACAAAGAAAACTTTGTGCAGGAAATTCAACGATTCCTATCGACTGGTGAGTGTTGTTCACAATTCAAGTGTAATTGATAAAGAATCTCGTTGCAGGCAAGATCCTAGCAAGTTAAACTGTTCGTATCTTTTCTGTAAGTCAACAATATCGAGTGGATACACCATATCATTTAGATATATATAATATAATATATTTAAATTGGTTTGCCAAATGAAATATGATAAAAAATGATATGGAAATATTGTATTCCTTTTGTGTGAAAGCTTCGCATTTGCTATATTTTTTCTACAACTTTTATATTTATTTTAACAGACCCTTTTTGGCAAAGAAAAGTGCGATTTCAAGGAGGTGCATTTGTTTTTACAAAACTATATTGCTAATATCGAGTTGGATTCAGTTTTGGGCGATTCTGCAGTTTTCCTAGTTAATAATAAAAATCAACAAGAACTGGGCGACTTGCTGGAGAACTTGACAAAATTCAAAGAGGACTTAAATGTATTCAGTTTTCAACTTGAGGAGTGCAGCTTTCAACAAGTTGTGGATAAAATGTTTTCCCAAGAGCAATCAAAATCAAATATTGATGATCTAGAATTTCGCAAGTTGCCCATAAAAAATCGTTCTAAATGTAGATTTTTCAAATTGTCGCATTTTCGGGCTGTCATTCGCCTGCGATTGATCGCGGATATTAGAATCAGTTTCTTGGCACTTTTAAAGTTCATTTTGCCCGCATTGGTGGCCATCTGGGCACTTAGCATGCCATACTTTTGGGACAACAGCCAGCCACCAGGAAATGTGGTTTTCCCCATTCCGGATCACGGCGATAGAATCATTCTAATCCAACAAAAGTCGCCGAGCGGTTCAGTTTTGAAGGCTGCCAAGGAGTACGCTGAAATGGGAGCCACGGAGGTGAAATCCAACATGGAAATCTCGAAATACATCCGGCAATATATTCTCGATCAGAACGTGTTACTGGATATGGATTTTCTGGCGGCTGCCATATTTTTCGATGGCGAGGTCACTGCTCTTTTCAACAACAAATGGCATCACGCTGCACCCGAAAGTTTGGCTCTGGTAATGCATTCTTTGGCAATGTAAGTAGTTGATGGTGATTATTGTTGAAAATACGACTTTTAACTTTGGATTTCTTACCATTTCAAGTGGCTTGATTGGTTCTGAGTCGGGAATCAAAGTGGAATTGGATCCCTTGCCTTTCTCAACAGTTCACACCTTGCAATTGCATCTGAATGCCAATGGAGTCAACTTGATGTTCGTTATCTGTTTGAGCTTTAGTTTCTGTTTTATTTGGAGCATCCCACTCCTCTATATGTCTCTGCATCGGGACAGTCGTTATAATTACATAGAGTTGATTGCTGGAATCCGGCTGGGCGTATTGATCCTGGCTTTTTTGGTCTACGATTTGGTTTTTGTACTACTCGCGCTTCTCCCCTTGCTCATAGTCTTTACATTACTTCAGTGGGACGTACTAATGGATGCTCATATATTTCGTAAGAAGTACCTTACCTAAGGATTATAACTTATTCATTATCCCATTTTATATTGCAGTTCTGTACACCTATGTGCTGTTCGTCGTCGCCTTCTGCGTGCTGAGCTTAAACATACTCATCTCCATCGGATTCTCGGAGCTACGATATGGATATCTGGTGGTGCTTCTGTTCTACTCGTTTGGCATTGTGATCTATATGGCCGTGCACCAGTTGCAGCCCGTTGTGGATCCCGAAATGCTCCTCCTTCTATTCCTGGACTTTCATCCGTTCTATGCCCTGTCGCATAATCTAATGCGCATCCTCGGTTTATCCCAGAAAACGTGGCTGTGCAGTGATAAGGGTATTTACGAGACCAGTGTTTATGCAGAAAAGTGCAAGAGAGTTCCAAATTGCTGTGGTGAGATCTGCCAAAATGTTTTTATCCCTTGTAATTAATCAATAAGGTTATTAATATTTAAAACAGGTTAAAAAAGGCATACAAAAATTAATCACAAATGGTTTTAAAATTTAAACATATAATTGTTAATACCTAAAAGTTAATTAAACCATTGCCTTCTTTATTTGGTATACCTACAATTCTATTAAATTTATAGTTCATTTACTTTACTTTACATACTCTTTAAAACTAGTCTCATTTCCTATATAGATTCCAGTGGCCAGGAGTTCCATTATTTACTATACCTGTGCTGTGTATATCTTCTTTCCGTCGTGGTTTGGATCTCCATTCTCATCCTCCTCAAAACCCAATTGGCGAAGGGCAGGTCCCGCCAAGGAAAATATGTTTGGGAAAATGAGTGAGTTGTGGTCGCTTTGTTTTCCTTTTAAGGTTTTAAAATAAACTCTACATTTGTTCAGTCCAGATTGCAAATACGACCAGAACCTTTTGCACATAACTCAGCCCAACGAACTCGAAAACACCTGGATACTGGAAAAGTCGCGTGTTCGAACTCTGGAACGGAGTTACATAAAGAGCAAAGTTCTGCACGTGGAACACTTGAGCGTCTCCTTCGGTGTGAAGAGGGCACTGAAACATGTTGATTTCATGATGAATCGGTGAGGAAACATCTCCTCTTTTGTACAAAATGCTTATCACCATTGGTTATCAATCTTAGCTATCAGGTTTTGAGCATATTTGGAGCAAATGGCACTGGAAAGACTGTTCTATTGGAAACAATTCTCGGAATTCACAGCCCAAACGCAGGAAGAATAATTGGCCCGAACAAAGTTCCCTTCAAGTCGGGCAGTTTGGAGTCCTGCACTCTGATCGGTTACAGTGCTCAGGAATTGAAATCGTTTCAGTACTTGACGGTGATGGAGAGTATTAAGTTGATACTGCGAGTTCAGAGCTCGAGCAGAGGAAAACGTTTGAAGAGGAATGCCAACAAGTTGTGCAAAGCGTTGGGCTTATACGAAGACCGGTTCAACTTGCTTTCGATTTGCAGTCAGGGAATCCTGAAGCGACTCAGCATTGGAATTGCTCTAATGAGCAACGCGGATCTCATTTTGCTGGACGATCCCTTCACCGCACTGGACGTGGTGTCCCAGCGGAGTATGCTCCATTTGATACACAATCTGTGCAGAAAGGGAAACTCGGTGATATATACTTGCACCGATCCCGAGTTCTCCTCGTCGGCACTGCGAATGGCTGTCATAAGTCATCCTGGCATCGCGGCCATCGGAGAACGCCAGGAAATACAGCGGAACTACTATTCCTCCTACTTTATGATCGAAACCAGAATTCACATGCCCGAATGGACTTCTCCAGTTCACCTTGATTCGGATGATGAGAAGGGGAACAGAATAGAGAAAGTGCACAAACTGAAGCCGCAACCGCACTCGAATCAAGAACTCTATACTGAGGAGGAATTCAAATACCTAAGGATTTGTGGCCTTATTGAAAGAATATTTCCCCATGCCATTATTAAGTAGGTGATATAACAGCACAACATTTTTGTAAGCCTAACTTCTTTCTATTTTCAGGAATGTCGACTTTCCGATGGCCTGTTTTTGGTTATCTAGTAATATGTACTCCCTTAAGCAAATTGTCCGAACACTTTATGCCAACAAACAACATTTCTACTCATATTCCATTTCGCAGCCGACCGTAAGCTCCATATTTCTAACCATTAGTACCCAGAAAACTCCCAGGGAGACATTATCCTATGATGTTGTTAAGTAAGGCAAATAAAAAACCAATAAACAACTCTAATTGGTTGTTTAAATAAACCCTTGTTTTAATCACAAAGAGTTATTATATTTGAATAAATAAGCCTGTATTTTTAATTCTGTTGTTTTAATTTGGAATCTAAGAATCTAGCATTAAAGATAGTATAGAAATTACATGTTTAGTTAGCTTTCTAAAGCCACTTCCTAATTGTTATTGTGTTGGTAATAAGTGTCTAGACTGACGGAACACTTTCCCTGTTCATTTCCTAATGGCTTTCCCTGTGGAAAACACTATAGTTCCGAGCACGCGCAAAAACTGTTTGCTAATGTCGTGTTTTCCTCAAGAAAACATGGCTCTGCGCCATGTAAATGTCTGCCGATTTCGATAAGAATTCTTCGCTGACTATATAAACATTTCCACGAGAGAGCTGTCTTGTTTTTAAAACAAAGACTCCAGCCGTCTCGACAATATGATACAGTGTACGTATAAATCGGTGCTAAATATTAGCAAATTGTATCGAAACATAAAGGACAAAAACTCATTTCGGCAAGCCGTAGTTTATATGCCACTGAAAAAATGGATTACCACTTTTGGATTATAGACGCTAAAGTTAAATCCAGAACATTTCGCTGAATTTGTGTAAGATTTCTTAATCACTTGTATTGTAGTAAGAAGCTCCTGAGTTTAAATACAGAAATCTCATTTAATGTTTTAAGTTATTAAAAGTTTAAACTGGAAAAGTGGTAAACATAAAAGTATTTTACATATAGTTTTTTAAAATTTGTTTTTTGTTATATCTTCAGGCTATGTAAACCTCCTAACTCTTGTGATCGTGTTATCCTCGGCTGTTACTTTTATTGAGGCGGCACGGAATACGACTTGTTCGGATCAGTTCAACGATCTGGCGTTTGCGGATCCCCTCAGCTGCTCCAGTTTCTACGTCTGCCTGCGGGGCAAGGCCATCCGACGAGAATGCTCCAACGGACTCTACTTCGATCAGAAAATCCAGTCCTGCAATCTGCCTGGCTTGACCAAGTGTTTCAACGGCGACCGATCCGGAGGTTCACTGAAGGGAAATACTGCGAACCAGACAGCCGCGAGCAACGATGAAGAATCGAATTCTAGGGATGTGGAAAAGGCAAAGGATGAGGTTAATGAAGTGACAACTTGTAGTACGACTATCTGCGTGACAACGCCGGGCAACAAAGTCAAAGATGCAGTTGCCAAGCTAAGGCGAAGGATTCAACAACTCGGATCGAATTCAACGAACTCCTCGTCGCCCAACGATCCGTCGACAGTCATCATAAGGGAGATCATATTTGTCACAGAAGAACCTCCCCAAGGACTATCAATTTTTAAATCCACAAGGGACTGCCGTGATCTAACCGATGGAGTCTACTTGGTGGACCCAAATCATTGCCGACGATATTATATTTGCACGAAAAACCGGGCCAAGCGCCACAAGTGTCCCAAGAAGCAGTGGTTCGATCGGGAAAGCAGAGCCTGCAGAGATCAAGATCAGGTCTTGAATTGCCCTTCCGGGCGGAATTAGATGAATTTGCAGCTAGGACCGAGTGGATTACAAAAATATAGTGCATTTAAATATTAAAAACTCAGTTGTTCGTCACTACAATTCAATCAAAACTTGTTACAAAAATGTTGAATAATTTTGGCTGATTAAAAAATAAATCTCACTTCGGCTCGCCGGAGCTTTAAGGCCATTAATAATAAATTTGTCCGCTTTTGTTTAAATTAAATTTCCTATGCTGAAATCTCAAAAAACTACTATATTTTGGATACTATGGATTTAAAGCCATTTAAAATTTATTTGTCCGCTTTTGTTTGAATTAAAGTTCCTATGCTGAAATCTCAAAAATCTACTATATTTTGGACACTATGGACTTACCTTTTATTTATGTTGATTTAAAATGCTTTTGTATTTTTAAGCTTCAGGAGTAAAATTGAATAATTAAAATATATGCATATGTTTTCTTGTTTGCTTAAAATGTCACTTGAAAAAATTTGTTGAACCTTTTCCAAAAACAATCTTCCCACTCCAATCAAAGCACTGAATTTGCAATCTATTCAATTTTAATTTCAAAAAATTGATTTACAACCAACAATTTAGAACATAATTTGTGTGCTTAGGCAAATACATTTTCTGGTTTCTATAAACTAGCGTTCAGTCCTACTACTACTACTAAGTTTCTCCCTCGTGGACATTGTCTCGCTTTTGGAACTCGGGCTCCGGGTTTCCAGTCGGCGGGAGGATCCTGCCCTCCCCCAATGGTGTCGTTCTTGTTCTCGCTTCCCGTTGGCAGATTGAGTGGCAGGTTCAACTCGCGCAGGAAACAGGTGAAGTTCACCAATCGGCCCTTGGACAAGAAGGGGATCTTGGGGCACAGCTCGAAGGCGTGGTTCACGGGCAGCATGTTGCATCCCTTGCCGCAGGAGACGTCGATGAAGTTCATCAGGTCGCAGACCTCGATATTGTCGCACTCGTTGCGGTTCAGGATGGAGAGGATGTTGTCGATGAGCTCCAAGGAGAAGGGCAGGCGACATCCCCGGAGCGCGGATCGCACCTTCGACTCCGGCAGGAACGGCTGGTTGGTGGGGTTGATGTGGTGGAAGTGCTCCATCAGGTCGTCGCGGGCGTTCCACAGCGATCGCTTCAGCTCCAGGTGGGCTGCTGCCCGAACAGTATCCCGGTCGCAGGTGTTCGGATTGCCCTTCTCCGCCGAGAAGTGGCGGCACAGAGTGATGATCTCGTGGTCGCTGATCGCATTGCCAATGATGCCAATTAAAGCTCCCTTGAAGCTCTCAAAGGACACGAAGACGTTGCGCTTCTTCTCCAAATCCTGGCAGTCCGGCACACACGAACCCACAAACTCGGCCATGCGATTCTGCAGGGCGCAGCGAACCTTCTCCATGATCAGCACCACGTTCGCCTGGCTGAACTGCTCCGGATGGTGCTCCATGTACATCAGCGTGTACTCGTCCGCCGACACGATGTGGAAGATGAAGTCCTTCAGCGACATCGTTGACCCGACGAAGAAGTTCCAGGGCATGTAGTACTGCGGCTGCTTGCAGGAGAACCTCTCCTGGCCCGGCAGCTCCAGCCTCGTCCGCTTCATGAACTCGCCGCCCAGGAAGCCGGAGTTGCGCACGGCGATCTCCTGGATCTGCAGGGTGTCGTCGCACAGGTAGAAGCTGATCACGAAGATGCGCTCGCAGTTCGCCTTTATGGTGGAGAGCATCTTGGCGCCGAAGCGCAGGACATAGCGGTCGTACTTGATGAACTTCTTGAAGTCGCTCCTCGGCGGCTTCGGCTCCACGGAGATGCAGTTGCCCACGGAGTCCTCGTAGCTGCCCCAGCCATTGAAGGGCGGCAGGATCCGCTCGTTTCCCCGATGCTCGGCACAGTCGTCGGTGCGCGTGGGCACCGCCAGTGGTGTGAAGTCCTGGATCCCGTACTTCTGGCGGTAGTACTGCTGGGTAAACGGATCCAGCTCGGTGATGATCACCGCCCGACCATAAACATTGATCACGCTGCCGATCTGGAGGTCGCGTTCGCTGTAGTAGTTGATCTCCTTGTTGCCCGTGTTCAGCGGATCCACGCAGTACCGCACATTGCGCATGTTCGTGCCCAGAACGTTCAGTAGCGTCATGGGTGTCATCTGACCTGGCAGCAACAGGCCCTCGAATTCCTGTAAAGCAAACATTCAAAAGTGTAATTTGCATTTGTAGTACTTTATTTATTTGAGTGTAAATTAGTAGCCAATGCTTGAAACTAATATCTTAAACGTATCAGCTATGCTAAATAAACACAAACTATTTACTTTGAAAAAATATAGTTAGACTAAATATATACTATATATCAATTTATCTTAAAATTATATAAATAATTTCGCTCGTTCAAGAAAAACTGTTATTTATTTATTTGAGTGTGTGTACATTAATAGTAATAAAACTAATATCTTAAACGTATCAGTTATGTTGAATAAATATAAATTATTTACTTATGAAATAATACAGTTATAATATGCAGACTATAGCTTATATATCCTAAAATAGTATGAAAACTCACCCTTGCTAATTTCGCTCGGTTAAGAAGAACTGCTATTTATTTATTTGAGTGTATGTAAATTAGTAGCCTATGCTTAAAACTAATTATAATATATATATATATTTTTTTTTCTACGAAATAATACAGTTAGACTGTAGCTTATATATCCTAACATAGTCTGAAATCTCACCCTTGCTAATTTCGCTCTTTTCAGGAAAACTGTTGGCCCATCGCGTCCCGAATTGCGAATGTGCTGCTCCTTGATTTCAATGGTGTCATCGGCCAGGTAGTAACATACTTCCAACTTTCGCACGTCGCCGAATTCAGTCCGATCGTCCCAATAGGCCTGAAACTTAAGTATTTGACGATCGTACTTGAGAAACTGGGCAAACGGATGGTTCTTCGGGCCTGAATTGTTTTCCCGCGGCTTTCCTTCGCGTTCCCTAATCGTCTGCGTGGGATCGCTGAGAAAAAGGTATTATTTAGCACTGATATTATATTTAATAATTAACGTTTTCTTACCAGGGAGATTTCACTGGGTCGGGAACAGTTATTCCACGCTTGTTGAGAAAATCCCTGGTAAACTGATCGCAGTTTGTGATATGATACTGGCGATCGAATATCTGAACCGTCTGATCAACGTTCAAGTCGATCAGCGACATGAACTCGTTGTCGCAGGGAGGAGCCTTCTGCACCCGCTGGCGGTGGACCACACAGCCCTGGACAATGCCGGAGTTGTCCACGCGCGGCTCGTAGATCTCCAGAGTGCCGTCCTCGAGGTAGTAGTAGATCTTCACCTTGCGCACCAAGTAGGGGGCGTGGTAGACCTCCTGGAGGGTCTGCTTGAAGTACGCGCTGAAGCAGAGCACCTTCTTGTCGTACGCCAGCCAGGGCGGCATCCGGGGACCCGATCGAGGCGGGTATATGGAGGAGGCCCCGACGGGCGGACAACTGATGTCCACCGTAACGCCACCGGAATCCGCGGCAGGCGGCTGCTGCCGATCGCTCAGCATGCTGAGTCCCTGGCAGTTGAACAGCGATTGCGGCTTGGGATAGTGACCCTTCGACACCTGATTGCCACATTTCGGTCCGGAATATATACATATATGCCATTAATTGCAATTATTTGGGCTACTCACATCGCGGAACAGCGTGCCCGGCAGAAGGGGCATCCCCGGAATTCGCAGCATTGTGTTTTGTATCTAAACAGAACGTTATTCTCAATAATATTTTGTTGCTTCGTGTTCGCTCAAAATCAAATACTGAGCACTTCTAATGTTATGTTTGACAACGTTTACTTCTAGGCCTACTCAACAGAAGTAACCCGACCATTCTACTTCCTGAAAATGCTAGCCATCTACCATCGATCAACGAGAGCAGCTGGACCCTCGTTCGGAGATTCTTCGAGAAGCAGCAGACAATTATTCGCCTTGGACCAGGTGAGTGATTTAGAAATTATTATGTATTATTATGTTATGAATGTAATTAATTATAAGTTTATTTTAGATTTTAACTTTCAAACGAAATACAATAACATTAAGAAGGTAAATCGGCTGGGTGGCATCTTTTTAGGCGTCTTCTCGTCGGTTGCGCTGTTAATTGTCTGGCCAATGCGTTAGGGTGGTTTCCAAGGCGTTGCACATAGCTGGTTGCCAAATTTTGTAGAACATCTCCGACCTTGGGGACCTTCAGGTTCCTCTCGATGTCCCTATTTCGGATGTACACTATGATAATATCAATATATGTATTTCTAATATAGCATAAGAAACAGAATTATTATTTATTTAGAAGTCGCATTATTAAAGATTATAAAAACTAACAAATGAAGTTCTACCAAAATTGTCAACTAACCTTCTCCAAATTAGTTTTTATCAACTAACTAAAGGAGCAGTTAAATAACAATTAATTTTGCATTCGGAGGCATGAATTGCTGGGCTTTTCTAGTTTCCAGAACTATACTTTGTTTGGCTGTAAGTTGTTTCTTGCCCAAATAACAAACAAATTACCAATGGAAAAAGTTTTTTTTTTTTGCCCAAAACTACATAAAATGACTCAAAAAATTCCAGTTTTTTAGCAATATCTCCGGAAATATTCTTCCAAATGTGGAATGGCATACATCGTTGAATTCGCAATAAAATTTCCTATCCGATGGTATAAACACCCAAAAAAGTTGAAATTTTGCCATTTTTCGCAAAAAATGACGGAAAAAATTATGAAAATTGCGAAAATTGGCCAAAAATCATTTTTTTTGAATCGTCCAAAAAGTGATTGGGCTCGTTAACTGTGGTCATAAGGTGCTCAAAACAGTGTTTGGTTTCGCTGTAAGTCACTTTTTGGCCTTATTACAACCAAAAAACCACTACAAATATAGGGTTTTCTACCAAAATTGTCAACTAATCATTTCCAAATTGGTTTTTATCAACTAACTAAAGGATGGCAATAAAATGGCTTTCAATCAAAAAGATTGTACGGCTTCTCTGGTTTCTAACACTATACTTTGTTCAGCTGTAAGGCGTCTCTTTCCCAAACAACACACAAAAATCATTTTAGAATATGAAAAAAATTGCATAATATCATTAAAAATAACAATATTTAAAATAAAAATTGTCTCTATCTCAGGGGAAAATAAATCGTATGTACAGTACCGTAATTCCAAACGATTTCGTTTTAATTTCGGTTTTGTTGGATAAATAAATTTATCACTATTATTGTTAGCAATTTTATTAGCCCTTAGCAGGAGGCACACAAGGGAAACAGGTTTTTCGATTTTCTGTTGAAGTATATGATTGGAGTATAATGTGTAATAATAACATAAAATAATAATAAGATATATACTTACATAAGTAATTTATTTATAATAATTCAAATTATAATATAAGAATAATAGAATTTGACCTTTTTAAATATATTAAATATTTTCTTTCTTTCAGGATTCATCGATCAACGAGGGCAGCTGAAACACTGAAGGACATGGCAAAGTTTCGGGCCAGATTATTCGAGGAAGAGGTCGGCGATTCAATATACTATAATAAGATACAATAAACTATAATAAGATTATTAACATAAGAAACAGAATTATTATTTATTTAGAAGTCGCATTATTAAATAAAGATTATAAAAACTAACAAATGAAGTTCTTGATTTTTGGGCTGTGGGGAATGTTTCGGACAACCAAATTGGTCGATTCTGAAAACCAGGTACCAGGCGAACAGAAACGTCTAGCAGGTGGATATCGAATTTTTTTTTATAACAGCGATCTTCCATAAGTAAGCAATCAGTAGCAGAAATCTTCTGTCAGTAAGCAATTAGTAGCATAGAGCTTCTGTCAGTGAGCAACTTTTCCAAAAATTTTGTCCATTTCCACCTACTAACGGATTCTGTTCGCCTGGTACCTAAAAGTGGATTTTGGCAGATTTCTGAAAATGAAATACCAGGCGAACAGAAATACCTAGAAGGTGGCAACAAAATCCGAAATCCAAAAAATTCGCCCCTTAAGATATGCAACAATATCAGCAGCCCCTTAAGATATGCAACAATTCTCATCTGTGGATGGCATCAAATATCGTGGTTCGAAACTTGACTATGCATGATCTACGAAAAATACGGGGATTTTGTGATGGGCATCACTGGTAATGCTGGGTTTGAAACTCGAATAAAAATATAAATTAATTTGATAAATTCCACCTTCTATGAGTTTCTGTTCGCCTGGTGTTTGGTTTCCAAAATTTGCCAATTTGGCTGTCCAACTTGACAAAATTAATCTCCAAATTCGTTGTTTTCAATCTAATGATTGGATTGCTGCAGTTAAATCTGTAAACTAAAAAATCCCTCCACACGCCCAACTTTCACATTAAAACAATCACTAATTTATTAGTTAGTTTTTATTACCTTCAATAATTAGATTTCTAAATAAATAATAATAATAATTATATATTATTGTATATTAATATACATATATTATCATATATTTTTATATATTATTATATTGTATCGCTGACCTCCTCCTCGAAGACTCTGGCCCCAAGCTTTGTTATAAATGTCAGACGCTGCCAAGCCCTTCGGTTTCCAGCTACCCTCGTTGATCGATGAATCCTGAAAAATAAATTTTTTATATATTTGAAAATGTTATATCTTAAGGAGCTACTTGGCAGTTTTAATAATATAAACTAATGATGCATCTCATTATATATTTTAATAACAAACTCATAGAGGTATGCCACTTATAAATCGGATACAAATTAGAAAAGTTATGGGATTAGAAGTGTTGGGACCTCGTCACTTTTCTGCAACTCCGTTTTTTGCCAAGATCATAAAATATGACAAAAATCGACAACAAAAATGGAAAATAAACTAATGATGCATTTTGTCTTAGCTTGTAATCCTCGAGCCATAATTCTAGGCAATGCTTAGCCATCGCCATTCTCAGCTGAGAAATGTCGCATCTTAAGGAGCTGTTGGTAAGTTATTTTCGATCGAACTAAACTTTTTGTTTTGCATTTGCTGTTGTTTTACTTGAAGCATTTTATATAAATTTTTTATGACATAAAATATACATATTCACTAATTGTCTTCTAATCACGTGACGATATCAATACGCTTTTGTCTTATTACATTGATTAAACGATGTGGGACTGCCGGATGCTTGAAGATAACCCAATCATCATAAGTCTTATAAGTATAATGTAAAATAGGTTTATTTTGCAATGGTATATGCGATTGTTTACTATTAGATAAGAAAGCTTATATTTAATTGTGAGATAGTCTCGCAGCTCTTATGCTTTTGAGATTTCAAAAAATACATTTGTTTTAAATTATTCTGGGAATTGTTTTGTGGTATATGGTATATGATGATAGCTGCTGCTGTTCCTTTATTCGGAGGGAGGGAGATCGTTTTCAGGTTCGTTTTCGTTGAGAATTTGAGAAAGCAAATCATACAGCGGTTCAAGAATTTTTTTCGCTCCAGCATTGGTGAGGTTTTTATAGTCAAACATATCGTGGTGACTGATGCTACCATCGCTTTGGACCAAACCCTTGTCTATGGCAACTGTTTGTACGCGATACAGTCCCTTGGTCATTGCGTTGACCAAATCGTTAATGCTGGCATTTTTTTCGCGTAACTTATTCGGTTGCTGTCCTCGCGGCAGAAGTGACTTTAAGAAGAAATAAGACTTGGTTAGGATTTATTTCTGATGCTCTGGTTGTACTTACGGGAAGAAGAATGTAGGCGTTAGGCAGCTTTTGGCGTATTTTCGTTACGTTTGCGAGAACTCCTTCGGCCACTTCCTCTGCACTGTTCTTTACATTGTTGGTGCCGACATGTAGAACCACTATTTTTGGGTTAACGTTGTCTAGAGCTCCGTTTTCGATGCGCCATAAAACGTGCTCGGTGCAGTCGTCACGTATGCTGAAGTTAAGGCAGTGCAGCGGTGCAAAGTATTGATTCCACGCCTCGCTGTCCTGTACCGTTTCGAAAATGCAATCGCCCAGGACAATGACGTCCGGGTCCTTTTCACGGCAGTCGGAGATAAACCGGCGGTGTATGCTGTTCCAGCGCTTGTCGCCATCTAAGTCGGGCAATGGAGTGGGAATCACACACGGATTCATTTTGGTGGAGTGTTTAGATTCAGCTGGCAATGAAGTTTCAGCATGCGGATGAATGGGGCTTCTGCTTTGTCCCGGTGGATATGATATCGTATGCAGTTTAAAGGGACAACGATGCGATCGTGGGTAAGGAGTACAATAAATAATCGTTTGCATAAACGGCGCCGCTTTGTTGTTTACTCCTATAACTGGTTCTTTTGGCGAATTTGGGGGCTTGACTTGCGCATATTACTGCAAAGCCTTGATTAGTGTGCCCGTTCAAATACACTTTCTCGGGAAAAATATACCAACAAAATAAACTTTGGACTTGGACCGATGGACAGAGACACATTAATTGAATTGATTGAAAATCATATGTTATTTATCCTAATAAGAACTTTAACCCAAATAAATTTCGCAACTAGTAATTTTCAACAATTTTAATGAAAAATATTGAAGTGTTTAAAATTAGCACCCAATATGTTTATTACTGCACCGTTTTGCTATCTTGACGTTTAATATTTAAAAATATCAATTCAGCTTATAGACGGCCACACTGCCCTCGAATGTAATGACATAACCTCGTTTGGTTTTATTCCCAAATAAATTTTATTTATCCGAAAACGTAAGTGGCAACTTGCGTTGCAGCTGGCAAAATGTTGAAACTGAAGCGTGTAAACCAGTTGCGAGCGACGTACAAGCGCTGTTTGGCCGGACAGTCGCTGCAATTGAGTCCCGCGGACAACGAGCCGGCTTATCCGGAGATTCAGGACCCGTCCTTTAGGGCTCGAAAGCAAAGAGATGCTGCTGATTGGCACGAAGAAATCCGACAAGTGCCAACGGTTGAGGAAAAACTTATCAAGATAAATATGCCCCGCTATTACGGCTTCAAAGTGGTTGATTTCAACGACTCGAAAATTCCCTACAATGCACTGCCGCTCACGCAACACTATACGCGAACCATTCTGGAGGATCTGCCAGCTTCATCGGAGAAGGTCGAGCAGGGTGATAAAACTGAGGAAGATCCACTTTTTAAGGCGGCCCGTGAAGATGTCATCGAAGCCCTCGAGTTTGCACACGATTACTACAGGTAAGGAAGGTAAAGGTTGTTTTACACGAACTGTTTTCTCAGCCGATTTTCGTTTTTACCCAGATGAGAACTCAGCTTTTGTAAATAGGCCTTTGGCGTAAATTCAGCACTCTGATATAACAAGATTTCTTTTGTTTACCACGCGTAGGCATCTGGAGAAGCTGCCCAACTCTGGCAAACCCAGTGCTGTTGAGAGTGAGCGGATCCTGACGCAGATCATTGTCGAGCAGCTAAACAGAGCTCTGCTGCAGGTCCTCAGCGAGGAAAACAAGCACCTGAATGAAGTTGAGGTTGACTACAATTCACGCCACGAAGCCTTTTGGGCGGTTGGCGGCGTAGATCCTCCCAAGAACGTCCAAAAATCAAAGAAGGGTCGAGAATGGCAAAAGGACCAGGCAAACGACAGTGTGGATCGGTTGGTTCAATACACGGGATCACCTTATCTTTCCCTGCGCCATCGAAAGCAATTAACGCCATGGAAAACGCCAGCAGAAAGCGAAAGCATTGAGTTGAGCAAACAGTTGCCAATCTTCAAGCACGATCCTCGAACCCTCGGCTATACCACCAAGCATCAGCATGCTACCAATGTGCCTGGCTATTGGCCAAAGGGAAACGAGCACAACTTTGGATTGATCTCGTTCCAGTCCCGGGCTCACCTTCAACTTCGACCGGCGTCGTTTGGAGACCGCGATCAACAGGAGGCTCTTCATTCTCTGGCGATAAAATCATCATACGCTTGGCTTTTGGCCCAGGCGAACTACAATGGCTTCAACACCTACAACGAACTCACCTATCCCATGAACACTCAAACTGTGATCACAAATGGTAGGGAATGGAGCTTTTACGAGTATCAATTGAATACACTGCTGTTGCACGGCAAACACCAGGAAGAAAATCCACGGGTAAACTTCTGTCGCGGTACTAAGCCTCTTCCGCTTTACGCAGAGATTTCGGCGAATGGCAAGTGCGTTGACTTTAACGATGCTGCACTGCGCCAGCTGCTTAAATTCTACGTTAATGTTCCGTCAATTCAACGGAGTATAGCGGAGCAACAACCGTACGTAGCGTCCGACATCTCCGCCTATGAGAACGCCGAACAACGTGACTTTATTAGTAAAACCTTTAAATATTTGGCATCGAACCGGCCGCGACACTTGGAGTTACCTGAAATCTACCTGTGGGAGAAGCTATACAAGATTGATAATAACACTCGCGCTATGGAGGCGAAAAGACGATTCTTTGAGCTGGATATCAATCCCTGGCGACGAACGCTCGATAAACACGACAAGGAATATGTGCCAAAGGCAATCCGACCGGGTGTGTATAAGAATCGAGAAAACAGATACAAAAGAACGTACTATCCTTAAGTAAATTAATAAAACTATACGATCCTGTAGTTAAACTTGTTAAATAAGTCTGCGTTTTAAATTTTTCGGGTTTTCGTTTGGGTTATATTAATTGAACGGTTGTGGGTTTGGTTCACATTTGGTTTACATTTATTCCAACAATAATGTAAACTTATAATTTACATTTTTTGTAAATGTGAAATGTAAATGTATATGTAAAAACAAAATCACGAAAAACTATTCTATAACGGACACAAATTTTAAATAATATTTTTTATCGCGCTCCAATGGTCAATGCTATCTTATCATTGTGTTTTAGTGAAACATTTCCTTGTAAAATTCCATTTTCTTTAAATGTATCTAACTGTGAGAGCAGTAATGGTAATGGTTAGATAAACTCGTTAAAATGCAGTCACACTTGAAAATCCACATTTTCTACACAGGAAACTTGTAATTTTATTAGGCAAAAAAATATTTATATTAACTGAATTATCACGATATCATTTTATTAACGATCAACTATTTGTATTCAGAACACCATTAAATTTTTTTTTGTTAAATTATAAAAAAATATATTTAAAAAAAAACAGATATCTGGGAGCCCACTGGTATATTATAACGGCTGCGTGGTGGCCACACTGGTTCCGAATAGTTAGGCTTGAGTAAATAACCAGTTTGATACTTTACGGTGGTTCGGAAACTCGTACCTGACGTTTCGGTTGTCCAAAGGTAACAGTAACCTGTTGCATTTTTTTTTTTGGTAATAGTGGAAAGTGTAGTGAAGACCAGCCAACATATCCGATATTAAGTTTAAATGCTGTTAAACGAGTGTTTAAAATTGTACATTTATTAACGGATATAACTACACGGCAAACTTGTATGCAACAAGTGCTTTTTTCGAGTTTTCGTGAAAACACAACAAAATCATACTACATAATGTAAATATGTATATAATAATTATGCCATAACAGTACTCTAAAAGAATGCCATTGATGATGTGGAACGCAACGGATTATCAGAAATATGTCATAGACTCTCTGGAATGCTAGAACAAAATAGTGAAACTTATAGATAAATATCCCCTCCCCCATTGACTGTTTATGCTATACACTTTATGAAGTTGTGAATACGTGAAATCCACATAGAAATGATGATGACCGACATGCTGACAAACGTTTATAGACAAAAAAGATGCAAAAATACAACAATAAACAAAGAAATGAAATGGAAATTAACTGCTTTTGTTGCTGGTTTAGGCCAAATATTTGGATTGGCCTATTTGGGAGTGTCCCAGAAATCTCTTTTAACCAAAGTCCAACCGAAAGTTAAACCTCTGAGTTACAGAAGACTGTTCGATTTGAATAAAAGTCGTATGCATTTTTAAATAGATAAACAAACCTATAATTGTTTCGGTTAGACCATTTAAAGTTCAGAATCTACAGATAAGATATTATTATTTCTGAATTCAACTTCTTCATAGTTATCACCATGCTTATCGTTAAATCGGATAAATATAATATACAGAATAGCTAAAGCAATTATCGAAAACTATGGACTTGATTTTTGGTGTTTACAGCTAGAAGATATTTCTGTAATAGTTAATTATGGATTTAGCCTAGAGCTTTGGAAATAGCGGGTTTATTTTGTTAAATGTCTGAGAATTTAATTGTTCCTATATAACTGTTTTTTGCTGATAGGAATAGATTTCTGTTACCTAATGATTTTTTGGATTTAGTTCTGCAAATTTCATACACAAAATTAAATATAATTAATGTCTTTTAATAGTGCAAACCACCGCTTTGCGGAAATAAATAAGGAGTACATTTGGCTCTTGAAAAGCTTCATCTTGGACCTCTTAAAATGAATACAATGGAAGGAAAAAACACAGATCTTTCGCAGAACGAGGATAACGACGAGGACGAGAAGCTAAGGGAATTATCTTTTAGCTTTGTGCGGGTAAGAATTTTTTACAAATTTAATAAATTAAATATCGTTTCTTTCTCAGAATCCAAATCGTTTGTTTTATTTGTTTCTAAAGCCTCTAAGGCTTTAAACTTTTTTTATATTTCAGTATGCTATAGGCTATTTTCTCATATGCATTGAATTTATATATTATAGGGTTCAGATCCAAGAGCTGCCACATGTCGAAGCAAACTTCAAAACAGGCGCTGCAAATTAAACAAAGAGATAAACAAGGAACTCCGCCTTCGAGCTGGTGCTGAGAACCTCTACAAAGTATATATCTTTTCCATTTATATATTTTGAGCTATGCTAATTATATATACCAATTCAGGCCACATCAAATCGTAAACTGCGGGACACAGTTGCCTTAGAACTCAGCTTCGTCAATTCAAATTTGCAATTGTTAAAGGAGCAGTTGGCTGAATTGAATTCTTCGGTGGAAATCTATCAAAGCGAAAGGTTAGATTTTCTTTACCAATTCTTTTAGAATATAAATTAAAAACCAGGAATTTAAAAATATTTGTTTTTTTTTAAAACTTATGCTAATTTAATAACCCCCTTGTTATGATTTCATTTTAACAGTCATAATGGAATAATGCCTATGATACCATTGGGTCTCAAGGAAACCAAGGAAATCAATTTTATGGAACCGTTTTCGGACTTTATATTGGAACACTACAGCGAAGAGCCGTCAATGTATATAGACGCTATAGCGGATATGACAGATACGAGACAAGTGGGTCCTTAATATGCCGCCTCAAATTACAATTACAATTCATTGAAAATCATTTTTTTACAGGCCTCCAAAACCCCATCACGTGATGCCCTTGGAGTGGCATTACTGTTTCGCTACTACAACACATTGTATTACGTGGAGCGCCGGTTCTTTCCACCGGATCGTAATTTGGGCGTGTACTTTGAGTGGTACGATTCCCTGACGGGAGTTCCCTCGTGCCAGCGGACAATCGCCTTCGAGAAGGCGTGCACTCTGTTCAATCTCGGTGGAATATATACCCAAATTGGGGCTCGACACGATCGCACCACCGAAAGAGGTCTCGACCTGGCCGTGGATAGTTTCCTGCGTGCTGCGGGTGTATTTCGCCACATCTACGATACGTTCACGAATGCCCCTTCGATGGATCTGAAACCGCAGGTCCTGGATGTCCTCGTATCGCTCATGCTTTCGCAGGCTCGAGAATGCCTATTTGAGAAATTGCAGCTACAAATTGAGGCGATAGGTCCCTCCGATTGTAGTAGTGTAAGTTTATATTGTTTTCTCCTTAAAAATGTATACTAAATTTATATATATATATCTAGTTCGATTCTCAGTCGTTTGGCGATTTGGCAGGAGAAGCTGCTCAAATATCGCACGAGTACAATGAAATGCACAAAAATATCCAGGCAAACGATACACACACCTATTTGCCGGAATGTTGGGCTGGCTTGGTGCCAGTCAAAGCGGAACTCTATAAAGGTATTTCAAATATTTATCACAGATAGATGGTACATTAAATTCTCATAATCCTCCTTAGCTTTTGCCCATTTCTACAAGGCACGCAGCATAGATGCCACGGATGAGCTTAAGGTTTCCACAAAAAAGAGCCCAGCTAAATTATCTACGGAATCGTTTATTGGCAATTCCCAGGAGGTGGAGAGGATCACCGATAGTTACGGAACCAGCGAAGAAACCGCCACTTCCATTGCAAACAAGCTGGCTCATTTAAAGGAAGCTTTGGCCAGCAACGAGGAGGCCCAACGTCTGCAGCGTATGTGCCGATATCTAAAGGTTGTTATACAAATATCATACTCATTTTGAAGCACAGAGAGCACCAGAATCACAATTCAACTTTTTAATGCTGGAACTTGTTTTAGAATAAGACATCGCTCACGGAAGTCATGAAGGAGTTGCACTCCAAATCGCAGGAGGAATACGACAAATTCAGATTGCAGGCATCGGCCAATAATATTGAAGAGGGTGATCTATTGGAGCGAGTCGTTGAAGGTAAGCCGCATAATATATAATAAACACTTAATCAATATAAATTCATTAATTTTAACTTTCTTCCTTTAGCTTCCTCGAAATTCACGTTATCCTTGACGGGACCCGATTTCACATCGCACAAAGTAAAGGATCCCTTTAAGCGCCTCGGACCGATTGCAATATTTTCCGCGCGACGTCATTGGACTGCGCCTCGATGTGTCCGCTTGCAAAAGGGATCCTCCCTTTATCACAGCGTACCCTCCAACAATAACAAATGTCCTTTGGACAACGACGACGAGGAGCCCGACGGGGGATACAACCTTTATAAAGAAGAGTTCGAGAACTTTGGCTTCCATGTGCGCGGCGATGCTCCAGTCATTATTGCGCACGTTGAGATTAATTCACTGGCTGATGTAAGTAATTGAGGAATTTTCCTCCAACTGCTGCAGATTTAATACAAGGGAATGATGTTTTTAGCTGGGCGGCATCAAGGAAGGAGACTTCATAGTCGAAATAGCAGGCATGGATGTCAAGTGGTACTCCCATCAGCAAGTTGTTCAGCTTATTCAGTCTTGCGGCTCAACACTCGAATTGAGAGTCATAACGCCCATGGATCGCAATTATTTGAAGGTATGTCCTAGAAAGATAAAATGATATCAGGCAATTAGACAACAAAAGTGTTCAACATCCGGTGATTGCAAGCGAATATGGAACTTGTTTAAGCTTTATCTCATTACTGACAACAATCGAATATAAAAAGTACTGCTTCATGAATCATACCTATATTTTTGTTTACCCACAGCCATTGTCGTCGAAAGGTTCATTGTCAACTTTATCAGCGGCCAGTTCATCGGGTATTTCATCTGGATTTCCCAGCCCCACAAGTATTGCGGCAAAGCCCAAACTTCACCTGAAGACATCGTCCAATTCCCGTCCCGCTGGCAGCGTTTCATCTAGTTCGTGGAATCCCTTTCGCCGAACTCCGAGCTTAGCTAAAATATTTTAAGTAGCTACCAGTTTTATTTTATGTTTTTTTGCTATTGAGGCAATGGCCATTTCACGTTAAAAATAATGTTGTGAAGCTAATGTTAAGCAATAAACTTAATTATTTTTTAAAAACTTTAACTGGCCACGGCGTTTTACTTAAGTTATGATAAACGGGGGACAGTAATATAAATATTATGTTATATGGCAAACAATAACAAAACACGAAAGTACGGAACTTTACTTTTTTTATAGAGTTTATTATATTAATATTTTTACAATTTTTGACAACTACTTTTTTATTAAATCAATGCGATCCGAGAACATGCCGAAGAAATGATTTGAAGTCTTCTACTTTTGTTGAGAGTCGTAGGTTCTCGCAAAATAAAACAATTTGGAAATACACATGTGAATCCAATTATTTTTTACAAATTCTCAAATTACAATTTTAACCAAAAAGTAATCAATTTATTTCAATTAACCCCACCGACGACTTTTTACCCAACATGTTTAAGAATATTGTTTTTTAATTGGAGGATACTGCTATACGATTACTTCGGACGCTTTCCATACTCAATTTTATATACTTTCTGTTAACGCGCTGTGATGTCTTCAACAATTTGCAGGTTGCTATGCAAAGAGCAGCCAGCAGATGCACAAAAAGGCCAGATACAAAAAGAGCTTCGAAAGGGTTTGCTCATCCTCGTATTGCGTTGTGCCACGATTGGCAGCTAAACAAATTGATAGTGATTTAACTAAATTGTAATTCATTTAGGTTGGAATTATTTACCAGCAGGACGAGGTTCGCCAAAATTTAGGGATGATGTTATAAATCCAAAGGGAAAAGCTCCAATACCAAATGAAATGTGAAAACCGTCTCCGAATCCGAACCCTGGAAAACCGGGAGCAGGGTCTGGTTCTGTACGATGGCCAGCGGGGCGTGGTGGAACTTTATTTCTGTAATTTACCAAAAAGATTAATGATTGCATGGAACAGAATTTAATAAAGTTATTTGAAAACAAATGACAACTCACCGAGGATCTTCCTGGTGCGTGCTATTTCTTCCGTAGAGCGGAATGACTTTATCTTTGTCGACAGCAGCTTTGCACACGGGGCAGAGTTTGCGATTGGGTCGGGTCAAAAGCCACTGGTGCAGACAGGGCCAGCAAAACAAGTGTCCACACATGCTCACCACGGCATTCTTCGCTGTGTCCAGACAAATATTGCACTCGTAGAGCGACTCATCGTTCTGCTCCTTTTCCTTATCCTTCTCATTGGATTTGGATCCGTTCTCAGTTCCCGTAAACGTAGTGCCCGACTTCAGATCGGCAATATTGCCGCCGGAAAGGAAATCGCCCGTAAACGAATACGATGTGTTGGATGTAGTCGCTGCTTCTTCTGCAGAATCAGATGACATCGATGTTCCCAGCGGACGCAGTTGACTTGTCGATGATTCCTCTGACAAAGGCTCCGTAATGTCCCGAGTCCAGGCAATTTTGTCGTATCCTACGTTCTCCGTTGACGATGTGCTCGACGATGATGCCCCTGATGATGTGGTGGGCAGCTCCGGTGACTTGGCCAATTTGGGATCTTCCATCGTGTGCCCAGTATTGTGGTATTTCAGTGTTTTTTCTGGATTTGGATTTGATATTTTAGATGGTTATGTCAGACCTAACTAGATTTATAATGTTTTTTAAAAGGAAAAAGTAAATTAACTTTAGCCAAGATTCTTTTGCGATTTGGTAGCTTACCTACCGAGATAAAACTGATACACAAGTAAATACCCACGTATGTTATCTTAGTTATCTCAATTGTGCAAATGTTATACCAATCCAGAATCTTTGTTAAACTATGCGCTTCGACGTGGGTATATGACTTAATTAAATTAAATATTTTAAGCGTAGTTTTAGGGGGGTGGGGGTGTTATGGGTCTCGTAGCACTGGGCTTTTTTCTATTTAGAGCAAGGGGGTGCAGCGCCTTGTACCCATTACCATTACCTGAAGGGCTGGCTAATTACCCACCTTATCAATCCTTTCAGTAGTTAAGGATAATGATCACATGAGAAATTTATTTTCGCTGGATCTGACAAGCGACAGTGTATAGCACATATTAACTTGCACCTACGTATTTACTTATATACACATACATATGGTTCTTTGTGAGGTCTCAAAAAAACCTTTCCTTTACCTGTTACATATCTCTAAACAATCAAAACATAAACATTTTGCACTACAAGTTACTGGTATAAAGGTCACATGATATATATCAGCAGTTCTACAAATTTTTGTGGGTATTTACTCCTTATTTTGGTCACTCACAAAACCGTCGTATATATATGCAAACACGGAAAGTCAACATATACTCTAAAGTGCAAAACAATGGCTTAATACAATTAAAGGAAATTAACTTTTGCACGTAGGAAACTATGAAATATCGAAATTACGTTGTAAACGTATTATTTTGTGAAACCAGACTTGTTTGCCCTCGTTTTGACTTTGACTTTTCTTGTTCCATCTTTTACTTGCCGTGCTGTGTGGGGTGTATAAAAACAAAGTTTTTTTCAAGCTGGCTGATTAGAAATTAAAATTATATTGTGGTAAAAATGTCAATTTATCAATTAACTTCTTAACACCTCAAAACAATTGCGATGACGATAGCTGACCGTGGCCGATAGACCTTTACCCTATCGTTAAAGTATCTTTTTATAAGAAGCACCGTTCCTACTATGTCGCAATCCGCGTTCGATAACAAATTAACAAATTTTCAATAGGAATTTATGAAAAACTAAAAACCTTTTCTTTGTTGTTATTGAAATGAGTTCTTATTGGAATTGTTTTCAACTTTTTAACATCGTAAATTCAAACCAAAAACATACATAACACCAAAAAAAAGTAACCACTTTAATTTCGTCGTCATATATTTTCTCATTCAAACTTGTTATTAGGTTAAAATATTTAAAGCTCGACTCAAGAGTCGGTTCAGAACCAATAACAGCTGTGTGTACCAGATGCAAACTCAAATCGTGTCGTGATTTGTGTTGGTGGAAATGCATTCACGCTATCATCTCTATCTGAAATTAGCTTATTTACAAAAATTTGTAGTTTCTTTTGTTTATATGTTGACTTGCCACTTCTGTTTCTGGTGATTATGAGCTGCTTCGGCTGCAGTCGTAAGTACGGATTATTCTGCAAAGAAGTAAGTGACTCATGGCTAAATAGACTATAAAAATAAAAGATAACTACATATGAAATTTAATCCCCAATCAGTATGGATGCCCGAACTGCGGCTACTCATTTTGCTCCAAGTGTCTGAAAAGGCCGATGCCAGTTCCTCGTCATGCGGGAAAGGTCCTTAATGTGTGTCTTATATGCTTCGACAAGCTGTCCAAATTACAGGCAAGTGCCGATGCGGATAAAGTCGTAGATTGCGATGCATTGCCAGGAGTCTTAGTCACCAAATACAACCTGCCACCACCCTCAAAATCGACTTTAGAGGGAGCCGACGGACTCTTTGAGTAAGTAAGATCCATTATAAAACGCAGTTTTTAAATATAATTAAACGTATCACAGCGAAAACCTGCCTATTGATGAATTGCCAGAGGCTTTGGTTCCAATTAGCGAAACGACCAGCTCGACAACACATTCCAAGAACCATGAAGATATTGACGAAAATTTGGACAGTGCATTGACAAAACGAATGCAGGAGTATAAAAAAGTGGATGCTACAGATGATGAGATTCGCGCTAGACTCTCCAATCTGACAGGATTGCCCCATAAAGCTAACTACGATAGAAAGGACTTACTTTTGTCCACTGACCAAAGAAATGATCAGGAAAAAATGAGGGACTTGCTCGCACAGTTTGTGGAGGAAACCCACCTGGATCAACAAGTTGATAAGCAGAGGGATGAGGGAATATCCGATATAGAGAGACGTTTACGAGCATTACGTGATAATCCAATTGATTCAGATGCAGGTCCATCGAGATCACAGATCAGCACTACAATGGACAACGAGGAGGAAGACGAGGAGACTGTTTTACAGAATATAATGAAAAAGTAGGTGTACCCGATACGCAATGCTTAATCTCAGTCAGTCAAAGTTTTACTTAAATTTCTAATTCGTCTTCTTATATTAAACAGTACGTGGCCGAATCACAGTTGCCATCAACTTCCGATAATGATATTAATCAAATTAATATTGAGCCCAATCCGAATACCGAAGAATTACCTTGGTGTAATATTTGTAACGAAGATGCTGTTATCCGTTGTCAAGGATGTGAAGGTGAACTATTTTGTGCTCAATGCTTTAAGGAATGCCACGATGATGATGAGGAATACCGAGCTCACGCCAAGGAAAAATTTAGTGCACCTCCAAAGCTTAAGGAAAATCATTTCTAACTCACTTGTTATTGTTTATCTGGCTTTTAAAGTTTTTGTTTGATTATAATCTTTTCCAAAAAATACAGCCATTGTTTGTACTGCTATCTTACTCCTTTCTATGCCACGCATATTGTTGTCTCTTTTTAAAATCAGGTGGAACTGGTTTTAGGACAAGACGTAAAACTTGTGAAGCAAAGCCTGCTCTATTAAATCCGACAAACTTTTTAACGCACTATCATTCCAAACAATCAACAACTAATTGCTTAACGAAGCACTGTTTATTTTTATACCCTTTCAAAGGGTGTATAACTTTTAATGGTGATGTAAGCGTAACTCAGGTGCATTGAAATCAAGTAATTTGTGCATTGTCTTGCTCTTGCTTTTATTGTTCCTCCTCCTCGATATTGTAGAAGTGGGGCCACGTTTGAATCTCCTCGTATAATCGCCTGCCAGGACTTTCAGTCGAGTTGCATTGGCAGTGGCAAACAAGGCGATAGTCGGAAGCTATGTGCCCATCCTCCACGCCGCGGGCCAAAAGATTGCGACACATGTTTAGTGCGTCTGTCGTAGGAAGCTCTTTCATAAAGCAGCCTATAAAACCAATCCCGAGCGATAATCTATTATATCCTAGTGTATGGGCACCCACGGCTTCCCATCCGCGTCCTTCATAAATATTACCGTCACAGCCGATTAAAAAGTTATATGCAATGTCATTCCAACCACGCGACTCTATGTGGAAGCACTAAAAAAAAGATAGTGACACAAATTAAGCCTTATGTAATATTTAATATATTACGACACACTCACTTGCATATCACGGATAAGTCTTACGTTGATCGCTCGTTTCTCAGAGCTCTCGGTGGCAGTGTGTACTATTTGAAAAAGCAAATGATAAGAAAATTGGTGAAATTAATAACTTTAGTCTAAAAGTTACAAAAATAGTTATAAGGCCTTATCAAAATTATAAGACATTAAGAAATTCCTTTATCAATCTCTTAAAAAGAGCTTTTATCAATCGAAAACATTAACTGGGAATGCTAGGAATATGCCAGAAAATACAACTTTATAAACTTCTTCGAAGAGGCAATACACATTAGATTTGGTTGCCCAAAGCTAAGTGCCACCATTATTATGATTAAGATACGAAACCCAAATTGCCATATAATTAATTTTGTTGTTGGTTTTTTCTAATGACTACTAACTTTTACTACTTACAAATGACAACATATTTCACCGGCAGCTGCAAAGGCTGTGGATCTTCCATGGGTTTTTGCGCCAGCCACGAGTGTCTTGGAATTATGGAGCACAGCTCTTTGGGTATTTTGAATTCTGTAAATCAAATTGGTATCTTATCGTCAGTATGTGAACGTTATCCTTCGACTAAATCACTACTTACTCTGCCGTCGAATGAACACATCTGATTGTACTCTTTCCTCCGATTCATCCTGATAATCATAATCGAAATGCGTGTTGGAATTTCGAGCTTTTGGCGAAGCATTTCGGCGATCTCGCCGATTTTGGCTAAGACCTTCAGCTATGATTTGTATATTTCCATTGATATTGGTTACATTGCCAATATGCACGTTTGTTGAATTGCTGATATTAACATTGCCCAAAGTCTGAATGCTGTTGATTGAATTCATGAGGTCGCGTATTGTATCGCTTATTATGTTTTGTTTTTTGGTGGCTGTAATGGATTCGATGGTTGTTGATATAAAAAAAGCTATTAAAATGAAGTTGTATAAATTAAAATTACCAATTTGTGTTCCTAAGGTCATGGTACTGATTTCCTCGCTGGTATTTTGATCACCGTCATCCTCGTACTCAGTGTAATCGTAATCCAGACTGTCGACAACAGAGGATTCGGCTATGGACTCCAGTTCCTCATCCTCGGCAGATGCCGCCTGACTATCCAACCACTCACGAGTCCTTTCCTGACTCAGCTTCTTGATTCCCGATTCGGACATGGCCCTATTTTGAAGTTCTTCCTTGTTAGTAAGTTCTGGCCTCCACTTTGTTTATCAATATTGTGAGTTAGCAATACTGCTCTGCTCCGATTAGTTGTCGTCGCGTGTCCACCTCGCTCGATAAGATAAGGACGATCCACAGATTTTTCACCATTATTTTCGGTGGTGAAATGTTTTGCTTGGCCCTTGGCTTGGGGCTTTTTATTGTATATTTATAATAAATCTAGTCATAAGTCAAAATATCGATCGCACTATCTGATGTATCGATGTTTCGGGAAGTTATCGAATATTCAATACTAAAAGAATTCGGTTACTTTTATTTCGAAAATATTACGAAAAAAATAGTAATTTGCTTTTATTGCCATTATAACAGAAGTAACAAAAAAAAACTTAAAATTTAGTTTATTTTCTGTTGTCATTGATTTTTATTTTATTCTATACTTTTTATTTATTTTTGCCTGTTACAACCGAATATTTTCTAAATTTTGTTCATTGATCATAAAGTAGTTGTATATAGTAGCAGTTCAAAATTAATTTCAATTTCAAAGGAAAGCAATAAATTTCTATATTCTTAAAATATGAACAACTACAAAATCTTTTGAATTACAAGTAGCTTAACAAATTGAAATGGGATCTCGTATTGGAAAATTAATTAAAATGTAAAATATTTTTGGAATGCAGAGGGTAAGGATTTATTAGGTTTCTTCCTATATTGTCGTGGGACAACCTAAACGTAATATTTAATATGAAACAAAGTTTAAGTCACAAGCTACGAGAGTAAAACAAAATCTATAAACGAAAGGATTTTTTAACTCTTTGCTTGTAAAATATTCTAGGCATTATTTTGGAGAAATTGGGATCCGAAATAACCATCTTATGAATCTGTCACCGGGTAAGCTATAACCAGTTTTGTTCACCTGCCAAGTTTACTATAAGTTCAATGCACTCAGCCTTTGGTGAAATAAGCCAAAAGCTTTTACCGCCAAAATGTGATACATATGGTAAACTGCAATTGCACCGTTTTCAACAATATAGCCGAAGACGAACTCAATCCAACTGGATTTAGCACATCTTTGAGCATTTCTTAAGGGGGTTAGCAGCTACTAAAACGACAACCATAACTCTAGTCAAAACATCCGAAGTTAATTCATGCGCTGTAAACATTCACTCGGCCACTCTCGCATTTTTTACTCTCGATGCCTCTCCTTTCAATTACTTTTCCCATTTATACCCGTTACACGTAGATTTTATAGGGTATGTTGTATCTTTTGCAAAGTATTTTAGAAACAGCAAGAAACAATTATTTCGCAGTCATAATGGTCTATATCAATTTTAGTTAGAAACCAAAGGTTTTAAATCCAAATACTTAAAAAAAAAAAACGGTTTTCATGTACTTTAGGAGGTCTAAATTATTGACCATAAATACTTTTTAAACATTAAAGTTTAGGAAAGCACAATTAGTTCAACGATTTTTGTTAATACATTTTACGGGGTATCAACTTTAGTCGGTTAATTTATTTAAAAGCTCAAGAGGGCGCAAATATGTATATTTAGTTCCTACAATGCATCCAAAGGATTTTGAAAACTGCAGGTCAGGACATTAAATATTTGACAACAGAATCTTAAAGGTGTTTTAATATTATAGCTTTAAATTGTTTTGTTTTTGGCGAAGCAAGATACAAAGGAAATGTCATTTGTTCTACTTTATTGTCAATGTGACCGTGTAATGTGGAAATTGCAATACGGATACTGTTATTCTGTTTTTGTTTCGGAGCGATTTTAGCAAAGTAATTACTAAAGTTTTAAGTAAATCAAAAATGTTTGAGTACATTTTTATACATATTTTGCTTTACATTTTAAATAAAATGTGGTGTGAAATTGCTTTGTCGGCTTCAGATTAATTGAAGATTTCGATTTCACGAAAACAGGACATAAAGAATTCTTTGTCACACAAAGCAAACTTTAAAACTTATTTGTATTTCAAATTTTTTAATCAGAAGCCGCCTTAAAAGAATCTATAGATATTATATTATAACTATTTGAAGCTTAATCGCTCGAAAAAGATAAATATACCAGATTGGGTATTATGTGCCGCGTGTTTTCGGGCGAGTTCTCCCCCGAAGCTCCAAAATTCGCGTGGCGCTGGTCACACGCGCATTCAACAATCTGTTGAGGCTGCAGGAATGTACCCCTCGAGTATCTGCTATAAGGTGTATTTGGGGGGAAGCACGGAATAGGAATGGGAATGGGTATGGTATCCAGGGCTTGGGGGATTCGGGCTCCGCGGGTGTATGGGTGCCCAGTTCTGGCTGGGCTGACAGTTTCTGCTCATATGTACGCCTGCTCGTTCGCTTTTCGCTTTTCTCTCTCCGCTCTCCACTCGGCGCTCTGAAGTGTTGTTGTTTCGGGGCGGTTGTTGCGGTCGTGTTCGTTTCGTGCTCAAAATGAGAAGAGCTTTTACTGTTTTACTTTTTTGCCTGAAATACATTTTGAGATAATTTCTTATTGGTAGTTCTGTTTATGCCATCGTTTGCGTCTGTGTTATTTGCGATTGCGAGAGCCCATAGTTAACATTAGTTCAAATTAAAACCGAATGCACAGCGAAAGGCAAACAGCAGAATAGAATTGCGGTTTATTCTTTTTTCTCAAGAAATCCATCTCGCCGTTCCCTTTTATCCGTCGGATATGTTGTTCTATAATATCGCAAAGTGTGCCGGTAAAAAATAAGCGCAAAGTTGGAACAGAAAATCATCATCATGTCCGATGTCTGTTCTCTATCCAAATGACAAATTGCTTATAAATAGCCCGAGACCACATGGTATCAATAATGGCTCCTAGTTTCGGTTTCCTATTGGGTAAACAAAGTTTTAGTTTAATTAGCTTCGCATTGTAAGCTGCAACCGAATCTGAAATAGACCGTGGCAAAGAAGGAAAAATATATATATATACATATATATATTATAATTGCATTTCATGTAAGCCAGTGTAAATTCGCGTCGTTCGTGTGTGCTGAAAATACGGAGAGTGCAATGGCATAGTGTAGTAGTATCCCGATTCGCGCCGTTATTGTTAATGCGCAGGTAAATTTGGAGGAGCGCTTTTCGGCCACTCTACACATTTTGTTCTACACCCCTTTTTTTTCTAGTGTGTGCATTTATTTGACAGCTTATGAATCACCGCTGAGATTCATTTGCGCTGATTGCTGCACAACTGTTGCACCCACTTTCAAAAATACGAAAAAATAATAACAGAACAAAAAAACCCCTCCACGTCGTATTCTGGCAGCCAAAGCAAAACTAAACAAATAACACCTAACCTACGGATCACATTTTTTCCTGTTTATGTTTGTTATTGTTTTTTTTCGCAGTGAATTAAATAAAGCAAGCCAGCGCCGCCGATTCACAAAACATCAATAAGCCCAGCCCATGATAAGGATACCAAAACAAAAAACTTCGAATACTTTTACAGAAACGTAAACATCCAGATTTGATAGTAATCTCCGACGAGTTTGTGTGTCTGTCAAGTGTAAACTTAGCTCCCCTGGCTACTGTTCAAATACCACAAAAATCCATAAGAATACAACAAAATCGCAAGGTTTTGCTTATTTGAAAGTGGATTTGAATTGCAGTAATGTCAAACCGCGTAACAATATTAAGCAGCGTTATCAACATTCGAAAGTGCACAGATGATTCGCCGCCAATAAGCCCACGGAAAGAAGAAATTCAATACAACATAAAAAACAAATGCACAGTAATAAATGCAAATTAAAACTAAAACAAAAACAAAAAGAAAAACAAAAACAAAAAAACCGGGCATACTATATGACACAATGGTCATGTTGTTTTCCACAAAGACAGTGCGAAATTCATTATAATCGACGGTGGAAAATGGTTAGTGCGGTTAACACCACTAATGGATCGGTTTTTTCTGAGAAACTGCCGCAGCTGTGTTCTTTTCTGTCTCTACAAAATCCAAGAGCCGACACCAAAGAAGGTGCGGTGAATACTTAATTTGTTAATCACCCAACGAATAAATCTCCTCGACTTAGTATTCCAATTCATCAATTCAAAAACACAAAAAAAAAAGCCAAGTGGAGTTACGGCGGCCACCGAAATATAATCCTGGATCTTCAGACTAATGCAGCATGGATTGTGATTACTCCAAATTTTTGTACAAAAGTAAGTTTCTGATTTTTATTCGCACTTGCCGACGGCAACTTTCGCAAACAATCCAAAACCGCGGGGGTTATTTTCCTCTTAAATAAATTGGCAGAACGAAAAAGTAAAAGTTAAAAATATTGTTTTCTTTTTTATTTAGTCGACATGTTTTCCTCACTTTACACTTTTTTCTCATATTCAAATTGAATTGTCAGCGATCTTAGGTTTCCCCAGAAACACCTGCTGAAAGTGTTTATGAAGACTCCAACTTATGAGCAATAATTTATTCAAGAGTCTACACCATAACAAAATAATAAACGTACAACAAGAACAAATGTTTTACATTTTATAACTTTACTTGTGACTTTGAGATTTTTTTGATACAAATTTTTATTCGTACACCTGTTACTTGCAGGGAGACAAAATTGGTTTCGAGTATTGGAATTGGACTTATGGGCTTCTCTTGAATAACAATTAAATTGAACAGTTTTGGAACAGTCCTTAGGAAAATATGTGATTTCTTAAATGCTTTAAGAGAAGGTCAACAATTAAATAATAGGTCAATAATTAAATGCAATGCATGGATGAAAAGATCTGTGCAAAATCAAATCAATAAAGATGATTTACGTTCTCATAATTTGATCAACCAATTTGTTATATTCTAGCCCTGTTCTATAAAACAAACAATGATTTCAATAGCATATTGTAAGATATAAAATGGAGTCAATTATTTAAATTAGACTATTGATATTGCATAGGTGTTGGAATATTTATGGAAAATATGAAAGAGTTTTTGGCAGACACATTTCCTGGCAATAATTATTCTAGAATCTTCTTCACAGAGAAAACAAATTGAGGTGAATTTTGCCCTATTTTTAATGTTTCCTAATAGCTGATTAAGACAGCTCCTTAAAGTAACCTAAATCTTGTCCGTATCTCTGTCCGTCGGCTTAAAGAGTTCGGTTTCAGCACCTTAGCTTTAGCAATGGTGTATTTCGCCACACAGGAAATTGAAAAATTCTAAATCTGTAATCGGAACAGGTATGAGTTAACGATGTCGCACCAAGAATGTTAGCTTCTTTTTTGCAACTATTGGAAAAAAAGAACCACTGATGTTGCAGATGACGGCGGCGATACTGAATCAGTGGGCGCATTTTTCCATAGGTATTTTCAATTTCGAAAGCCGACTGGACTGGACACACTGTGCCTGTTCTCCTGCCTCCTTTTTTTCCCTAGAAAGTTCGGGTATTTGGCGATTCGACTCCGATTCGGCCGGCTCCCCTTGAAAACTACAAAAGCATCTGCGAGAAGAAGCGAAGAACGTCGGCAACGTCAAAGCGGCAAAAGGCAGCAGCAAACTTAACAGAAATACAGAAAAAAACAGAAAAAAAATAAATAAGGATTCTTCCCATCAGAAGTTGGTTCTTTTGCACAAGATAAAAATATTTTTTAATGTTCCCTGAACACAAACAAAAATTTAAGGAATGTCACGTTGTAGTCCCATCCCGCTCTCATGTGCGCTCCATGTATGCATTGCGCATTTATTTTGGTTCCCGGTCCGTCGATTCTTCTCTGCCTTCGCCGCTCCTCCTGTGTCGCTCGTATCTTCGTTGGTATGAAGCAAAGAATTTCTTTTACACAGACAAATGGTTCGCTTACCGGGACCAAAGACCAAAGATCTGCTTCAAACTCGCATTTGGATAAATATAACCGATACACGCCGGTATACAGACACAGAATCTTTCGTAATAACTCTACAAAGTCGCGTTGAAAGCGTTGAAAACTTCACGATTCTCGAAACGAATCCTTGCAGAGGTTAAACACAAAAAATTCCTATAAAATTATAACATTTTTATTTTATGTTGGGTACTTTAAAACGAAATGTTGTGGACAAGAAAGTCGCCAGAAATTGCATTTTACTTTCCTTTGGTAAACGAATTTGATAAAATTTCGAATCAGCTGCGTTTGTTGACAAACAAGTTGTAAATGTTTGATATTTAAACTTATTTATTGCCAAACTTTCAACTTTAAGTTGCATTGGATTTTTCGATTACCTTTCATTAACTAAAAATCACACACAATTTAACACATTTATTTAAATAAAGAGTTTTAGATCCCACTTACTTAATAATTTCATTCAAGTTGTTAAAGCCAAATGGTTTTTGGCTGTATCGCCTTCATCTTATTTTGCGCTATCTGAATATTTTTTCCTATATATTTAAGAAAAAACCTATTCCCTCGTCGACGCCATTTATCTTTTGATATTCTTTGATCTAGTTAATATCAACGTTTTAAACAACGAGACACTTGGTTGCCATATTTTTTAAAGACTATTACTCATGAAATTTGAAAAAAGTTGTATGAAATTAAAAAAGTATTTCGTAGAAATAAAATAATGCATTTGCTTCTTACCAAATAGCTACTGGTTACAAATTTTAAGTACTTTTCAATGACGTACAACTGAGTTATGTGGCATTTAACGGTTTAGTTCGTATATATGGATAATAATTCGTGTACAATTGCAAATTGATCGTTTTGTCATGTCTGCGGAACGTGACAGCCACCGTGTTCTAAGACCAAGCGGTTTGTATCGGAAGGTAATCCGAGTTCGGCAATACGCCTACGTTATATACGCTATACCTATGGGGTTCGAATGGGGCACCCCGATCAAAGGTATTGCTTTAACTTGGGTGTGTGCATTCCAGACTTTAGAAAAATCCATTAGCTTGTAATAGCAAATGTGCAGAAATGGGGGAAAATGTTCTCAAATGGAGCGCTCGTCGTTAGCGGAACTTGTAGTAATATTTATTTATAGGATCAACCAAAAATAGCGTCCCAAAAGGATTTGATTTAACTCAAACTCAATAACAAATTATTAACCAAATAATTTACAAGCCTTTAAAAATGTACATTTTCTTCTTCACTCTCTACTTGTTAGTAAACAATATGAAAAAAAGAACTTTATTTTATATCAGGATATCAGTATACCTTCCAATTAGTTTTTATATTTCTTTTTAAAAAACCGTTAAAGTTCCTACAAAAAGATCTCATACATAAATGGAATCTACCGAAGGAAGCTTTATCTGTTTATGCAAAAGGAAGGATAGTTTTTCTAGGCGCTTCTAGTAGGTCATGTCGATTGATTCGAAGGCATATAACTCTTACCCGTTTCCACATCCAAAAAGTACATAAAAAGTACATAACAGTCGTCCCAGATCCATAATGAGCAACAAGCCGGGGTGCGAAGTGACCGATCCCAGCAACGAGGTGCTCCGCTCGTCGGCCTTCCTCCAGAATGGTCCCGTGAAGGAGGTGCGCAGCCTGGAGGACCTGGACCGCTGGGTCCGCTCGCAGGCGTACCACGACACGATTGCCTACATCAACAACACGAGCAAGGCGATCCAGGGCCACCGGTCGACGCACAGCTTCCCCGTCACGGAGCAGATGCGGCGCCTGTGCGAGATCTTCGACGGATTGGAGCACCTGCTGGCGGAGCACACGCCCAAGCTGGAGGGATCGGCCGTGACGGTGCCGGCGGCCGAGGTGAAGAGTCGATCCTACCGCGCCTGGATGCAGCACATGTTCCAGCACGTGTTCAGCAAGCTGGACCAGGCGGTCCGGGCCAAGTGCAAGCACATCAACGAGCTGGGCCAATACCTGCGCCGGTCCTTCGGGAACGCCACCAGCCTGGACTTCGGTCCGGCCAACGAGCTCATGTTCCTCTTCTTCCTCTGCGGCCTCTTCCGGGCCGGCATCCTGATGGCCACGGACACGGTGGCCGCCGCCCTGATGCTCTTCGCCCGCTACATCCACCTGGTGCGCCGGCTGGTCACCACCTATGCCCTGCCCATTGCCCGGGACCCCAAGTGCTCCATCGATGACTACTACTTCCTGCCGTATCTCTGGGGAGCCGCCCAGCTCTCGGTGGAGGCCCCCTTCACGCCGATGCAGTGCGAGCAGGGCAAGCTGATCGAGTGCCACCGGCAGGACTACATGATCGTGGATCTGATCGATCACCTGCAGAAGTCGCGCGGCGGCCCCTTGAGCCAGGTGGCCTTCCAGCTGTGGAGCATCCTTTCGATTCCCACCTGGCCGCAGGTGTACCGTGGCCTGGAGCGGAACTACGTGGACCACGTGCTCTCCTCCTTCAAAACCGTAGAGCATGCCATCTTCTGTGAGCTGATGTCCTTCGATGCGGTGTCGCAACAAAGTCAGTTGGAGCGGGCCTTCCTGGGCACCAGGAGTGTGGAGGGAGACGATGTGGAACTGTTGCCGCCAGTCAGCAGATACGTGGGCATGCAAACGGAATCCGTTCTCGGATTCGAGGAGGACACGCCCAAGGAGGCCAAGTCGGATGACAGCGAGGGCGATCGCCTCTGGATGCTGCGGCAGATGGTCGAGGACAACGATCCCAACTCCACTCCGTTTATCCCCGGTCAGCCAGTTGGCCAGAATGACTCCGTCACATCGTTTCTCACCGAAGGTCCCTAAAATGCCTCGCCAGTAATACAAAAATTAGAAAAGGAACCTGAATCCAAAAACGAAACCGAAAGGATGAAAACCGATTGGCATTTGTACAAGATTTTTTTACCCGGTAATAATTCTCGAATGGGTGTATACTTCAAAGTATTTTAACTAGCGAAAAAACGCCTTCCAAAACATAAAATCCTATTAATATCTGTAAAGTTGTGATTCTTTCGGGGCTTAAAAATCGAATTCGCTTGAAAGGGAAACCCATTTTTTTGCCTTTTTAAGAGAAAAGATTACAAAACGTAGTCATACTTAATTGTAGAGTTTTCTTTACTCAATCCAAACTTGCAATTGGGAAATGAAAAAGTTGCTGTGCAATTGCTCAAAGTAATGAAACCACGCAGGCGCAAACGGGAAATGAGCGGGAGAACTGATTATACATTAACCATAAACTTATGATTTCAATCTTTATTCAATGGATAATGATCAGCCGTGTAAACGAAAATAAACCAAATAAGAAACGGGTGGCTCACGTCCAAAATGGCATATTAATTTACACTTACTTAAAAATTAAGTGATCTCTCCAAAATTAAAAAGGAAAGATTTGAGTGTTTTAAAATTTTTTAATTGTCTTAAAATTAAAAAAAGTTTTTAAATGTGGAAAATTGGAAAGTCATAATTGAAGCGTTAAAAAACGTTCCAAAAGCGTACTTAGTTAAAAGAAACTCCGTTTATCCATAATAAACACGATAGTCAACGGTAGCCGAGATTTGGGATGCGATCGCCACTGGCTCTCGTCTCGTTTTGACGTGTTGTCGCTGCTGATGGGGTCAGGTCAGAGAGAGAGTGGGCACTGATGAAGGACTTCCGTTGCAAAATTCTGGGCAAAGTTATAACACCCTGTGTGCGGAAAAGGGTTACAAAGTGAGCGAATTGGAAATCGTGCGCTAAGGCGCCAGCGGCATAAGCTCTTCGACGATTAGTCACACCCGATGGCGTTGTGAGAGAGAGCCAGAGTGGAAGAGCGCGGGCGAGAGCGAGAACGGGCGTTGAGTAACGTTACGTCTACGTCCGTGCCTTTCTCTCTCTCTCTTCTAGCTCCCCAATTGCCTTGGTGTGTGTGTTTGCAGTGCACTTGTATGGTGGTTCGGTTGTAGTGGGAAGGGGGGAGTGTGGAGATTTCGGGGGGCTTGATCGGGTTGTGTTCTGCATCTGTGGTCGTAGTGAGCGTTTGTGTGTTAGGAAACTAAACAACCAGATCCACCAGTTATGCTGTCGCTATCCTCGACCAGCAGAGTAGCAGAGCAGCAGAGAATGAGTCGAGTTAGCCAAGCCATAAACGTAACGTCAACAACCAGACCAAACCGACCAGACCAGCTAGCTAGCCTATAGCCACCATATAGTGTGTGTTGTGTGCTGGCTGTGTTGTACCGTGTTATCGACGCTGACGTCGGCGTCGTTCTTTGTATTGATTCGAATTTGGATTCAGTCGATGAGTTTCTCTCGCTTCTGCGCGTTGCGTTTTTCGCAGTGTTTCCGCGATTTTTCGTTGTCGTCATCGTTGTGTGCTTGTGTGTGCGCCTCCTCTCATTTCAGCCCCCTTTTCCCCCGTACAGCCGTGAGCGGCTGTCAAAGTGTGCGTGGGTTTAAGATTATTAAATACATTTTCCTTGCGATTTGGATTTATCTTTTTTTTTTGTAATTTTGTTTCTGTTCCAATTTGTGTATTTCGAATTTTGTCTATTTGGAAAGATTTTTAGAAAATTCGTTTAGTATGCGACCGTGGCCAGTTTTTTTTTTATATTCCCCTTCTCTCTTTTGCTCTCTGATTTTTCTTGTTTTATCTTTTCTTATACGTATCTTATAAACAGTAGGCGTGGGGCAGCTAGAAGAATATCGTTATATTATGGATGTGTGTGATTTTTTTAAGTAATTTATTCTATGCCTTTGGGCGCAAATAAAAATTCAAAAACACACATTCAGATTTCATAAAAATATATCCAAATACATACTGATGTACATGTGCATGCACACATGTGCGTACGCTTTTGCACATTCACAATTCGCCCATATACACACAATTAGAACTGCACTTGTGCAGAAAAACAGACTATTTGCTTGGGCAGATGAAAAAATACATACATCGTCATCGTCGTCGTCATCGACATCGCTAAAAGCCCCATCTCAATTACGAACTCTCCATTAACTAACGAAAATGTATAAAAAAAAAAAAGCGACAAACCTATCCAATAGTTAGCTCTCTGGTGGCCATTCTTCTTTCTTCATCTTATTGCCGCAGCTGCGCCTTATTTCCACTGAAAGGCTTACAGACACAGTCTCACTGGCACGACGACAACGATATTTTATTCAAAGCTGGTCATACTCTCGCTACGAAATACACAGTTATATATATCGCTTGTTCGCCGAGAGCCAGAGCGAGTAAGAGGGAGAGCAAGAGAGAGAGCGATAGGGAGAGTGGGAGTGTTTGAGAGAGTGAGAATGAGTACGAGAGACGACAAGTAAAAAGATGTTGCCTGAAAAAGATCTTTCTCACTTCCTCAAGAACTCCGATTCATGAATTATTGCAGATGTAAGTATGTGGAATATGCATGTGTATACACCTAGAATCGAAATTTGATTCGATACGAGTCGAGGAAAAGTAAAGTAGTGCAAAAACAAGTATTTGTCGAATAAGCCACATAATCCAAAGCAACAAATAAAAAAAAAAAAACGAAAGGGTTTTCACAGTCCAGAGACGCGCTGCTGCTACCGAACATCGTTATCACGGAAATAGATAATAAACACCACAATACAAAGTCAGCGCAAAAAACTAACTGTTACAAGCGAATAAAAATAATAACAAGAAGAGTGCCTTTTTGACCAGCCGAGAAACGGTTGACGGTGACATCAGATTCTAAATCTAGCGCGAAAAAATTTTAATTCCGTGAACTATAGAACAACGACGACAGAAAAAAGTGGCTGCATGAAAAACATCACTAGCTCCAGCACTTGCAGCACTGGGCTGCTGCAATTGCAGAACAACCTCAGCTGCACGTCGGAGAAAACAGAACAGGCAGGTCCGTTGCACAATTTGCCACCAAATCACCATCAAATCCAAATCCCACCTTCCCCTCCCCCCACTTAAAGTTGTTTTCTGTTATTTTTTTTTTTTTTTTGGGACTTTCCTCGTGTATTTTCTAACGAAATCTATGCTAACGCTAAGCCAATACAAATACAACAGAGAGCTGTAGAGAGTTAATGTGGAAAGTCACCAAAAACAGAGAGCAGAACTGCTGGGCCTCCACTCTCCCATTTATGTACACATCATACACACATACATACTTAAGTTTATCCGATCTAAATCCAAAACGAGAAGTCAACTTTCGATTGCCAAGATGAATAACTCAATTACATATGCATAAAGCGAACTTTAAGATACTTTTTTGACACCCTTCTAAAGGATGTTTTCGTTTTGGCCAGTTTAGATTATATAGCTGAAAAGATTTTGCCAACCGAGCAGATTTGAGAAAGAGTCTATTTCACAAGTGTTGTACATTTGCATAGTATTGCATAACAATACTACATTTTAAAAAGATTGTAATTTGGGGTAGATCATAATTTGTCACAGTCTGCAACTTATTGTTTTATTATAAACTGGTTTTGCTTAGAAGCTACCTGCATTAAGTATTTCAATTTGGTTTCGCTATACCGAGCGATCACTGTGCATATGACTCAAAGGATGATCGTTAATTACGATTTTCCATTTCAGACACTTTCAGTTAGTTTGCAAGGGAATCGGACTTCTTTATTTGTATAGCTGTTATAGGAAACGTTCGGATTAAGTCTGCAAAAGATTTCTGTTTTTAAGATTATTGTATTAACGTCATCACAAATTTCCTGATTTATTTATTTTTTAATGAAATCTAAATTTCTCTACATTTATTTTTATAAATTCTTCTAACTAAGATCAACGGAAGCCCAAAAACCCAAAAGCGGAAGCATCTTTAGAGATAAAAAATAAATTTTTAAATTGGTTCTGCAACTTAAAATGTCTGAACAATGAACACAAGTATTTTAGTATATCATCAGTTTTAATGGCTGACTCATCCGATAAAGACGTTCAAGAAAAATGACAAAGAATACGGAGAGAAGTTTCTATGGCCAAATAATCATCACTGGCTCTTATTTCCTAGACCTGTTTCTAATTCCACTGGCCAAAAGTTCTCATGGAATTTATTTTGCCACTGCGGAAAAGGTTTCATTCCAACCTTAAGCAGTTTTGCAAATCCACCACCCCCAGTTCTGACTTTCTGATTGTAGGCGAGAATAAGAGGGACGTTTTAAGGGTTGGCATTGGTACGAGGGTAAATAAGTAATGTTTGCGGACCCTTATTTCATTATAATCACAATGATAATTAATACAAGTGAATTAAATAAGTGTTTTATACTTTAAACACCGCTAATTTAATGCAGACATTTTGGGAGACGTGTTTTGGGTGGGAACTTTCTCTTCGGAGCCGGAAACTTGTTGGCCTTCAGTATTTGGCAGTATTTGTTTGTTTAAAGTACACAAGTCTGTCTTCAAAACAGCTGAAAGATATACATAGTCGCCTCCGAATATCTAGACACTAAAACAGATTGTCGGGTAAACAATCCGATCATTTCTATATCTGCATGAACAATTTAATTAATTATCAATTATGATCGTAATAGAAAATGTATCCTTAAGGGTATCATAAAATAAAAGCCTAAAACAAGGAAGTAAAAAGCTATAGGAACTATAGGGTTTCAAAAAATGTTGATGTTGCGGATCCTAACTGTTTGATCCTTGGTGAGCCAAGTACGTCATCACATAACTGTTTACCGCCCCATCAGGAGGCGAAGGCATGTAAATATACAGACACACAAACACATATACGTATATGCGACGAAGCATACATAGAGAAAATGAAAAAGCAGAATGCATACCATAAATTCCAATTGCCGCACAACAAAATTGCTGCTTTCTAAGGGTAGGAATGGAAAAGCAGGAAAAAGAACACACATTCCCTTATTAAAACTGAACATGAGCAGCTGCGAGTTTCAGGCGGAAATTGAGTTCAACCGTAGACCGACCGGCCGACCGACCGACCGAACAACCCAACACACAAAAGTCTGTTTCTAGTTTTCTAATTGGAAATTATCCTGAACCGCTTCTGTTGAAATTCGAAAAATTCTATTCTGATAATATTAATGCACGGTTCAGCTATTTTGTTCGTTCAGTTCGGTTCGTTCTTCGGTCTTTCCGCTCCTTTTTTTTTTTGTTTCCCCTAGCGAACTGAATGAACTGAATGCGAATGCGTGTGTTTCGCTCTCCTCTAGCGAGATTATGAAAAATGGCACATTCACCCTTATAGAGGCGATCCCAACCCCTGCACTCTGACAATATGCAGTTCCACACCGTGCAATATCCGTATATGCATTATTTTAATAAACCCCCCGCACATGTCAAGCTGATTTTTGACTACCGAAAGTGGAAGCTGGCGAAGAAATCTTTCGCATAGTTTGTCCCATGAATTTGATGCATTGAATAGCAATGCTAGTTACTATTTTCAAATAAAGACTTACTTTTACAGGTGCGGCATTTCTTCTTATTTCATTTTAAACAAAAAGCCAGCTGCTAATTATTATTATTTTTTTCTATCATTTAAAGAAACCAAAGGTTAAACAGTCTAGTTTTAAATGGGTAAAAATGTAATTATTTGTTAACACACCTTTGTTACCTTTGTTTTTACCAAGTCTAGTTGGTTGCACCTGGATTAATGTTCAACTTTCTTGTGTAATCAAATTTATGGAATTGCTCCTTTTACGCTAATCATAAAACGATTTTTGGTTTCCTTCTCTCCGATCGAAGGAAAGACTGAATTTGGCTGTGATATTTTCATTCTACTCACCGCGTTTTATACCCATGCGGACTCGGCGGTTCAGTCGCACTTGATCATAATGCCACATACAGTATAGTATAGTATAGTATAGTATGGTATGGTATGGTATGGCATGGTATGGTACATCGGGCAGGGCTTCTATCAATAGTTCGCTGCGAGGGTATGTGCCACTGCCACTGCCACTGCCACTGCATTCTATCCTCGGTGTCTCACAAAATACCTAGAACCATCCCTGTCCTACGGCTCGGCTGCCCTATGTTATGTGCTGGCTATATGGTGGAGTGGAAATGGAGTGGAGTGGAAATGGAGTGGAGTGGAAATGGAATGGAGTGGCAAGCAGCAAGCAGCAAGCAGCAGACCAGGGGCAGAAAAAGGAACCGGCCAAAACAAAGAATAGAAAAATATGTGGAAAACTATACGGCACATTTCAGTTTGACGTGCGCGTTTCTCTTAACCAGACGCATTTCAGTTCTTTTTCTTTTTTTCCCCCTTTTGGCTGCCGGACGGGATTGTTTTATATTTCGACGGTCTGTGGAAACAAGTCGGGGAAAACACAAACACACACACACACACATACATTCGAAAAAAAAAATAAAAATAATAATATAAAAACAAAATGCTTAACTTGATAAATAGAATTTGTGATTCATCAGAGTGATGCGCTTCATGCTGTAAATTTAAGTTTTGAATTAAGGAAACTATCCTTGTGATTGATTTGCGATTTGTTTGAACAACGATTTGTGTTATCGGCCTTAAAGTGGCGCCATTCTCCAATCATTTAGATTCCCTCGAGGAATTCAAAGCTTTATCGGGTGAGTGGATAATGACCGGTTGACTTCTAATGCCCGATTCGACTATATATCTGCTTTATGGCCCTATGCACGCTGTTTGCTCACCGGTAGTTAAGCACATGGACTCTCAGATAATTTCCTTTTAATGGATTGATGGCCCAAGTAGAGCTATTCTTGTGGGTTAATGACCTCGATGGATTACTTGTCCTTAGAAAATGCTTAGTCCTTAATAACTATTTGTGAGCAATGGATACTTAATTTGATATTTGGAACGTATGACGAAGCTCACAAATAATGAATAAGAAATATGTAAAACCTTCATTACATAAAATATTCAAAAAAAAGAAGCACTATCAAAGGATTTTGTTCATTACAAATAAGGGTGCCAAAGGAAGAGGACATGTTTGAATCATTTTTGGTTTTGCTAGTGATCGGGAATGTGTACAGTTTGTAGGAATGGAAAGGCTTTCTTTTTTCTGTTACAACCTTTGGCAGGAATACAATATAACCTACACTCTACCCATAGAGACACACCCACAATCCATTTGCGGATTGGGTTCATGAGCTCTGTTGGGCCAGAAATTTATCTTCCTATCCATTCACCTAGGATTTTACCATTCCCGCGGATTTATGCGATTTTCACATTCAATTCTTGACCTTCACAGTAAATATTTAAACGTTTATTACAAAAACGTAAACAACGAAATTCCGAGGAACAATATGAAAATGTTTAAACAATTTCATTCGCTCGCTAGTCATTCAAAAATGGCCATTTAGTTGTTAAAGGGAATCTGGTTTCTCTTGTGTGGAAAAACAAATCTAGTGAATCATTTCATTGTGTTAAATATTCTAACATAATGCATTTTTTGTAAAAACATTTATCGCTGGTATAAGTAATTGGTCGTTTGTTTACATTTCTGCCAACTTGAGCGTAAATAGCACAAAAGTGGGTTAAGGAGGTTGGAGTTTCTGGGCAAGTAAGTGGTACTTATATTCAGGACAATAGTAAGATATTCAATAAAAAATTTAAAGAGTTTTTCAACAAATAATTATGGTATTTAGAAAATAACAGGGAGAAAAAACACATACAAGCTTGAAAAGTCAAGCAGATTGTTATTGTAAAGGTGAATAGACGTTTTGTATGTGACAGGTTGAAAATTATGTTTTTCACTATTATTATTTGATGTTTACATGAACAATTTATGGGCCATTACATGCAATTAACAAATATTTTTAATTAGGATGATACAAACCAGGTTTCATTCGTATTAACTTTATTTTGTATACTAGGTTCAAATTCTTAATTGAATTTATATACTACATATTTCCTGACCAAATTGTGGTACACAAATTTGTAATCATTTGGTTTTAGTGCTGATTTTTTGGCTGGGACTGGGACATCCACATTTTCCAATTCGCACGCACCAAACTCAACTGACACTTTCATTACCACTTCACCCATTGCTAAACATTGTATTAAACATTGTGTTCTATTTCTGGTTTCAGTTGGACCCGGCACCATACCATCACCGTGGACTCCAGTGAATGCCGGTCCGCCAGGTGCCCTTGGATCGGCAGACACAAATGGCAGCATGGTGGATAGTAAAAACTTGGATGTTGGTGATATGAGCGATGTAAGTTTGCAGAACCACATGCAGTCCCTTTGTTCATTAGTTTTAATTTAAAGCGAAAATTACGGAGCATTTTAAAAAAGTTTCTGCTCCTAATTAAAGTTGTTAGAGTTAAATTAATTAAATTTGTTAACTCTCAAAAACAAGCGAAAGTTGTGGAGTAACTATGTAATATTTAATAATTTATTTAAAAGTTAAATATGAAGTTCTTTTAATTAAGCTTCCATTATAATATATACATAAAAAAATTTAAAATTCTGTTTATTTTAGGACGAAAAGGATTTATCGTCCGCTGATGCCGAGGGTGTATGGAGCCCAGATATCGAACAGAGTTTTCAAGAGGCTTTATCTATATATCCGCCGTGCGGACGTAGGAAAATCATTTTATCCGACGAGGGTAAAATGTACGGTAAGTACTACAAAATATTCACATCTACTTAGTCATCTTTTCTAGATAACAGATTTGTCCGCAATTTGCTGATAATGCAAAGTAAAAAATGTATCCGTTGCCAAGTGAATAATACATTATTAGGAATATAAATATTAATTAAAGTCGCCATCAATGGAATTAAATTAATTTTTCTACTTGGGAAAACAATGGGAGCCTGCTTTGATCTCCCGCACTTGATTACTGACCTATTCGGCAGAGAAAGGGGTGACAACCCTTGTACAGCTAGAACCCGTTGGGAATTCAAGCGTCGCTGAAGTGTTGTAAATTAACAAAGCAAGGGCATATGACGAGTTTTTCTATATCGAAATGGTAAAAAGGGAACATGGGATATTTTATTGTGTTCGTTTTCTGAAATCTCTGCATTTTCTGTTCATTTTTGAACTTAAATATATTATGTATTTAAGTATTTATTACTTACTTGTTATCCTGCTGCTTTCAGGTCGCAACGAACTGATCGCCCGGTATATTAAGCTGCGCACTGGCAAAACGAGAACCAGGAAGCAAGTCAGCTCGCACATCCAGGTGCTTGCTAGACGGAAACTGCGCGAGATCCAGGCGAAAATCAAAGTGGTGAGTGTCCTCCGAAATTCAGTCAAGTATTCGCGGTGGGGTAGACTTTCGTAGCCATGGAAACGTAGGACAGGTCGTCTCACAACAACAGAAGGACTCAGATCCTTGATCTTAGGGGTGGGATGAGCGCAAAAAAAAGCAAGGAAGACTGGTCAGTTGAGCTGCAAGTTGTCAGATGGAAATCCCCTAGCCAGCTCCTCACAAATTCCATGTGGGCTTTGGGGACTTACCTCAATTGAATCCCGAAAACCGAATCTCGATTGCGTGGCAGCAGCAAAGGCAAAGGCATAAAAGCACATGTTACAACTCAGCACAAAACACACCCAATCACAAAACTGAAAACTCTTTTGCAGGAAACCAATGGTGTGTCCCTGCATTTATTAAATGAGAAAGAGCAAACGTTGCAGGTCATGAGCACAATGACCAGTTCGCAAATCGTGTCCGCCCAAGCGGCCAACAATCTGGCATTGGCTGCCTCGGCATTGTCTTCGTCGTCTGCAGGTGGTGGTGGTGGTGGTGGTGGTGTTCCTCCTCCTCCTGTTGCTGGTGGTGGTGCTAGTGGTGCTAGTGGTGTTACTAGTGGTGCTGGTGGCGGTGCTGCTGCCGTTTCGAGTGGCATCCATCATGCAAGGCACTTGGGCCATAGGCATAGTATTCTACCCGCGGTGGCTAATCCGTCGTCGTCGTCCTCGCCGCGACAGCACCACCACTTCCATCCGGTCCACCACCACCATCCGGTCCACCATCCGATCCACCCAGTCCATCCAGCCCACCACCACCACCACCACCACCACCATTCCCATCCCAACCTGACGCACCTACCGCATAGTCATATGCATCCGCACCATCACCAGCATGCGGCAGCCGTTGCAGCGGTCTACCACCTGCAGCAGCAGCAACAGCAGCAGCAGCAGCAGCAGCAGCAACAACAGCAGCAGCAGCAACGGTCCAATTCGAGTGACAGGGACACCCACGATGGTCCAGTGGGTCAAAGTGATTCGGCAGCACCGCCGCCACCGCCTCCACCACCGTTGTATTCTGGCGTAAGCTAACGTTATTATTTCAAACTCGATTTCAAACTCCACCACCGCCACCACCACCGCCTTGTGCAAAAGATATATATATCGTATATATACTATATGCTGTCATACACGCAACTCATTACCAAAGCTACATTGCATTAATTCGCAATTCGCCAGCCACATCAGCACTGCAATTTGCTCATTTAGGATTTGCAATGCGCTCTTGTTGTTTAGCTTTTTGTTTTTCCTCAATGTGTGTACCTACTACTCCACTCACCCAACCAACCAAGCAACCCACCAAGCAACCATCAATTCGCGGGGACCTTCGCTTTCGACCAGATTGAGATCGAGAACGAGATCGAGATCGAGATCGGAGTCACTTACCCACCTACCAACTGTATCTCCTCTTCCTGTCAATCCACCGTACTCTCTCTATTGGCTATCACTCTATATTCCAAATATACATCAGTATATAGTATACTATCACTCCCCGACAAGAAGTGTGGCCCCAATGATGAGCTGCTATGTTGTACTGCTATGCCAGCCCTAATATGCAATCGCTTGCTCATTGAAATTGACTCCTTGCTTTTGACTTGCTGTTCGATGTACGATTTACCATTTACGATGATAAATAAAGGATATAGGCCCGTTTTAGAGCCTAACCCTAAGTTGTATACTCGTATTGTGTGCTACGTATGTAACATATTCACCAAAACTGTAGCCTAAAAAGGAAATCTGCTGGGTTCTTCGTATCTCCTACTTGCAAAAACTCGAATTAATTACAAATCGGTTAGTTGAACAGTTGATTAACAAGTCGCCTCACCATATGTTTAACCATGTTCTTTGTATAACGCTCATCTCTACTGACTGAATCGAACCAATGGGAATTATATATGTTATATATGCATATTCCGTTTTACAATCCCATCTCTCTCTCTCTCTCTCTCTCTCTCTCTCTCTTTTTTTTGCGGCAAACAGCAATTCTGGCAGCCGGGACTCCAGCCGAGCACATCGCAAGAGTAAGTTGGCATCGCATCGCACTGTGTCTTTCAGCTGGGCCATACAACGCATTTGCATTGACCAATAGTTTCTATGATTACAGCATCAAGCCCTTCGCCCAGCCACCTTATCCAGCCGGCAAGCCATCGACGGCCGTTTCCGGGGATGAAACTGGAATTCCGCCCTCACAATTGCCTTGGGAAGGCCGAGCCATTGCCACGCACAAATTCCGCCTGCTCGAGTTTACGGCGTTCATGGAAATCCAGCGAGATGATATGGTATGTTAACCGAGGAGGAGACGACTCCTCGTCTCCTCTTCCCTCCTTGATTTCCCCCAAACAATCTCTCATAATCGTTCCATTCATTCACAGTACAACCGTCACCTTTTCGTGCAACTTGGCGGCAAGCCATCCTTTTCCGATCCCTTGCTTGAGGTACGTACTCAAATTATGAAATATTTTCCATTGCCAGCTACTAAATACAACATTTTTGATTTTCCCCAATCCCCCAATCCAATGCAGACTGTTGATATCCGACAAATATTCGACAAGTTTCCGGAAAAGTCCGGGGGGCTCAAAGATCTCTACGAAAAGGGTCCACAGAATGCGTTTTACCTGGTTAAATGCTGGGCGGACCTGAACACCGACCTAACGACCGGCAGCGAAACGGGTGATTTCTATGGCGTAACCAGCCAGTAAGTCTCAACCGATCAAGTAATATAATATATAGTATTATATAGGCAACAACAAGGGGTGTTTCTGTTCAGACATTTGGGAAAAGCCTAGAAACAAAGTTTTTGTTCAGGAGAACGTATACTTAAACAGAGAGCTTGGTTTGTTTTTGCTGCTTAAAGCAGTATATCATGATCACAGATTAGTCATGGTTAGTCATTAGTTTTCTTATATGCGAGATTGGTATTTTGGTAATCCCAGAGGAAGTAGTTCCCTAAGAGATGAGAAACAAATATATTGTACATTATAAGTTGTATAGGTTTCTAAAATGAAGTCAAACTAAATTCAGAAGTCATGTAATAAGGGCATGAAAGTTTAGTCATGGAGCAACTGAAAAAACAAGGCCATATCTAAATTGTTTTATGGTTCGTCTTTTTTCCAAACTTCATTTCACTAGGAATGTGCCATAAAGTGCTGTGTTTGCCCAAGAACAACTATCATCAACTAGCTCACTTAAGAACAGCAGATAATAATAAGGAAAGGGCGGAAAAATTCATTTACATTTACTCATGGGCGGGTGGCAGCCGAAAGGCCGAAAGCCATGAATCAAGTGCACTATCTTTACGAACGAACTATCTTTCTCAACCGCAGATACGAAAGCAACGAGAATGTCGTGCTCGTCTGCTCCACGATCGTTTGCTCTTTTGGCAAGCAGGTGGTGGAGAAAGTGGAAAGCGAATACTCTCGGCTGGAGAACAATCGCTATGTGTACCGCATCCAGCGGTCGCCGATGTGCGAGTACATGATCAACTTCATCCAGAAGCTGAAGAACCTACCCGAACGCTACATGATGAACAGTGTGCTGGAGAACTTTACAATATTGCAAGTGAGTAGAAAACATCTACTCTAATTCCTTTAGTATACCTAATTAAATGGATATTTATTTTGGTTCGCAGGTAATGAGAGCCCGCGAAACGCAGGAGACACTTTTGTGCATAGCGTATGTGTTTGAGGTGGCGGCACAGAACAGCGGCACCACCCACCACATATACCGACTAATTAAGGAATAGCAAAAGCTGCTTGGAGCAGAGCCCAATCTATCTGCGAATCCGATCAACAACAACAACAACAACACCACACAAGTTCACAAATTCATCGACAACAGCAACAGCAACAGCAACAACAACAGCAGCAGCAACAATAACAACAGTATCAGTAATACAACGGCCAAGAATTGCGATAGTAAAACGAGCAGCGATGCAAAGAGCCACAGTGCCAGGAGTAGCAACAGTAGTAATCCACAGAAGTGTCTCGCCAACGACAGCAGCAGCAGTATGAAGCACAGGAATCTGTCTGGGGTTACCACAATCATCAAGCAATCACTCACCTCGCCGCCGAATCACAACGAGATCGATGCCCTGACGGCACTTCAGGTGGAGGAGGTGATGTACACGACGTCGCAGTCACAAGCCAACAACACCAGTTACCAGTTGGACGCGGAGAGCAGCCTAGCGCCGAGTGTCCAGGAGCCAGCACTCCAGCCCATCATCCAGCAGCACGCCGCCTACCAGGATCGCGGCATCCTGCCGCCGTACAACCTGTGCCTCGGCAGCAAGCCGCAGTTCGGGGTTGAGTCGCCGCAGGACGAGGAGGACAAGCAGCTGAGCAGCACCTCGTCGTATGAGCAGTTCTTGAAGCTGTCCGCTCACGAGTTCTCCGAGTCGGAGACGGAGCGGAGGTCCACTGCGGCGGCCCTCAACCTGAGCAGCATTGTGGAGAAGGAGACGGCGGCGGCGGTGGCGACGGGGGCGGCGGTGTGCGAATCGAAAACCGAACTTGAACTTGAACTCGAGGATCCGCAGGAGTTTCGCTTAGAGGCGGCTGCCACTGCCGAAGGAATCAGAGTAACAAAGGCCGTGAGCCGAGAGCCATAATACTAGCAACCAACCAACCGAGCCTATAAGCAAGGTTGAGGCTAATTTTAAGGGTTAGAAATATACATATAGAAGAACGACACCATCAGAACCTATTTTTTTTTATTATTATTATTTTGTCCACCCATGGCAGTTGAACAGCCTCGAAAACGCATTGATGATTGATGATTGATGATCGATGATTGGTGTTCAGTTTCGAAATCAGAATTTTTATTTTGTCTAAATAAAAGAAAAGTGTATCATATTTATGTTACAATCGTTTGAAAGACTCGAACAACCGACTTTAGTTCAGCATGGAGTGCTTTCTGTAAAATTGTACTATACAAACATAAAAAAAAAATACATTTAAATGATCTCAAAGTTACTTAAAACATATTTTTTGTGTATAATTTTTTTTATGAAAACTTTACAAAATCCTAAAAAAAAAAACAAAACGAAAGGGAAATATTTAGCAGTCACCGCGAGCTGATTAAAAAAAAAAAAAAAAAACAAAAACAACGTAGGAAAGTAAGAGTAAATATTGACTAATATGTTTGAAACAAAGAACGCCGCGAAAGAAACAGATACATATAGTTTTGCGAATTACCATTAGATATGCATAAATTTCGTGCAAATAGGATTAAGACATTTTTTTTTAAATGAAAGCCTTCGCGTGAAAGCTACAAATTGTATAGAAATAATATGTTAGTTATATTTTATTCAAGCTTAACGAACTTTTATTTAGCAACAGCAGCGCAGATGAAGGATGAAAGATGAAAGACAGCAGGTTTGACAGGTTGACAACTAGTTTTGATAGCTGGCTGGATCGAGTGTAAACTGATTTTGGGGCTAGATAAGGTAACTACTCTTCGAGAACATAAGAACAAAGTATATTACAAATTTGTTAATTGAATTCCTGGCAAGAGAAGATTAAGAGATGTCAAGATAATGATGATGATGATGATGATGAGTAGGGCAAATAGCGACCGATCGAGAGATGTTGTGTGTTACGCGATGATTTTTGTCAATCCATTTCGTGTATTGTAGTGGCAAAAATGGATATGTAAGTAATTGAATTAAGCATGTGTCGAATGATCCACCGTTAATTAAATTATTAGTTACTGATTTAAATTCATTAGTATTAAAAATGCCCATATATTATAAATGAAATAAAACTGGTATGTAATTAGCCATTTCTGCATCCACCGAAGACAAGCTCGAACGAACACACGTATAAAATGTCCAAAATTGTAAGAAATTTAATAGTAATAAAGCATAAATGCAGAAGCAACGTAACGTACAGATTTATTTTCCGATCTAACTAAAAATAATGATAACGAAAATGTATTCTGATTGTAAAACAGCCTAATTAAAATTCTAATCTAAATAATAATAATATAATTACGCATATATATTTACCAAATAATATTACATATTTATGCTCTAAAGTATATACATACGACTACAACAAATACGCATTTTTTGTTCGTAGATAAGATAAGTTAATGTGAAAAGAATAATATGATTGCATACTAAAAAGTTCCACAACAATGACAGTTGAATTTTATTTCGAGAGCTAAGAAAACCAGCAACAACAAAAATATTTTAAAGGTATAGACTTAAAAATATTATTATTAAAGATCACTAATGAATATGGTTGGCAAAATATAGGTGGAGAGTAAATATAATAAATTCAAATTTAACCGAAAGTCTTTGATTTAAAAATTTACGCAGTCGAAAAAGTTAAATTCAGAATTTAACTTATTTTAAAAAGTTCGATAATAAAGCGATCAACCGATAAACCGATATGTTTAGGTTAAATAGTTTTGTACATTTGTATATCATTGGCCATTAAACGATTATATCTAATGCATTAAATTATCGATCTCGATCACTGATTTCGGCTTATTCTGAATGTCAATCCATATTTTGGCTACGTTTTTACTGACCGTTGGTTACACGAAATTTAAAACCTAAACACAAAAAACTTTTGGACTGCTAAGAACCTGAGTAAGCGACAATAATCACCTACCGGCTGATTTCTACAAATAAATTTTGTTGGTTAACCACTGCATTTTTGATAAGGGATTGCAAAATTTCTGAAAAATAAAACACAATTTTCAGCGAATTTATTGGAAAAGCGTTTACGAGGTCAACGAAATTTGGCATTTTAGATTTTGTCCAAAAATCTAAAAAAATTTCATAGTTTCGACGGATTTGTGAACTTCATTTAGTAAGTTTTTTAGTTGTTACTTCAGATTAAGGACTCACCGTTTTTAAGAGCTGATGGGTTGAACTATAAATGCAAAACATTAGTCAGCCGATTTAAAAAAAATTTTATTTTTGCCAATTTTCTAGTTTTTGATAAGGGGGTAACATCGCAATTTTTTTTAAAGCTTAAAAAATTTTTTTTTTTATTTGAATGTCAATCGATTAGGTATTCAAATACAAGTTAATCCAGGTATGACAATCATTTGGATAATTATTTACAATTTTATAGCTACAAATCATAGGTTTTTGAGTAATTTTAAGTTGTTTTTGCGGCATTAATTTTTATGGTTTCGATTGAGAAATTCCAAAACGAGTAAAACGAGGTATGGCAATCCATGTTTGGATCATCATGGATTACATAATTCAAGGGTTTTGAGTATTACTCATTTTTATTCCAATTACTTTCAACCAAGTTTCCGCCGAAGAAATTTCTGGAAAAGCCCTGTGGCTAATAGCTGGTGTTAAAACGTTGTTTTTGCTAGCTTAGTCACAACTAAAAATGGCAGCGTTTATAATACTTGCAGATTACTCATTCGCGATTAACATTTTCGCAGATATGCCAGATAGGCACGCGTTTTAATTTATTATTTCCGCTGCGTACATCTATAATTTGGAGCTTTCGTTTGATAAGCAAGTGGCGATGGTTCGGATAAGCTGGAGATGCTGATCAAGATTTGGGATGTACAAACATGTTTGGAAATCAGCACGTTTATCATTTCTAATTTATCTTTAAGGTAGACCTTTTCGAAACAATATTCTGGCCCACCCAGGCCCACGTTCAATGAATTACTTTGCGCCACGCCCAGACAATAAATCAAAAGTATTTGATTTTAAATAAGAGCCAACGATAAAATCCCTCTGAAAAAAATAAAAAAGGTAACCTAACGGATGGACAATCACGTGGTTAGTTATGATAAAAAGTAATATATTCTGTTATATTTGAATAAAGAGTGCTGTAATTATCAAAACATATATATTCATTTTACTGTCTACGAGAACAAACCAAAAATTGGATTGTTAATTGCATTGCTTTAATTTAATGATGTTTGGAGTTTCTTGTTTTGGTAATTTTTGGCGCACATGCAATTAATAGATTATTTTTCTTATTTTATTGGTATTCCTTTAATGCTGATACATTTGTTTGTTTTTTGTTTTTTTTTTTTAAAGTTGTTTTGATGGTTTTAACGGAAACGATTCCTACAAGTAGGGATAACCCATATTACGTCCTGCTGCTGACGTCACCGTTGCGGCGCCAGGTGGATAATTCTGTGCATATTGGGGAGGAATACCCATTGCCGGACCAGCGGTGATCATCAGCTGGGGCTCCATTTGAATAATATTTTTATGCTCGGTAGAATCGTCCTCCTTTTCGCGCTGAGCTTCGTTCAGTTCCAACTTGTCAACTTTTATTGTGTATTCCCGCAATACCTTGAAATTAATTGAAAAATACTTGAATACGCCATTGGAATACAAACATTTGAGTGAGCTTACTTGGATTAAATAGGGCATGGCAAAGTCAACGATTTTATGTTTCCAGGCCAGCTCCAAAATAACATCAGGGCGCAGCAAGTCGTAGCACTAAAGCGTGTGATTAAAGAAGGGATTACCACCAATTAAGATAAGATAGCTAATCAAATGTTTAATCTAGGAAAGGTACCAACCTGATAAAGGCATGCTGCAAAGCAATCGTAAGCATCGCGTTCCAGGAACCAACCCAACAGCTCCTCAGCGATGTCCTGCTTGCAAGATTCGGCGGCGTACTCCATAGCATCCTTGTAGAGTTTGTCCTTTTTGCAGAGCTCAACGCTTTGTTTCCAGCGGTTATTACCTAAAATAATTTCAATTACATGCATCAGTTTTGTAAATAAATAGAGTAGATATTATAAGATATTGATTTACCCTTGTACAAGTACGCAGCGATCCTGCGGAATTCGGTAAGTTCGTGCTTTTCGAGTTTCTGGGCCAGCGCAATGTTGTCAAAGTTGTCGAAGCCATCGATCGAGTTGCGCAGACCCTGGTAGTCCTCCTCGTCGATTAGGAGTCCGTTGAGGGCCTCGTTGATCGCCTTGTTGTTGAGAGATTGGACCGAACGCAGATAGGGCTTGACGAGCGGCAAGTAGCCGGTTTTGGAGAAGTAGCTAACGGCACGCGTGTGATCCATGCGGGGTGCCAGCACGAGGAGCATGTCGTTCAGCAGCAGCGGCTTGTAGTCCAGATAGAATTCGATCGCCTTGTAGTACAGCTCGATGTTGGCCACCTTGGTGATGATGTCCTTGAAGTGCCCCTCGCGCCACGCCTCCGTGGGATGGGCCATCATGGCCAGCACGGCATTGTCGTACTCCTCGTACTTGTCGTACAGGAACACCAACTCGGACCACAAGTGCGCCGATTCGGCGGCACGCAAAACCTTTGGAATGTTAACGCGAGACCAGAACAGCTCCAGGTGCTCCCGCATCTTGGAAGGTTTGAATTTCGAGTAGAGTATGGCCAGCTCGGTGAACATGCCCATGTGCGCACGCTCCAGCCCCAAGGCGGACTCCAGCAGGGCGATCAACTCATCGAAGTATCCCCGATTCTGATAGTAGTTGATCAGGTCCTCCAGCTCGTCGGCATGGACCACGATGTGCAGGCCGCACATCTGCGCCAAACGGAACTCCTCGGCGTCCACGCAGGCGAAGCACACCTCCTTCCAGGTGCGCGTCGAGTTGGCCTTTCGCGCCGAGTCGACGGCGCCCTGGAACTCCTTCAGATAGACCAGCGTGATGGCCAGGCGAGCAAAGTTGCTGACGTTGTTGTAGAGCAGCTTCGCGGCATCGTACATGCCGTCGCTGAAGCAACGATTGCCGATCTTCTGGATGTCGGCGTGATTCGGTCCCGAAATGAACTCCTCCAGATCGGCGAGGCGTCCGGTGCGAGCGTAGGCATAGATCAGCTCGCTCTCAATGTACGATTCGCGCGCCTTCTTGCGCGCCATTTGCAGATAGCGGACGAGATCGTCCCACGACTCCACCTTGCTGGCCACGTCCACCACATCGACATAGGCACTCGGATCGTCGGCCTTGATGTACGAATCGATGGCCTCCTTGACCAGACCCTGCTGCAGCTGGGCCTTGGCCAGCTGTGACCAGACGGCCGGCTCGTTGCACCGCTCGGCGAACTCGTTGGCCCGCTCCAAATTGTTCACCTGATCGATGAGCACCTGGATGGCCGAGGTGTTCACATCGAACCGCTTGAAGATGGCGAAGGCCTCCTCGTACAGCTGATTGCTGATCGCAATGTTGGCAATGTCCGGCGCATCGTAGTTGTCCAGCCGGTTGATGTAGTCCATCACGCGGGTGCGATCGGCCTTGATGGCCGTGAGAATCAGCAGGTTCTGCAGATTGCGATGGTCGCTGAAGACGGACGAGTCCAGGATGATCTTCTCGAGCAGTTCGATCAGCTCGTTGGGCAGATCGGCGGTCATAAAGGCCTTGACGGTCACCGAAATGTCATCGGGGTCCTGCGTCTCGGAGAGAGCCGTCTGAACCACCTGATCGATCAACTGGCGCTTGTAGGGATTGCTCTCCGAGAGCACCTCGGCCCAGAGTTCGGCGTCGCGGCGGCCAACCAAGTAGCGGGCCTCGCTCTTGAACAGCGAGTTCTCGTTGCAAACGGCGATGAGCTCCCGGTCGCACAAGCCACGCTCGTAGGCCACACAGGCCAAGTGGGGGTCCCGCTTCTCGCAGTAGCGACCGACCACGCGGCTATCGTAGTACTGGTTCTCCTTGAGATAACGCTCCGGATTGTTGTTCGAATCGATGTAGATCTTGGCCAGCGCATTGTGGGTGGCCGGCTCGACGCAGCCCTCGTGGACGCGCGACTCCAGCCAGGGAAGGAGCAGCTTAAGGCGATTGCGCTTCTCCACCTCCTCGACCAGCTCGTCCGTGGAGAACTGGCCCTTGACCACAAGAATTAGATTCTTGATGATGTCCTCACTGCAGTCGACATCCAGCAGACCGCCCACGACCACCGGCAGGCGGGATGGATTCACCTTCTGCACGTAGATCTCGATGTACTTCTGCAGATTGTTACGATACAAATAGAGCACCAGGTCGTGCACAAAGTCGAAACGATCACAAACAATTATCAACGGAAGCTGATCGGTCAGCTTGGCTTCCTTCAGGAAGTTCTTCACGCGCTCGGGATTGTAGCAATTGGACTCGCGGCAGATGCGCTCCACCTCCTTGATCTGGTTGGTCTTGCACGCGGCCTGGATGTACTTGAAGTGCACCTCCGGATCCTGCGAGAAGTTGACGATGCTGCTCAGGAAGTAGAACAGGCCGTCGTAGCTCTTGAATCCCTCGAACAGATCGATGAGCGCCTTGTTGGTCAGCTGCTCGTGGTACTTGGTGGCGATCTGCACACAGATCTGCAGATTCTGACGCAGGTTCGCCGTGAGCATGGCCTTGAGGCACTCCAGCGAGTCCTCCACGGACAGGGTGCCAAAGAAGCTGACCAGCCACTCGGCGTTCAGCATGTGCGTGTGCACAACGGCCCGCTTGATGTCGTACAGATCGGTGTAGTGCTCCAAAGCGCGCTGCAGCAGACCCGCCTTCTCGCACAGCTGGGCGATGTGCGCCCGATCGTAGTGGGTGAACATGGCGTTGCCCAGAATGGCATCGGCCACCTGGGGCGCCGACATCAGGTTCATTTCGAGCAGACGCGTCTGCAGGGCACCCTCGGCGGGTCGGTTGTGCTTGAGGGCGTCCAGCAGGAAGGCCGTGCACTGCTGCACCATCGAGTGCTCCATGAAGATGTCCACGATCTGGTTGATGTCCGCCAGCGGTTCCTCCTCCGCCACCAGCATGGAGGCAAAGCCGGCGCCCTGCTCCGGATTGCTGCGCATCACCGAGCGCAGCAGGAACACATAATCGGGCGTGTAGTTCACCTTCTTCGCGTACAGCACGATCTTCTGGAACTGTCCGGTTTCGGCGAAGCACTGGATCACCTTGTTGGGCACGTTCGCGCGCAGATAGATGGACAGGGCGAGCGTGAGATCGGAGGCCTTGACGAGATCGCCCAACTCCTCGCTGCACTCCAGCTTCTCCTCCTTCAGCCACTTCTCGCACAGCTGCTTCTTGCCCTGCAGCAGAACGGGTCTACACAGCTCCAGCGACTCGAACTTGTTCAGTTTTCCCTGGTCGAGCAGTATGCCAAAGTACTGCAGCAGAGGCGGCGTGGTGGTTCCCGCCGGCGTTTGCACCTGCTGGAAACGCTGAATCGTCTGCGGCGTTCGCAGAATCGCCTTCGGCGCCAACGCGGCAACCTTGGCCGCCTCGGTGTACTGGCCGGCGGTGAAGAGCTTGTTGAACTTGCGCACGAACAGATCCTCGGCACCGGCCAAATTGTTGCGAACAGCCATGCGGAGGGCCAAGTCGGGATTCTGGAGAACGGTGTTGATGTAGGGAATGATCTGCTCCTCGTCGACGGTCACCGAGAGGACCTGCCCCTTGCGATTGACGCCAATGATGCCGCCGCTGGCCTCGTGCGGTGCGGTCACAAAGATCGTATCGGCCGATATACGATTCATGTAGATGCACGTGGCCGTCTCCATGTCGTACAGATGAATGTATCCATATTTGGTTATCAAATAGATGGTGTCGTACTTCGCAGAGACTTGCATGGCGACGGGGAAATCGTTCTGTGCCTCCGGCGGGAAGAACACATCGACAGCCTTCTTGGGGAAGGCCTGATTGCCGTTCGGCGGCGTTCCAACTTCGATGATATGCAGCTTGCCGCCGGTGGCCGTGCGCACGGCAAAGCAGAACAGGGTCGTCGGCTCCTTGTTGGCATCGATTTTGAAGGTGGCAAAGCTGGCCGCATGACCCTCGATGGCCTGCGACACCTTGCGCTCCACGGAGTACAGCTGCATGGCGCCGGCGACGCGGCTGGGAAGCGCCGAAATTCCGACCAGGAGCAGCCACTGCTGCGATGCATTGCAGCGGTAGTTGATGATCTGGCATCCGTTCAGCGAGGAGTGCCGGTCGAACATCTTCTGCGGCATCGAATCGCCCTCCATCGACCAGTGGAACACACTGGTTTCCGTCACCAGGGCCAGCGTGTTCAGAGATATCCACTTCCAGAATACAACGTCCTCGTTCATGGTGTGCGCCTTCATCTTCGATTTCATCTCAATGTTGAAGATCTGCAACGTCTTTTGCGCTGGAAAAACAGAAAGGAAATTTATAAATATTATTATTTAAAATATTCCATCTGACTAAAGACGTAGCTTTATTGGAAACGTACAAAGTCGGACATAAAATCTAAGCTTTAAGTTCATTGCTAAATGACAGTGAAAATCAGTAAGTGAAAAATCATTTCAGTTTCATTTTACATTCTATAATAGTTTAATTAGGAATTTTATAATCAACTTTTAAAATGAGTAGGAATTTCACAAGAAAGGGAATTAGGGGATGCCAACCTTTTTTTCAACCATATGGTATCTAATAAGAATATCCGTATCCGTTTCCGGGATGTTGACCACTACTTTCTCTTACCTTTGAGCGCAATAACCTTGCTAGCTGGATTCATGATGGCCGAGTCCGCTGAAATGGGACGCCGAGTGGGATTGGTGGCATCGTTCATGTCGATGATGACCACCTGGGCGGTATCATTGACCTTTTCCCGCACGCATATAAACTTATCCGATTCCATCGTAAGCGTGCTAAATGAAAATGAGTTGGCGTTGATCCCGACATTTGTGAGCTATAAGATAAATAGATAAGAAATTGATTTTTTTTTTGCTATTAAATAATTGAAAGAAAAATTTAATTTTGGGGCGTTCTTAAACATTTAACTAGCAATTTAAAATAAACGGACAACTTGTATAGACTTCCGGTTGGAATTTATAATTAAACGATAAAATTGTGTCAGAAAAAGTACAGCAAATCAAGTTGGTTTTTAGTAGGTGATTATCAAGTCAGCAACTAAGCTTTAAACTAAATTCCTTTACTGTGGAGATTCCACCATAAATAGGTCATGTTCTAGATAAAACTAGATGCTATTTGCTAGCCTGGGCACTTGATAATGTCATTATTTCTTTATTAAACATTTTTCTTAAAACCGACAATCGAATTTTCGGAAATTAATTTTAGTTAAACCGGCATTTGTATATCTGCTATGTTACAGAAATTTACTCCAATCAAACACCAACCGAAAGTTGGAGAGATTTTTGAAACACCCCCGATAATGTGTTCTGATAAGACCAACTTGACATATTGGAGAGTTGAAACCCTCCATATAGGGATGCCAATATCCCTAGATAATACGATATAACTCACCTGTAAATGCTCCTGAAAGCGGATGGGCAGTGGTTGCGTCATCGTGACTACAGTGAAGTCTAGTTATTAACAGACGTTTACAATTTAAATATATCTCTGCAAAAACAATGCTTGTTCGTGTTCTTTCTTTGTTTTTTTTTTTAATTGCACACTATTTAACAGTTTTTGATTCGTTTCGGTTTTGTTACTTGTTCTTGTTTTCGATTTATTCGTTTTCCTTGTTTAAGTTTAGGTTTCCATTAGCTGCGCGAAAGAGAAATGGTTGTAAATTGTAGATGTTAACGGCAGCACTGATGCAGCAAGAATTGGAAAATGAATTTGTGGGCGTTATTGTATTGTTGATAGAAAGTGACAGCGTCACCGGATGAAAAGAAAAAAAACGTTGCTTTGAAGATAAAAATGTATATGTACATATGGATGTAGACGCCCTTTAAAAAAAACACATACGATGTACATGCATATGTGTAGCAAAATAAAACGAAATACTTTTGTTTTTCGATTAATCCTTTGTGTCGGTATTTTGCACTTGATGTGTCGACGGAAAACGGGGAAAATTACCAGCACTTTTTTTTTTATATTGACGTGAGCGAGAGAGCAGAGCGAAAAACTGGTGAGAGTTTGAAAAGAAAAGAGGCAGCATTATCATCAATCGCTGCTCACCACAGTAAAGTCAGCCATGTTGAGTTGCGCTTTGAACAATTAGTCACTGACTAATACATGTATGTACGTACATGTACATCGTTTACATAGTGCTAGATGTACGAAAATCGAATTTAAATGTCACTCTTCTTTGCGCTTGATAAAAGTGGGTGCGATGACGTAGATTGTCGAAAATCAGAGCTCAACTTGTGTATATCTACTTAAGCAGCGATTTTTTTCTCCATTCTCTGGTTGTACACACACACACATACACATATGCGATGCCGCAATATGCCACATAAACAAGAACATAATTAAATGAATGATAACTTAATGGTATACTTTTACATCGAATAAACAAGGTTTTTACATTGCTGCATGGATTTTTTCGTTTTTTACACGTATTCGATTTGGATTCGAATGTTTACTGGAATTTGGAAATGTGTACGAGCATACTCAAAAAAATACGTCGGTTTGGTGCTTGATGACGGGCACACACACACAAGACGAACTCAATTCTTATCAAGCTCCAACAATTGTAGTTTATTTTGTTTGACTAAATACTGACTGAAAGACAGGGTAGAGGTGTGAAAGTTATACAATTAATGCCGATATATACGAGGAATATGCAATTAGCTATTGTGAAAAAACATCGATAATTTAGCGGTGTCGCAAAAGGGACTTATCGATGTTTCGTTTTTATAATATGCAGGCTCTTTTGGTTACTTTTGGGGTCTTATTTTAAATTTTTTCCAAGTAATAATAATTTACAAGATTAATAACATAATATAAGTCGAAATAGAAGAACTGTTGCTTGTTACATTTATGCCTATCGAAAAAATATCGCGCAATGAGGGGTTTGAATAAGACACATAATGTTTGGCAGTTATCGCAAAAAAAAAATTAATAGTAAGAATATGAAATATAAATAATAGTAAGGAATTATTCTCGTAAAATTGTATAATACTTTTGAAGTGGGAAACAAGTTTTAAAAGTTATATTTCCCATTTTTTAAAAATTAAGAATTCTTCAGAATCAGGAATACAGTATAAAGTGCTCTGATAAGAAATTTAAGAACATTTAAAAAGTTTGCATAAAACTAAAATGGAATCCTCATATTAGCAAACAAAACAAAGGATAATATATTTTCAGGCGTTATTACTTGGTAGTAAATTATTTAATAAATATTATAAAAATTTAACAATTGAATTTTATAAATAAAATAAATCAGGGGATATACCCATCTTATTCAGTATTAAACATTTTGAATTAATTATCAAATTTCATACTTTATTTGTGTACAATTCATGTCAGATATTTAATGTAGAAATTTTACATTTTCGAAACTGGTTTCAGGCCTAGTATAGAAAAGCATTGGCGTAAGACGGCAGCAGTTGCTTCACACAGCAAAATTCGACTGTGATTGACTTTAATAATTTCGCCAGCTTTGTTCTTTTCAATACAATAGCAGGAGTCGTAGAATTCGGTAAAAACTGTGCACACCTCGTAGCAGAATTCACAGAGGAAATGCAGGAAAAGCTCTTTCGAACACTTGATCAGTATGTCGTGTAGTTTCAAAAGAGTTTTGGCTAGTTTCCATTCCTTTTCGTGGGCCAATTCAATCTTGACCTTATTCAGTATTTCAGGCAAATTGGAAAAGTCTTCTCCGGAGTTTCGTGCAATAGAGCAAATGCGAGTATATGTATAAAGTAGGTAAACCGCAGTATTGCCGCGGTCCTCGAGCATCTTGTCAAACGAAAATATATAGTCGCTAATCCGGTTATGACACAGATCCGAATACTTGATGCATCCATAGGCCAGGGCTTCCTGAGCGTCCGTTAATTCCTGAGGTGTGAGAACCTTATCGCGTCCTCGGCTTTCTAATTGTTGCAACGACCGCTTCATTCCCTCATCAAGCAAATCGGCCAGTTTAACAGTATCACCCGATCGAGTCTTAAATTTCTTTCCATCCTCGCCAAGAACCACACCAAACTGAACATGATCTACACGATGGCTTTGTGGATTTAGAATGGCACAACGTTCGGCAGCCTTGAAAATTGTGTTGAAATGTGTGCTTTGTCCAGAGTCCACAACATAGACAATCCAATCGCAAAGTTCCTCTTGCACTCGGTGGCGAATAGCGGCCATATCCGAAGTATCATACGTAAAGCCGCCATCCGATTTAACGATGGTTAAAGGTATGCCAGTCCTTGAATCGTCGGGCCACATGATCTCCCTTCCTTCATCCTGCTCCAGCAATCCTTTTTCTCGCAAATACTCGACAACAGACAGCATGCGGGATTGATAGAAAGATTCACCACGTTCCTTAATGGAAATATCCAATCGTTCATAAATTGTTTGGAATTCCTTTCGGGAAACATTGCAAATAAGTTCCCAAGCTTTAATGGAGTTTGGAACACCTTTTTGCAAAGAAACCACACGACTGTAAGCGCGCTTTTTGAACTCTTCATTTTCGTCGAATCTGTAAAGAAACAGTATTGAAATGGTTTTCTCCATTTAAAGCGAGATCGTGGCACATTAAATATAATTAGTACTAATAAACGAACTATTTCCGTTTTTGTAACATATTTTAACCACAAACAATGAAAAGTTGTAGTTTTATGAAAACTAAGGGTTTTCCTTGCTAATGTCGTCGAAATCTTACCGTTTCTTCGACTCCTTGTAGAACAATTGCAAATCACTAATTGGTGGGCTTTCGTTAAGGTAATTGGGAAAACGATCTTCCAAATGGGCAATCAACATGCCAAACTGTGTTCCCCAATCGCCAAGATGATTAATACGGACCACGTCGTGCTCAAGAAACTCCAATAGCCGACAAATCGATTCGCCAATAATTGTGGATCGCAAGTGACCAACATGCATTTGCTTGGCAATATTGGGCGATGAAAAATCGACCAAAACTCGTTTCTTAAGAACTTGAGGAGGCTTAACACCATTACGCAACAAGTTGCCTAAAGACAGAGCTGCAAACTCCCTGTAGAATAAAAATAAAATGTAAGTCTTTGATACTACTGGAGATTTGTTTTAAGGTGATACCTACTTGCTAAGAAAAACATTTACAAAACCAGCGCCAGCCACTTCCAGTTTTTCAATAATGGGCGATGGTGGACAATGTCCTTTCAACTCGGTTGCAATATCACGTGGCGATTTACTAATACCATTTTCTTTGAATTTCTTCGACAATCCCATAGCATTGTTGCACTGATAGTCACCGAATTTGGCAGAAGAACTATTAACCGGTGCTATTACTACAGGTGTATCCTTAAAATCCGGAAAGGCTGATGCAATTGCTTGCGCAAAAACGCTTTCCAAATGCTCGGTGATCGAAGAGCAATCTTTGAGTTCCACTCCACCACCGGCTTTTGATTCCTCAGCAATTGACTATGAATATAATAAGATAGTAATACTGTAATCATTACTTAAGTATCAAGTTATTACCTTTTTTAGAATAAACAGGCGGTTCTTGAGCTTCTTGTTCTCAATTTGAAGCTGGATTAGATCGACGTCTAGCTGCTCACCATTGCAATTTTTGGTCGTTTCTATTCTGGCGGCCAGTCCCTTCGTCTTTAATTCCTACAGTACAGTACAGTGCACTTTAATTGAGACATTTATATATGATAGGTTTATCAGCTTACCAGTTCTTTAAGTTTCTGTAGCTCCAAATTAAGCTCCATATTTATTCCGAAGTTCCACACTCGCTGATTTATAACAACAACAAAACGATGCCACATGGATGGCAAATAGTGGGCACATTCCGCCTATCGATAACGATAAGCGATGAGGTCACTCGACAACGACCTATTGTTACAATATACACTATTCACGTTATTGGTTTTCCTGGGAAGTCTTTAATCGTCTTACAAAGAAGCGTATGTTCATTTTTGTACGGCTTTATAATCGATGCATACATTTCAGTTATTAAACAACTTAAATATTAGATGCGAATTTATTGGCACTGCAAGTGAGTGGGGAATGTGTCTATGTGGAACTAGCTCATAACCTTAATCTTCGGCTGTTTATTTGTATCGATACATCGATGTATCCCATCTCTATTGTGATTAATTGTGATTGTTCTTTCGCTAAAGGTGTCTCTTTAAAGTTTTTATGTGTATGTGTGTTTAATTAATTTGCAGTATTTGTCACCTTGTACATTAAGATTAAATGTGGAATGAGAGACACGACTTAAAGTGCTTCTGTGGTGCACATTCCCCTTAGGAGATACATCTGTATGACATAGGAAAAACAGATGTGTGTAACGCCGCTCCCATTAAAATTAAAACTGCACTACAGACGGTTTTTTTTTACAAATATAAATAGTGGCAAAAAAACGTATTTACCGGGGATGAACTTTGTTGAATGCAAACTGCCTATTTATAAAAGGGAGATGTATTTAACAGTATTAAGTTTCTATGTTTTTAAAATATCAAGTGTCAACGAGAAATATCTTGAAGCAAAAAAGGCATTATGCAGATCAATACAAAAAAGTTTACTTTATTTTAAACACTTATACGCATTTTGTCTATGTATTTTGTATCAATAGAAATATATAAGCCGATTTTTATATAAGTCAGTCGGTGACACTAGATAACATGTTGTGTTCCAATGATAAGCTTTGATATCGTCCGCATACAATCATTAAATTGTACATTCCAAAATGTTTACTAATAAGGAATGCTTTCTCATGGGTTCTCAAAGTGTAACTTTATGTTATTGTATTTCCTGGGGCTCTCACACTTTACTGTTTATGCATTGCATTACATCGTGTTTCCTTTAAAGGAATTCGGCAATGGCACTTCTTATTATGGCATTTGAAAGATATAGATATAGTTACGCGAATTGGTTGTTGTTTTTGAAAATCGTAGATATAACAATTCAATAAAGCCATATATTTTTCATATAAATATTTTTGCAATCAACTTATATGAAATCATTTTCCATTCTGCCAACTGTATAATTTTTTAAGGGGGCCCAAACAAATAAAACAGAAAGGAAGAAATTAAACAGTCAGGTGATAAAGAGTCATTCGCCCCAAATATTTCTAGAACGTTTAGGTAATAAATGGGGGAAAGGCAATTCATACAATTTGATTATTTGCAAACTCTCCCTTCTACGTAATTTAATGAAACAAATCTTATATATTTTAGCAGTGTGCAATCGCTTAAAATATAAGTATATAAAGCAAAGTTAAATTACGTTCAGTTTCAATGGAAAGTATCAGCACCACTGGTCGACGGAGGAACAACATGCGAATCAATGCCGAAGATAATGCACTGGATCAAATTACAAAAGAGGTACATTTTATTTTTACTATCTAAAAAATGTATCAAAATTATTTACGGCTTTTAAGGGCTTAACTGCTTAACTAAATGTTGTCTTTTATTAAGGCGGAGGCGCGACTTGCAGCTCGTCGACAAGCGCGTGCTGAAGCCCGGGAGATTCGAATGAAAGAGCTCGAGCGACAGCAAAAGGAGCAGGAAATAACCGCTGACCGCGTATTTGATATGCAAAACGCCACTACAGTGGGCAGCGAAAACCTTTCGACGCATCCCGTACGCCTCGTCTACGGCGGACTCTTAAACGTAACCCGTGCATCAGCATCCCGCCGAAGTAGCGAGGATTCCGTGGAAGAAGAAGGCAGGAGTTTTCGCGACTTCAAGCACGAGCTTAAGGTAAATATAACTATCTATTTATATCATACAACTTCAGTTAATCCGCTTGGTTCTTTAGGATGTTGAGGAGCGGTTTCGGAAGGCCATGATAACGAATGCCCAATTGGACAACGATCGGGCCTCGCAGGCTTACGAGGTCAAGTTGCTCAAGGACAAATGCGAAATAATGGAGGAGTCGTATGCACAATTGCAGCGCGAGTTCAAGGAGAAGATGCGTGACTGCAATGCCCTTAAACGGAATCTAGATCGGGCGAATCTTGAGCTTAAGCTAGTACAAGGACAGTTAAATGAACGCGATTCATTGATAGCTGAACAGGGCCTTCTTATAGTGGCAGTTGAAAATGCCGATGGCAGCGATGCCAAAAGAGCTCTAGTGAGTGTCGAAAACGCTAAAGTTTTGGCGTCCGTTCAGGGTTCTTTAGGTAACTGCCATTTTTGCGCTTAGCCTAAGTTTATAAATGAAATAATTCATTGAATTGCAGATGTAAGACTTAAAAAGTTCAGTGACGAAAAACAGCGACTGTTATCCGAGGTGCAAAAGCTTCACGAACAGCTTGAGGAGTACAAAAGTGATGGAGGTACTGGTCGTCGCAGTCTTTCCCAAGGTTCCTTCGGCGACGAGAATGATTACGAAGCCCAACGTATGTTAACCATAATTACCTAACAACAACTATTATTTTCTGCATGTTAAGTTTTCACAATGTTGTTTTCTTTGTGTAACTAATATCAATGTATTATGAGTTATTCTTTTTTTAAATGTAGATATTTCCAGATAAATAATTTCTGACATTTTGTTGTGGCTTTTTAGTTGGAGTTGGTATTATAATTTGTTAACATAGTTTGCTACTTTTGCTGTTCGGTAAAATGCAGCCCTCAAATATTTATAATAAATTACGAGACTTATTTCTTATACTATCCGACAGGGGAATCAAACAAAATCATTTCAGACCATAAATATAAGCTGCAAAAGGCTGAACAGGAAATCGCCAATTTACAATCGAGCTTAGCCCGTTCAGAGACCCAAGTTATACGATACAAAAGCACTGCGGAAGCTGCCGAAAAAGCAGAGGCAGAGTTAAAAGTCGAGCGCCGTAAGCTTCAACGCGAGGTATGTTGTAGATTTCAAGACATTAACATCCCATAAACTAGGCATTTTATTTGAATCAAAGTTTATTTATAATATTATTTTTTCCATTCACTAGCACCGGGAACTTTTGGAAAAGTTGGAAGAAGCTGAAACGTCAAACAACCATTTGCTGAAGCGCCTCGATAAGTTGAAAAATGCAAAGAGTGCCATTCTGAAGGACTTATGATCTAAGATGGGAGTTGCCTGATCGCATCCGATGACATAGAAGACAGTACGACATCATGAACATACAAATGCTGCAATTTTAATAGCACTTCGTTAGCAGTTTAATCGGACTTAGTGGTAGCAAAACGATCATTTTTGAAGGATAATCCAAACAAAATACTCTACCTTAAAAATATATTTAAATAAAATCTTAAACTAACGGATAATAATTAACATAAATAATGTCTATATGTATATTTAAAGCGCAAAATATAAGTAACAATTCAATTGGTTTAGCAGTGTGTATGACATCTTTGTTTTCCGATGCGCGCTCACAACATCTGTAGTAAGTTAATCGAGGTCTCCCAATAAAAATTTAACAAAGCCTTGTTTGAATAAATCAAATTTATTTAACTTTTTTCATTTCTAAAGAATTATTGCTGCGTTGACAGATGACATTTGCAAATCAATCATAGGGACATCTACGACGATTCCGATTGCGTTTGGCGCTCTGTGGATAGGTACAAATAACCAGAATTAGTTTCGCATAAATCAACTTATTTTTTGTTCTGTAAAAAAGTTTAACAGTTAACAGTTTGTTGGTTGTAAGCTTTAGAGCAGGAATTTTGGAATATACATCAAATATTGCATGTGCATGCAGTTTGATTGAAAAACATTGTTAGGCACTTTGAGAACCAAGTTAGACACATAAACTTTTTAAGAGTTTTATGTAAACAATGGGATATTTTGGGTTTAGCCTTGCAATTGCAGGCACTTACGCCAGTTTTCATTAAAATAATAAAATTGTTGACAGAACACTTAAGACTTTTCATCTGAAAAAAATATATAAATATAACGAAATATGTAATAGGAACCGAACTTGGCTGTAAACCTAATAAGCACCTTAAGTCTGATCTATCTTCTTTTTCAAATTGAATTGTGTGAGTTTGTGTATTGCCAATTACTTTCCAAAAGTCAAATATCCGAAAAAATTACCCAAAGAGAGAAAGTTCTATACTAATTTATTTATTGGTGGGCGGCAGATAACTACAATTAGTTTTTTATATTATCAATCTCGTTTTAATTTCCAAGCTAAACTTGATTTTTGGTAAGCACCTTACACGCCCAAGTGCAGCTAACATTTTTTGTGTGTAGTTGGATGTTTTCCTCAAACCCACTTTTGATTAAGCCTGTTTATGACGATTGCTTTTTAATTATTAAATCTTCCACAAATATCCCAATTTGTTTTATGTAAAGACTAATTTCCAGGTTGATTACACCGTACCACCTAAAAACTTAAAATGGATATAACTTAGGAGATACGTACGTGCAGGTCGGCCATTTGCCCAGGGTGTGAATTTCACATGGCTGGCATTGCGCTTGGCGGCATCCACACGCAAATCCGTTTTCAAGGATTCGCGCAACACACGAGCGGCGATGTTCGAGTATTGGATGTAGCTGCAATTGGCGAATATTTGTATTAGTTATGTTATGTAAGTCGGCACTGATTTTGTTTGCATGGTAACTGAAATATATCAAAACGTTTTCTGCTAGATACTTATGTAAATATTGCTTACGTAATTCCGGCAGCTCTCCAGGCAGTCATTGTGATCGGATTTTTCGAATTAGATTCACGCCACACAAAATAATCAAGTATTCTTTTTAAGAATCGACACCAGTGTGACCGTAGAAAAGTTTTTTATTTTATAACAAAACATACCAACTGGCTCCAAAAAATACCATTTTAATGTGCACTAGCGTTGAGGGCTTTCCTATGAAATGGAAACGATGGAACTGGGACGCATGGTGCGTGGGTATTATCATATTTCCACTTAGGTCTTGCGTTCATAAAACAGCTGTTATATTTCTAGGATAACAAATCCAGGAAAACAAATGCAAATACATTCGTTTGGCAGCTGAATTAGATACCGCTAAACGTTTTAAATATTTTACGGTCACTGCTGTTTTTGTGTACCTGCAGTATGAAATTCTATTTTGAATTCCAATTAGTTCTAATCAGAACCACAAAATCCAACAAACCATATTTGGCCTTGAAATTCCCGAATACAAAATATATTTAAGGATATATTAGATTATTTATTTATCATTGACTTTAAGTTAGACTTTACAGATAATATTTTAAAACTTAACAGAAGAAAACACTTAAACTCTAATTAAATATGTATATATACAGAACAAAAATTTCTTTAAATATCCTTTATCGTGTTAAAGAATCGATCTGACAAGTAATTGCTGATTTTGTTTTTTTTTTTTTCATAGACGCACACTTAAAAGAAGAACGCAATGGGGAAATGACTTATTTTTTTGCACGTAATTAGATTTTCAATATTCTGACATATTTGAAATAAGTGTTGTAATTACTTTTTTCTAATTAGGTTAACAAGTCCGATTTCTAAAAGCAATTAGCATTGTATTCGTATATTACATGTTATAAATATGCAGTCTAGCAACTTTAATATAGAGTATATGCACTTTGCACATGCTCATGAATTCCTGTGTGTATATATATAAAATATATATTGTATGTACATTAATATTTTAAACAAAGCGCCTTGTTCATCCTGACATACATTTTTATAGTTTAATAAATATACTTTTGACTGCACAAAAATGTAATTTATACATATACTTTTTTATTTTTTATAATGCAAATTAATTTAAATATTACACTATTATATAATAATTTAGTTACAAAATAGAGCAATTTGTTGAACAGCAACGTCCAGAACCGCCTTTACTATTTTGTCTTTGATCTAAAGAAAGAGAAGAATAACAATTAAAATTTGGCATACAAAACAAAAGCTTAGCTTCGACAAACCGAAGTCTGTGGACCTGTTTTAATTTGTTTTTGTTTTAAAATTTTAACAAAATGGTTGTGTATTATATAACACAAGTGTAACTGGATAATACTTAATAGTAAATAAGTAAATTCAAGTCAATAAAACTTATAAATTGATGTCATTTGATGATATTTGTTGAAGAGTATAGCTTTGTTTAAGTTACTTGACTTGACTTTTTTATTTCACTTCACGTAACTTTCCGTTACATAATTAAAAAAAAAAAATGTACATTTTTTAAAACATACCTTGTGAATTGGGCTCTGGCAAATTATCACGTGGCACTAAATGCATAACAGTCGTTTTGCCTAATGGAAGTCCCAGTGCTCCTAAGGTTACATTGCAGTGAAGAAAACGACCTTGATAAATTAAACGCAAGATCTCAGCTTTCGATACAGTTTCGTGGGTCCAATCTGGAAAACAAGAGAATAATATTAAAGAATGCACTGTAAAAAATATATTTTTAAAAATATGTTCTAAACCTGCACAACCGTTTTCAAATTGGTCTATCCAATTAGACCAATAGGAAGCCAAACCCAATTCGCCATTTTATTTTTCTTGTTCTTTTTGTAAAAAATATTCTCGAAAATAACAGCGAATGCTTTTAATAAAAGTCGCAAGCCAAAATATTTTTATTTAATTTTTGTATTTTATATCGAAAAGGTTATGCCGTATATAGGGAACCAACTGCTTCATTAAATTACTTGAAAGTTATTCGAAAAAAAAACTGTTTAACAAAATAAAAGTATCACTAAACGTACTCACCTTCTGGCCAATTATCAAATACTGTTTGTGCAATATCACCTGCGGAATCTGACGGACTAAAAATAAATTCTTTTGTTTTACCACTAACAAGTATGAGGCGTAGGTTAATCTGAAAATAAGATACATGTTATTTAATGCAAAATTTGAAAAACATTTAAATAATTGGTTCGCAGGTGCAACGATTTATGTATGCATATTAAATGTGAAGATAAAAAAAAAATTATCGAATCAGAGAAATTGGTAATTCGAAACTGAAAATATGGTTTGTTGTTATTTACATAAGTGTATGTAATTTATAAGAAAAAACCCCTTCTCTCGCGTAGTTTTGCACACCTGTATAGATATAACGAAAATATTCCTTGCATTTTTAGGGTATGTGGGAAGTGTATGACTTACTTTATCAGATGGTATTGTTCGGTGCATTTTCTGTGTTGCCAACGGATTGATACTGGCCTTGACATTGGTGCAACAATGCGAGGCCACCTCCGAAGTGCCGAGAATCGAGGCAGATCCATCGATTGGGGCGGCCAAGGGGGACGAAGGTTCCGAGGAGGTCATCGTGGGCGAGAAGTTGGCCAAAAGTTGGTGCTGATGATGGGATTTCCCTTGGTGGTATCGCAGCGAGGGGGGCTTTTGGACCAACGCGTACGACTGTCGCTGGTGATGTACGGCTGCTATAGTATCGGTGCAGTAGGAAAACGAGGAGAAGGGCAAAAACGCTTGCCCCTGGCTGCTTGCAGTGCCCTTTTCGTTGACCAACGGCGATGTTGCAGACCTAATGGCTCCGCCAATGGAACCTCCTGATGACGATGTACTCGACGATACGGAATACGAACGCTTGGTATTTTGGGCTTTCGATCGCTTTTGTTGACCAGCTACAATTGCGACGGTGGTGGTGCTCTCTTGTTGTTCCGTTTTGGGCTTTTCAATCGAAGACGTTAACGACATGGCGAGCTGATTTCCAGAATTTAATAACTCCCTGGGTTCATATGTCTGTGTAGCTCTTTAACTGCACAGTTGATTTATATTGAGGCAATTTCTCGGGCTGACAATCATCATTTGCAAATGCCATTTTCATTTTTATCGGACGCTCTAGTGCAACTTTCGATTTTTTTCACTGCATTCATATATAATCCAACAACTACATTGCTTGGTTGAGCACTAGAATTTTAATTCGATTTCGTTGAATTGTTTTCCCAACGACGTTGTGTAAAATTTTTTTAATGAAAATTTTATTTTGAATGTTTTCAAATGTTTTTTATATCTGCGCACTTATATATTTTTATGCACTTATATGTATTATGTCCAGATACTCAAATAAAGTAAATCAGTATAAATTATGCATACGTACACTTTGTATGCACATATATATATATACTATATTTATTACATCAACGATTGCTTGAATAGTTTGATAAACTTGCTTTCTTAATTTTATATCAATGCCTTTATACATATACACATACATATATGTATCGAATTGGATATAGAAGTACTTTCGCGTATAACTCGTATTTGTGTGCTTGATTTTTTTTATTTCGACACACAGTTTAATCTGCAGGCAAAACAGACTTCGCCTGCAATGTTTTTATGACTTGTTTTGTTTTTTCTCAATATTTATCTTTGCCCGAGATGACACAATTTTTAATTTTCCTATAACGACACGATGGTAAATACTTATACATACTCATTTTGCATTTACAAAATCAGTGTGGCCAGCGCGAGAATACATAAAATGAAACAGTTTTGAAGAGGTTTCATTACCACACTTAGTATTTTATCGTTATTGGATCAAACAGCTGATTCCGGGGATTCTCCACATCCGGGAAAGTTAAGAAAATAACAGACTTTACAAAGTTATATACGGAATAATGTCATGCATTCGATATTGAACTACTACAAAATTAGCAATAATAAAAATATTACACAGTTATAAATAATAATATTTCAGCATAACCATCAAACGTATTTCCACTCAACACTTGTTAATTGTCAAATTAAGACAGTAAAAAAGTATAATTTCACAATCAGATTATGAACATTGTATGCACTTTTCCGTTGACTGGTCACACTGTTTCCCAGGTTCCAAAAACATGTCGTGCACAACACCGCATATTTTGATTATCGAGCCGTTTTATGGTGGCAGCCACAAACAGCTGATAAGCACGCTGATCGAAGGTATGTAATCGGGATCTATTTAAAAACTTAACAAGAATACTAAACAACTGCAGGTCTTAGCTCTGAAGATTATGAGATATTCAGCCTTCCCGCCAAAAAATGGCACTGGCGAGCACGAACATCGGCATTGCATTTTTCACAGATCATTCCTCTCGACCACGAATATCGGATATTATTTTGCAGTTCTGTTTTAAGCCTGGCTGAACTTATTGGAGTCCGTCCGGATCTTGCCAAGTGCAGGAAAATCATATACTTTCACGAAAATCAGCTAAATTATCCGGTTCAAGAAGTGAAAACGCGCGATTGTCAATACGGACTTAACGAGATCCTTTCATGGTGAGCTTTTTTTATTTTATATACATACATGTGCAGTTTCTTTAAAATTAAACCTTTTTCAGTTTGGCCGCCGATATAGTAGTCTTCAATTCCCATTTCAATCGCATTTCATTTCTGGATAACATTCAACCTTTTCTCAATATCCAGCCGGACTTTAAGATAAAGAACATTCGCGAAAAAATTGAGAAGAAATGTCAAGTCCAATATTTTCCAATCAAGTTTTCAAACTTGCCCAACAACCGACGGATTGAAAAAACGGAGAGTATAGGTATGAATAAGGATCAGGAGGTCCTGCACCTTATATGGCCACATCGTTGGGAGCATGACAAGAATCCAAACTTATTAGTAGAGGCCCTCTTAGAACTTAATAATCGTAACGTCGACTTTAAGGTGACTATATGTGGTGAGAACTACAAGGAAATCCCGAAGGCCTTCGAAAATATACAAGAACATTTGGGTGATAAACTAGTAAACTTTGGTCATCTGAATCGGGAGGATTACATGGAGACGCTGATCACCGGCGACATTGTTATTTCAACTGCCGACCACGAATTTTTTGGCGTAGCCATGCTGGAGGCAACCTTCTGCGGATGCTATCCCATTGCACCCAATAAATTGGTGTACCCGGAAATCTATCCAAAGGAAAACCTGTACAACACCTCAAACTCGCTGGTCAAAAAGCTCTGCAACTTGTGCCGGAATCCTAAGGTATTTCGTAAACAGCGCGATCAATTTTTTAAGACCTTCGACTTCGACCGCTTTGCGGCACATCATTTGGTTCCAAAATATCTTGAGATATTGTATAACAATGTTAGCTGACGCTATTGAACTGATTCATTTAAGTTTGCTCTTTTTTGTTATATTATTCTTTAAGAATATTTATAATAAAATGATTTTTACACAACTTAATAAAAGAAATTATCTGTTAGGTTGCGTCCAAAAATTTGAAAGCATTTTCACATTGGTTTTTACTTCCCAATCCCTTAAACACTCTTTTCATTACTTTAAGCATGTTTATTTATTAAATATACGAAAAAAATGGTATAAATTTCAAAGATTGTGTACCCTGTGATGCTATAAATGTATTCATTTACTCAAATTTGAAATGCGTTGCTCATCAAACAAATATAAAATCAGATTCGGGTACAAATTAAGAAACCATATCTACATGATTATAAAAATGATACTTATGTATGTTTTCTTTTTTTTTTTTTTTTTTTGTTTGTTTTGTTTTGATAATACCTCATCATATAGCAACAAGAAATTTATAGCGAGCCGAAGCGATCGAATGTATTAACCATACATTTTTGCTTCTCAAAGTTAAGGGAACGTGGAATACAGGAAAGGTTCTTAAGACATGCATAGGCTTGTTCCTCCATAAAAAGCTGATCTTTGGTTTTGCCGCAAGCGACTCGTGCCCATTTTGGATCAATGACATGCTCGTAAGACATAACACCACGGTACTTGTAGCTCCTGCGATTATGGAATGGGCTATTTTCTTTCCTGCCTTCGTCAAACGGAAGATCCTGTTCGCTGCAAAGCGTGTCCTTCAAAATGTTGCTGGGCGAAGTGAGAAACTTGCTGGGCGTTTCGGTTTCAAACGGCTGCATTTTCCTGGTGCTGGAACCATTCGAAAGGTGATTCGAGCTCCAAGTTGAGAGAAGTGATTTTCTGGCACGTTTCAAAAGCGGCGACTGTCCGTTGTTTTCAGCGCTAAACGAGTTGGTTTGATCGCCAGTGATTTTGGAATTGTTTGTAGTTAGCGAGCTGCTCAGATGTTCTTCATTGATGATTTCAGCAAGATCTTCCACTAGGCTCGATGGGCTAGAAGGCTCGTATTGTCGTCCATCTCTTTTCTTGCCAATGGCTGCCAGGGCCTTTTTAAACGGAGTCGGTGTTCGCGGTCCAAGTTGACCTGCAATCAAGTGATGGTGTTTTTAAAAGGAACTATTATCAATATTACCTATAGGACTTACCCTTTTGGGGAGTTTCAATAGATGAAGTTTCCATTTCCTTCTTGATTTCCATTCCCACCCGATTGTACACCTTTGTCACCGGTGTACTGGCTCGCAAATTCATATCTTCAAATGTGGTAAGACATGGAGATTTGAGAAAATGGCTTGGCGAGAACGGTAGTGCTTTAATGGGCGTTATAACTGGCGAGCCCGGAAGCCTGGGCCTGGCTTCTTCCGCATTGAAAACCCCATTTGATGGACCAGCCTGTGGATGATGAGTTTCGGGAATGTGCTTGCGGGAACGCTTCAATATGTTCGGCGTTTGGCGCGGTAGCGACATCTTTAAATGTGGCATATTGAGGGCTAGCATACCCATTTGATGTTCGGCACCGGTCAAATCCTGTGACTCGGTTAGCTCGCTGTTTATGTTAGTAGCCGACTCGGATTCCGATTTTGTGGCTGACTTAACTTCGGTGGTTTCTGCAGTTGCCGCCTTATGCTGATTGTTATATGGCCCTTTGCTGACCCCTCCAGATTTGATCAGCGTTATAAGATGAGTGCGGGAGCTCTTTAAATCACTTCCAGATGCACTAACCGACCTGCGTTCGGCATCATATTTACGGCGCATTGTCGAGTTCCAATGATTTTTGATGGCATTATCAGTGCGGCCGGGCAAAAGTTTGGCGATCTTTGCCCATTGGTTACCAAGTTGCATGTGAGCTTGATAGATGATCTTGTCCTCCTCTTCGGTCCAGGCGGTTTTCTTGATGTTTGGATTGAGATGGTTGTGCCATCTTTCGCGACACTGTTTTCCAATTCTGCCGTTTAGGTATCGAGCTATTAACGTCCATTTTTTTGGGCCAAAACTTCGCACCAGTTCGATTACCTTATCGTCCTCGTCGCGCGTCCAAGGACCTTTGATAAGTTCCGGATTGAGGACTTTGGCCCAACGCTGCTGCACCTGCTGTTCCAATCGATCCTTAAAATGGGGTCCAATAATTTCCCAGTTTTCACCATGAGTTTCCACCAAATTCTTGAGCAAAACATCCTCGGATTTCGACCAGCGTTTGCCAAATCCATAATTCGGATGCACTGCCCCAATACTACTATTCGAACTCTTATTTTGACCCTTTTGTACAGCTGACTTGGTATCTTGTAGTGAAGATTCCATCGGATATCCTGAATCGGTATTTAAGGTAACTGCGCCATTTCCCGTCGACTCTTGGGTGTCTTCGTTATCTGAATATTCCGATTCCTCGGAATCCGAATTCCCGTCGTAGGCCAAGAGCTCATCACCATTTTCACTGCTCGCGCTCGCCATCTTTAAGTTTTTTTCCTCGGCGAGCAAAAGTGATAAATTTCGGGATCCGATTTCTCAGCACGCAAAAAATAATGAATATCGCGTTTGCAGTATAAGCACTTGTAGAGATTTTTGAAGGTAGCACTATTCTGGCGATTGGGGTGAGTGTATATAAAGTGTGCGCAAATGTCGCTAAAGGAGAAACTCTTGAATTGCTTATGGCAAGTCAAACATAGGACCAGTTCACCCTGATGACGGTGATCACTGCGTAATATTGGGTGCGTCGCATCATTTTCGGTGCGATCGAATTGTTCGTTTGAGTTATTATCGCCACTTGTGGTGTTGCTGCCTTTAATTACATCCAGACTACAGTTATTCGTAGATCGGTTCATAGACATGCTCCTCCATCCAAAAACGGTGCATGCGGAGGGGGAAAACTGTTCACTAAATTCTATTTGTGCTAGACATTCTTTATGCTGGCACACTGAACTGGTAACGACTTAGATTGTGTTTATAATATTAGGTCACGTTTCCTTTTTCTGAGATATCAAATTTGAAACTGAAGGTATGCACATTTACGGTTTTGTCAAAATATTCACGTTGTTTCACATTAATTTGACGGCGTCGTAGCGTTTATTATTTTAAAATATGGTATTTAGTATGACCGCTGGTGACCGTTAGCATTATCCACAAGGCATTACATTTGCAACAAAAATACTGCATTTAAAATTTGGGCTTGATTCCACTAGAGAAGCGGATCGCTTTCGCATCCGATAGTGTGCGGTTATCGATACTAGCTGTTTATTAATAGTAACTGGGATATCTTATTTGCCTTTTAAGAAGTGCAAAATGAAAATCACCTTTTTTATTTATTTTTAAACATGCCTCCTTATTTATATAAAAGGATATATATTAAATTATATTTAATTTGTTAAAATGATTAATATTCAAAAAGGTCGGCTCATTAAATATATCATTCACACCAACGTGGTTTTATAAAAACAAAACACAAGTTTATTGAATGGGATTATTGTCTATCCTAATTTAATTTTTTTTTCATTTATCAAATACAAACTTTTATATCAAATGAATTGTTTTATTTCTTGTTTTCAGAGAAATTATTTTAATCTAACTTTATATCCCCTTTGTTTAACACTTGACGTACATTAATATTAATCCGCGAATCATCTATATAATTTGAAAACGGTTGCCAAAACTGGGGGTCGCCTACTTTTTTTAATAAATCTAAATCCAAAAGATTTAATGCAATATCGGCATTATCAAAACCTTCATTGGTTAGCAAAGAAGACCAAGATTTCTCGGTTTTAATAATACGCGGCACTGCGTGATAACACAAGCGCGACTCTTCGGACATTATCATAACATCACCACACCGAAGGAAGATTGCACTGGGTTCTTCGTCTAAAGTCCTCCCACCAATTAGAAAAATTGCGGTCTGTCCAAAACTGCAAGGTAAAAACATGTAATTACGTCAAGGGAAAGGTTTATGTTACATTACCTAAATGAAAATAGTGGAGCCGACTTGTTAGGTTCAGAATGATCAGTGTGACCAGATAAGGTAGTACCAACTGGGTAGTAATTTACTATAGCGGCTTCCGGCTTAAAATCATCGTAGCCTAAAGCAAAGGCAAACAATTGACACATACTTGTCAAATCCTCGGGAAATGGAGACTGCATTTGATCTTCATATATCTTGGTGTCCCAGTTGTGATGATATCCAAACGTTGTCCAGCGCATTGCCGTTTTTATCCGTTGAAATTCTTTACTATCGTTACATTGACCAAGCTGTTTCCACCAGTCCGATCGGATCGAATCATCAAATAGTCTTTCATTCAAATTAACAATATTTGGAGTCCTTGGATAGTCCCGTAGACATCGAGCAATCCAATATCGTCGACCACGTTCTGTAAATGGGTCTCGAATAATAATGATCCCGGGATGATTTTTTAGTTTATAAGCTCGCCAATCACATAGCGGTTTAATGCCGGGAAAAGTTTGAATGGTTCTTGCATTGCTGATATCCAAACGTTCAACATTCTGCTATGGTAAATTTCGATCATATTGAATTGCAACAGGTCTCTGGATGAGTACTCACATTATCACTTTCTAATCGCTCATCCTTTTTATCTTCAATAGTATCAACATTAATAACTTCCGCTAAATTAGGACTAATACTTTTGGTCTTAAACTTCTTAAAAGCCAACTTAAACATATTTACAAAAACAGTATATACAATAAGAACAATAAATTATTACTAAGCGGCACCAAAAGTGTGACCGCTATTGGAAAGATCTGAAATACATAAACATAAATATAAAAATTAATTCGGGTACAAGTGGATGTTTGTTTTTTATATATCAAAATGTCCTAAAGATGTATCATGATTTTTTTTTAGGAAGATTATTAAATTTTGTTTAATAAATTGTTTGTCTCTTCTGTTTTTTGGTCTATGATTCATTTAAAGAATCGATTTCGATATAAACTAATAATCGATACACAATAGTGTTCTTGGCGATATATCGATTTCACTTAGATATATTATACCCTTATCTCACATACAGTTTGTATCATTCTAAAAATTCATATTTTGAAGACTTTTTTACCTAATTAGCCAGTTGTAAGTTGTTTTTATAGTATTTTGATAGAAAAAAATGTATTTTATTGATTGTACAAGGTAATCTTTCCACTGAAAACAGAAAATACCAATGTTTTTCTGCCAAAAGTGTGAACGCACTATGTTTCCGCATATGTAATCTCCACTATCGATAGCATCCGAGTACATCGATACTCTTTCCTTACACCCTTAATTTGTTTCTAGGTGTTGGCTGCCAATTGTAGAGTGCAAATGAAAAGTTACAGATTGGTGGCTTCGTTAACAAAATTTTCAGTTATTTGTGTAGTTGATGACGGGAATTTGTTTTGCGTATAAAAGTTAACTTTTGCGTGTAAGTAACGTTTCTCGTCAGCCAAATCTGTCTAGTGAATAAAATTTGACAGAAAAATTACTGATCTATGGTAATGTGTGTGTATGTGCTAAATGAAAAATTTTCATGCTCCCGAGGAATATGAAGACATGCAGTTGAATGTATATATATGCTTTGCGCTTACATATATGTTATAATAACATATTGAACACGATGTATTGGCAAAGTACAAAACTGATTTATTTGTTCGTTCGAAAAACACACAAAAAAATAAGCGATAGAAATGAAAAAAGTTTCAACGTTTAAAATTGATTATTTTTTTTTTTTATCTATTTCTCTCTTACTCTTTGTCATGTGTGTGCTTACGCTATCGGCATTGGTGCGAATGCGACAAATATCCATCGCCACTGTTTTTGTCTCACCGCCCGCTTTCCGGGGACTTCTGACCTGCTTTCGCTGCCGCGCTTTCAATTGCGCACGGCTCGCGTCTTACTTGCCGTCCTGCTTACTCCAATCAGTTTCGTGCGATACGCAACGGTGGTGGTGCAAAAATTGCAATTTTGGTGTACAAAAAAAGCAAAAGGAATATCCTATATCCAATCCTACACACATCCAGCAGCAGAGAGGCGAGAAATCCAAAAGGACGGGCCAGAAAAATTTTATTTTCCTCATTGTCTCGCACGCAAGATAGTTTTTTGTTTTTTTTTTATAAAGTATCCACCCACAACAAACATTTTTCATTAAACGAAGCAGCACAGGCTTTCAAAAATCCTTATTAAACCACAGGCAAATAGAGCACAAAAAAACCAAGAAACAAAAGGTTGCTGGAACTAGCACAAAAAAATAAAAGTATAAAGTATATTTCGCCACCTTACGAACCGTTTCCAATTTGAATCACAGGATAAATAGGAAAACTCCCTCACTTTCCATAGTTCAAGTATTTAACAAGGCAAACTCTCTACAGGGATCTAAAATACACCAACCGCACATACAAAACCACTGCAGAATTATTATATTAACCGAAACCAAAAAAAAAAATAAAATAAAATCGAAATAATTCAATTGGCAGAGCAGAAGGACGACAAACGTCAGATAAAATAAATGCACAACCAAGAATAGAATGCGTGAAGAATAATATTCAACAAAAAACAACTAAAACCCAACTCTTGCAGAACAAAATTCATGGTTGATTTATCAATAAAAAAATAATCATCGTATGCTAGCGTGATCATAGAAAGCCCTATATTTGACTAAGCTACTGGCCAGCTTAAAAAACTTCGCGTAAGTATAATTATTCATTCATAGCTTGAAAATGTGAGGTTTATCAATAAATGTTCTTACTCCAAAACTATAGCACTTTTGCACCCAAAAAAAGCGAGTGGAAAAGCTTAGGATCCAGAAAGCCGGCTGAAAAAAAAAATAAACCAAACCGAACCGAAGAGAGAGGATCCCCAGATAAAGACACGTTTACAAACGATATAAGATGAATGAACTAGACAGTCTCAGGCAGGAAGCCGAATCCCTAAAGAATGCCATTCGAGATGCCCGGAAGGCAGCCTGCGACACATCCTTGTTGCAAGCCGCCTCCTCGCTGGAACCAATTGGCCGCATACAGATGCGAACACGGCGTACATTACGCGGCCATTTGGCGAAAATCTACGCCATGCACTGGGGCAATGATTCCAGGAATCTCGTGTCAGCTTCACAGGACGGCAAGCTTATCGTTTGGGACTCGCATACCACGAACAAAGTCCACGCCATTCCACTGCGATCCTCGTGGGTTATGACCTGTGCGTACGCTCCATCTGGCAGCTATGTGGCCTGCGGCGGCCTCGACAACATGTGTTCAATTTACAACCTAAAGACGCGAGAGGGTAATGTCCGTGTGTCCCGCGAGCTGCCGGGCCATGGTGGCTATCTATCCTGCTGCCGCTTCCTGGACGACAATCAGATAGTTACCAGCTCCGGCGATATGTCGTGCGGCTTGTGGGACATCGAGACCGGACTGCAGGTTACCTCGTTTCTGGGACATACCGGCGACGTGATGGCACTATCGCTGGCGCCCCAATGCAAAACGTTCGTATCCGGCGCCTGCGATGCGTCCGCCAAGCTATGGGACATCCGGGAAGGCGTCTGTAAACAAACCTTCCCCGGCCACGAGTCCGATATCAATGCGGTGACATTTTTCCCCAACGGCCAGGCGTTCGCCACCGGTTCGGACGATGCTACCTGCCGACTGTTCGACATTCGCGCCGATCAGGAGCTGGCCATGTACTCGCACGACAACATCATTTGCGGCATCACCTCGGTGGCGTTCTCGAAGAGCGGACGTCTGTTATTAGCGGGCTACGACGACTTCAACTGCAACGTGTGGGACACGATGAAGGCGGAACGGTCGGGCATACTCGCCGGTCACGACAACCGTGTATCCTGTTTGGGCGTTACCGAAAACGGTATGGCGGTGGCAACAGGATCGTGGGACTCCTTCTTGCGCGTATGGAACTAAAGAAAAAAACAAAACCCAAAACCAAAAAAAAAAAAAGAGAACAAAACAAAAAAACAGTAAACAGAAAACAGAACTTCAAAAATGCATTAAAGGGTGGGGTGGGGTGTCAGGTCAACGGTTGCGCAGTCTGCGGATAGTGTTTCACCCATCATCTACATTGTGATCTAATGTACATGATGATTCGGTGTTACCTCTGTGGTTAATATTAAATGAGTGCCGGACGTTTTGAATATGTGGGCGCAGCTAGTTGACTAGAACGTAGACCACAACAACAAAGAACTTTATATACAACATTATTTATATTGCTATATACTTATTAACTAAAATTATACAAAAAGAAAAAAAAGAACCGCAGACATACGCAGCAACATACAAATAGACATACACACGCATACAAGAATATTATTAGTGTAAATGGAAAATTGAAACAAACAAATGAAAAAAAGAAAAAAACGAAGAAAAACAAAAAACAGAGGAGTAATGAGAAGAAAAGATAACGATGGGCCCCGCTGATAGTCAGTTGTTTAGTCAGAATTCCGGTTACAGCTACAGTTTAAAACGTACGTAAATTAAACTTAGTTCAAATCGTATTTCAGTGGTGAGTGCAACTGATGGAACTCCCAGGAGTGCGCCAACACCGTATTGCGTCAGTCGTTTGCACTTTGTAAAAGAAAAAGAAGGTATCATTGTAATCATGTATGTCAACAAGTAAATACATATTCTTTTGCGTATAATACATAAACTTCAGAATGTGGATCCTGATGAATGGGAAGTCAAATAAAGTTAAAGCATTTAAAAATAAAAAAAAGATCACGGCAAACCTAAAAGTAAAACAAAACAACAAAAAAATTGCGTAATAAACTTTATAAATCAAGTAATGAAAAAAAAAGTAAACAAAAACACTATAACAAATTTTTGTCTTATTATGTTTAAGTCCCTAATTTATATACAAACAAAAATAAGAATGATTTAAATAACATATATGTAAACTATGCATTAGTGAAAAAGTGGAAAACTATTTATATATAATATGATGGCCATATAAGCTATAACAATAAATTGAAAAACACCTTTAAATCTTATAATACATTTATAAATGTTTAACAAAATCTTAACAAATACATTCATAGAATTGCGGCAGTAAGGGCATTAAAAGCATCATGGAAATAATTTGAGCATTCATCCTCACACTCTAATTGACACAGTTGAATTTTGTTCATTTGTTCTCCTAAATTCCTATGAGGTTTTACATATATATGGCTTACATGAGGTTTGAAATGCAAAAACGATTGTAGAATGCAAACAAAAACTAAAGCTTATATTGTGAAAATACTGATATTGTCTTGCTGTCTTACGAATATACTGAATCATCAAGTTCTTATCTACAATTTTTTTAAAAAAATTAATTTTAAGCGGTAATAGGAAATTCGCGGAAGCCAATTCCAGCATTCTGAAATCCTACTAGTACCATATTTCATTAAAAATTGTAATAAACTTGCCAGTTTATTGACCTTCTTGAAGTATTTTTTTAACAATAAAATGTTGGTCCGATAGGTAAATTGTGATTTAAAGTGAATAGTTTTTCAAGCAACGAGGAATCCTAAACCACACCCAATCAAAAATCTTAATCAACATTTAAAATGGACAAAATTGTGTATTTTTACCAACTTTTGATGCTTGATAATATTGAACCGAATATATTCCTATGTATATGTGTAACTATTGGTAAGCTTACAACAGCTGCAGTTATTTGAGCTCTGCTTTTTCACCAAAGATGGACTTACTTATTTTTAGTACATTCTGGACATTCTGGACGGCCATTTTAAAACTAATGCTGTTTCAAAACTATGAATAAATTATGAGAAGAGAACTTTGTAACATTTAAATAATAAAATAAAACCAAAAATATGATAATCTTATTGTTTAAATTGAACAAGGAATAATTAAAGTTGATCGATTTTGCAAAACTAAACAAAATGCATGATTATGCGTAGTCAAATCGATAAAGTAAGTCCATCTAAGGTTAATAATAATTACAAGCGCACTTTACGAATTGTCAGGAATTTTTTACTCCAGCAGTAAGTTTAATTAAAATATTTTTCTATCCCAGCCTAAAAGGAACAAAGTAACGTGTTTTCTCTTTTTAGTTGTTATCTGTTTTTTGTTTTAGAGTACTTTGTTATGAGTAATCACATCCTCAAGTATGTTAATATCAGAACCCTTCTCAATGTATGTGTGTTTCCATGTAAATTTAATTATGTATACGTTATGTTTATATATGTATATGCAAGAAAATCATATATTTGCGCATATATGTATTGTAATTTAATTACTGTTTTCTTTTGTCAACCTTAATCGACAAATTTAATAAAATGATTTATTTGTAATTAGTTATTAACAATAATTAAAAGCTGTCAACAAAGAAATTGAAATTTGAATAAAACATGGTCATGTAATAAACATACATACAAACATACATATTTAAAATGAAAACTGAAGATTACTAACATTAATTTATAATTTGTGTCATAGCCGTCAACTCAGCGTTATATCTAGAATAAATAATAAAGAAAATTGTGTTAAGCAAATGCTACATATATCATTTAATGTACGTGTGCACATATGTACATGCCGAAAACATTAATTAAGAGTTTGGTCTGTCAGGATTAACGGGTTAATAAAACTGACATGCTAATAGTCATACATTTATATGCAATCAAATTAAATTTTTTTCAATTAAACACTTGGTCATTTCGTATTAACTTTGATTTGCACATTGTTAGCCATAAAAAAATTCGCAATTTGGGAATTCAGTATAACGTTTATACAGGAAACATTTAAGCAATTTTATTGATTACATTTTTAACACATTGTTCTTATAATGATATCTCAGGAGGTTTCGGTTTCAGGTTTTGAGTGTGTTTGTTTTAAAACTAAAAATATATTTGAGGTTGGCATTTTGATGCTTTTATACAAATTATATGATTTTTATATATTATAATGTTATCAGAGTTTGTGGAAAACTATCTATAGGATAGCAGCAGGATTTAAACCCCCAAGCCTTTGACCGGAAATGAACTCTTGTACATTACGATTTGTGACGTCAAGGTTTTGCCCCACATAAGTTGCTTTGCCATCGGTAATGAGGTTTCTAGGTTGGCCAATTGGATCCGCTGTTGTCGCTGGAATGTTAAATATGGGATTCATATCTATGGTTTGGGACAAAAATTAAACGAAGTTCCTTCAAATTTTTGACAAGCTGTAGAAACTGAAGAACCTTGCATTAATTAGTTTTGATTTTTATATATATACTTGCATTTTGGTAAAAACCGATTTTGCGATTGTTCGGTCAACAAGTCTGTTATTCCTTAAGTCCTAGGCAACCTTTAAATTATTTAATCACCCAAGGTAAAAGCTATTATTTTGAAGCCTTTGCTCTCTTAAAAATAATAGGGAAATTTTTGTATCATAGTTGATATAGATATATTGCTTGCTATATTTTTATTGTTTAAAGTTTCATAAGGAGTATTTAAATTTCCGTTACGATATCAATAATTTTGGGTTGCACGGGCAAATTATCGGTAAAATATCGCATGAACCTCTGCGGCTGGAAAGATGACAGGTTACTAATGGAATGAGGATTTGGAACGCAGAAGCTTATGGACCATTCCTTAAATACAATTTTATGCTCCTACGATTTTGTTCTAAGTACCAAAAAGAAAAAATTTGTTTAAATTGTAATTTCATTGAAAAAATATAAGCAAAAGCTATTTCATTTAACTACTTTGCAGTATTATTGGTTTAAAGGGCTTGCTAGTTTGCAATCGATATCGATTAAAAGCTATAAGGAGAAAATTATGTTATGTGATTATGATTTGGTGTTCTAGAAATTAACAAAATTGATGACAGCATTACAAAAATTAGGAATCAACAAAAATGAATTAATATTATTTCTAAAAAAAATTAAGGAGCCCAACGATATTTTTTATTATGTTCAGCGTTGCCACTGAAGTATACATATGTTTGTATATGTACATATGTATGTATATGTTTGTATGTGTAGCATGCTTCAAAACAAACAGACGAAATTAAGTTATTGCAAAAATATGACTTTTTTAATATAATATATTCCTAATGATATAAACCCACCTTTATCTTACGAATTTGCCTTAAAAAGTCTCATATAATTGGGTTCTAAGCTTAAATGCAATTGTACATTTGTATACAATAATAAAACAAACTTATTTAATTTGGGGTATGCATATTTTTGCTTGGATGTGGATGCACGTTTAGATACCGCCTTTTGTATTTACATATATAAATTCATAAAATACATAATTGCCAATTGATGTTCATGAGGACATGCATACTTATGTAGCTATGTACATATGTAAATACCGGCAATCACTCGTGGAGTGCATGAATTTCCACACGTATGAATGTATATGTATATTTTTGATTTAAATCTTTGTGTGTAACGGAAAAGTTCTATTCTCTCAAAGCTCGAAAAATGCCAGCAACAAAATTGAGCAGTATTGCGAACTACATGAAACACAATAAACATTTTTGGGGTAATCTAAGAAATAATATCAACAAAGATGTATGTATAAAAACCATTATTATGTTGTATACGAATGTTCTTTTTAATCTTTTTTAAATGCATTAAAACTGTTAATATTGTTTGAAACAATTTTAATTGGTTTTAAAATAATATTTTGATTGTTATATATTTTAAATATAAAATCGCACTCACAAAGTTCATTGGGTAGCACATAGCTTTGCTATAATTGAGAGCGAAAGCTCATTTTACTGTGGTAGTTTGACGTGCGCGTCCTTCATTTGACTTTGAAAATTTTCTCGCCTGAGTTTATTTCATAGAAAGTGCTCAAAATTTCTCAGTCAGCACAGTCGATTCCTTGCTAGCGAGCCGATAGGTAGTGTTTCGTCTCTCAAATAAACATAGTTTTCAAGTGCTTCTATTAACCATATTAACCACTTACAGATAAACAAAAAGTTAACCATGTCTAAGATTGGAATTAACGGTTTTGGTCGCATCGGCCGTCTGGTGCTGCGTGCCGCCATCGATAAGGGAGCCTCCGTTGTCGCCGTCAACGATCCCTTCATCGATGTGAACTACATGGTCTACCTGTTCAAATTCGATTCCACCCATGGACGTTTTAAGGGCACCGTTGCCGCTGAGGGCGGTTTCCTGGTGGTTAACGGACAGAAGATCACCGTTTTCAGCGAGCGCGATCCGGCCAACATTAACTGGGCCAGCGCTGGCGCCGAATACGTGGTGGAGTCCACCGGTGTGTTCACCACCATTGAGAAGGCCTCCACTCACTTGAAGGGCGGTGCCAAGAAGGTGATCATCTCGGCTCCATCCGCCGATGCCCCCATGTTCGTGTGCGGTGTCAATTTGGAAGCCTACAGCCCCGACATGAAGGTGGTCTCTAACGCCTCGTGCACCACCAACTGCTTGGCTCCCCTGGCCAAGGTTATCAACGACAACTTCGAGATCGTTGAGGGTCTGATGACCACCGTGCATGCTACCACTGCTACCCAGAAGACCGTGGATGGACCCTCTGGCAAACTGTGGCGTGATGGACGTGGCGCTGCCCAGAATATCATTCCAGCTTCCACGGGAGCTGCCAAGGCCGTTGGCAAGGTCATTCCTGCTCTGAACGGAAAGCTCACTGGTATGGCTTTCCGCGTCCCCACTCCCAATGTCTCCGTGGTGGATCTTACCGTCCGTTTGGGCAAGGGAGCCAGCTACGATGAGATCAAGGCCAAGGTCCAGGAGGCCGCCAATGGCCCATTGAAGGGAATCCTCGGTTACACCGACGAGGAGGTCGTCTCCACCGATTTCCTCAGCGACTCCCATTCGTCCGTTTTCGACGCCAAGGCTGGCATTTCGCTTAACGATAAGTTCGTCAAGTTGATCTCCTGGTATGACAACGAATTCGGCTACTCCAACCGCGTCATCGACCTGATCAAGTATATGCAAAGCAAGGATTAAATTATGCAATACCCACCCACCCACATAACAAAGTAGAAAATGCTCGGAAAACTGGGAGACATCAGAAAAACATATATATACATATAATAATGCTCCCCGGTGGAGCAGCACTATGCGCAATTAAATATGCTTCTGTTTTTGCTCTTACATTTGCCAGCAACATTGAAAAAATTTAAATACATATAGTACATTCATAATACACATAAATATGTTTACTGTTGTTAAATAAAGTTTCACTCTGTGTGTAGTTGTAACAATATCGATTTGTAAGCATTTAAATTTTCGTTTTTGTTTTTTTTAATTTCATGAACAGTGGGGGGTTATAATAATAGCGGAAACGTAAAATATTTCTTAATTTTTTTATGGGCTTAATAATTGTAATTTAAGTTACTATTTTATCTAAAAACATTAGTCAAAATACATACATATGTACATAGTCAATTACTATTTCAGGGACTGCCTATATATATATATATAAATTATATATACTATATATATGTATTAAATATGTATATATAATAAAATATATATGTACATATACATATGTATTCTGTTCATGCTATGGAATCGAGACAGTCTTGAATCTGCATAATAAAAATAGGCTTTCTTATTTATTGGAGAAATTTCAGACATATATCGATAAACTAAACGATAATACCAAATGAATAAAAATCATAAATGGACGTTAATGCTTTAAAATTTCTTTATTTCCAAATTTATTGCATTTGAAAATTACAACAATTTCCCGTTTAACAGTTACCGGTGACTATCTATTTTTATTTTCGAACTGGGTTGGCATTATTTGCCGAACGCATATTTTTAAAATATATGATAAAAACATATTTATATATAACTGTTGTTTAGTTTAAGAACTTCCCGTCAAAAAATTATTTAGAAGAATGTGTATATTTAACAAAAAAGCAGTTATAACCGCTTTTTGCGTTAAAGTTCATTTATTCTGCATCTTCCAATTTTTTCCGATACCGATATCTTATCTGTGGTATTCGGTGTTGTCGATTATTAAAATTGTTCGGTCACACTAATTTTCAGAACATTTTAATACTGGCATGTAAATAAAATAATCAATTGACGAAACCCTAAAATAAAATGTGAATTATTAAAGAAGCTATTGTAACAATTGGAGAAAAAAACTTCGCTACAACTATGGACACTTCGTTCCTGTTATTTGTGAATTCGAGTCGTCGAGCAAAAGCGCGTTTACTTGTGTAAAATTGTGGAGGCGAACAAAGAGTATGTTTTCCAAGTGATTTTGTGTATGAGTTTGATAAATTTTCGCCAAGATAAAAAAAATTTGTGTCCCGTAACATAGTCTAAAAATCTCAACTTACGTATGTGTGCAGCGTGGACACAAATCTGTATACATATTGCTATATATGTGTGTATGTTGATTTGTATGTGCAGATCTTATTAATATTTAATAATTATAAACGGTGCCAATACATTTTGGATACTTTCGTGAATATTGTAGCATCTTCAAGTGGACCTAAAAATGAAATATACACATGTATAAAAAATTTAATAAGTGTTCAGTTGCACATGTGCAACAGTGCGTTTCTCTATACATATGCCTATCTATTTTGGTATATGTACATAAAAATTTCAATGTTGTCCACAAATGACTGCAAAATATTAAAAGAACAGTTATAAAATTACCATAACTCTCATGAGAATGGGTATTTGTACCTAAACAGCAGTACTATTTATAATTTATATTCAAATTGGACGTTCCATGTCAACTTGACTATCGTATTGGCAACTTTGTGTGTACATAAGAGAGTATGTATGTATGTACGTTTGTAGTGAGTTTGAAGAAACGAAATAATAGCATGAATAACTTTGCTAAAGAGTTTTTAAAAAGTGCCAAAGTTAAAAAAAAGTAGTTCATCTATTAATTTTTAATAACCATTTAATAGTTTTCTTTTCTACAAGACATTGTACATATGTATTGTTTTGTTATTTCGCCTATTTGGAACGTCCCATTTTCAGTTTAACATATATTTGTATATACATGTATATATGTACTTACATATGTGGGTCAATGTAGACAATACTAATAAAATCTACATAATATATAACGGGGGCACTTGCTTGTTTATTTTGGCCTATCGGTATGTATGTAAATACACATGTCCACAAATATGTACATATGTATGTGTTAATATCTTTTAAATCGTTTTTCTTCTAGGTTACCAAACATTGTTTTACCTTGAATAACATTTTCACCAGGACAGCAATGAAAATCCAATCCAAACATAAATGTGTTGTAAACTGATTTAAACTGGGCAAACGGTATGCCTTTTCATTAAACATTGTACACAATTGGATCTTGAAGACTGAAATGCATTAGTACAGGTTTGTATAATAATAATATGAACTCAAACTTATTTCTTGAACACTTCTTGTAAATCTTTACAAAAGTTACATATTCTGCCCAAAAACAAGGCGTGGTCACGTATTGAAACCAAAGTTACCAGTATTTCCCAACTTTTCTTAGGCGAACCTGCGAATTCCCGAATTTCGATTTTTAATTTTAGATATAAAATGCTTAATGCTAGTTTTTGGTGTCTTTAGTTAAACAAATTCAAGTACCAGAAGTGAAACATATTTTTTGTTACAACTTGTAAGCTTGCAGAATCTCTTTCATAAGCCCTTATTTTTTTAAAATTATTATTGTTATTATTTTCGTTTCGCCAAAACTTAAAATTGTGTTCATATTTTGTTGTTTCTTTTAAAGGATTAAATAGTTTATTTTTTTTCAGATAAATCAGTCCGGTGTTATCATGTTCACAAGAAAATGCTTATTGGTTAGAGGCTCCAGGGGATCGAGATCCCAAGAGCTGAATTTGTAGAATTCAAAAAGGAATATTGCACAAAAAGGTACCTAAGTTATATGATAAGCTTGCCTTAGGCTATATGTTCTTCATTTATTTCAGAACCTGGTTGTTAATAACGCGCTGCTTCAAACAGTTCAATTGACAGGCAATATAAACTTAAGCATGAAAGTCAAAGATACGATCCTGTGTGCATGCCCTGCATAAAAACATTTAGCAAAGAGTTCACATTCAGCTTAGTAATTGGCTGCTGCTGCCAGAAGACTCAAAATGGGAGCCAACACGTCGAGCAGCAGCTATCCCGCGGCGGCCTCAACCGGAAGCTCAGCTAATAATAATTCCGGCAACTCCAATGGCAATCTGTCGGTGATGAACAACATGGCCGATATATCCACAGCCGGTGCCTACGGAACTAGTTGTGGCCCGAGCGGAACTCCCGGGATCGTCGTCAGTGGAGCACACTACCATCGGGACCAGAGGAGGAAGCGTGCCACCGGCTTTGCCACACTCAAGCGAAAGTTTATACGGCGACGGCGCTCCTCGAAAGCCTGTGATCACGCTCGTGTGCTGCGAGACTTTGTATCCGATTGGGCACCTGTGGAACTGGCGGCTCTCTGCGAGGAATTCGAGGCACTGTCGGCTCTGAGGGATTTGTCGGTTAGCTAACATCACTTACCACACTGCTAGATCATTTCCTAACCCATTGTATTGCATTACAGGTGCAAGCTGAACTCGCACGTCCGCCAGCAGCAACGTTCAAACAAGATCTGGCTGCCATTTACGAAAAGAATCTGTGCACCGATTGTGATTTGGTATTTCGCGGAACGATATTCTCAGTCCATCGTGCAATATTATCGGCACGTTGTGTATATTTTCGGGACCTGCTGGCCGGATGTCCTGGTTTCGGAGCGCGTATTTGTCTCGAATTGCCCAGTTCGCCGATCGATGTACAACTGTTCTCGTCACTATTGCGCTACCTATACACTGGTGATCTATGTCCCCATGATCCGAATATCGATACAAATCTGTTGCGGCAGTTGGGCAAGGATTTCGGCACACCGAATCCGCTGGAGCACGATCTGCGCTACTTGCTGGAGACCGGTGATTATGCTGACGCAGCACTCGTTTTCACCGCCGACGGCACCAACGATTATCTCAGACAAGACTCGGGAACCTCGGAGTACGGCTTCCGGCCGAAAATAGAACTCCCTTGCCATAAAGCGATACTAAGCGCGCGTTCGCCGTTCTTTCGCAATTTGATTGCGCGACGCACACGCAATGTGGACGAGTACGTGGAGCGTTCACTTCACGTGCCCACACGCATCGTACTGGACGAATCGGTTATACCAAAAAGATATGCGCGGGTATTGCTGCAGGCCATCTACCTTGACTCGGTGGACTTGTCGCTGATTTTACGCGGCGTTGGCTCGGGCACATCGGCTGGATCGCTGGGCGAGGTGCATGCTCTAACCAACACGGGACGGGTGCGACCATCGACTCTCGAGGAGGCAATGGAGTTGTACCAGATCGGGCGATTCCTGGAGTTGGACATTCTGGCTCAGGGCTGTGAGGACTTGATTCTCGAATGGCTGTCGATCGAAACGCTGCCCACTGTGCTGCAATGGGGCTGCCAGCCGTACGGATCCGCCTGGGTCTTTCGCCAGGCCTGTCAGTATTTGCGCGAGGAGTTCGCCGCCGTTAGCTCCTCGCCGGTGTTGCATCAGCTGGACAAGTCACAGCTCATCCATATTCTGCACAGCAACTTCTTGCAGGCCTCCGAACTGGAGGTGCTGCAGGCGGTACTCAAGTGGGGCGAAATGGAGCTCATTCGTCGCATGGAGGTTCGTGAGCCGAACCTGTTGTCGCACACCGCCCACTCGGTGGCGCGCAAGGGTGTCAAGAAACGCGACCTGAGCGATATCGAGTTGCGCGAAATACTGTCGGAACTGCTGCCGCTGGTGCGCATGGATCACGTACTGCCGCCCCACTGCGAGGTCCTCTGCCAGGCGATTCGACGCGGCCTCGTCAGCACACCGCCGTCGCACATGATCGGCGATGATCGGGAGAATCTGCGCGTGAATGCCTGGATTCGCGGCGGCAAAAACCAGGGCCTCTACGTTAGACCGCGCCTGTTTATGCCCTATTTCGAAGAGGCTAAGGCGCTGCTCGAGGATCGTATGTCCTCGTCGCACCATCAGGTTGAACTAATGCGCATGCGAAGGTGTCGACATCCACCGGATATTCCCGACACACTCTACATGGTCTCGCACATGAACTCAAAGGCGAACAGTGATCTTAGCACCGTAGAAAATCGTAGTACTGACGGAAATGTTGATATATTAGTAGGCGCCGCTGTAATTCCACCACCGGACAACCAAACCTTGCTGGCGATGCGCAAGCGGGAGCACAAGTTGCGCCAGTCGCCAATGTGCCAGCGGGCACTGCTGTTGCCGCTCTCCTCGAAGAACGAGATCGATCGCCAGATCCGATTGCGGGTCGTGCGGGAGTTCAATCTGCCGGATGAGGTCTCCGACCTGCTGGAGATCGCCCTGCAAACCAATCCGGGCCGGAATGAGAGCCATGTCGAGGAGACGGGCGCATCGAGCGTGCCGAAAGACGAATCCCTGCTGGAGGACGAGGATCAAAGTCCGCCGCCATCGCCGGCGGCAACATGCTCAGTGTCGCGACACACCACCGTGGCATCGGCGTTTCTGTCGCCCATGGGCTCATCGGTGGCCTCGTCGTGCGGCACCGATGCGGCGCATCCCTGCTACAGTCGAAATCTCACCTTCCCACGCCACCACTCGAACGGCCTGATCGGCGTGGCCAGTGCGTTCGGATCCAGTTCGGGTGGTGGTGGCGGCGGCGTTGGCGGTGGCGGTGGTGGCCCGCCACTCCAGTGCAGCTACTCGCGACTGTCGTCGTCGGTGCATCAACGCAACGACCTGCCCGCCCTCATCACCGAGGGCGACTTTCGGTTCCCCCATGGCAACGGTCTCGGCCTGGACATGGGCGCTGAGGGCGGTGCCTGTGGCCTCGACGCGGCCAACAGCCATCTGTCCGAGATGATGCCCGATGTGGCCATGGCCACCGCCTCGCTGGGGCAGCTGCACTTGACAAATAACGGCGGACCCGGCTGCGCTGGCAATATCGGCGGACGAGCGGTGAGCAGCAATAATGACATGTCCGAGAGCTTGCAATTAGATTTAGGCGATGGCCCAAGCCCTCACATTATTGGAAGTGCTGTCGGTTCAATGACTCTACGAAATATACAGGTAAGTTCCTAAACTTTAACTTCCTTCTTACTATAATATCTTTAATTGAATTGTTTATTTTGTATGAAAAGCACCAACTGCCAACAAACAACTATCACCACTTCATGCAGCGTTCGAATTCGCCATTTGAAATCCTGCGGCAAGGACAACCATCGCCAACATCACATCCACAACATTCCGGGACATACAATTCTGGACCACCAAGGTTTTTATAGAGATTTCGAGTGGCCCCCGATCATGGGCATTATTTTAGCATGCCTTTCTAAATAAACAAAATCCGATACAATTAAAAACTAAAAATCTAGATAAATAAAACAAACTACTAAATAAATGTCAAAATGATACCCCTTTTCAATGATCTATCAATATATATATAAGTTGGAAATAAGAAGAAAATATAAAATTTTCCTTCAAAACGTTCTCATGAATTGGAATTTCATCTTTTATCTGGAATTTGAGTAATTTTAGGGGGGGAAAAACAACTAGAGGTAAGCGCAGCTAAAATTGCAATAAATTGCCAAGATTGGGTTACGGAATAATTAAAGCAGTTTTTTAAGCTCTGATTGGAAATATAATGCCAAAAATCCCAATTGGCTTTAGCGATAACTAAATTTCTTTTTGAGGATGGCAAATATGGCTTTGACGTTTAATAAAAATCTTACTGTGGATGGTTAACATTTTTTGAACTTTAAATACATATATAAAAAAAGGTAGAAATGGTAAGTGACATCAAGACTTAGTAAGTATTCCAATTGGACTCTGAATCTATTTCAAAAAGAAACCCAACATTATTTGAAATTTTTTGGAAATACGACATCCACTGAAAATGATTATTAAAATAGGAATAAGTTTGTAATCATTTCAACTATTTTGGGAAGTTATCACAATTGTTTAAATTGTCTGATTTTGTAATTTAGTCTAGTACTGAAGGGAATAATTTTTTGACTCTGAAAAAGAGCAAGATGGCAATAGTTCATAGCCACATTTTTCATTTCATTCTTGTTTTGGAAATTAAAAAAGAATGTTTCGAATTTTGTCATGTTCTTCTCGAATTTTATTTTGTATTTTATTATGCTGAAAACTTTATTAAATTATCATGTCTAAAATTGTTAATCAGTTTGCTTGATCTTCAAACTTGATTGATTTATCGGCTTAATTTGTTCTACCACAAAAAAAAAAACAAAAACAAAAAAGGAAAAGGTATAAACCAGTGAAAAAGATGAATTGGTTTTCTTTGTAATGATTCTATTTTTTAGTTTTATCAATTTTTACATAAATTGCGTATATGATAATTAGTCCTTAAACACGTAATGCACAAAGGGAATGAAGCTGTCACTGATATACATAGAGTTATGTATCATGTGCATGATAGTTTGGATTCCATAGGCTGCATGTTGATGTCATATAACTATGAGAGTTCTTTGTATATATGTATATGTACAATCAAATTATAATTATGTCCTTGCTCAACATGTCTCGTCGCTGTTCTTAAGCTTATATTATACAAATAATACAAATATACTTAAACTAAATTTGCGAACCTAAATTTATTTGTATGCATGAATTTGTATTTATTTAAAATAAGTAAAGTTTCATATTACTTATGTGACGTTTCAACGCGCGACCATATTAAGATCGAGGAAAGTATTTTGCCAATTTTGGGGACTCAGTGCTTAGGTTGAATGCTAGGTCTGAAGTATAAGGAAGTCTTAACCTCTTTTAATTTGATTTTTGTTTGCCACAAACATCTGCTCCTTCGTTTTCATCTGTTTCTGTTCTGTTCCAACTCCTCATATTACAAATTAAGGTGTGTACATAGGTGTGTAGGTGTGTGTGGGTGTGTTTTAAAGAATTCTAGTTTACAAAAGCGTTGCGCTTCATTTATTGGTGTTCTCTCAGGCTCAAAATGATGCTGGGAGGAGGTAATTAGGATGGGACTTTGCGCTTTTGATGCCATTTTGGTGGAGGTGATCGAAATTTTGAAAATTTCTTTGTCTTATTCGCTTTTACACAATAGGTTTTTGGATTTGGATTTGGATTTGGATAGTCGGCAGCACAGATCGGTTTTCTTATCATCGACTTGGCGCCACAGACGACACCGGAGAAATTCCAATCACACCACCAGGTACTGAACTCAGACCAACGCCAGCATTCGCCACAATGCCCATCGTGTGGTCGGATTCCTTTTTAGGGGCCACGCTTGGTTGGCCCATCGAATCGACACTGATCATATGCTGAACTGGAATGCTAACTGGCGCCGGCGGTCCGCCGGGGTTCTTGCCCATGGCACTGCCCGCCGATGACATCTGTGGCGGCTGCTGTTGACTCGTCGGCGGTGGCTGAACACCCGACGAGGATACAACGCCGCCGGGTACGATCTGCAAGCGATGGTGCGGCGGTGGCGGGCCCAAAGTGCCAACCGATGGCGGAATAGGACTTGGCTCCTTGCTACGCAAATGCGCTGCGGACTGAGCGGCGTAGATGTTGATCGCCTTCTGCCGTTCCTCGGCCTCGTGTCGCAGCGCCGCCTCCATGATGGGATTGTAGCGCAGCATGGGATAGGGATCGCGGTACGGATCGATTCCCCAGCCCGGCGGAGCTGGGGCCCCGAAATGCGTGATGGGCCCGCCGACACTCAACGTCGGTGGCATCATGGTGCGCGTCAGGTGCGACGGTGGTGGCGGCAATCCGTGTCGACTAGCTGCCATAAAATTGGCATGATGATGGTGGGCCGCCGCTGCTGCTGCACTCGCTTGGGCGGCCGCCAACGAGGACGAATGGTAGCGCGGATCGCCCACACCGACCGCCGCTGCTGATGCACGCAGCAGCATCACATCCTGTTCATCCTTTGTGCGCGGATGTTCCTCCTTGATCCGGATCTCCGTATTCATCTCGCCCACGTTGCGGTGCGGCGAGCGATCACGTACCGGCGCTGCCACCGCAGCCGCGGCTTGAACTGCCGCCGCTGCCTGCTTGTTGCTCTCATTTATACGCTGCTGCTGCAGCATCCGCTCGCGCTCCATTTCCCGCCGCTCAATTTCTCTTCGCTCGCGCTCTCGCTCTTTGCGATCACGCTCGCGCTCTCGCTCCCGCTCTTGTTGCTCTCTCTTCAGTTTCTCCTCCTTCTCTTTGCGCTCACGCTCTTCGCGCTCTCTCCGCTGGCGGTCGCGCTCTCGCTGCTCGCGATCTCGCAACTCACGCTCGCGCTCTTCGGCCTCGCGCCGCGCATTATCTAGCCCGGGATCCGTCTTAACAGGCCAATTGGGAGACGCTGCAGCGGAGGACGGGTGATATGCGGCCACACTCCGCTGCATGGCATTCGTTCTATAAAAACAATTTAAAATGTGTTAGTGGTAATTTAAATGGTTAGTTCAATACAACAAATTACATATAGTGTAATTGTGTTTTATACAAGTTGATAAAAAAAACCCTTACTTTTATTGCGTGGAAATAAAAGCTTAACAGTTTATTTTATCAATCAATTGTCACTCACTTTTCAAGCTTAGGATATAAATAACTTTTTTTATTTACCTCCACGAGTCCAAATGACCACCAAAATGTGTTAGCCCCGTGAACCCAAACGGCGTCACATAGCGTCCAAATGGGGAAACAGCGGTTCCTGTTGACACAAGTTAAAATTATTTAATGAATTTATACAGAGGGATATTAACCACTTGTCCACTGACCAATATGACTAGGAGGTGCTCCAATGAAGCTCGCGGCCAGGGGAGAAGTTTCGAAGGCTAATCGACCTGGTAAAGCACTTGCAAATGCTGCCGATGGCGGCAATTCACTCGCCCGATGAAGAATATGCTGCGGCGTCGTATTCATACCCATTGTTGGCGTTGTCTTAATGCCAAGTACTGATGCCGGCCCATTTGACACTAAGACACCACCGCCAACTGCTGGAATCGCGGCCACATTATTAACTGGTGTGTTGGATCCACTCGCCATGCCTCCGCCTCCACTGATCAGGTTTCCTGGAGGAATTGGTGCGTTGATCGATGGCGCATTCGATGACGCCGGTGGGAATCCAGTCTTTTCGGAACTCTGCTTGTTTTGGTGGTAATAGATTTCCCACGCGATACGAACATGCATGGCATTCCAACGACCAGTTTTCTGTAACAAAATAATTCACATGAATTTAATATAACTTTCAATCATCCATTGGCTTGTCAATAAAAATAAAAGTTGTGGTTTCTGGTGGTGCAGTTTTGGGTCACAGCTCTAAAAACCATCGGAACTACGTCTCTTACCTTCGGAGCAAAGGAAGTTAAGTGGTTGGGAGGCATGAACGGCGTTGGTCCGCCCAAGCCACTATGCAGAAGGCCAGCCGAGGTGTATCCAGTGTAGCCTCCCGTTGGCAATCCCATGCCAGTGCGATAGAACTGCGGATCGACGGACGAGATTTTGGAGATATCTTTGAACAGTGGCGGGGGAAATATTTGTCCAGAAGTTGGTGGTGGCACAGCTGTTAAGGGAGTCGAAGGAGCTGACGCCGACGCCGGCGGAAGCAACTGCGGATGCTGATGGAGATGTGCGTGCTGTTGGTGCTGGAGATCAGTTCGTAAATATGTTGAGGATGGCGGTGTCGGGGTTACAGCTAAGCCAGATCTGTCCAGAAACCTGCTGTCCAGCTCGCGTCGCAGCAAATCAGCTTGATCATCTACAAGAAGTTAAGATTTTATTATATTATGACCGTTCATCTTTTAATAGGTGATGATGCTTACTTTTACTTGGCTGGAAAAGCGATTCCGCAGAGAAGGGATGCGGCGTGTTCGTAACCGGATTCGATATGGCCGCAACCGTGGGCTGTGTTATGGAAGAAGCCGTCGTGGTCGTGGCCGACGCCGTCGTTACAATACTGCTCATCGAGTGCGACACTGGCGGAAATTGCGGAGCGGAGGAGCTGATGATTGCCGCGGAAGAAGATGTTGCTGGCGAGGGGGAGGATGGCGGCGGCGCTAAAGGTGCTGGGAAGTAAGACGACGACGACTGAAACGAGGGATTTGTGGCAGACACGTGAATACCAGCGGTTGCGGGATTGGAAAGAGGCGATATGGCATTGCAGGTGGATCTCGCTGTAGAAGTTGCGTTCACCATGCCAATTCCCATGGTTGTGCAGTTCGAGAGCGGAGGCGTCGGTCGGGCACTTCCACTCGAAACGATGGGCGTTGAGGAAGCGCATGACGTTACCACTGCGTTTGCAGGAGAGCTGCAAATAAAGGGGGATAGCTTAATGAGTAACCCGCAATAGTGGTAAATATTTAATGCTTACTTCAACCACAGTGCTGGCTTTGAAGAGTAGGAGGGGATATTCCCGAGTCCCGTCATTGAAGAACTTGAGGATAATACTGGGGTACCTGTACCTCCATATTGACTTGGAGCGATGCCACAAAACGACGAACCCAAGCCGATGCCTTGGGAAACGACAGGCAATATTGTTGACGCACCGTGGGACCTCATATTTGTACTATAAAAGAGAAGAGTATTCAGTGTTTTGCGGCAATAAAGTGTTTTGATGTGACCACCAACCTGTAGCTGGGATCCCGATCTTTGCTGCAGGGCTCTCCCTTGGGGGAAATAACCTTCTGGATCACAGATGAAGATAATGTAGATGGCGACGACGACGAGCTCGACGTGACCGCTGTCGTTAAACTTTGAACGGCGAGCACCGAGGGACTGAAGTTGGAGGAGGAGGAGGCGGCGGCGGCGGCAGCGGCAGCGGCAGATGATGATGAGTACAGCGCACTTCCGCAGCGCACCAAAGGCGGATTCTGTGATGGCATCGAGTGCGTGGTTAACAAATGCGACACCGACGAGAAGTTGCCGCCACTCTGCGACAGCATCTGGCTCGACGACTGCGGGGGAAGTGCTGCGGCGGTTGCGGCGCTGCCGATGTTGAGAGCGAGGTTACTGCGAGCGTCGATAGTCCGGAGTTCGGGGTACTTGTCCCGGCCGCCGAGGCCGTCGAAAATGCACCTGAAGCGTAGACAGGCACGTGATGGGAATGAGATGAGATATGCTGCGAGCTGCTCATCGAAAGGGGGGCCGTCGTATTTGCCGATGGAACGACCGTCACGACCGGCTGCGATGCGCCGCTGGAAATTGCACTGCTATTGTTGAGCGGCGTAATGGATCGCAGAGTCGGTGCCATCGAAACACTCAACGGAATGTTCGAGGACGCGGACTTTATCGTTGCCGGCGACTCTCGGCTGTTTCGACTGTCCGAGCTCCGGAGTTGCGCAGGCGGTATGTTGGACGTGGCAACGGGCAAAACTGGCGGCAGGTACGAACCATGCGAAAGGCCACTGTACGGAGTGTAGAGGGGATAATTCGTATAGGGTGCGCGGTACGGCGGTGCCTGGATGATCATTGGCACGCCACTGGCCACATGGGAGATCGGTGCAGGCGGTGCACCGGGAAACAGCAGTGGCGATCCTGTACCGACAATGGTGTTCCCGCCAGCGCCAAAGACCACTTTGCCCATGCAAGAAGTCGTCGTTGTGCCGCCAGAAATTCCCACGTAGTTTGTGTTTATCGAAATGGACGTGGACGAAGCCGGTGCAGGCAATTTATTGCTTTGGCTTGCATTGGGTGAAACTCGTGGCAATGTACTCGTTGTTGCGGACGATGAGGTCGCAATCGTGGCAGGCGGCGGATAAACACTAAGGAAGCCATTGACTATGGGATTGGGCGGTGAGGAGTTTGAAACTGAACTACTTTTCGCAACTTCTGGTGCGCTCGGTGGCAATCCAACTGACGATGACGATGATGATAACGTTCCCTGACCATTTGAACTTCCACTGTTGCTGTTGCTGCTGTTGTTGTTGTTGTTGTTGCTATTACTTCGCGTAAAGTTGTCGTTTGATTTGATACTGCTTGCTAGAATGACACTGGAGGCCGAACTCAACATCGATAGTCCGGCATTTGGCGTCGTTATGTGTGCGCCAAACGGACTGCTTAGAGTAACTGCGGCCGGCGTTGGCGCAGCCGATAATAATGGAACAATTGACCGTTGCACCCCAACTCCTGTCGACAATCCGTTTGAAACAGTTGTCTTGGTATTAAAAATATGCTTCTGATCAACATCGGATGCAACTGTTGACACAATTTTCTCATTTCCAGCCGATATTCCAACGTTGGGAAACTATTTGGATGTAAATAACGAAATTAGATTTGTGTTCTTTTATGTTTTATTAAAGTTACTCACTTGCACTGACGAAACCGAGGACGCTACACACAAGCCGGGATAAAGCGCCTTATCGGATGAGGATTTCTGCAACATGCCGAGCTCTCTGTTCCCAGTTTCCCTGGATTCGTCGCCGCAATTGCGGCAACAGGGGCACCAGCAGCATGAATCGCTTTACCATGTGCACTCTCAGATGTATTTTTTGTGTTTAAAGCTTTACTGGCAGCATCGCCTTCCGGATTTCCCGAAGGCACTGTGCTCAATGCCGGTACAAAAGGTACTCCCGAAAATGTGCTCACATCTCCTCCGCACGCCACACTCTTTTTCTTGAAGTGCGGAATGTCGGTCAGCTTGCGAGGAGTCGATCGATCCTGAACCACAGATGTATTGGAAACGTTCATGGGCGTTGAGGGGTTATCAATATCAAATATTTGTTCAGAATTCTGAAAGCATACAATGCATTAATATTTACATTTTAAACAAGGGAAGAAAATAATTGAAAGGCCCTTCAATTTTAGAACAGTATTATCCTCACTAAAGACTACAAATTTACAAATCTAAAATTATTTTTTATTTGACATATGTTGAAATTTAGGCTTCTTCAATTTATGTATATCGTTTTATTCTGTCCGTATTTTGTTCCTATTTTTTATGCAGTGAGAAAGAAAGAGATAGGAGATAATTAGGCAAAGCAGATTCAAGGATATCCCGGAAATTGGGAAAGTGTTTCACGGAAGTTTTCATTATTACCACATGTATTTATATTCATATTTTTTGTACACTTAGTTTCTTGTTTTGATAGATCAAAAAACTTTTTTAAAATGCTTATTTCACCCTACATATTTTTTCAAACCTCTATGGCTTCGGAAATTTCGATGTGCATAGGCGTAGTAACAAAACGTTGATGTGTAAACAAACCTTTTTATCATTGCTGACATTATCACACTATAAAAAACGAGAATTAGCAAGTTGTAAATTTAAACATTTAAAATATACATACGATATTATTTCCTTTGCTGTTGCTGCTACAATTGATTAAAGCCTGCCAAACGATTCAATGTTAATAATATGCAAAATAATTGCCAATAGTTAGGCTTACGTCAGTTAAAAGATCACTTTGCTCGTTCTCCTTTTTTATACTGATAGTGGGCCCAAAGGATTGCGTCGAAATATTGGCTAGTTCCTGGACTTCCAGAGAACGACAGGCTGCAGATGTCGTCACGGTTTCGATGTTCTCCAACCCGTTCGATTTCTGGGGAACAAAAAAACGAGATGGTTAGGGCACAAAACAATTGATAACAACACTCGACGCGACTCACTTTTACGACCTGTGCTGATTGCGATCCCAGTTTGCATACACCCAGGTGATTATTGTTTGCGCTTGCACTTGCCGCAAGATCACTTGATATTAGATTATTGAGCTGGTGCGACGAGGGTAGCGATTTTGTCGCATGTAATTGGTCAATGGTGCTGTTGCTGTTGCTGCTGCTGTTACTTGTGGCGGGGGAGTTGTGAGATTTTTTGCTGTCGCTGCCAGTACAACTGGCATGAATCATGCCCACGTCGATATGGTCGTGATTATGCGATACGGTGCCACCAACGCCCAGCGATGGCAGGCTAATATCCAGCATAAGTGAATCGTTGTCGTTCTCCAAAAATCGTGTACTGGTCGCGCTGTTTACTTGCAATTTAGCCGGATTGCAGCTGACACCCTCCGATGGCTTGTTGCTCGATTGGTTGGTGTGATTTATTTGGTGATTACTATTGTTAATTTGATTATCATCACTAATGATATTGTTTTTACTGTTTGCGCTATTGTCGGATTGCAATTGGTCCTGCTGCTGGCCATACTCGGATCGCCAGTGGTCCCTCGGCTCGGCTTCTGTCTCCAAAACAGAGCCGATGTTCACAGACGGCAGCAGATAAACGACATTGCCCATGCTGTTGCTATTGCTGTTCGCATTGGGACCATTGCTGGGATTATTGTTGTTATTATTGTTGCCGATGACACTGTTGCCACGATGAAGAGGCTGTGGGTTCTCCTTCAAATTGTTATTGTTAACCGTCAGAGTGGAAAGGCTTGAGACGCGCAAAGGCTGCGATTGACCAGTATCGATGACTTTTGGAATCTTCATTTCCTCTATACTGTAGGTACAAGTTAGCTCATCCAGTGCCGAGAGTCGTTTTTCCTTGCGTTTTTGTCCCAATTTGATGGCAAACTGTTTGATAATAGATACAAGTGCTGTAGTTAGTTTACACACAAATGAAATGAGAGTGAAACCACCTACCTCAAGATCTTCGTACGTCTTGAACTCCAGTATGGCGAATCCATCGATGATTTCCTCTTCGAGAACTGGAGATCTTGGTAGCTTTCTTCGAACCGGAGGTGGCGGTCGAGGCGGCGGCTTGTCCCGTGGCAGAAGCAGCGTAGACGAGGACGATGTCGACAAGAGATCCTCGTCCAGCGACTCGCCCTCGCTATCACTAGGCGTGGCCATTAGTCCCGAGTTGCACTCAGGGGAATGTGGTGGATTTAGGAGTAACGATGCAATACTATCTGTGGGCGGCAGCAGATTGTTGCTGCCATTGCTGCTGCTGGTGAAGTTGCCGTTTGAGTTGTTGCTATCCTCGCCCATGCTGCCAGCGCTGTTGATGTGATATATCATGCCATTGTTGCCCGGTCCAGCCGCCGAGCCATTGCCCATGGCCACCGTAGATGATGAGGATCCTCCAACGCCAACACCACTGGGTGTAACAAGGTTGCCCTGACCCCCAACACCACCACCACCTCCTACATTTACATTGGCAGACGCACTCATGGCACCAGCACCGCCACTGACCCCCACAGAGGATCCGGCAATGAAGGTGCCACTCAGCGAGCTCGAATTGCATCGACTGTCGCGTTCCGCTTGCAAACGCTGGGCACGTTCCCTCCGTCGTTTCTGCTGGCGCTGCTGCTTGGCATTTAGACTTAGGTGAGTGCTGCTGGACGTACTGTGCCCATTCGTGTTGCTAGCTAGTGGTGCTCCAGATCCCGCACCGAATCCCGCTGGATTGCCGGCCATGCTTGCCACCGAACAGGGGCCGGAGCTCAGGCTGGGCGCTATTGTGGAGCCCGCTGGTGGCGGGGATGTGGGTGACCTCGAATCGATGCCGGCCGAGGCGGAAACAGCCGCGGCAGCTGCTACGATTGAGAGTTCCGTGTCGGAATCGAAGTCACAGGCACTGGGAGCCATCGAGACGGCAACGGGACAGCTGGGCTCCGATGCGGAGGCCGATTCCGAGGGTATCGCCATGGGTTTGCCTTCCGTCGTTGAGGTATTCGATACAAACGATGGCCGTGCTCGCGGCATGGAGCCCAATTCCGAGATATTGGCACTTGTTTGGACTTGAACTAAGGCGGTGGCCGTCGGCGGAGGAAGATGCAGTACCGCCAGTCCGGGATTTGTGGTGCTCTTGGTCATATTTGGACCAACTACCGACGAGAGGACTGTTGCTGACGTTGGGTTGCTGCTGTCATCTCCTCCGCGGTTTTTGGTCATCCTGCGGAGCCACATTGCCGGCGGATGCGATGTCCTGCGATGATGACGACGACGTCTGCGATATTTGCTTAATTTGTGTTCCTAGGCCATTAATACTACTGCTGCCGGACGCAGACGTCTTTGATTTAGCGCTGGCATTTGATGTGTCCATTTCTTTTGCGTAAATGCCCCGATGAATAACTGTTCAGTTCCTTGTAAATATAAATCAGTGATGACCATTATTATTATTTAATTCGTGTGCAGTTAAAGTGGCTCATCTTTTGGACCAAACCTTTTTGAAAGGACACTTGGTATTTCATTTTCATTTTTTTTTTTTTTCTTAAGGGGGACTCTATATACCAGGGTTAATGCGAAAGCTTTTTCACACATTAAGTGGTAAATACTTTTCGGCCCTTTAGGCCAACCAATTCAATCGCGTGTATTTTGAAAAAATCGATGCTGCGCCGACTGTTTTGAAGTTATTGTTATTTCGATACCCCACAAACACTTTGCTACGTTTTCATCTTTTAAACCGGTAGTTAGTTACCTCAGTTTCATTTAGACCGCAGAAGCGAACGATTTTGAAACTTAATTACAAGTTGTTTTTAAAACTTCCCCACTCTGATATTTCCAATCAGTTGCGCTTTTTCTGTACACACACACATAATATTTAATTCTGCACACTTTTTTATAACAAACACACACACTTTTCAGGTCAGCAGAATTACACAAAACAGAAGGAAAATATATCAAAATAAAAAAGGAGAAACACAACAAAAAAAAAACACGATAAAGAAGCCGATTTGAGAGAATTCACCGAAAATAGTCCATATTTATTTTGTCTAGCACTTCATCACTCGTCATATACTCTGCTTCTTCTTCTTCTTCTTTTGCTTCTTCTTCTCCTCCTTCTTCTTCTTCTTCGTCCAATACATATATATATGTACATAAATGTACATACGTGCATACAATTTCGTACATGTATTTATATACGTAGATGGGAGGTACTTCTGTTCGGTTCGTTTTTTTTTTTCTCTATGCTTTTCCGTTTCTGTCGTCTATAGTTGACAATGTCGTTGCCGCAACGGCGAGAGCGCTCGCGCGCTAGTTAGCATTGTACATACATAGGTGTATGAATGTATGTACAATGTCTCTAGCAGGCAGCAGCAGTAGCAGCAGCAGAGCAGCGGCGCAGCAATAGTCATCTCGCTTACACTTTTCTAATTGCGATTGCCTGGCCATCGACATAGTGTCGTCCCTACATGTTGTGTACTCAGTAACGACAGCGCAGCGTCGTTAGCAGCAGTACACAGCACGTACATACAGAAGACTGTGTGCTGTGCTGTATATGCAATTGTTCGTTTCTTTTCTACACATTTTCCACAAATAATACGCGTTGCAGTTTGCCACACAATTGATACCGCATCAAGACCGAGTATGCATTCGTTTCAAACTAACTGTCATCACGCCTATTATGTATATTTTACATAAAATCCAATATTATTTTCCGAAAAATTGTTAACCACAAAGAACCAACACATAGTCTCTCAGAGACGGGCAAATTTTTCGATAACTTCTGCAAACGGTCTTAGAGGTGGTAACATTTAAGGAGCTATCGAAATTCGGGGTTGCTTCCACTGCAGACGCGTTTAGCGCTTTTATGTTTATACCAACGATTGCATAGCGGAGATGTCGAAATTTACAAATAATAAAAACTAATTCAAAACCATAAAAAAGACTATTGTATTTTTATTTTAAGCATTCAGAAATCAATGACTTTTTTTGGTTACCCATATTAAGCTAAAAAATCGTTGAAGAAAAAATGCCAATAAGGTTGAGTTTGTTATCTAACACAAACTATTTAAATATTTAAAGAAGCTTGCGTTTTTAACAAGAAAAAAGTTTTCTTGCTCAGCCAGCCTGTCCTAATGGGATCTATAAAAAAATGTAACGGAACATATGGAATTTTCAAGCACGTGAAACACAGACAACAACCTATTGCGCCCTACATCAATACTGTTAATATTTTTTTAACAGTACTATTATTAAAACTTTTAGTGATTCTTTAAATCAATTTTAACACTTTTAATCCATTTTTGATGTTAGTTTCTAACTGTCAAAACAAAAAACCAAATACAATACTTTCAAATAAGAATGTTTCTTAAGATATCGATTGTCATCGATTGGCAAGCACTTGGATTATTTTTATGTCAAATACCTATGAAGGTAGTTAATTGCTTGTTTTATTGTAAAACCACAGATCAACTTCGAATTTAGAATCATGACATGCACAACAATATTGCATATTGCCTAGCATTTTTTTTCCCGATTAAGAGAAATAACGTTGAATATGCTCACTTTTTATAGTTTAAATCCTTGCTGACAACAAAACTTTACTTTCTATTAACATGTTTTGTGGAAGAAGGAAAATCTATAAGTATTTTTAAAATATTTATTTTCAAAAATTCATTTGTATTCCATCCCCAAAAAAAGTAAACAGACGTGTAGAAATTTAATTTTTTTTTCAAATATAGTTACATTTAAATTTATATTGCCACGAAAATGACTCCCTTACCCTCACACATTGGCCTCCGTCTTAATTAATTTTACAATTTCCGTTTGTTGCATGTTTATGAATATACTTCTATAATATATGGAACAAGATCACATCACAACGTGAAATATAGTAACAACTATAGCTTTTGTCAAGGCTGCACTCATAGAATTACATTAAAAAAATCTTTAAATAGCTTTTTAAATTCTTTCCAAATTTCCATAATAAATTTAATGCCTTGTTTGTATGGCTCAAATTAGGGTGATGATCTCTTTAAATGTTTTCCCAATTAGTTCTTGTTCTCAGTTTTAAAGGAGCAGAGGCAGCATCAAAAGAGTCAGAAATGCTATTTAGTTTTGTTGTGTTTCTAACCAAAAATAAACTATTACAGCCACATCCAAAAGCAAAACAAAAAACCGCGGATTTGCTAACAATCGGTAGAAGTTGGTTCATCTTGTGCGTTATCTATGGTTGTTTTGTTTCCTTGTAAAACGTGACTTTCTGGATTTGTGTCATCAGTCTCAGTTTTCGACTTGGGTAGACGTTTCCGCAAGCTGGTGGTTTGTTCGTTTGTCAAAGGATCTGATGGCACACCAGCGGCTTCATCATTGTTGACATTATCATCGTCCTCATCATCGTCATAGTTGGTTGGTTGTTCGCCCTTACGCAGCAGCTTACCAACCAGTTCATATTTTTCTAAAAAATATAATATAAATATTATTTTTCTCCACATTAAAAAAGATTTGTTTGTTTACCCTTAAATTGCATTTCCCATTCGCGTACAGAATCCATTTCTACGGCACTTAGATCGCTCAAATCGTCGTAATCATCTTTATCATTTGAAACCACACTGAATGTGGCCAAGTTTCGAGAGGCATCCCTTCCCGCAAATGTTGCGTAGGGGCCACCTGTAAGACAAGCAAGTAAGTTGCTTTATTAATGTTGATAAGAGAATTTCGTATGATTTTTATAAATTAAGTAAGCGCTTATCATGACCACGACACTGAGAAAGATAGCGCAATCAAGTGCGCAAAGCCAGGAATGTTCTGCGCAACTACGTCATTGTGTCTACTTCTCTTGCTCACACTCATTAGTTATAATACAATTGCATAAACATTTGTAATTTACAAAACTCTTATATTTATTTATTTTACATTTTATATTTTTTCATGAAAAACTATAGCACAAACAATAGAGTATTGGAATGACGAAGAAATGAATAAAGGTTTGATATTTTACCTATAATTTTATCCGACTCTAATTTGAAAGTTGCGGCAATAATATCGACACTATAGATAAACATTACAACAAATTTAAACGAAACTAATTAAAACTGGTTGTATCAAATTATTTCTTTGGTAACAGCTTTTGCGATAGGTTTTTAAATTTTTGATAAATTAAATTAAAAAAAAAACGTTACAGTATACATATTAAGTATCACAATTGGAAATCTTTTGTGTTGATAGTTCAAGTTCGTGTCCATATACACACATATGTAAGTGAAAGACCTTTGAATACAATAGCTTGACCTGTAGATTCCCGGTTCAAATTGTAATTGCTTACATTGGCTTGACTCCAACATACATTAACTCTATTTTTTCCCGGTCGTGTGGAACTCACCTGGTCCATAGAAACGTCGCCCTTTGCTAACGTCGTAAACACTTCCGTTTACAGCGACCAAAACTCGGCCATCGGGTTGATTTCCATCGTACTGGCGTAGTTCCTTTACCGTAAAATCACGACGGATTTTAGGCAACTCAGGTTCAGATGGTTTAGCAACGCCCACAGATGGTACTTCAGTGCGATCCCGAACGATTTTGTATACCAAGAAACATATTATCGCCAAAAGGGCCAAGTTCATTGGACTATACAAGATTTCGCGTATTATGTTTGCCAAAAATGAAGAATCATCGTTGCTAAGAACATTTTCAGTTTCCTTGTCGTAAACGGAATTTTGTGCTTGATCTGCGCCGATTTTGGAATCCATCTTGTTGGAAATATAAATTCCCTCCTAGTGATGTTATGCGCTGGATATTGTAATATAATACATCAACCTATGTACGGTTTTGGTCATTGCCATTTCAAGAATTTACATTTAGTTGTAAATACGTGGTCATACGTACAAACCCACGTTTATGTACATGCATTTGGTGAGCATCCAAAAAGAAGAAAAAAAAAAACGCATCAGAAATGGACCAAAATAATTCACATATGTAAATGCAATGTAAATTCCGAAGTTTATCGGCTTACCTTTCAGTCGTGACTTTGAAAAATGTTTATTTTTATAAGACTTCGATGAATTCTTACTACGCAAGAACGATTTGATAAACTAATGCTAATATTGGGAGCAAATACTGACCTTTTGAAACTCACTGTATTTACAAATTTGCGAACTAGCTATGAAAATTGTGACAATGATTTTAGTAGGTTAAAGGTCTTTCATTACTGAAAAGTAATCGACAGCAGCGATTGTAACATGTTGTCAACCTGCAAAATACATATTATGACCTATTTCCACTAAAAGTGTCAGGCGGAATACGTGGACATTTTAGTAATATGAAACAACGATTTTTATTTAGCTTAAAATAAATCGTATTAGCTACTGGGTTGGCTATTATAATATCAAAAGTAAGTTATGTTTCGTGGTTGCGTATTAAAGGTGTAAGTATTAATGTAAAAATTTAAAAATATCATTTATTTATTGATTGAGTTATTGTTCAGCTATTTTTCATCATAAAAAACTAACGAAAGGATAACGATAGGGTAACACTAAGAATTGTCAACAAACTTCTGTGGGGTTTGAACTAATAATAACAGATGTTGTGATTATAACAACTAAAATTAAATCGTACTTCGTACTATTAATCAAAATTTTAATTAAATATAACCTTTTTTTAAAGCAAGCAAAAATGGCGCTGGACAAGAACTAATCAAAATATGTACGATCTTTTTTTTATTATCATTATGCAGAAGTTGTATCATCGTAATTAGAGTTCGATTTAGTATGGAATGGAACAAGCCAATCGATTGTACCGAGCCATATGGTGTCAGTGCAATTGAGCTATAATATCATTGTTTCTTCCATCACTTTGGTATTTTTTACCGGTCAGACTCTAGTCCCACTAAATGTAATGCACATTCTGCTACTTTGTTTACCTAATATAGGAATTATAATTTTTGAAACTGGCCTAAATGCTTGGTAGTCGTATATTGAGGATACGAACTGGAAATTCCCTGTTTTATAATGTGTATCATCAGGAGTTTGCGCGATGTAAAAGCACAAAGACGAAAAAGGAGAATGTAATGCGCCAAGGCAAAATATTTAGCTCGTTGTTTGGAAATCGACAAAAGGGCAGCAACAGTCGTTGGTACCCATCGCAGGATAATAATGCCGCATCAAGTGGCGCTGGATTCCACAAGTCCTCACCTCACGCTCTGAAGTTCGGAACACCTCATTCGCATGCCACTCCGGACAATCATCGACGCATGTCCGTTCTCAATAAGGTTTTCATGACGAACATCACCGATATTTTGGCCACTGGAGCCATTGCTGATTCGATCGTCGGTCAAGGTGTTCAAATTTCCTATGTAAAGATCACCAGCGATTTCACCCGAATCAATGTCTATTGGCTTGGTAAAGATGGACAGGTAAACGACGCCCTTGAAGAAAAACTAAATCGTTTAAGTGGCCAACTGCAGCACGAGCTATCACAACTTCATCTAATGGGCGAAGTTCCACGGATAAAATTTGTTCGTGATAAAACGAATAGCGGTCTTTATCACGTCCAGGAAGTTCTGGCCAAGCTCGATCAGCATAAAATCGCTGGTACAAATAGCATTGTAAAATCGAAAGAAATTGTTAATGATAAAAACTGTCGTTCTGAAGACAGTGAATGGCCGGAGATGAGACAAGATTTCCTCAATTTTAATCAAAGTGTAGTTATGGATAAAATTCACGGCAAGATGCGCAAGTTCAAAGAGGCCTGGGTTCAGCATAAACAAAACATTGCCAAAGCCACATAAAAAATGAAATAATAATTATATTTAAATATATTAATTTTAATGTATTTTAAACAACTAAATTTCAAGCCTCCGAGAAGTTTATAAAATTTTTATTTAAATAAATCGGTATAGTTAAAAAAAAGTATTTTTTATTGCTTATAAACATTTTTACATGGTTAAAAGATTTTTAATGAGGTGTTTAAGCAACATTAGTTTTGAAACTTAAAATATTAATGAGTTGTTAATTTTTTGCAAATGCCAAATTTATCAAATAAATTTTTAAATATCGATTGCGGTGTTGTTTCCCTAAAACTATTGTTAGCGACGAATATGCTCGATTGCTTTACTGCGACTGCGCTTACTATCGATATACCGAAAGCATATAATGAATGTTTACATTGATTTTTACGTGTTGGAATTTCATTGATAATATATTTTTTGGTCAATTGTCACATATGCAAAAATATTTAAGCATATTATTTTTAATACAAATTTAAATATATTTCTGCAGTTTCAAAAGTATTATTAACAAAATAAATGTAAACAAATAATTAGTAATTCAAAAGCGCAATCATCGACCTTCCATTTATTATGGTATCGATATTAAACGAACACCAATGCGCAGGCCCATTAATCGCTATCAAATTTATCGAGTGTGTCTTCACATATATGTGAAAATATTCGATACATCGATTCTACCGTGAGTTGTATTCTTCAGCCCAATCAATTATTCCAAAAACATAAAAAATCAGCTTATCGGGTACAGATTACGAATCCTTTTTTGGCATCTCTAGTTTTAGTCGAAAAAATCCATTGAACGTTTGGCAAGCGGAGAGTTGGTGGTGATAGCCGTCGTCTGTTTATTAAAAAGAAAGAAACCCATTTGTTTAACGTCAAACCGAAATTGTTAATTTTTTGTTGTGCATTGTTGGGCTATAAACATAACATTTTACACCTACACTTCTACGCTTGCAAAAACCGAGTGACGACTGGAAAAGTCGATGTCAATTTTCTTTGACTCTTATCAGAAATTTGGTGGAGTATATATGTTGCATTACGAACTTTTTTTTCGGTGCAAATGTGAACCAGTCTTAAAAATTTCTCCGCTGTCGAGTTCTAAAAGTTTCATTATTGTTATTAATAATATAAACCTAGCGCATGAAAGGTTTTTCGTTGTAGTAGTATTATTGTATCGCGTTTACGTGTTGGAAAATGAGTAACTGCACATGTGGGTTAGCATTTTGGGGACCCCATCCAGTTCTGTTTGTGTTACGCATATTCATTTTTTTTATCTCGATTTATAAAGCCCGAACTCGCTGGTATTGTTTACGTTATATACATACACACATACATCTGATACCAATGCATAAAGTAATGTGAAAGAGTGAAGGAAAAGAACTTGAGAAAGCAAAAAATTAAAAAAACCAATCCTATTGTAGTTAATTAATTTATAACAATAAATACAGCAATTGCAGTGCAGAAAACCTTGAGATTGTAAAACACGAAAAAGGGAAGACAAAACCCGGACGATTCCAGGGAAACAGAAGACGTCCGTCGCGCAGTTCGATCCGAAAAATTTGTAAACTAAATCGTTGTGAAAAATGGATAACCTAATAACAATTGTAAATAAGCTGCAAGATGCATTCACATCTCTTGGCGTGCACATGCAATTGGATTTGCCGCAAATCGCAGTGGTCGGTGGTCAATCAGCGGGCAAAAGTTCAGTTTTGGAGAACTTTGTTGGCAAGTAAGTAGAGCCCTTAAGGAGCGAACTGTTAATATGTATGTGTTCCCTTGCACCTATATATGTACATACATCCATACACATACCCTTTGATAATTCCCCACTTAAGATTGGCCAAGTTCTATGCTTTAGCCTGAATAGGTTTGTTTTTAAGCTTCTCGACTGCAGCCGAGCAAATCGATTTTTCTCTAGTCGTTTAACTTTTGTACGAAAACTGTACCTTAAATAACAATAACTGGGGTTTTGTTTTTAAATTAAAATTGTAATTGAAAAATTGTTTCTATTTTTTGACAATATTTTGCGAATATCCATTTAAGGGTTCGTCATATGCCATTATCACTTCCTGGTAATTTTTGTTTATTGATAACAAAACCTGCGCTATTTTACAATCTATAATCGTTGCATTCCAAAACAAGTGGCCAGATAAATAATGTATGTACATACAAAATGGGTAGATAACGAGCAAACATTATCAGTAATTGAATTACGATGATAAGAAAATGTATCTTTACCGAGTAAAATCTGATATTAAGACCAAGTTCAAGCAGGAGAAGAACATAGGTTTACTATATATACAAATTAAAAGGTCAACATTGTTAACATAAAATATAAAATGTATGTATCAATACCGATACTTGTGCCCGTAGCTCTCAGTTGTATCTATATGCCTGCGCTGTCTCTCAATTCTCTTTGTGAGTGGCCACTCTAAATACAAACATAATGAAAACAATGGCTTACGCCCCAAAAAATATAGATAAGGAATGAATGAATGTGCGGCTATCATTAAAGTTTCGAACGGCGCTTTTCTCGTCCCAATCGATTTTTAAAAACACTCTGCTTCAGATTGGCTTGGTTGAAAGACCTACTTCCCCTAAAATGCCAAGAGGGCATCAATGCAAAGGTCATTTGATTAGTCAGAAATATGTAATATGCCTGAAATGGCTTCAAATTTTGTGGTTATACTTATCAGCATATTTGAAAACTGCATTAAACCATGTAAAGTTTGTGCTTACATAAGCTGACTATGTTAAAAATAGTCCAGATAGATTCCGCATGCGCCGTCTTTTATTCGTATGTATGTCAATTAGGGTGGTTTCTCATATTACATATGGAGCAATCAAGGAACCAAGAGAGGAAGCCAACTTCGGCAAGCCAACCTTTCCAAATTCCAAAAGCTAATGCTAATATTGACCAGATTATAGCAACAGGATATAGACGCTAATTCTTGACTTTGATGCAATCATCTCTAAAAACTGTTAATGAATGAATGCATGAATGAGTAATATTATGCAAATTTGGCAACAGCAATTGATAAGCCAGTCATTGGGTATTACTTAAGAATTTATTGGGCTTAGGTTTTAATTATTTTATGTTGTCATATGTTATTTTAAAGATTGTATGCTATAGAGACAGCATAAAATATAAAAAAATATAAACAACATTTTCTGGGAATTAATGCAGGGATTCCTAGGTTAGTGCTAATTCAAAAAGGTTGCTTCAAGCTTCTTTACCGATAAGTTATACAATACAGGACCTTATAACATTTAAAATAAAAATTAATAGAGTTAGAAACTCTTAGGAACTATATACAATCTATATCTGATTTCCTTTATGGGGGTGGTAAACCCCCTTATCTGGTTCCGATGACTAATACATTGTTTTGCTTTTCGCAGAGATTTCTTGCCGCGTGGCTCGGGTATCGTGACTCGTAGACCTTTGATATTGCAACTGATCAATGGAGTTACCGGTAAGTTGGTCATTCAATTCCACTCTGCGAGCACGTTCAATATACCTGTATGTCGATTTGCCAACAGAATATGGAGAGTTCCTTCACTGTAAAGGCAAAAAGTTTGCGAGCTTCGATGAGATCAGAAAAGAGATCGAGGATGAAACGGATCGTGTGACTGGCAGCAACAAAGGCATTTCAAACATTCCAATTAATTTGCGGGTGTACTCGCCCCATGTACTAAACCTAACGCTGATCGATTTGCCGGGCCTGACGAAAGTGGCAATTGGCGATCAGCCGGTGGATATTGAACAGCAAATTAAACAGATGATATTCCAATTCATTCGCAAGGAGACTTGCCTGATTCTGGCTGTGACACCGGCCAACACCGATCTGGCCAACTCGGATGCCCTCAAGCTGGCCAAGGAGGTGGATCCACAGGGTGTTCGCACCATTGGCGTTATCACCAAGCTGGACCTGATGGACGAGGGCACCGATGCCCGGGACATTCTCGAGAACAAGCTGCTCCCACTGCGCCGAGGCTACATTGGCGTCGTGAACCGGTCACAGAAGGACATCGAGGGCAGGAAGGACATCCACCAGGCGTTGGCCGCCGAGCGCAAGTTCTTCTTGAGCCATCCATCCTACCGTCACATGGCCGATCGTCTCGGTACCCCCTACTTGCAGCGGGTGCTCAACCAACAGCTCACCAATCACATTAGGGACACGTTACCTGGCTTGCGCGATAAATTGCAAAAGCAGATGCTTACATTGGAAAAGGAGGTGGAGGAGTTCAAGCACTTTCAGCCCGGCGATGCCAGCATCAAAACAAAAGCTATGCTCCAGTAAGCCAAATCAATATACAGAGTGTTTACCTTGTGGTTTAAACCTGGAACTCTTGCAGAATGATTCAGCAGCTGCAGTCTGACTTCGAGCGAACAATTGAGGGCAGTGGCTCGGCCTTGGTCAACACAAATGAGCTCTCGGGCGGCGCCAAGATCAATCGCATTTTCCACGAACGGTTAGTTGTCCCACTGCCAATTGCTTTTGATAATATTAACCATTACCCTTATTTCGATTGCAGTCTTCGCTTCGAGATTGTCAAGATGGCTTGCGACGAGAAGGAGCTACGGCGAGAGATCTCATTCGCAATTCGAAATATTCACGGTATTCGCGTGGGCCTCTTCACACCCGACATGGCCTTCGAGGCGATTGTCAAGAGGCAGATTGCGCTGCTCAAGGAGCCGGTGATCAAGTGTGTCGATCTAGTCGTACAGGAACTTTCTGTAGTTGTGCGCATGTGCACCGCTAAAGTAAGTCAACTAACTCACTCAATTCACAATTTGAATTTATACTGAGTTATTGTTATTTCGGCTAGATGGGAAGATACCCGCGTTTGCGAGAGGAAACCGAACGTATTATCACAACACATGTGCGCCAACGCGAGCACAGTTGCAAGGAACAAATTCTGCTGCTCATTGATTTCGAGCTGGCCTACATGAACACCAACCATGAGGACTTCATTGGTTTTGCCAAGTGTGTATCAACAATCATTTTGTGTTTCTTCCAAATGATTTCATGTTGTTGTCCTGTTTCAGCGCTCAAAATAAATCAGAGAACGCCAATAAAACTGGCACTCGTCAGCTGGGCAACCAAGTTATACGCAAAGGTCACATGGTCATACAAAACCTGGGTATCATGAAAGGTACGTTGAACAGAAGGATTCACCAATTTCCTTTTGCCCTTTTACAATTATTTGCTTAGGTTCAGGTTCCCAGTTACCAGTACTTTGTAGCGCGTTATGATTTTTCAACGCCGAAGGGGTTGGGATAGTTATTTTCATTGCTTTTGTGTTGACTAATATCTTTATTACTAGAAGAAAAAAAATTAGGACGACCTGGACCGCTTAGTGCACTATTTTTCCACTCTTCGTCAGGTAAAAAGCTGCGTTGGTTTTTCATTGCATAATGTTACAAGTGTTTCTTCAACACTCAATGCTGAACAAGTTGATTGCAACGCATTCGCTGTTTTGGAAAACGGAGTTCCTCATTCAGCCACCATTGCAATTGAAGATTGCTTCGGGAAAACAGAAACTACTCATTCGTACTTCTGTATTCTCTTGCATGTTGTTTTTCTCGCATCAGAAAATCTTCGCCCCAAAAGAAAGTACTTTAATCTTAACCTCACTTCATAAAAACACTGACCTGGAATTTTTGGGAAACTGTCTGTCTTTGGTTGAGCACTTAAAAACTTGTGATTGTGTGTTTGCAGGTGGATCGCGTCCCTATTGGTTTGTGCTAACATCCGAGAGTATCTCCTGGTATAAGGACGAGGATGAGAAGGAAAAGAAGTTCATGCTGCCGCTGGATGGTTTAAAATTGCGTGATATTGAACAGGGATTTATGTCAATGTCTAGACGTGTTACATTTGCTTTATTTAGTCCCGATGGACGTAATGTTTATAAGGTTAGTAATTTTTGTTAGCATACAAAAAAATGAATTTTAAATGATTTCAGAAAACAAAACCAGAGAAACAAAACTTTAAATCAAAATAACTAAACAAACAAACAAAAGCAACTTTTAAAGATACTTTTGAGAATAATTCAAATTTCATTATCTACCCCAATTTGAATCCTTTGGTTAAACAGTCGGGCAAGAGATCAATTAATTATTTTTTTGTATAATATAAAAATTACTATGTTTTTATCAACATTTAAGTCAAATTAAAGGGCAAGGAGTTTGCTGCGTCGTAAACTCCTTTTGCCTTTTTATTTTGTGATGCTATAAGCTTAAGAACTTCATTGCGATTCCCAGTGGATCGCGCACAAAACTAGTCATTCATCATTCTCTAACCTATTAAATGTATTTGAAGCTTGTGTTTTTCAAAGCAGAAGTTGAAAAGAAAAGAAGTTTTGAGAAGGCACTTGACAATCGCAATTCATTTGGCATGGCTTTCCAACGGAATAAAACCAATGGTTTTCGATATTTTGTAAAATAGTTTACTAAAATCTGTTTACTCAGCTCAAGCTTAAGAAGAAATAACCTAACTTTTGCTGTAAATGCTAGGAATGATCAACTTAACTTCCTTTTTCGCTCTTATTACATTTTCATTTCAAATTTAAAAGTCTTCTTCTTAGAAATATTCAAACACTTAAATCCCACATTGAAAACTGTTTCCATGCCTTTCTTTTTACTTATGTTTTTCACAAGCAACCTTTCAACAACAAATGTAAAATATTATATAACAATTTCGCAACACTTTTTCAATTCATATTACAAAAACAAATACCACAAAAGTACACAATTGTTAGCTTTAAATACAAAGCCGAATCGAAGCTGGGACTTCCTTTCTATTCCACCAGAAATCCGTCGAGTATACAAAGCCATATTTACGCAGGCAACACCACACAATATTAATTTTTATTAAATTGTTTTCATGTTTGTTATAGTTATCATTTAAACAGTCGGTCGACGGTTTCTGCAACAGATCCACAAATGAGTTTCGAAATGGGAATGCTTCAACGGGTATATGGCGGTATTATGGGACTGCGACATTAATGTAATATCAACAGGGAAAGGATAAGCGCCAGCATCACCCCAAAACAGAAGCTGAGAAGTCCGTTGTCTGCCCTTATTTGAAAAACATAAATCTAACTTTTTACCACCTGCTTCATGCCTTTACTTTTCTGCCTCTACCTTTCAGATTTAAAGAAAGCTGATCAAAAGTCGAAAACTTTCCGGCATTAGATAAGTCTAAAAGTCCAATACTTTTTGCCTAGCTTTTATAGTTAGTTAGTATTTAAAAATAGTAACAGACAAACATATCTTCGTTGATTTAGATTTAGGGTAATCTTTTCAGGCCAAATGCTCTGTATCTATAAAAGCTGTGAAAGAAAGGCTTCAAATTAAATTCAAGCATTTTTCAAAGGTGAAATCTCGTATACTTTTATAGGCTCTATTTATTCAAACTTCCAGTTGTTATTACCAAGTCTCAGAAAAAGAGATATTTCTCGTTTATTTATATTCGAAATTCAGGCAAAATAAGCGGTATTTCTAACACTCAGCATCAAACTTCTGTTTATCTAACGACGAATTTAAGGTACAATTTATACGGTTTTGTGAGTTCAAGATTTATTTGTTTTTCCCCAAACATAACTCAAAACTAAACGCAACAGCTAAATTACCACTTAAGAAACATCACCAACTTCTTAATCTGATTGTATATTGAGTGCTGAAACCTTCAATTATATATTCATTTTATTTTTTCTGTGTTTGCTTCGACGCTTTTAAAAACGCGATATTTTAGGACTACAAACAACTGGAGTTGTCGTGCGAAACCGTCGAGGATGTGGAGTCCTGGAAAGCTTCCTTCTTGCGAGCTGGTGTTTATCCCGAGAAGCAGGAGACTCAGGAAAATGGCGACGAGGTGCGTATATAAAATGCCAATATTTATAGATTTTATTCCCCACTCAAAGGTTAATCTGCACACTTATTGTGTCTAATAAATGCCACACAAACAATTGACTGACGCACCACTATTGTAATATTTTTAACAAACTGATATTAATATTATGCTCTTCAAAAAAGCATTATAGCTTCGGTGAAAAAAAATGTAAAAACAAATCCTCTATTTCAATTAGATTTCAGTTTTAGTCATATGACATTCCCAATTGTCTGCAATAATGTACAAGATCAAGATTATTATAGATAAGATCAAGCTGTTCAGTTTGTTTTACTTTTTATACAGAATTTTATTTGATTTGACTTCCTAAGAAAAATAATGAAATATTCATTGTATCTTTGTTTTTGCTGTTCCAATGACCAAATCAACAAATTATCTCGCAATATTGCTGCTTTATGTATTATCGTCATCCAGGAAGGACAAGAGGTTTGTTAATCCTTGCAACTTAACGAATAATTATTGTTTGTACTTATTTGTAAAAGTTCGTATAAACATATGCGAACTAACATACTAATAACTAATACATTAATTTAACATCCTTTTGATTATTTAAGACTTGTTTTCTTTTATTTATTTTTGTTTAATTTTTAGAGTGAGGTATTGGAAGAACAAAAGTTATTTGTAAAAACTTTAGCTAGTACTAACTGCTAAAAATGTATCAAAATTGAAATAACAAAATTGCTATTTAGCGTATATGGCATTAATATTAATAATCCAAATAACTAACATTTAAACACTCTAAAATGCCAAGACAATGCTTATATATTTATTCGAGTTATGCAACAATTAACTTTTTCATTAACCAAACAGGCCTTTTCATAGGTCAACGAATTACTTCGAATTAATTTAAATGAAAGTAGTTTGCCGGCTTTTCATCAGCGATGCTGATGTACTTACTTTATTTAACCAACTTATAATTACAGAAATCCCCATAGTCGGGCAATTCGACTATTTCATTGTTACTCGTTTCTTTTAACAATTGTGAACATGTGTTCTCTTCTATTTTTCCGCCACCTACCGAACAAAACGACCAAATAAATGAAACGCCAAAAAACACACAAAATTAATAATTTCTTCCGGTTGGTTTTTAGCAACAAGTATGTTGATTTAAGTCATTTCTATTGAGTTTATCTTTTGTTTACGTAATTGTTGAATTTCTTTAAACAAATTTATATATTTATAACCGTTACTCTCGTATAGATACAAATTATTACTTAGGTCTGTCTGTCCATACTTTTGAGTATCTGATATTTATGAAATTGGTAAATTTCCCTGATCCCTTTAAGGTGATAAAACTATTTGGCAAAAGGGCAGTGAGTAGCGGTTATCCTTTAGTCGGAATCCACGACTCTATTGGTTTTCTTTTTATTTTCATACATTTTATGGAAATCCGTCTTAAATCGAAGTAAACGAAGCTCATTTAAATATATTGCGAAAAGAAAAGTGAGTTGTGGTCCGCCTCTATTATTTGATTTGTTGAAATATCAAGGCAAAACCCAAACTCACTTCTTTTCCATATTAAATATGCGGATTTTACTTTAATTTAACGGCTGCCCATTGCACGCAATTTCATATTTTCAAAATTATTACTATAATTACACCTACTAATTTCACCGATTTATTAACACAAGTTTATTTAATTCTTCAATTTAAATTGTTAGATTTCAAAATATTTAAAATGCATGAAACCTTGAGTGTGTTTCGTCACAATAAAAAAAAAAAAGAGTTCGGAAAATCCATTAAAGATGCTGACGCAGAACATTCAATTCTTTTGCCTTTTTATTTTTGTTATCAAGGTAGAGTCATCTTTTATTTATAAAAATTCTTATCAATTAGCTTAACAAATTGATATTAAAGGAAAGTCACTATAACCTTTGGTTTGTGTTAAAGATCCACAGAAACGTCTTCTAGATATGAAACTTATTTTGAAATTGGGAAGTGAGTAGCGGGAATTCAAAAGTCGGACTCTCGACTAAAATGTTGGGTTCTTTCTTGTTTTATGTGCACGATTCAGTTGGTTATTATGTTTTGAAGTATTTTTGCACTTTATGAAATGATCAACGAACCATAAATTACTATCGATTCCCCATACCAACCCTTATACGAAAACAACAGTCGGCCAGCGAGGAGAGTTCCACCGATCCACAGCTCGAACGCCAGGTCGAGACCATTCGCAATCTGGTTGACTCCTACATGAAGATCGTGACAAAGACCACTCGCGATATGGTGCCGAAGGCAATTATGATGCTCATCATCAACAATGCCAAGGACTTCATCAACGGGGAGCTCTTGGCACATCTCTATGCGTCTGGCGATCAGGTAAATTGAACGACCAATTGAAAACCATGTATAGCAGAATATTAATAGGTTTTATATTGCAGTCCCAGATGATGGAGGAGTCAGCCGAGTCGGCCACCCGACGAGAGGAAATGCTTCGTATGTACCGTGCTTGCAAGGATGCATTGCAGATCATAGGTAAATATTAAGCAAAATTTATAGATTCTATGGCAAGTTATTAATAATGAATTACCCAAATTGCAGGCGACGTATCTATGGCCACTGTTTCCTCGCCATTGCCTCCACCGGTTAAAAATGATTGGCTACCGAGCGGTTTGGACAACCCACGTCTCTCTCCTCCAAGTCCGGGTGGTCCCCGCAAACCAGCACCTTCCGCACAGGTCAATATCGATGTGAAATTAATACAGACTAGAATCCAATGCACTTGTATAAACCTGTTAATCCTTTGCAGAGCTCCTTGGGTGGACGGAACCCACCGTTGCCACCATCTACAGGTCGCCCAGCTCCAGCGATTCCAAATCGCCCGGGAGGTGGAGCACCACCACTACCTGGCGGTCGTCCCGGAGGAGCTCTGCCCCCACCAATGCTACCATCGTAAGTACCCTTTGCCAACCGGCTTTATATTTAGTTACTCGAAATATATTTACTACCAAATACACATAAATATATGGGTCTTTATTCTGCGCAAGTTGTGTGTTGGACAACAACTTTGATTTATGTATTCTAAAAATAAATATGTTTTTCCGCAATTCTGCTTGATATGCAAAATAACGATCCATATATTTAGGGGTGTCACAGAAATCCTCAGCGATAAGCCGAACCAAATAAAAATGATCGCGTTGCCACAGAACTGAAATAACTTATTTAAACCATTTATCTGGGGAAATGCATTTTAATTAGCCAAACGTTTATTTTTTTACTTACCATTATTTTATCAAATTATCTTACTTTATGGTTCTTGCTTGCCCTACGGTTCACTGATCAGTGATAAAGTATTTCTGCAGGGAAGTGGTTCGAATTTGTTGAGTTGTAATAAGATTCCCCTTAAATGTAGATTTTAGATAGTTTTTGAATTTGAAAAAAATCTCATATTCACGTCCTTTTTCTATAATGGTAGAAAGGTCCACACAACCTCTTACTGCATCATATATGCGGCTAAAGATTGTTAACAATCTAGACCTTCTGTCTATCTGTGGCAGGGTGAGAAGTTGAACATTTTAACCGAAAAAGATTTATGTGGCACCTCAGTGTATTTGCATTTTTTTTGTGCTTGAGTCTCTTTAAAGTTTAAACAGTTGTATATAAATGAGCATTTCGTACAACTCGTACATATTGTGTTCTGACTTTAAGTCCTGAGTATTCACTCCTCATTACCCAACGCAACTTGATCTAAGGTTATAAAATATCAATTGCAACGTAGGCCAGGGAAATTTATGTATGTTTGTTATGTATTTATTTATGTTTTCAATGTTTACTAACTGACAACACAAATGCTTCACACACTAACTTTTAATAAGAATTACCAAAAGATAATATGTAGGCATATATTTTATATTCATTTATATAAGTTTGGGTTAGTCGGAAGTCATTTTAAAGAAAATAAGGTCTGTGGCACGGCGAAATGGAATTGAAGAATCCAAGCAAATGAAATTTCTGTGCAACCCGGTATTTACAATGTTTTTATAAGTCGAGTAATTTAAATGCTTGAGTTCGATTTCACAATTAAATTTAAGTTGACTAATAATTTACTTGACCAAGATATTAAAAGCCAAATTAATATAACTGTTTGTGTTGTCTCTTTTTCTCTTTCTATGTGATACGATAAAAACCGAAACACTTTTAATACACACTCCTTCAACCAAAAAAACAACTTGACACCATAACAAATATGTAAACTCAATAACACATGTACAGACGTCGTTAAATTGTTATCAGCATCGAGATACAGATACATCTAGGGGATGAACCTTCAAAAATTAGCTTGCTGACGATTTAACCAACACAGTCCTCAATTCTACTTTCAACAATTGAACTTTGATATTATTCCGGCAAAATCCAAAAGTAACAACGATGGGAAATCGATACATTTAAATCGCTTGCGTATTATTGTAGTCAATATATAATCTGAAGCGTTAAAACCGATATAAATTCTTAATATGTGAAAAGCAACTAGTCGAGATGCACATGATTTCTTTAATTCCATAAGATGTTTTTCGTAATGTCTACTTTCCTGTGTAGATATACTATACAATATATGTACAAATGTATGTGCATTTGTTCGTGCATGTCTAATTATTATTTAATGTCCCCTTATCAATGGCATACGCTCAAAAGTTATGACAACTATTTGTATGGGCAGATGCTTAGTGACGATATTAACCAATGATCTTAATTATATAGCTAACTATTAATAAATAGCTTTCGTTAACTGCATTGTGTTGTTGTTGATGTTAAACTATGAAACCCAATTAAATTAGAAAATGTTAGGTAAAGCAACGTTTAAAACATTTCAAGTCAGTCACAAAGTATTTCCTTGAACTTAAAATATAACTATTAAAATAGTAAACTAGCCCTCCGTTTAATCGAAAAAAGTTATTGCAATTAACTATGTAAGCAAGATTTGCTTTCGCTTTTCAAAACGGGCAATATGACTACGCAGCCCGGCTAAAATTGGCAGCTATGTATTTAAAATCAAAAAGAAATAAGCTTCAACGCTTTGTATTTCTCGGTTCGTCATGAAGATTTTGTTACCGGTTTTGTGAGGAAATTGCGTATTCCCGTTCTGATCAAATTTGTCGGAAATAAAAATTCCAGCTATCCCGTTTCCAAGAAACGAAAAGTTATACGATTAAGTTGCACGGTTTAAAAAGTTAGACCTTTGAGTTAACGGATATATTCTGAGCATCTTCCAATTAATTTATAACTTTTATTAGTTAAAAGTACATTTTGATATAATAACTTATTTGTATTGTCCATTCCTTTAAATATTATTTGTACTGTCCATTCCTTTAAATATATATATAGCTCTTTGTTTAAGTTTGGGCACTTTATTAAAAATGCCGGCCAGGAAATATATCAAAGTACTACATATTATTCATAGGCCACTTAAAATTAAACGAAAATATAATACAAACTATCTGTGAATTAATATGGCAATCTTATTTTGAGTGGTTGGTATCGATTCCCAATTTAAATAAAAACAATTATTTAACATATACAGCTGTGTGCAAAATAATAATAATAATAGCAGAGCCCTATAAATAACTATTTAATTTTGAATTTTATCCCTATTTCTTGCCACGACAACCCATTAAATAATGTTTCAAATATTTCCATGTAAATGTATTATTTTAAATGTTGATTACAAATATAAGTCATGAAAATACTCTTGTGACTTACTCAAATGGATTGTGACGATGGAAATATGCAGCAACTTATATAACATATGACCAGTTTACGTATACACAAATAAAGTGCATAAATAAATACATAAATTGTTCGTATTACATAAGTGTGTATTTGTTTACTGGAGGGAAAGTGTTACCTACTTATGGTGGTGGTTTGTTATTATTATTTTCAATGTGTATTTTAGGCAATGTTGAGTTTGGTAATGCTGAAGTGAATACTTGCGGAAAATAAATAAGTATTTTTGAGACTTCATACTTGTGGGTTAATCAAATATTTCTTTCAACACTTCAAGATTACTCTTGATTGTTTACCTCAGATCTAGAGTATACGACAAGCTCTCAATTCAAGTAAAGAAATTGAAAAAGACGGACATAATAGAACCACATACCTTAGATCAACTCAAAGTACCTAAGTTGCAACGGGCTTTATGAACTTTTGGTTATATTGATAACAGTAAATAATTAAAGTGCACTGAGTCTAGATACCAATTTCAATAATCCACTTGTACTTTTCAAGTCGTGTCTCTGGAGCTGTCGGAGGTGCCATTACCCAGCAAACGGGCGCTCATCGTTATGTACCGGAGAGCATGCGGGGACAAGTTAATCAGGCTGTTGGCCAGGCAGCCATCAACGAGTTATCGAATGCCTTTAGTTCCCGATTCAAGTAATTCGAGCAACATAAGCACAATATATAACGGAATTATTCACTGAATTAGCAAACACGTACGCGCGTCATCACACACCATCAAAGAAATATCAAGTGTCGAAGCTTTTAGATGTCTGTTGGTTTTAAATCTTTGGATAAATTCATCGTTGTCACAAGCTTTTCGGATTTTCCTACACTCAAACAACTGCTTTCGAACTGATTTCGTCATGGAACATTTACTTTTTAAAGTATATTATAACATGCAAAATATAAATAAATTTATTTTCAAAAAAGAGTATTAATATGTATAACAATTTTAGGTTTATAGCTTTGTTGTTTTTAGAACTTTGCAGATAAATCAGATATTACAATATGTGTAACGCGGTTACGAAAACACCTGCAGGCATTATCGCACTTTTGTGAGTGCAATAAAGTTTTTTTTCGAAGCTCAAATAAAACTAAAGAACTATATAGAGCTTGAATTGCAGTGTTACAATGCTTCTATATTGATGGTAATATTAAACTATGTACTCACTTTAAAATTTTATGGACTATCCTCAAAATATTTAAAAAAAAAAAACCTATCAGAACAAATACATATGATTTAGCATCGATATGTCCCTATTGCCGTAAACAGTTATAAATACAAAATATTATTGTGTGTGTTAAGGTTATGGTCTTAAAAGATTCTTGTTTATAGTCGTATGTTAATAAGAAAATAAACGAAAATGAAATGAAAATGAAACTGAGTTTTCTTTAAAACGCATATATGTCGTTCTTTTCATGGCTGTAAGGTAAGCTTGTTTATCCCTGATTTTTTGTATACTTGAAAAAAAGAACCATTTTGTTATACATCAAAAAAAGCAAAAACGGGAAAAAGAATTTTTTTTTCCTACCATTTATTACCAACTATAATTATTATCCAAATTATTTTGTTAAATTTAACTTTAACATATTATTGTTTTTGTTTGTGTATTGGATGGTTTTGTAAAACTTTAATTTTATAGTTCGTTACTTTTTGGTTAACTGTGTAGGTTTTCGAAAAGCTAATATACAAATAACAAAATGTTGCTTTACTGTTTACAATCAGTCTCGTTTTAATGTTTTATCCATTTTAAAGTTGCATGATGATTATCTAAAACTATTTTTTACATTATTATTTATAGTAATTACAATGAAAACCCAAAGTTTAGTAATTATAATTGGGTACATAAATACATCCGTGGAGATGTAAATCGTGTGTAATTGACCGCGCTTAGAGATATAGGAATATAATATAAACGTGAAAACGTAAATGTAAAATGTTGTAATATAAATTTCTGTTTAAAGCCTAGTTTAAAAACCTATCTCGATGTAGTACTTTTTGATTCCTCAAAATGTAACGTCTTGCAATTCATTTTGGGCCTGCGCCTGCATTTTGCATGTGTGTGTTCGATGGGGCGTGGCTGTCCCGAAATTGTGCTGCTGATGTTGTTCAACGCAATCGGTTTGTGTTTTCGGCAGTGGCAAGGATCGAATTGAGATTTGGGATAGGTGCTGGTTTTGATGTATTTGAAAACGACCCTGGTAGTACAATGTTGACATTTGTGACGGATCTATGTTCACAAGAAAGGGCTGCAAGTTTCGACTGTGCTCCTTAAATATGTCCTCCATGTGTAACATGCAATCCTGCACTTGAGCCTTTTTTTTGAAAAATAAATAAATAAATAAAATATAACAAGGTAATTCATTGAACTCACTTGCTCAACGCTGGTTAAGTCAGTCATAAGACTCAACAAAAAGTGCAAGTTATGTCCCGATCGAAGATGCCATTTAAGGCCATTCATTGATGCAGCTATGCTTGAAGCAGCTATTGTGCTAGCCGAGAATTTGGCAAACTTGTGTTCTTTGTAGTAAAATAATAGAGGTCGATTAGCAAATCGAAAAGTAGTTATTATTTTTAATGCTTACCTTTTGCTGCCAGTGATATAAATGCTTGAGCATGTCCCCTTACTTTTGCAATGTTTATGTCTGGAAAGTTTTTGCTTCCTATCGGCAGGCGCATCATTAAAAGCTCAAGGAAGTCCAGAGGAGTCACGGATGAAAGATCCCAACCTAATCGGCTCAGAACATACAGCTCCCATTTCTTAAAATATCAAATATAAAACATTTGAATAGGATATAAAAATGAAATCGCTGGCAAGGGACTTACGATTAAATCATCCTTGTAGATGCTGTTATCAGTATAGACGACTAAAAGGTCTACAGAGAGAGCACGGCAGCTGGGTTCACGGAGTTTCGAAGCTAGTAGAAGACATGCGGCAGCTAAAATTTGTAGATGTGTCTTGCGCACCGATTTGCTCGAAAGAAACCGATCCATGTAATTTAAAGCCAATAGCACGACCTCTTCCTGGCAATTTTCTTCTGCACAAACCTGAAAAAAGGTTTTTTTTTTTTAAGTTAATACGATTAAAACAAATGAGCAATCATGCCTAGAGTGCGAGTGAGATGAAAAAATCGTAATCTATTGTGATGAAAGACTCTGAATGAGTTGGCGAAAACTGTGGATATTTGGCGTATATCAGTGTAGCGCAAGTTTGTACACTCTCATTTTCAATAGTATATTGAGTTATTTTTTCAAGATATAGGTATAGATATAGCAATACTTACTTCCATCATCCACTCTGCGACGACTTTCCGCATTGGAGGAGTTATGTCTTTCTGGATATTAAAGTACGTGTCGACAATTTGCTGGTGTTTCTCCTCGGCCTTGAGTGCATTTTCTAAACACCGATCGGAATACAATGTGGGATCCCCGATTGCTGTGTTAACATTATCGGTAACCGGAGATGTCGAATTGTTTGAATTCGATTTAGTTAGCCGATCGTGAAGTGGTTGTGATGATGATTCTGACGATTGTGACGATTCGTTGCTGATGTAATAACTTTGCAGAGATTGCGTTTGTTGCGTTGGTGGTTCCAATTCTGGTTGCGATTCATTCTTCCCGGCTGAGTCCACCGATGTATATATATACACGATCTCTTCCATATTGCACACAAGTGTATTTTGGTTAAAGTTTGAAGGACTTTGCACTGGATCAGAATCGGTATTTGAACATATTGATGGTGGATCCGCGAAGATCACGGGCTCTGCCATTTCTGGTTGGCTTTTGTTTGTATGATACAAGGATGAATCAGGTTCATAAACTATGTTTTCCGAACATAATAGATCCATTGTTCAGCCAAGAGGTTCGGTTCAAAGCATACAACATATAGATATTGCAACCTAAGCCATTTGTACGTGCCGAATCATCAAGAACTTTTACGAAACTTTGATATCGAATACTGCGTACAACAGAAAATATTCATACAATGGAGCCTCCTTTTCATAAAAAGGTTAGTGTTCACAAAACAATATTGAGGGAGACAGTTGTAAAATATTTACTCTTGCGCTTGTACTAATCTTTTTACGGCATATTTTCTCATAACTTTGATTTCCTTTCGCAACCGTTACATGTCTTTATTTACATATGTTTTTGGACCTGTTGAAAAATAAGTCTTTCATCTTCATACATATGCAGTTATGTATATACATACATAAATATGTTTCATTCGCTCGAAATCAAGCTGAATAGAATTCTTCCTACGATGAAAATGCAGACATTTCGACAATTTCGTTTTATTTCGAGAACCGCACAGCACCACAGTAAATGAATTAGTTGAATAATTGAGAAAATATACTCGAAGTTGCACACGTTTGCCACTTAACCGGCGTGGACAAAGCATTCATGTGAACCAGATTGTTACACCTTATAATGGAAAAAAAAACTAGTTCTTTTTGCGTGATCGTTAGTTATAGCCTGTGCACACTGGATCACTGATCGCGTTTCGTGATAATGGCAGTTGAAACATATCGCTGTCCAGTATATATTTAATTTGAGCAATTGATTTGGGTAGTTGACATTTTTTTTGTTAAGACAATTCACAAATGTTTGCACGTTTAAAGTCGATTTTATTTTCGTATATTTTTTAAACATTTATATAGGGCAACGTTGGACTTAAAACATGGAAAGTAGTACGTTTAAACGTAAGCTCGAAATTAAAAAACTATTTTTGAAAAGATACGTTTCACATCTCTTAAAAATCCCAACCATTCCTGCGATATGTTAACGTAAGGTTGCCACACTGACAAGATCGCATATCGAATATCGATTGAAAAAGAAATAGCCAACAACGATTACTGATCTGTTTAATTTTAAAGAAATTCACTAAGTCATTTTAACTATGATTTCAAATCTTTTACGATTTAAAAAATTTTGACATTAAAAAAAAAGCATTTGAAGTATTCTTCGCTTCAATTCTGCTGCTCATTTTTAATGCACTCAGAACGCTATATGAATTTTGAGTTACAAATTTGTGTCTTGGCAATATACAGCATTGTTAATAAGCTTATTATTATTTAATTTAGTTTGGTTTCCTTTCAAGCATGGCGCTCAAAAGCTGCAGCCCATTCCTTTATTCCCACACCCGCATTCAACAGTCGAAAGCTTGTTGCCCAGCTGGAGTCCAGAGAACAAAAAGCTTTAAGGATGCTGAGATAGCTTTGAATAGAAACCGAGAGTTGAGTTTTACATTCGCGTTTGCCGATTTCGTTTTCCATCTGAGGGATGCTGTAATCTAAGGAAACTTTATATTCGTCAAACTCCCGAGGACGACAAAAGACGTGCGGTAGGAGAGTTATTTTATTGAACGTTAATTTGCAAAAAACACAAATTGTAATGGAAAAACTAGTTAAATTGATCTTGCAACTTGTTAAAAATCAAACCTAAAGTGCGTGAATGCAATAAGTTCTTAACAATCTTGTGTGTAATATGCATATGTTTACGTGTTTGCTGCGCATGACATACATAAATACCAACAAAGTCCCAAAAACTCAGCCTCAAAGGACATTGTGGAACTTTATAAACACCTTTATACACATTAATGTGATACTAAACGTTTTATTTAATTTACGCAGTCAATAAATAAGGAAGGATTCTAGCGAAATTCGTTCAAACTTTGTGTAAATAAATAGAAGATATAGTCAAATGAAGTGGTAAAAGAATGTAACTGTTTTCGAGTACAGCATCAAATTGGTTTCAATGTCTGAAATCGAGTGGGAGTTGTCGATCTTGACCTGGAAAATTGTTGAGTGCAATATACACCTCCAATTTGTTTAAAAATCGTTAAAGCAAAATCGTTGGACTGAAGCAGTGAGACTTAGTGATAGGTAGCCTAGCAATTTTGTTTAAACAAAACATAAAAAATTAAATATAATATATATTTAAGTTACATAATTACCTATGAACAAACTTTTTTAAAATTGTGTTTAATTGTGTGTGAATTGATTATAAAAAGTGCAAGCTACAATTTTTTTAAGTGACACCCACGCAAAGAATAAGTTGGGTTAAGTGTATTGAAATACAGAAAAGCAACATCAGGTGGGCGGGACTTTGAGGTAGTCCTACGCCTCCCCCCACCCACCTTCAAAGTTTTAGCTATACTAGTTATATGAATGAAATATATTCGAGTGGATATTGTTGCTTAAAAAGTTACGCCCTTTGGAAAATGTAATCCTAAAACCGCCTGTGGGAGGTCCATATTGTTATACGCAAGCGCCTAAACCGAAAAACTCTCTTCCTTTCAACAGAATCGGAACGAAAAACCAGCAAGAGGAAGAGCAACAGCAAAAGCGAAAGCACAGCAGCATCTGCTTTGCCAGCAAAAGCAGGAAAGCAGGAAAGCTCGCTACATATTGCTACAAAGTTACGTGCCTATGAGTGGGCGAGTTCGCGTACATGTCTGGCAATGTATTTGACAGCCTTTCCCTTTTGGCCATTGGTATGCTTCGTGTGGCTCTGTAAGTATCAATGCAATTCAACAAGGACCCCCTAAAACTACTCTCCTTCCCGGCTAAGCAAGTCCCATTCACAAGTACCATTCACAGCGCTTTTCTTTTGTGGCTTATCATTTACGAAATGGAGTCTTGATTTTAGAAATAGGAATATTTTGATTAAACGCTGAGGACAGACCCTTGTTCTGGCCAATGTTTTTAGAATTGAGATACAACCTTTTTAAACCCTTATACTTTAACAGGTTTTTGTGTTTTGATTAAACCTAATTTTTTAAGGTTTTTTTTACCTTCTGAAATAGCAACAACAGAAATTAAAAATTAATAATTATAATTACCTGTTTTAAAGTCACATAAAAAATATCTTCTGGAGTCTTCAAAACGTAGAAGAGTATAATTTTACGAATATGTATTTATAAAAATCCATTTCCTTTTATGACGAGCGATGCCAATAAGTAGGCAATAGTAAAGTAGTTTTGTGCAACCACCAAAAAAAAAGGGGAGTCCCAAAAATGTTTTACGGTTTTTGATGGTTAGTTGGTTTGAAACCCAACTAAAAATTTAAATGGCTTCCTGGGACAATAATAGATTTTTGGTCTGCGAGAAATTGTATGAATTAGGTTTTTAAAAATTGTTAAACATTTCCAGTTTAACGAAAATTCGCCTGTTGATTTTAACCAAAAATAAGTAATGTATATACATATGTATAGTTTTGCGCAGCTAAATAGTTTTATTTGGGTAAACCTTTTTAAATAAATATTTTTTGAATTAGCTTTTTTTGCCTCCTTGTTCAATGGTTGAAAAATGTTTAACAAACAATTAAGTTAACGTAATAATTATATTATAATTAATGAATATTTTTTCATTTTTCAGGTTTCGGTCTCGGCGACCTAACGAAATTTGCAGTGAAACGCAACGCACCGCACTATGGAATCCAGCCGACAAACGCACTGGGGCGTTGGGATTGGAATAAGCACGGGGAGCAGCACTCGGATGCCAGGATGCCGGGCCATTTAGAGACAGGGAACGAGTCCCGGGAGGAGCAGCTGTCGGAGGAGCTGAAGCAGTTCGGCGAGAAGCTGCTGCCCGTCTCCAATTATCCGCCTTATCAGAATCACAACGATGATAGCCAGGAGGTCCATCACAGTGGCGAGGGTCGAGTTCACACCATGGAGCCATCGGTGCCGGCGAGGCCAAAAACCTCCGGAGGTTCGAGTGATGCGCCGAAATTCCGAAACATCGGTGGTGCCCAGAAGAGTCGAACGGAGATGTCGGGGATGCGGGAAATCGATCGGATCAGCTCGCGGGGTCGAGACGGCTTCATCGGTGGACCGAGCCACAAACAGAAACCCTTTCGCGTCAATCTGGCTGTCCTAGTGCAAGACGATCCCAGTCAACCGGGCGAGACGTATGCCAACTGCCAGAACTCGAATGAATCCGGCGAGGACTGCCACACCGACGAGGATGCGATGCCGAACTTGCAGCGGGACTGCGAGAAGACCGGGATACACGTGATGTGCCCGCGAACCTTTCGCTGCATCAGCAAATACTGGCTGTGCGACGGCGACGACGACTGCGGCGATTACTCGGACGAAACGCACTGCGGCGCCAGAACGAACTGCACGGACGATCAGTTCGAGTGCCTCAACGGGTTCTGCATTCCGAGGACCTGGCTGTGCGACGGCGAGAACGACTGCAAGGACTTCTCCGACGAGTCGCACTGCAATCGCACCAGCTGCACGGACGAGCACTTCACCTGCAACGACGGCTACTGCATTTCGCTGGCTTTCCGCTGCGACGGGGAGCAGGATTGCAACGACAACTCGGACGAGCTGAAGTGCGCCGCGGTGATCAACAGCTGTCCCGAGGGCGAGTTCAAGTGCAGGGGTGGCCTGGGTGGTGCCGGTGGCCCCAGTGGCCAGTGCATCCTGAATCGGTTCCGTTGCGACGGCGACAACGATTGCGGCGACTGGAGCGACGAGGAGAACTGCCCTCAGAAGCCGTCGCTCTGCACCTCCAACGAGTACAAGTGCGCCGACGGCACCTGCATCCCGAAGCGCTGGAAGTGCGACAAGGAGCAGGACTGCGACGGCGGCGAGGACGAGAACGACTGCGGCAGCTTGGGATCCGAGCACCCGATGACCTGCGGATCCGACGAGTTCACCTGCAACAACGGGCGATGCATTCTGGTATGTGCCATGGTTTTAGTGGAAATAAAAACAAGACTTCTTTTCCTTTCAATTATAAAACACAAATTGAAACACATTTATTCAAACCTATTCAGAATTTTTCCCTCTTTTGTTTTTAATTATAATGAACTCAGAAATAATAAGCTGCTGATTGCTCGTAAAACAAACAAATAAATAAAATACACTTGATGTTTATTTCTAATTAAATTCCTATTAAAACAAGAAAGAAAGCTAGCTTCGGCAGGCAAAAATATTTATAGGTATAAATAATGGGAAAGAAATTGTTTTTAATTCCACGAGCATGATTTTTAGAACATCAAGTTTTTTAAATACCCTTGAAACGAGAAAAGAATTTCATAAAATTCGGACTACGATATCATATAGCTGCCATAGGAAAGATCGAAAAATCTATATAGCAGTAACGGAAATAAAATGATAAGATCGTTGTTTTTCATCAGACAATCATGATTTTTTGAATAAAGATTTTTCAAATGATTCTTGAATAACGAAGTAAATTTCATCGAAATCGGACAACTAGATCATATTGCTGCCATATAAAAAATAGTCGAAAATATGGAAAATTAATATAAAAATCGTCATAGCTTCGATGTTGTTTAGCCTTTATGTATTTTGTTCGACATATTTAATGACTGCAAGGGTATATAAGCTTCGGCTTGCCGAAGCTAGCTTTCTTTCTTGTTAAAACCAGCTTTTTCAAACCTGCGTTTACCAAGAAAACAAGATCAACAACATGGATGTCCAACTAAGAAGTGACTATTTTTGTTCAAACACAGAAAACCTGGCTTTGCGATGGCTATCCAGACTGCGCAACTGGAGAGGATGAGGTTGAGTGCCACCTACAGTGTGACCTGGGACAGTTTTTGTGCCCCACAAAACAAAACATAACGAATCTTAAGTGAGTTGAGAACCATTCCTTATTCATTTGTGATCCTAAAATGCACAATTACACTATTCCTGGTTTAGGGAAACCATTTGTGGCTTCTTTGCTTCATAAGGTCTACTATGTCTTTATTTATTTCTGTACTTTTTCCAGAATATGTGTTCACCAGAAGCACATTTGCGACGGCCATAACGAGTGCCCTGCTGGCGAGGACGAGGCGGACTGTCCCAAGGAGCGAAAGTGCCCGGAGCCGAGTCCCTGCGAGCAGCTCTGCATCGAAACGAAGGCGGGCCGGAACGAGTGTGCCTGTCGACTGGGTTATGTCATGGACAAGAACAAAGTCAAGTGAGTAAATCCTGCTGCTCCTATATATGCAAGCAATCCTTATTTAGAGTGCGTAACCATTGTCGATCGACAGCTGCACGGACATCGACGAGTGCCAGTACCTGACCAGTCCGGTGTGTTCGCAGAAGTGCCACAACACCTTGGGTTCCTTCAAGTGCTCCTGCGAAACGGGCTACATCCTGCGGCCGGATCTGAGATCCTGCAAGGCGCTCGGCGGCGCCATGACCCTCCTGGTGGCCAATCGCTGGGACATCCGGCGCGTGACCCTCAGCAACAATCGCTACACGGCGATCGTGAAGGGATTGCACAATGCGATCGCTTTGGACTTCCACCATCGCAAGGGACTGATGTTCTGGTCCGACGTCTCCACCGATGTGATCAAGATGGTCTACATGAACGGCACTCGGGTGCGCGACGTCATCAAGTGGGGCTTGGAGTCGCCGGGTGGCATTGCAGTCGACTGGATACACGATCTGCTGTTTTGGACCGATTCGGGAACGCGACGCGTGGAGGTGTCCAATTTCCAGGGTAATCTGCGCACGGTGATTGCCTCGTACGATCTGGACAAGCCGCGAGCGATAGTCGTCCATCCGGGCGAGGCTCTGGCCTTCTGGAGCGACTGGGGTCCCAATCCGAAGATCGAACGCGCCTACATGGACGGCAGCCAGCGGAAAGTAATCATATCAAAGGGGGTCACCTGGCCGAATGGCCTGGCCATCGACTTTCCCAACAGCAAGATCTACTGGGCGGATGCCAAGCAGCATGCCATCGAGTGCTCCAACCTGGATGGCAGCGATCGCACCAAGGTGCTCAGCGACCATCTGCCGCACCCCTTTGCGCTCACCCTCTTCGAGGACACGATGTACTGGACGGACTGGAACACGAAGACAGTTTCCGCAGCGGACAAGATCACGGGCAAGTCCTTTAGGCCCGTCCACGAGAACTTCCACTTTCCCATGGACATACACGCCTATCATCCTGCCCGACAGCCGGAGTACTCGGATCGCTGTCAGAAGGATCGTCGGGGACTTCGTGGAGGTTGCTCGCACCTCTGTTTGCCGAACAAGAATTCCAGGAGATGCGGCTGTCCCATTGGACTTTCGCTGAAGGAGGATGGCAAGACGTGCAAGAGCACCGCGGACAAACTGGTGCTGGTCGCCCGCAGAAAGGACATTCGGCTGAGGCACCTGAAGAACAACCAAGCCGATCCCAACGAGGTGGACATGATAGTGCCCCTGGACAATCTGAAGCACGCCGTGGCGCTGGACTGGTGCAGCGACTCGGACTTCATCTACTGGACGGATGTGGAGCGGAGCACCATCAACAAGGCCCACCTCAATGGCAGCTACCAACAGCGAGTGGTCCACTCCAATCTGGTTTCTCCGGTGGGCTTGGCTCTCGACTGGATAACCGATAAACTGTATTGGACCGATCCCACAACGAATCGCATCGAAGTGGCGACCACCAATGGCAAGATGAGGACGCTGCTCATCTGGGAGAAGCTTTACAAGCCACGGGATATCGTTGTCAACCCGATTGGTTAGTTGATCACCTTTTAGTTGTCGCTTTTGTTAAGTCATGTGTTACGTGTGTCGCGTTTACGAGTTGAAAAGCACTCTTAAGGCGGTGTAGACAATGTAAATTAGATAGAGTCCTGCATGAATCGGAGGTATCCTTTGATACTCCAGAGTTTAAGTGTTCAGGTAGGCTCAGGTTTTCAACTTCACCAGCTTCTCCTGATTTGCTTTTCAAAATGCCCGATTGGTTGCGCAGAAATATCCAAACTTTTACTCACATTTTGAAAAGTAAATGTTCCTTTTGCACATATCAAATAATATAACCTACAAATTCCTTAACTATTATTTCCATTTCTATAACCTAACTAACTTCTTCTGGTTTTCTCATTAAGATGGCTTTATGTTTTGGTCGGATTGGGGCGACGATCCCATGATTGAACGCGCCAATATGGATGGACGTGATCGCATCACTATATCATCGAAAAAACTGATTTTTCCCAATGGCCTGGCAATTGATTATGAGAAAAGCAAACTCTACTTTGTGGATGGTGGCACAAAGACACTGGAGTACATGAACTTCGATGGCAGCAATCGCCAAGTAATCATAAGTAAGTAAATTATTATTAAAGATTATAGGTAAACAATGATTTACCAATTTATTCAAGTTAAATGTACTGCCATTATATTTATTTCCCATTTTGTAACCCTTTAACTCGAATATGATTTATGATTATTATTATTACCTTTCTTCAGATGGTCTTGGTCATCCTTTTGGCCTGGATGTGAACGAGGGCCGTGTCTTCTGGACGGACTGGGACACCCGGTCCGTGATGAGTGCCAACAAGCTGACGGGCAAGGAGACGAACGTGATAATTGCGAACAGCAGCGATCTGATGGACATCCGGGTGTTCCATCGCACCCGCAGGCGCATCTTCAATGCGTGCGAGCGGCTCAACGGCGGCTGCTCCCATCTGTGCCTCCTGAATCCCACCAGCTACACCTGCGCCTGCACCGTGGGCGTCCAGCTGAAGGAGGACAAGCACACCTGCTCCGAGGGACCCACTCAGTACATCCTCTTCGCGCACCGCATCGACATTCGTCAGATATCGCTGGACTTCGATCACCTCATCGATGTGGTGTTGCCCCTTCCGCCGATCTCGAATGCCGTGGCCCTCGATGTGGATAGGAATACGGGCTACATCTACTGGTCGGACACCATTGAGAACGTGATCATGAGCTCCAGTCCGGATGGCCTGCATGTCCACAAGGTCGTTGGCGATAGCTTGGAGAATCCCGATGGCTTGATTGTCGATTCGGTGGGTCGAACTATCTATTGGGCCGATGCGGGTCGTCATACGATTGAAGTGGCGCGACTCGATGGCAGCTACCGCCATGTGATCGCCTACAAGGATCTGGAGTCGCCGCGGGGCTTGGCCCTGGACTACGAGGCGGGTCTGCTGTTTTGGACCGACTGGGGTCACTATCGCAAGATCGAGCGATCCCACTTGGATGGCAACGAGCGGTCGCGCATCGTGACCGCCAATCTTGGCTGGCCAAATGGTCTGTCGCTGGATTTGAAGAGCAAGCGAATCTACTGGGTGGACGCCATGCTCAAGACGATTGACTCGTGCGACTACACGGGTAATCAGCGCAAGTTGATCATGTCCTCCCTGCACCATCCCTATGCACTGGCCCTCTCGGAGGACAGCATCTACTGGACCGACTGGAAGTCGAAGGCCTTGCACATGACTGAACGGCGGAATATCAGCGCCAAGCGGGACATCATCACAAACATCGATGGCCTGATGGACATCAAGGTGATCGATCAGGATCAGCCGATGACCGAGAATGTCTGTGGACGGAATAATGGTGGGTGTTCCCACCTCTGCCTGCGTAATCCATCTGGATTTTCCTGCCAATGTCCGATTGGCCTGAGATTACGTGTGAATAGTACAAAGGAGTGCCAGAATTTGCCAGAGGTAAACATTCTTTTTCTCTTCTTTATTTAAAGAGATTTATTATTAACTTGATAAAACTCTTGAAGGATTATCTTCTCATCGCCTTGCGTTCTGGAATTGGAATGATTTCCCTGAATTCGGGAGATTTCATGGACGTCGTTCTGGCCATAAATGGCGTTCATGGAGCAGTTGTCCTCGATTATCACTACCGCAAAAACCTACTCTTCTTTGCCGATGTTAATCTGGACGTAATTCGACGGGTTAATCTGCTGAATCTCACTGAAAGCAAGGTGATAGTGGGCACCGATGTCCTGACTCCCAACGGAATCGCCGTCGACTGGATCGCAGATAACCTTTATTGGTCCGATACTGATCGCAAGCTAATCGAGGTGTCTCGCCTGGACGGAAGCTCGCGGAAGAGGATCATCGAGGATAATCTGGGTGACGTGAGGTCACTGATTGTGCATCCAAAGAAAGCGTAGGCGCCCCTTAAACACTCTCTGTTTTTACTCAATTTGTATTCTATTTACTGGTTGTACTTTTAGTTACTTGTTTTGGTCTGATTGGAGTTCGCCGGCAAAGATCGAACGCAGCTACTTGGATGGCTCGAACCGCACTGTTCTTATAACATCTGGAATTGGATTCCCCACAGGCCTTACCATCGATTTTAGGTAAGTTTATATATTAGGTTACCTAAATTTCTTAGTTGCAATAGAACAGAAGTTAAACCAGCTCCCTAAATTCATGAACAAATTTAACTAAAGTACTTCCCATAAAAATAAGGAATATCTGTTAGGCATATTTGTTATTTTTTACACACTTTAAGTTCAGTTGTTTCAAAAAGATGTGTATGTACTATCAAATTTAATTCAAAATCTATATACACAGCAATCGGCGATTACTTTGGGCCGACGCCTTGGAGGACAACATTGGTCAAGTAGATTTTAATGGAAAACGCCGTCAGACGATTGTGCCCTATGCTCCTCATCCATTTGGCTTGACAATGGTAAGCTCTAAAATTGCTAATAATAATTGGTAATAGCAAGGCAAAATCAAGAAATATAAAACAGAAAAAAATAGTGGAGCAAAAATTACAATAACTCTACTTTACCTTCAGTTTGAGAGTAGCATATTCTGGACGGATTGGCACAACAAATCGGTGTACCGATCGCAGCGATTGCCACGCACTGGATATGGCAATCCCTTCGAGGTTCGGGACGCACTCAGTGGAGCCCTGGACATCCGAGCTGTTTCGCTGCAACGCCAACCGAAGAGCTGGAACCACTGTGCCCAGGACAATGGCGGGTGCTCGCATCTCTGTCTCTATCGCTCGGCGGACTACGTGTGCGCCTGTCCCGACATCCACGATCCCAAGTGCTCCACGAAGCCCAAGGTGCTGGTGCACTCGAGCCTGGAGACTGATCAAATGCTCGAGTACTCCGACGAGTCCACCGACGATTCCACGCCCACGGATTTGCTGGGCGAATCCAACAACCTGGACGACGACGGCCACACGAAAAAGAGCGACCAAGAAAGAGAGTTCTTCGTCCTCGTGGCTTTGGGCGTGGTCATTGTTATGGTGGTCATCATAATACTTGTTATTTTCAGTAAGTTCATTTGATTACCCTTCCTTCTTTTATATACATATATAATTTAATGGTTTGTTTTTGTTTTGCAGTGCTTGCTTTCAATACAAGCAAGAAGAAAAACAAACGAAACTCCCGCGGTTCCAGTAGATCTGTCCTAACTTTTTCAAATCCAAATTACAATGTTGATGGCACGCCCATGGAGCCAAAAACAAATATTTGGAGGCGATTTAAGTACGAAAAATCGCATGTAAGTTGTGCAATTCATTTGCAAGTCATGAAAGGTGTGAAAATAATTGAACTTATGGGTGTTTAGCAGGATCGTTCGGCGGTTTATGAAGAGCGCAGTTTGACAACGGAGACGGCTTCCTCGAGCCTTTTTGTCCCGACTCCATCGCCGATGGCGTCGCCCTCATCGAAAACAATCCAACTGACAACGCTCTCTACTATCACATAGCTGGCATAATTAGCTGATGGTCAACCTATAGAAGGAAGTCCTTGAATACCATTTGCCGATTAATGCCAAATGTGTGATTCATTTGATTGTAAATGTGGTAGCGAACTGTTTTTAATTTGCTCTTCAAGCCCCGGTAGACAATTCGGTTAATCATTGTTTTGTAAGTGCAACCATGTCCTGTTAAAGCTAAAAACAAAGGGGGGTTTTAAGATGATACAAAATATATTATATAATGTGAGATATTATTCAATTATGTACGTATTCACTAAATTATTTTCCTATTTATTTTTTCCTTTAACATAAGTAATAACTATTAAGTAATTCGGGTGCTTCGACTTTGAAACAAAAAAAAATATCCTACTATTGGGCGTTGTTTTTTGTTTCGTGCTGATCAAAAATTAAAATTACTATAGCATGGTTTACGTTTATCTGATTGCCAATGATAAAATCATTGTTAAGTCCAATCGAAAAACACAGTTGGTGTGGAAGTTTTTGAGAGATTCCCCTTTAAACAAAAAAAAAAAAAAAAAAAAAAACAAAATATAAATGTCGAAAAACTTCCATTTCTGTGCGTCTGTAAGATAAAATTAAAAAAAGCTCTGGCTCTTATTTTATAAGTGCTAGACAGTTGATCTAAGTCTGTATGCCAAAATTGTACAACATAATTAAACGAAGAGATGTCAACATTTTTTTGGGGCCCACGAAAGCAAACATCGTTTGGTTCAGCGGCTCACATGAAATGTTATTAAAATGGTTTAGTTAAAAAATGTTTTTCAAAATATAAAAACCACGGGCTTGGTTCCATTAAGGGCTTCAGCAAAATATCTGGTAACTTAAGTTTTCTATCCGTGTTTGTATATATATTTTTGCTTGCAGATGTATGAACTATTAAATACACAAAAAAGCATTCATATATTTGCTCAACAAAACAATTGGGGCAAATTGATTTTTTGTGTTTTTACTAAAAACTTTATGACTTTGTTTAGTTCGGAATTCCATTGCCAAATTTGTATACAGGATGAAATTATGAAATTATATGCTGACCATCGCATATGAATGGAAATAATTGATAATATTTCCAAAATCGTTGTTCCTACGAGTTTAAACATGATCGGTAAGTATTTTTGTGTTTCTCATAAAAGGATTCTGTTAAAGGATTCATTGTCCTAAAAGCTTTGCAATGCTTCTTGTACGCTTTCAATTTTGCAGATGAACTACCGATAATTTTCATATTTTAAATTTCAATTCTTACACCCTTGGAAAGGGTATTATAATTTCTGGCAGAAGCTTGCAACGCAGTGAAGGAGACACCTCAGACCCCATAAAGTATATATATTTCTGATCGGCTGATGTTGATGCTAAATTATACTGCTACTGAATGCTACTACGACTTTGGATGGCCTTGCCAACAGGCAGTGGGCCTGCCTTCCACACTATGTATATAAAAAACATATATATCGAAGAAAAACCTAGAGAAATCCCGCCTTTACCACGCCCCAATTAAATCAGTTTCCATTTAAATAAATAGATAGTAACTCTCCCAAATACTTCCCAAGTAAGGCATTTTCCAACCTAATGTAATTAAGTTTAATTAAATAATTATGAGATTATCATAAATAAATCTTTTCAGATTGGTACTTACTCAGTTAGATCCTTGATCTGCACTGCAATCTTTCGTCTTCTTGAAGTAAGATAATCACCGCAACCACTTTATTCGCAACATTTACACTTAACACTTTACCCTGAAATTAAAAAAAAAAAAAAAAAAAAAAAAATCAATAATTTGTTACAAATAATAATAGTTAGAATTAATTTGTTAGTAAAAAAGGATATTTACCTCTTTGGGTTTTGATTCACTGCATCTTGAAGTTCACTCCAAGTAGAAAGGTACAGTCATCACCTGTAATGAAAAGAAGGATTTCAAAATATTAGTTAAATTATTTTATACAAATCGATTGTTTAAAAAATACATACCCCAATGAGGTGATGCACTGCATCCTGGAGTGGATTTCAATAGAAGATCACGCCATTCATAATTGATGCTGCAGCCTGTTGTCCAGTCCATTCAGGTGGTATCAGCATACTATATATCTCCGGTAACCGCATTCTTACAACTATTCTTACAATATACATATATGTCCCTACTTGTTTACAATTATTAATTGTGTTTGATTTTCATGTACTTCAAGTTCAATATTTGATAAAATTTACCTTTAAAATTTCTTTCATGTTCTTGAATACTTTCAGAAATTTATCTGTTGCTTTTAGATTCTTTGTCAAAATATTTTCGATTTCTTAAAATATATAACTTAATTATTTATTGTCTAATAGATGTACTCACTGCGTAATAACCTTGGTGCAGTGCATCCTGATGTCGAACTTTAAGTAACAGGTTAGATGGTGTCACCAATTATTTTCTGCAATCAGCCAAATACACAACCAAAAACCTGAAAAAAAATATAAAAAAAATTTAATTAATTAACTGCATCTTATTTACAAAAGCCACGTCATCACATAATTAAAAAAAAAAAGCAACTCACCTTTTCCGGTTTGGATGCACTGCATCCTGGAGTCCACTACATGCAGGAAGGGATCGGGCACCTTTAAGTTCATGCCAAGTCAGGTCATGATGCACTGCATCCGGGAGTGGACTCCAGTAGGAGGAGTCGACCCATGGTGCACTGCATCCGGGAGTGGACTCCAGTAGGAGGAGTCGACCCATGATGCACTGCATTCGGGAGTGGACTCCAGTAGGAGGAGTCGACCCAAGATGCACTGCATCCGGGAGTGGACTCCAGTAGGAGGAGTCGGCCCGATACTCTCTCCCACTCTGGAACCACTCTGGAACCACTTCACTAACACACACGCACACATACACACTTCCAGAGACCGGAAAAAGTTTCTTAGAGAAACTGCCGGTCATCCCGAAAAACTGAGAAATTGGCCAAAATCAAGGGGTATCCCACTACGAATCAGCCAGAACCACTTGGGAATTATAGGTGCAAGAAAAAGTAAAAAATTTTTAATTATCATTGTCGCTGACGTGGCCTTATTAATTAAATTAACATTTAGTTAACATTACATTTACATTATATTTAATTAACATTATTTTAACATTAAATTAACATTATATTTACATTAAATGGATTTTAATTAACATTTCACATTTAAAATATTTTTTTTTACCTTTTGCATTTTGATTGATTGGTGTTTTGTGTTATTAAAATAGCTGTTATGCTCACATCCATTTGATCACTTTATTTGAACATTGGCATTCCCATTAATCTACTATTTTTATGCCCTTGCAGAGGGTTCTAATTTAATTAATATAGATTGCTTTCAAATATTTAAACCTTTAATATACATCTTAGCTTTCAGAGTTGTGAACTGGGTTAAGCACATTGGCTTGCCGGCAAAAGCTCCTTGTAGGTGAAGTGGATACTGCGACCTAGGTCAATGCTCCAATGCTCCTACCATAATTGGAAAACTTTTTTATCGCGCCTTAACTCTTTTCCTTAAAGTTCGCAGGAGCTTGATCAAAGTTCGATCGGGACGTGTCTCATCCAATTGACTATCTTTTCATACTTTCCATTACATGTCTTAGAATTAAATTAATAAAAACTCATATATTACAAAATTATATTTTTTTAATAAAGAAGGAATTTCAAAAAGCAACAGAAAAAAACGCTTTAATTAACTTCCTTCCGTTTTCACTCGCTTTGTTGCCTTTGCGCGTGATTCTTCTCTAAAAATAAAAGTAATAAAAACTAAGTGTCCCATAATTGCTCGGTGAACTACATGTTCTAGTGCGAAAAAATGGTCCTGCGACAAATGGACTTATGCTACAATAAAAGGCCTCTAGACTTAATTGCAACATGGTTTGCGCATGCCGAATACGAACTATGCCAGCGGCTATTGATGCTGCATTATATAAAGCGTGTCGCAGCGTGCAGTCCTTTCAATACAGAACAGTCCAAATAGTGATGAGAGTGTCAGAACCGTGGTGTTCGCCTAAGTCCGGATAATAATTATTATAATTATACCACAATACAGCCAGAAAGCCGTCGTGATATTCAGAATGCCTCCAACAGCACGAGCCACATTCCTTGTCATCGGGTAGGTTTTCTAACTCGAGTTAGTAAGTTAGTGTTCTACTTAGATTTGTCTATATTTTCTTTCAAACAACATAAAAAGTGGGAATTTGCCAGGCAAAGATTTTAAATTCGTTTGCTGTTTGACTTGCAATTACACAGATGAGCATTTGGCCGCTTGAATTATTCATTGCATGCTTAGGCACCTCAGTTCGAAAATGTAGGCTAAAGCGGTTGTCCCCTACTTAACTTGGGCGAAAGCAATCAATAAAAGTCGGTAAACAGTCGATTGATTTCATAATTCCTACACTATATCGAACACTGCAAAAAATTTAAATTAAAAAAAAAACAACCTATCTTATTTTAAATTTATTGAATTGGACTTTCAGATTTTTTATCCACACATGTTTTTGTGAAGGACACGTGAGTGATGCTCCGACAGCGCCAACTTCATCAGATCTCCTCTATATAAAGGCTCTTGGGCAGACTGCAATCGTGACTAAACTACCAAATATAACAAATGAATTCAGTTCCAGAATATTCAATTCCGTTCGCGTGATGCCATCGGTGAAACAAATGGCTAGACGACAAAGCCTTAAAGCACTTGGATACTTCTCTGAAGTTTCCAGCCAAAGAAGAGTTCCGCGAAAAGCCTCGGCTGATATGCTGAGTCGCAATATTTCGATGATTTTGGAGAACCTTCTGAAGCGCTACGAACAATCCCAACTACCCACCCATGGACAAGGAGTTCCAACAGTGGTGCAAACCAACATTTTGATTCGCAGCATGGGCCCGGTTTCCGAGTTGGACATGGACTACTCCATGGATTGCTATTTCCGACAGTATTGGCGGGACAAGAGGCTGAGTTTCAAGGGACCCATCAAAAGCCTATCCCTCAGCATCAAAATGCTTGACAAAATCTGGCGACCAGACACTTATTTCTACAATGGCAAACACTCACAAATTCACATGATTACTGTGCCCAATAAATTACTTAGACTCGATCAAAATGGAGGGATCCTGTATTCCATGAGGTATGTTTAATAGTTTTTAAGCCTGTTATGCTAATAATAAATATAATGTAAATGTCTTTTTATCCAGGTTAACAATTAAGGCCACTTGTCCCATGGAACTGCAAAACTTTCCAATGGACAGGCAATCGTGTCCTCTGGTCATTGGTAGTTGTAAGTTTCCCTTGATAAATTGTGTTTTTCTTTAATCTTATTTACTCTTCTTAACTAAAGACGGCTATATCAACCAACAGCTGATTTACGAGTGGAAAAACCAGGACGATGCCGTCTCCTTTGTTCCAGGAATGACTTTAAATCAATTCGATCTCATTAGCATGATGCATCGTAATTTCACAACCGTCCGACGGGAAGGTGACTTTTCGGTCTTACATGTGGCATTTAATCTTAAAAGGCACACTGGATATTTTCTGATACAAGTAAGAAATAAAGTAGAAATTACTAAAGTAGAAATTAAAACAAATATTTGACTACTTACCTAAATACTTTGATATTCAGGTTTATGTGCCCTGCATTCTGATCGTGGTTTTGTCGTGGGTCTCCTTTTGGATTCATCGCGAGGCCACAAGTGACAGGGTCAGTTTGTGTGTGACCTCGGTTCTAACTCTATCCACGATCAGTTTGGACTCGCGAACGGATCTGCCAAAGGTCAAATACGCCACTGCCTTGGACTGGTTTCTACTGATGAGCTTTCTGTACTGCATTGCCACTTTATTGGAGTTCGCTGGCGTTCATTACTTTACGAAACTCGGAAGCGGCGAGAGTCCCCAGATGGAGGACCAGTGGGAGGACGTCTGCGTGGCCAACACTCCATCGGATCCCGCGGCGGAGGCTGAACCCTTTGTTGATGGTGACCCCGACGAGGACACAAGCGACGAGGACGGCACCGAAAACGATGAAAACGAGGGAGGTGCCAGTGAATCGATCGACTCGAAGAATGGAGTGTGTGCTTGCAATAAGAACGATGCCCTTGGATTGGAGTACGATGGTTTCCTGGTTTGTCCAACATATAATGTGAGTTACGAAAGAGAGTTATAGTTATTATAAGTACTTAGAAAACATTCTGTTCAATTCAGGATCCATCGTATATCGTGCCCAAAACAACTTCATTTGCGACCACCGTGGAAAGCACAACTCAAACGGAGCCTCCTGCCGTTTCGCGATTGCATCAAATGTGGCTTTGCCTGAAAAGCGATAATAGTTTTCGAAAACAGCGAGAACGGAATGCCGCAGCTCAGAAAAACGAACAAGGAGGCGCCAATGTTTATGTCAACAGTGTTTCCCTCATCGATCGAGTGGCGCGAATAGCTTTTCCCATGTCCTTTGCATTCCTGAACCTTTTGTACTGGTGGGCTTACGGAATGCACAAAAAGGAGTTCTCCTGGTCCAATATGAAGTCATAAGAATAAATGCTTAGAACAATGGCCAAAGTTATACGCAATTTAACATGATTTTAATGGACAACTTAGCTAACAAAAAACCAAACCTCTTTGATCATTTTTGGGGGAAAAGTAATATTGTTTTGGCCAAAGCAAGGTATAATGCTTTTAATAAGCTAACTAAGTTTGATTTTTCACTACAATAAACGGTATTTTGACTGAAACAAGGCCAAAAATGATCCGAAGTTATACCTCAAATTAGTTTCTCGAAAATGTTGATACAGGTATCTAAATAACAGAAACGTAAATTGTATTTTTTAAGTTCCAAAGACAATCCGTTATTATTGGTTTTTGTTTCGTTACAAAGTGTTACATTTAACTGTTAAAACTATTTGTTAAAAGTATTAGTTTATTGCCACTGATAAGTGGATTCTTCAGGGTTCGCAAACTATCGTAAGTCAGATAGTTGGAATAGTCAACGGAGTACCTATAAAAGCGTGGGGCCTTCTGCATTGAATTCAAACACAACTCGAACGTAATACAAAATGTTCATCCAGTGGACTCTTGTGATCTTCAGCGTAACCCTGATCTCCGCCGGATCAATTCCGGAGCGGATTGTGGGAGGAAAACCGGCGGAAATAACTCAATTTCCCTGGCAGGTTTCTCTTTACAAATTGGGCAACCATTGTTGCGGTGGTTCCATCTATAGTAACGAGATCGTCATAACAGCAGCCCACTGTATAGAGACACCTGAATTTCCAAAGATCTATTCTGTGAGAGTGGGCTCATTGACCAATAACACCGGAGGGCAACTGGTTGAGGTGGTAGAAATTATTCGCCACGAGAATTATGTTCCCAAAAGACGGCATACGTACAACGACGTAGCGGTCCTTCGACTGCAGTCCAAACTCATTTTGAGTGACAATGTAAGTCCCATTCCCTTGGCAGATAAAGCCCCCAGTGCTGGATCGCCGGCCTGGGTTTCTGGATTTGGAAATATCAGAACTAATACGCCCGGCACAGGAAATCTTTTGTATACCTCTCTGAAAATTTCGGACTTTGATCAGTGCCAGAATTCATATAAGTACTTAACTAAAGTTCAAATTTGTGCCGACGCTCCCGGGAAGGATTCCTGCCAGGGAGATTCCGGGGGTCCTCTGGTCTCCGATGGAAAACTGGTTGGCATCGTTTCCTTTGGCATTCTCTGTGCCCGTCCCGATTATCCTGGAGTCTATGCTAACGTGGCCGAGCTTAAACCCTGGATTTTGAATGCAATTGCAAAACTTTTAGGCACTCACATTGCGGACCAAAAATAATTCATAAAAACAAGAAAGGCAGCTAGCTTCAGGGAGCCACAGCTGATACAACCTTGCAGTCATCACAAATGTTTCAGTTCAACATCGCAGTAATTTTCACCGATTTCTCCTATGACAGCTATTTTTGAGATAGTCGTCTGATTATCAATAAATTTAAATAAATTACCCTCAGAGGCATTCCACTTTATAATCTGAATAAAGTTAGAAAAGTTATGGAAAGTTAATATAGCAATCCCATTTATTGGAAATTTCGAAAGGGATTGTATTATAAAATTTTAAGAAAATCGGGCAAAAAATAAAAAATTAACTATTTATTACTAATGTGTTCTTGTTTTGTAACCTTATTTTAATCCACATGGTAAGTAAGAAATTCGAAGAGTAACACCCTACTATGGCTTTCTGTTCGCCTGGTACAGACGTACAGATGTATTTCGATTTATTTATTTACTTTTTATTTATTTAGATACTTTATGGGGACTTTTGACTGAAATTATAATTCCCAAAAATGCAAAAATTTGAAGAAAAAAAAAAGTGTTTTTTTTTTTTGAATTAGCTAGAAATTGTTAGGGATCATTAGTTTCAGTTATTCAACTGCTTTTTGTAAAACCCCCAAGAAAACTGCAATATTTGAAGCAATTCAATACAACTAAGATTTATTTAAATAAAAATAATGACAAATTCCATTCTGATCAAAAATGATTATTGTTCAGTTTGCTTGTTTGGATGTAATTGTACCATTAGAATTGCATCTGGTGAACGTAAAGCTTTTGGAGATGCTTACCTCCACGACCGCAGGATGTCGCTTTGGGAAAAGCACAGGACGATTGCCATGTGTATGGTCCTTGTTGGAAACGAAAACGAAACCGAAAAGGACATCCTGCGAAAGCAACGAAAGCAACGAAGCACCGAAGGCATCCGTATGTATTTGATGAAACGAAACGAACAACAACGAACTCGGAATTAGGAACTCGGATGACAGGGATGCGCAATGCAGGTCAAGCCGAGCGAAATGAACTCACCCGAGCAGCTCCTGCACAGGCATCTCTATCTCTACCAGCCATTATTCATTAGATAGATACTGTGGCAGCCAGCAGTTGGTGGCAGCGCGTGCTCCAAAAAATCCGAGAGTCCAACGGCGACGGAAAGCGGAAATCGGAAAGCGGGATTCAATCGAGGTGCAAGCGGGAAATGTGATAAAGTTTGCCTAAATGCAAATAGCTGAGTGTGCGATTGCCTATATCCCTTTATCCTTTTTATTATTGATACGTGTGCTTGGGATGGAGAGGCAGGGCGAACGAACAGCAACGGCCGCAAATGCATAACTTATGCTGCGAATGTGGGCCACTTCTTTTGTTTGCATTCAATTGTCGCACACAATTGACTGTGCTTTTGTCAACCTGATTTCGGGCTTTTTTTTAACGTGCAAGCCCACTTGAACGACTTTTTTCGGGGATGCTGCGAGAAAATCACTTACGAGGGCCTCAATTATTTACCTGCCTTTGTGCAGGTTCTAATTGCCCAAAAGTATTTATATTAAGCCTTCAAGGATCAGCGTTATTTGAGAAACAAAACCACAAACAATGCCTTGAATAAGAAAGTGAAAAAATCGGCAATTAATTATCCTTCGGTGTAAATAACAAGGACACTGCCTTGATGTTGCCACCCATTCAGGAGGCTTCAAAACTTTGAAGGAACTTTAAAATTATTTACAATACAAGGCTTAATTTGGGCACATTACATAATGCATTGGACTGAAGGACAGTGTCCCCAATTAAAATTTAGTATATACAACTACCACCGTTGTAAAAATAATGACGTTGAAACTAGTTGACAGAATAATGAGTCCCGACAATTTTGAATTTGAATGCTCTACTCACTTAATCTTCTCAGTTTTACTTAGTTAGTAGTGGTTCCCTCTGGTCGTGCTATAATTAAGTTCTCCTTTATATAGGACCTCGAAAGATGGCAGGCTAAGAAAGCCAGACGCATTTGATTTTGCTGCCGCGATGAGAGGAGAAATGCTGGAAATGACAGCGCAATCGATTCCAAAAAGTTGAGACCCGACAAGGACAAAAGCAAAAGGCTGTCACTATGACATGTTTTACGCGCGTCGGAGTCACCTGCAGTCTCATGTTCTTCCTACTCGGCGCCCAGCTGCAGTTGATTCGGTAAGTAAGCTGGTAAGCTGGCCAATTAGCCCAATTAGGCTAATTGCTACTTTCGGTACTCGCATTTCTGGAGCTTTTTCGAACGGAAGAAGGATTCATTCCGGACATTCTTTGGTGTAAAGTAGCCAAGTAGTCTGTGGTTTCCAATAAACACTACTTGCTTTAATAAACACACTTTAATTTAAATTAAATCTTTTTGATTGATCTTTAAGGAAAAGCAAAATCTGTATTTCAAGAAACCCATTTCCTATTTTCAGATGTATTCGAAAAGATGTACTTGCTGGTCGCCTCGAGAATGTTACGCAAACAATATCAAATATACTCCAAGGCTACGATATTCGTCTCAGGCCCAATTTTGGCGGAGAACCCCTACATGTCGGCATGGATTTGACCATAGCCAGTTTTGACGCCATATCAGAAGTTAACATGGTACAAAAATCTCCTTAACTTGCATAATTATAGTTATAATAACAAAACCTTTGCACTCGATCAGGATTATACGATAACAATGTATTTAAATCAGTACTGGCGCGATGAGCGTTTGGCATTTAATATCTTTGGACAATACTTTGATGGCGATGAGAGCGAAGATGGCGTTAACGATGTGCTAACTCTATCAGGAGACTTTGCTGAAAAGATCTGGGTACCAGATACCTTTTTCGCCAACGACAAGAACAGGTACTGATCACAAAACCAGATGTGTTTCCAATTCATTTGTGGACTTATTCGCTTAGCTTTCTGCACGATGTCACTGAGAGAAATAAGCTGGTGCGTCTTGGTGGCGATGGAGCTGTCACATATGGCATGCGATTCACCACGACCCTCGCCTGCATGATGGATCTGCACTACTATCCACTGGACTCCCAGAACTGCACTGTGGAAATAGAGAGCTGTAATTCGGATAGTCTATATTTGTTTAAATGAAACACATGAAGTACTTCTTTTCCAGATGGCTATACGGTGAGCGATGTGGTGATGTACTGGAAACCCACTCCGGTTCGCGGAGTGGAGGACGCGGAGCTGCCTCAGTTCACGATCATCGGCTACGAAACCAACGATCGCAAGGAGCGCCTGGCCACCGGAGTCTACCAGCGCCTCTCGCTCTCGTTCAAGTTGCAGCGGAACATCGGATACTTTGTGTTCCAGACCTACCTGCCCAGCATTCTGATCGTGATGCTGTCGTGGGTCTCGTTCTGGATCAACCACGAGGCGACCAGTGCCCGGGTCGCCTTGGGTATCACCACCGTGCTCACCATGACCACAATCAGCACGGGTGTCCGCAGCTCCCTGCCGCGTATTTCGTACGTGAAGGCAATCGACATTTACCTGGTCATGTGCTTCGTCTTCGTGTTTGCCGCCCTCCTCGAGTACGCCGCCGTCAACTACACCTACTGGGGCAAAAGGGCCAAGAAGAAAATAAAGAAGGTCAAGGACTGCTGTCCGGGGAAGATCGGTGAGCCAACTGCTTACTCATAGCTAAGTTCGTTTGATTTATCACGTTTTAAGAGGATGATTTATGATGGTTTTAAAACCATCATAAAGATATGAACTTTACCCTTTCAACCCTATAATCTTAATTCCTATCATTCCTATTTGTTATAATCATATTCCCAGTTTAAATTATAATTTCATTGAATTGAAACCCACGTCTATTTGGCACAGGAAAGAGTGAAAGATCCGAAACGTGTTCAACGACAGAGGACATCATCGAGCTGCAGGACGTTCGCATGAGTCCCATACCTTCGCTGCGAAGGGGCACCTACAACGCCACCCTCGATTCCATTGGCACCGAAACCATGAACCTGGGAAAGTTTCCGCCTAGTTTTCGAATAACTCGTAACTATGGCACTGGACACAGCCAACTTAGGCGTCGGGCTCAAAGAGGTGGGTGAAAACCATCTCATATATGTATATTTGAATCAAAGTGAATAATTGGATTATTTAACAGGAATTTCCGCACGCCCACGAATGTTGCATGCCCTAAAAAGAGGCGCCTCTGCCATTAAAGCCACTATACCGAAGATCAAAGATGTCAATATTATTGACAAGTACTCCCGCATGATATTTCCGATCAGTTTCCTTGCGTTCAATCTTGGCTACTGGCTGTTTTATATTCTGGAATGATGATATAGCCGAAAAATCGAGTAGTTAATACCCCTAGAAACAGAACCATGAGATCCAAATACAACTTTTTATAACCTCCATAATAAAGATTGACTTCGCCATAATATTTGGGCGTACCTGATTTCGTGTCGTGATAATTGTTTTCTTCCGAGTAAGGAGAGCAATAAAAGTCGAAGAAGTTCAGTTGGACATGAGCAAAATAACAAAGTTACAGAAGGGGTAAATGAATATTAAATGATTATCCAGTCAGGAAACACGCAATTTGAGTTTCTACAGTTTACTATTTTAAATTACTTATCGCTAGTCTTACGTCTAGCCATTCTATGTATATTCTGCATCCATTGTCCGTCCGCTCCCTCGGCTCAGTCGAAAAACCACCACTGCTCCTCCAGTTCTCCGTTCGCACTAGTATGGCGAGGACTCTGGTTCACAGGAATTGAATCCACCGACGCTGACTGGTCGATCACACGATAAAGCTGGACAAAAGCCGAAAAGTTCAAAAATCAATATTTAGAACTCAGGGTTATGCTACAAATATTGCAAGAGTTTTTCAAATTAGTTAAAGGAATTACCACAAAATGCAAAACAAATAATTTTCTGGCACCTTACAGTTCTACTTCCTGATCGAAAAGCTCTAGCCTGTTTTTAAAGATCTAACCATCGTTAATTTTGGAAAATAAACATATTCTTTACATTTTCAAATCGAATGCAATGCACCAGAAAACTATATTTACTTTTCTGGAGTAATTGGTAGTTTAATTTCGAAAACTTGTGCTGTAAATGGGCTTTCTAATGCAGCTACCGAACATACCAGACGATCATTTTTCGCAGCATTTGCATTTTGATTGTCCGTCGAAGTTCCGTGTGTCGCGTTTTGATCACCACCGCCTATGTGACTTACAAAATTTGAAGTTTGCAAAATAGGAAAAAAAGGTGAACAATAAGGTAAAGCCAACGAAAAGTAAGGAATTTTGTTAAAGAATTTTGCTCAAGAACAGGTTAAACGTTTAGGTTTTCAAAAATTTTGTAAGGTACAGGTTAAATGTAAAAAAAATCTTGAAATTAAGACACTTATAAGCTAAATGAATGTTGTTGCCTCCTTTTAATTTACAAATTACTTTTTAGTATCTATCAATTTTGTCAATATTCCTATTCTAAAAGAACAGTGTCGTCATAAAATTAAATTTTCGTAGGAAGAAAATGAATTAAAATCATTTCCCTAATTGGGAATCAAATATATATACAATTTTATACATTTTTTTTAATTTGCCAGAGTCCATATAGAAATAAAAAAAAAGGTTTATGCAAATTAAAGGCATTTTGTGCGCCATCGAGTCAATTTTTATATAGAAAATATATATTATAATCGTTTTTACACTAAAAGAATTTAAAAATGTAAAAGTTTTTAATGTCGAGACAGGCATTTTCTTCAAATTAGGGTGTTAAGCCTAAATGGAACTATAAGACTTCTTAATGTGGACAGTAAACATATAGCTGCATATTCACATCCGGATGGAAACACACTGCTAGCCAAAAGGCTACAATTGATTTGGAAAAACCCTCTTGATCCAATGGAAGTTATGCCTGCCATAACCTACGCTTCCTTCATCTGTTACTTTCCAAGACTCTATAAAAATCTTCTGCTATAAGAGTAACTGATTTATAAACGAATGATATCAAATGATGTTATAAAATACACACCTGTTACACTTGAATTTGATTTTGGTAAGTTAACCACATCACGCCGAAATGTTGATAAATTTTGAGTAAATCTATAAAAAAATATACGATATAATATGGAACAGGTAATTCATTATATATAAAGATATTGTAAACTCACTTTTCTTTATTTTTACTGGAAACATTTCGCTCGATTCCAACCATCAGATCATCGAACCACTGAGCCATTGTCTGTTGTTTCTCCACTGGTTGCCCACAAATAATTCTATCCTTTAGCGAACTATTAAAAACGTTTTTTAATGGATTGCAATTAAAAACTGGAAAGTTAAATATTGTCAAAAAAGAATCTTACCGATAATAATCCTCATAGAGTAAAATTAGAACCAGCAATGGACGAGACATGGACCATTGATTTCGACAATCCTCAGCCAAAACGTTGTTCAATAATGAAGACATCATACTCTGGAGCAACTCAGAGTTCATTTCAACAACCTTAGATTAAATAAATTATTAAATTTAATTTGAACAATACAAACTCGTGTAAAGTCATTGGAAATAAGCATACACACCTTTAAAAATTGCGCATTTTCTTGGTTTAAGCTCCTGAGCTTTTTGTTTGGAAATGTGGAAACTAAAAAAAGAAGTGAATAAATTTCTGTGCGGGTAATTTATTTCTTTTGTTACCTTTCATTTGTAGCTGTTTAAAAATGTAGGAAACAATACTATCCAAAATTGTGCAGCAACTTATATATATGGCTGAATCTAAAAGTACATTTGAGTTATAGTCGTTTTACCTCAGGTTATCTATCTATTTTAATTTTGTACAAACCTAACGCAGCCAGTCCTTTAGTAAGACTTTTCAAAATGTAAACGAATGCAGAAGGCTCCAAGGCTGCCAAATAGGAAACATGATCTTGTGAAAGACAATTTAACAAATTGTAATAAGCCGATGACAACTTCGGATATTCCTGTAAGTATTTCAAAAATTTAAAACATTGTAATATATTTTGTCAGTTTTGTTACTTACCAGTAAATCACTTTGTTCTATGGAAAGAATTAACTTTGCAATAATATTGAGAACATTATCCAAAGTACTATCTCCATACAGCTTAAATACTCCGCAGTTAACATAGTTTCCCCCCAGAGAGTTCTTTAAGATTAAGAAGCATATGGCAATTCCTTTGAGTTTCATGGGATACAGTTGATCGCGTGGAACCTCTTGGCGCAAAATACTATTGCCGTATATACAAATAAGTTTTGAAGCCTCACGAAATAACAGAATGCCCATCGGGCTTGATACGTTCCCAGCCAGCCTTTGGGTGCGGCAATGTACTAATTCAGCAAATAATTTCAACACAGGTGTCGTAACGGCAGGATCGTGAGCCCATATTTCCATTGCGCGCAACAGAATAGGCAGGTAGTCAGCATAGTATCTGTAAATAATAATCGTGTTGACAAACTATTTATAAATTATTTACAAATTTCATACTCACAGCCATTCGAAGAGCATCGTATACTGAATGCGAGCATTAAGAGGCAAAGCCAGGCCACGAAGGTCACGAGCCAAGCCAATGGTGGCTTTTTTGGCTTCATCAGTGGCAAATCTCGAGTTCATCAGCGCAGAACCAAGGGATTCGAATTGGTCTAAATGAAAGAGTTTTTGTTAAATTAGCATATACAAATTTCAAATTGGCCTTTTCAGGAAAATATACTTATCCAATGATTATATAGTTCCCTGAAAAGGCACATGTATCAACTATATAAACTGACTTGTTAAAGGCTCCAGAAAATTATAAAATCTCTCCTCATCCTCGCCCAAATCAAACATTAACAAACGCCCTAACGATGTGTAAAACATGGTGCGACATCTCATTTCACTTAACGTAGAATTCGTTCCCAGGAATGGAAAATGTTCGCTTGTGTGATGTGTAAGCATAAACTGAACTTCTTCTAAGCGTGCCAGTTTGCGCACGGAATTAAAGTGCACAGAGAGATCCGAAAGTAACATAAGGGTTTTGGTGATAATCGGCTCCGAGCGTCCCCAAAACTTAAGATTTGTAATGCTGAAATCAAGGATAAGGTAAAACGAAAGGACAAATGTCTCCAAGAATATGAAACTTACATTTTGCGATTAATAAAACTTAATAGCATTTGTTCATCGCTCAGTCCAAACACTTCGCTTAGTCTCTTGTATACATTTGCTTTTTGTGCCTGCTCGCTGCTATGCATTTTACGCACCTGATCCAAAAAGCTAAGGACTGCCAGCTCGAGCTTTTCGCAGCCAGCCTGCGGCAATCGAGCGTCTGTTAGGCTCATTAGCTGCAGCACTCGAATTACGAGCTCTGCGTCCATGGTGTCATGTTCATCGCTTGTCGTTACGGACAGACGACCCACGATCGCCGAACCGATTATATACACTAACCACGTAAGCTGAAGCTCATGTATTGTGATATCAATGGGGTTCGCGTTGGGCGTCTGCAAGAGGTTCTCATACTCACGAGCCTTCTGATCAAAGTGCTGAACCAGAAGGCTACAAGTCTTGTTATACTCGCACCTTTCGATCACCGACAATTGCTCCAGCTGTTGCTGTACCATGCACAGATCGTCCAATGGATCCTCTAGATTGTCACGGACAATCAAGGGAACAGCATCCAAGCGCGAATCAATGTACGCCTTGATGACTAACGGCGTGTAGGTGCCCAGCAAATGCGGATCCGGCGACTTAACATACGGAACAGATGCCACCATACGTTGCCAGAGCGCAAGTAGGTAATGTACACTATTCGGTGCAAAAAGCCACACCTGTAGAATAAAATTAGGAATAAACTTTTACCCGATTCTCAAAAAGCAAGTACGTACATGCAAGGATTGCACAGTAAACTTGGCTATTAGTTCGATTGCTTCTGGATAACATGGGACCGCTATAAGTTCACCTAGTTGATAATTAGACTTGAGGCGAGCCAGCAAACGGCAGAACTCGTGATAGTTATCTGGATCACTTAAGCCCTACAAAAAATTATATTAAATTAAATCCGTAATAGGTATTTTGTATGTTTACTTACGTGCAGACTTGTCAAAATATCTCTGACTCCTTCAACCAAATGCGTGAGAAATTTTGTTCTCTCAGAATTACTAAAAAGAGACCGACGCACAGATGTCATTTGAACCAGGCAGGATATGGAGTAGCTAGCTAAACCATTGGGCAAAATTTGGTATAAATCAAAAAAAAGTTTAAGTGTGTTCGAATCTAAGAATGCAGGACGCCAAGCTGTGGGTATCTACGTATAAGGTCAATTTAATAAAAGTTCCATATGAATTTAATGCATTTGCGTACATACCTGAACGTTATTCATGTCGTCAGCAGATTCGTCTGTCGAACTCCCGATAAAGTCGAAGCTCAGGCAATTTTTCGTTAGCCGCAGTACATGTGATATTAACCTTTGAGGTGACACAAAATATTTGAAAATTAGTGTTTATTATTCAAAACAACTACTTTAATAGTTAAATTGACCAACCAAATAAAAATTTAAAAATTAATACCATTTTAAAACAAACTACACAAAAAGGTATAGTTTACTCACGCTTGTTGCGATTCATCCATAAAGTTTATGGTTTTGCTATTATCACGGGCTGTTACCAAAAGTGAGCAGGATAACAAAAAGGTGTCATAGAGTTGCTGGTCCCGATAGGAAGTGGCTATCTTTCGATTCTTCGAAAAGGACAAGTGCGCGTCGATCTCCACAATTGAATTCATTTCACAAACCAGTTGTGATAGAATTTGCACCCCAATTGTGCAATGCTCCACAGATCCCTAAGATAAGTTAAAGCCAGTCGTTAGCAACAGTTCTTTGATAAGTAAGTGCTATGATTGTACCTGCAGAAACTTCTTAACATCTTCCAAAAGATTTTGGAACACCAATTCTCCCTTGTACGTATCAAACCACCCGAACTTTGTGATTTTGGCTAGGAGAGTAACCAAAGCCTGGATAACGAATTGCTGCAGGTTTGGCCTTGTCGCCAAATAGTTGAGGGCATAGCTGCGAATGTCGATTCGCTGCTCAAGACTGAGTCCCTGAATAAGTTTTGTGAGAGTGGATGCGGCCAGCATTTGGGCGTAGCTGGAATCGGCCCGGTCCAATAGCAATTGGCATTTTGGCAACGCATCTTGGCTGTTTACAAATGTCACTAGGGCTTTCTCGGCTTGGGCACGAATATTTATGTCAGTGGCTTCGTATAGTTGCTTGCAGAGAACCTCCAATTGTTGTATATCCTGGAAAACACGCAAAACTCGACGTACTTCCATACTTTTTTTAATCGCGCGGATCAAATACACACCATAATGCAACTAGAATGAATACCGGATTGAGCTTCAAAAGCAAACTGGACAATGCTCAAAATGTATTTTTATTCCGGTGTTATAACTTAGAACTAACCGCTTCCTTTTGTGTTGATGTCTGTATAGTTGGTTCAACCAAAGTAATGACATATAGAAATTTTTCTTATTCAAGTTAATTTATAAATGAAAACAAAACGCTAAATTGTTCCTCAAACAAGTGTGACCAAAACAAACAAATTAAAAATAGCTGGGGTATTCACGCACTTGTTGAACTGCAAACGCGACATCGCTTTTGCAGCAGCGTATAATAATCTGGAAAGAATAAATGTTTTTTATTTGCATAAACGTTTAAATAATGAAAACGTTTTTTTGAATTCGACATTTTAATGTTCTGTGCTCTTTACATAAAACAAAAATATAATATGGTGTATGTATGGTGAAAATATTCATACTTAAGTTTAAAATAAAATTATTTAGTTAAATATGAAATATATGTTATCGTGCATAAAATTCTATACGGAAAATACGGAAGTATTTCTATAAGAACATTGAAGTTTTTGTCAAGTGTGAAAGTGACATTTTATTTGGAACTCGACTTTTTATAATAGTATCAAAGGAATCACTTTTTGCAATACTTATACTTTTAAAAAATAAGTTTGCATAATCAAGATATTTAACAATTTGCCTGGAATTTTCCTATTCTAATTTCTGTTTCACATCTTACAAAAATGCCAACCACGCATGGTGTGACGAAAGTTTCACATCTTTTAAAAGTTCCAACTGTTCCCGCTGGAATGCGGGGTTGTCTTTTCTTTGTTAATGTAAATATGTTAAATAGTTGTGTATAATAAAATTGAGATTTCCTTATGCGATGATTAAGCCGAGTCTGAGTCGAAAGACTAGATCTGTTTTTACCAGGCGCAAATTAAATTTCCAAGTCGGCCATGTTGGCAAAAAATGCCGCTTGACTCCCAGTCCCGATATCAAAATCAGTATTGCCCACATCAATAATTTATTCACGTTCTTAAATAATTCGCCACATACTGACCGCCCTTTAATAAGTTCATTATTACGTACAAAACTCAGTTTAGTTTTATAGTATTCGTTGTGTTTTGACAAATATTTAAGTAGATGACATTTTGTATACATCAAAAATAAAATGAATATATTACAAATATAGAGATTAAAATATCATACACACACATAATGTTATATGACCTTCATTAATACAGTATCTTAATGTAAAACAGTTTTCATTCAGGGTTCAATAAGCGGTTTAATTTTTATTTAGTTCGTCAAGTAGTTACTCAAGAGCTGTATTTTATTGTCCTCACAGACCGAGCGCACAAGCCTTTATTTTTATTCCGTGGCGAGCAGCGAAAAGTTCTCGAAATTCATCTTACCCTGCACAGATTCATCATCAAGGTCTTCGGTGCTGTTGGTAATACGTGCTGTGGTTTGGGAGACACAAAAGATATGCATGAGATTCTGTATGTAATGTAATGATATGTTAATGTATACGCACTTCTAGAACCCTTTGTGGATCCCACACTCATAGAACTTTGTAAGCCTCCATTTCGACCATACAGAACATTTTCCAAATAGGGAAGACCATTGTTATTCACAATATTCAAGCCGAGGCATGTCTCAATTTGTTTCCAGCGATGAAGTCGTTCTTGCAACTCATTTGTCACTTCGCCAAGGGCATTGCGTGCCTCAACAATCGATCGATCAACATCATCAATACTTTTGCCGTGTGTGGAAACAAAGGCTCCCACCAAACTGGATCGCTTCTTGCGCAATTTCTCGCATGCCTCCCTGGCCGACTGAAGCTGTTTCTCTGCCGATGTGCGTTTCTTCTGATGATTCTTATTCTCTAGTTCATAAGTGTACTGCAGCCACGATTGGAGTTGCGGTGGTGGTGCCCAGCAATTGTCAACCAGCTCGAATTCGGCCCGAGACAACTCATTACGCAACATTTCTATCTCTTTCTTAAGCTGCTGCACTTCCAAATCCGAATTCGATGAACTTAGTGTGGGGGCTTCCTTTAAACGCCGCTCCAAATCTAACTTTTCTGTAGCCACATTTTCTTGTTCCATCCTGGCTCGTTCTAGTTCCTGCAAATATTAAGACATGTGTTAAACCTAATTAGCTTCAATCCAATATTATTAAAAACCAACCTTCTGCATTTCCTGTAAACTTTGTTCAGCTCTCTGCAATCCCTCCATATCCTGTGCCATTCGTCGCAGGTGACGCTTGGCATTTTTGTTTTGCTGATAGGCGTACCAACAACCAATAATTGCGCTAAGCAACAGAGTCACCAGAATGTAGTCCTTCCAACGGGTCCCAGTTTCTAGGTAAAATAAAGTTTTAAGCTTAGATTTTTTTTTAAAGTATATTTTTTTTAGATAGTTTAATTACCCCTTGGGGGCCCAAAAAGAACTACGTCCATTGCTTTTAGTGAAATCTTTTGTTTATGTATGGGGTCTTTTATTCCAAGGACATTGCCTACGTACTGCAGGTTATTCACAGCTAACCTAAAAGATTAAGATTAAAACAATAAGAAATTAGGATTTAAAAATGTTTTGTCGAATAAGTATGAGTTAGCTTTCTTTCTTAGTTTTAATTACATTTTTTGTTTCAGATCGAATTTGAATTTGAAGAGCATAACAATAACAAATTATTTAAATGAGTTTTAGCAAGATATTAAATTAAAAATATTTTTTAAATGTATGGATCATGAATTATTTATAGCGTACCTTGGCAATGCAGCTCCAGTAACCTTATGTAATTTGAACAAATCGACGTATTGGGGAAGCTGTACAGATTGTGCCAACCAATCTGTGGTCTGCTCGATGGTCCAATTGTGCACCTCTGATCGCAGCCAAGCCTCCCACAGCTCTTTGACTGATATATGCATATCGTCATTGAAGTGAAACGCTTTCTGCCGTTTTTCATATCCTGAATCGTACTTCAATTCTTCCCGCAAAAACTGTAAAGATCAGTTTAAATATGTTAAAATAAAATTAGATGACCTTTTCAGATAATCGAACTTTTGTGCATAAAAATATTAGTTGCATATAATTTGTGTTTTTAGAATTAAAAGAGCGTTAACACATACGTCATCAGATTCACTCAAATCGATGTTTCCATTATCATCGTCATCAAGTTGTCTATGTAAGCTAGCAATAGCCTCCATGCCAAAACGATCCTGCACGCTTCCGCTGTAGCAGTCAAAATCATCTGCAGCGCACGCGCCATCTGCTGAACCGCTTCCCATGGAACCTGGTCAAAATCAATCGGTTAAAAAAATTGTGTACGAAAAAAGGTACAAACATAATTGGGCTTACAAAAAATCTTATATTTTTAGAAAATAAAAAGCATCAAATACATACATTATTAACAAAGGGCCTTCAGATGATGGCAACAGATATTGTTATGCAAACAAAAAAGATTGTACATTTGAAATTAAATACATTATTTTAAAGAAAATTGTGTAAATCAGAACAGCCCTAAAAGAGAAGCATAAAAACCTTTGAAACCTGAAATTTAACAACTACAGCATATTGACAAAAGCCCACGGACGACAAAAGTACAGCAGTTGCTCGTTGTAAAAGCTGGAATACAATTTTCAGTCTTAAAGCAGTCCCTTTTCAACAAACCACTGCCATTATGACCACTCTTCACAAAGACCATGCATAGCTCTTCGCACTGCCTACATGAGCCTAAATAAGTGCTGAAGCCATGGGTTATTTGTTTTAATGCGATATTTAAACTAAAAAACAGTACAGAAAGCCAACTTCGGTAAGCCGGAGTTAAAATACCCTTGCAGTTGTAACTATTAACATTGAAGCCTATTTGTTTGTCCAGATCGTTGCTGTTTTAAAGACAATGTCCCCAAATAAGACAAATAATACTGAAAACGTTTTAAACGCAAAATAAAAACCTAAAGCTGAAATCAAATTCTCTGAGAAATATTTATGTATATTTAAAAAACAACGAAGTTTTACCAATTAAGCCAGATTATCCTATACATTGTCCGATCGTTCCTATGGCATCTATATGATACAGTCGTCAGATCACGGCCGTTCCGACTAAAATACTACCTGCAATAGAAAGAAGACTATTGTTAAAGTTTCATGCAGATGGCGTCAAAGCTGAGAGACTAGTTTGCATAAAAACGGACAGACAGACATGCTTTAACTACTTAAATCCTTCGCTGCGTTGCAAACGTCTGACTAAAATTATAAAACCCTCTGCAAGGGTAAATCAAAACTAAGATAAATCTATTAAAACCGGCCACATCACTGAAATGCCTTAAATAATACTTAAATTATATTAAGGAGAGATAATGATTTTGTGTACAATTTTTTTTGTGGCTCAGTGTAATGAATCAAAGTTTTAAATGGTAAACTTAAAATTATAAATAACTAGGTACTTAACAGTTTGTTAAATCAACAGGTTTTCTTTATTTTTTTTTTTTACTTTTGTATAAAACTTACTAAATTCATTGCTGACAGCTTGGGACATTGCCTCGCTAAGGAGATTATAAGAACTTCTGTGCAGATTGTGTTCAAGATGAGTCGAATGTTCTCCTCCACTTCCGGCATGCGAAGCAGCGATATGTGTAACATGAACAGCCATTGATGGGGAATGCACGACCGAAGGATCCGATTCGACGGTCATATGCAAATTAGATCCGGGTGAATGATGTATACTTTGGCCAGCAGCCTCATTGGACGAGTGGCGTGAGGCTACATTGGGATTTTGCTTATACTGATGTTGCGCATTGTAGCGATTCGAAACGACGGAAACTGTGTGTGTGCCATGATCCAGAGTACTTATGCTCTTAAGCACACAGCATAGAAATATGAAAGAGTAGTTCCAAATGGTATTCCTTCGCATTTTTTTAAAATGTGTGGACCCTTTTTAAATTAATTATCGCATACGCCTCCTCCTTGTTATCAATAATCGGTTCGAGTTCTTTTAAGTTTTCAAATCACATTTGTTTGTCGTGAAAATCATAGTTTTCAACTAATGATTTCCTAAAATTAAAAGAAAACATTGGATTAGTTTATTAAAGTTGTATTACAAAAATTATACGCAAAAACCCTTATAACGATTTTCAGATGCTTCATATATTTCTTATCTATATTTTTAACAAATATGCATTTTGTGACTTTAGATTACAATCTTTTAAGATTAGGTGACTTTTGCTACAGGTTGTTTTAATTCTCAGTGGCTTTTATCCCTCAGATACAATCATAGAATTATATCTGCAAATCTATTTTCTCTGTGATTTTTATGCATACCAATTAGTCCTAAACAAAAATTGATTAAATAATCAAGCAAAGCCAATTGTGTGCAAAAGTATAATTGGGTTCGGTAATAAATTAAGATTTACTGTGTGCGCAGACTTATGAGGCTTTTTATTTGCCGATGAGATTCAGTTTTATGGTTATTTCAAGATAACCGCCGATCAAATATTTGTTTAGAAATACAAACGTAGGAAGGAACCGTATGAGTAATAGATTGAACAATTTTTTGTGTAAAATCAACGGAGTTCTTTGACATTAAATTCCATTTTTGTTAGCAAGTGTAAGTTTATAAAACATTTTTGCGAGCTAAGTAGACGTATACTATGATTCCAATCTATCATAACATGTAAAGACGTTGTACAGTTGTATTTTTGCAATACATTTACATTTAATTTTTAATTTTTAAGTTGAATCAAATAAATGCGTACAATTCGGCGCTTTCATACAAATATTGCTCAAAACATATCACATAACGGTACATTTACAATACTACAGTTAATTGACTTCAAATTATTGGGAAAGCTTACTGTAATACTGATTTTTTAATATTTTTAATATTAGACATTGATACTATATAGGTATGTACGTATGTAAGTTTTGGAAGGCATCAACATTGTTTACTTCTCAAGGTGTAGAAAACGTAGTAAATTATTATAGTTTAATTGCTTTTGGCTGCGTTTTGAATACGCAATTTACAATGCCATTGCCAAACACTTATTAACCACACATATGCGGATGCCCAGTGGTAAACTTCCATAAGTTTTTTTTAGACCTCAAATAAAAATAAAAGCACTCACACTAAAATTCCCGAGTCAGTTTGGGTTGAACAATGTGACCAGTCAACTGAAAGAAAAAAATACAACCGATTTAATATTGAAAAAGCATTTTATTTAAATAGTTCAATATATATTGTATAACAATACAATAAAGTTGAGGTTGAATCTAAGAAAGCTTTTCAGTTTATGCTAGTTTTAAGCCGGTTTCCAATATTTTCGCAGTCTACCCATGGAAACTCCACACCTCAAGCTATAAACGTGCAAAACTTATACAAAAATCATAGGCACCGTCATATGTTGTCCTAATACCTACGAGTTTTTATTTTTATTTAATTAAAAAACATAAGAAAAAACCGAGAGAAATCTTGTATTAATATTGTCGAGGTTCGCCTCTACCTGTGGAATGATTGGGATTTCTAAAAGATGTGAAACACCGATTCCACTTCCGAAACATAATTTTAAGAGAATTCGAAAAAAATCACGTTTTGTATGCCTAACAGCCAATTTTCACAAAACAGGAAATTCAGATTTTAAATATGTTATCTATTTGAATATTAAAAACGAGCTTGGGATTAATGCATACATTGTCCAATAAGGATCTTATATCTATGCGGTGCGAACACCCATTTACTCATTTACGATATTTTGAGTACGTGCAAAATGCCTGTAATAATTGCCTAACGCGTAGTTTAAATAACAATTGATTGCTAAAGAAGTTGACAGCGCGAAAGACAATATTAATTGTACAATTTAAATGTAGTTCGAAAAGAACGTTTAAAAAGGCAAATACTTAATAACTTTAGGGGAAAATCGATTTATCGCATGAACTTGGCATTTATTTGTTGATAGTGTGTAAAACTTTAGAAAGACCCACAACGAAAAAATAAAAAAAACGCGCGCACGCAGCGTTTGCCTATTGAATTAAACATTAATAAAACAATCCTTTGAATGAGATGCCCAGTAAGCGATGAAGAATATTGAATATTGACATTAGTTCATGCAGGTGTACATATTATTTGTGTGTGCTTTGTGCCCAAAAGCAGGAATAGTGTATTTTTAAACAAGACTCGGGGGGCGCTGATACATAGCTCACGCGCACAGGACACCAGTCCTAACATAAAATTCTCGTTTTCACGCTATATATGTAACGCAAAAGCGCCTAATAGTTGCAAAAGTTTCAATTCCTTGGCAAACAGGTATGTATTTATTGGGATATATGCAAAATTCATGTGCAAATGTTTGCATCCTTATTACTAAATATAGAAGGAGCAGAAACCATTAAAGAAACCATTTCCAATTGTGCAAATCGGTGAATACGTATAAATCATTTGTACAAACGGATGTATGTGTATGTATATATGTAAAGGCAAGTGTAAGTTCTTGGTTTTTTTTTCGTTTAAATTAGCACTGCGTTGAGGATATTTATTTACTCGCATAATATTCGCATGTAAATAAGCATAAATGTTTGTATGTTTGTTTATATATACAGTAGCTAATGGCTAAAGAAATGCCATTTTAAATTTAAATGTGCCGAGACTTTGATGCAGACTGACTAGCGAAGCAAATTCTAAAGGATACTAAAATTTTAATTGATAATATTTTTCCGTGTTTGGAAAATTTGTATTCAAGCAAATTTACAAATAAAAATAGGAACAATTATTTAAAATTTCGTATACATTTTTTTTATTTATATATATGTATTTATAGTTATATAAATATAAATTTAATGAAATACTTCAAACATTTATTTACCAACCATACAACCATAACCAAAAACCGATGTTATATATATATATATTTTTTTTTTTAGCATATCTCTTTTAGTCTTTTTTTTAACAGGAATAAAGCTCTCCTTCTAGTTTTAAAATAAATACAATATATTATTAATTATACTTCTTATTGCAGGATATAACGGGACAAGATCTTGATGCCCGCTATTTTCAATGAGAGATAATAAAAGTGGTGTAGTGTTGTGAATAAAACTGTATAAACTATTTTGACTACGATGAGCGGCGTTACCCAAGAATTTTGTGTACGCTGGAACAGCCATTTGGGAAGCATTGGAGCGGCATTTCCCCAGCTTCTAGCTGGTCAGAGATTCGTGGACGTAACATTGGCCTGTGAAGGTCAACAGTTGCATTGCCATCGCTTGGTTTTGGCCGCTTGCTCCACATATTTTGAGGCGATACTGGCGGAGCATCCGTGCAAGCATCCTGTCATTATATTACCCAGGGAAATAAAACTATGGGAGATTCAGGCACTTGTGGATTTCATGTACAAGGGAGAGGTGAATGTCACGCAAGCCGGTCTTGGTCAGCTGCTTCGTTGTGCCGAACAGCTACAGATTCGCGGTCTTTACGGTTCCGAGGCGACGATAAACTACAAAAAGCTCCATCAGGCGAGCCTGGAAAACGCCAAGGATTCCGTTGCGACCCCAAAAAGTATTAGGCATTTGGACAGTGCTGAAACAGACGACGCGGCCACCAACTCAACCACCTCAACGATAACCACCTCCGCACCACCGTTGCCAGTTAATCAGCAACAACAAGCGACAGTATTGAAGCGCCAGAATCAGGATGTACGCCAGCGGCCACAGATAAATGGCAGTAATGCTCAGCAGCCAGCGAAGGCCTCATCCGCGGTGGTTTTGGGCAGCCACTCGAATGCACCGACCGAAGAGGATTCCGGGGACGAGACCTCCAACAATTGGAACGCCTACGGGGACAGTTTTGAGGATTGCAACACCTCAACGCCAATTGGGGGCAACAAAATGAGTGCCAGCCAGCTCTCCCTTCAGCAGACGAGGTTTGTAGCAGACTATTTAATACTAATTTTGATATAGGACATGTAGTCAAGGAAAAAATTGTTGGAAAAAAAAAAAACTTAAAACACCTCTTCTTACAGACTACAAATGCAGCTGCAGCAGCACTATTTGGACTCCAATGTTGAGGATGACCACAACTATGTAGCCGCTCATGATGAGAACAATGACGGCAGCTTTAGCGCAGGCGTACCCTGCGGATCCGGTCTCTTGGGCGGCATGGATACTGATCTCGACACATCTGCTAACACTTCCGCTGGACTGACGCATAACTCCATCGATGGATACACTTCGTACAAACGCGTTCGACGTTCAGAAGCATCTCTAGCACAAGCGGCCAAATGTGTTTCGAAGGGCGAGACATTCCAAACTGTCAGCAATATGTTCAATATTCCTGTCTCAACCATTCGTTTTTACATGGCGCGGAAGGGGATTCTTCCGAAACGGAAACGTGGACGCGGTGCTTCCCATGCCGGAAACATAATAATCACAACAAACTCAGGAAAACTTTCAACCGTCCCTGCGAACATAACCCATCCCCAATCCCAGCAGATGTCCTTGGACAGCCTGCAGCTAAAGACGGGCATCACGAGTACCAGCGGTAGTAATAGTCCTGCGACTGCTACGGCCACGTCAATGTCACCATCCTTTGATATGGCCCCATCGGCTGATATCGTGCCTTTTCACCTTCACAGTGATGCGGCGACATTTAAACTAAACGAGCAAAAAATGCACATGATCTGATCGAACCACGCAGTTTGCTAAGCTGTACTGTACTTCTTTATAGGGCATAGGGATGGATTTCCAGGCAGTTAATAGGTTCGGAAGCTGCTTTCTTTTTTAATTTGGGGATAAGCGCATCCCGCTCGTGTGGGATCTTTAGTCATAACATAGTCAACAAAATATGTATAACTTTTTTCATCGATTTTTTCGATTAGTTCTAACTTATAGTTTTATCCTTGGTTAATTATACTTACTGTTAAAAACATAATTCATCCTCAAAATATTTCGGAAATTATTACAGTAGAAGTGTATTCTTACAAGGACTATGACTAAAACTTGCGTAAAAATTAAACATCTGTTTTTGTCGCCCCAGTACTCTAAGAAATTACTGTATTGTTAATAAGATAAATAAAATCAACCTGGAAACTTTTACTAGGTTTTTGTGTGATTGCAATTATAAGATGACAATTCATAATAAATCCGGACGTCATAACATGTAATCATTGTGCTTACACAAAAAAAAAAAACTATTGATATTAAGGCAATATTGGTAAAATACGATAAAAAGAGTATCGTTATTTTAGTCAGACTCTATCAGCATCATTTAGATTAGGTGCATGTTTATTTTATGTCAAACCTTTGAAGATTTTTGGGCAATTAAAAAAAACTATTTTATTCGACATAAGAAAATGTAAAAACCCGTATACGCTATTCAAACAGACGTTGTGAAAATAGTATTAAATACGTGAGTAGTGTTTACGAGGAGGCTTGGCAATAAAATTTTAAATGCATTAATTATACTTTAAATAAAAATGGCGATGCCATTTAAGAAGCAAGAGAAAAGATTTTATGTTTTACAAGACTTGCCCAACATTTCTCCGATTCTAATGCATTATAATGGAAAAATATAATGTAATGGAATAATAAGCTGCACTGCCAACAGGTAATCGACCGTTTGGTATAGTGGCAACGGTACATCAAAATTAATTTTTAGTATTTTTTGTTCTCGAGGTATATTTTCAAGGTCAGCCTGTGGTCATACTTCGGCTTGGCGTAAATATTTCCACATGATTGGATTTCTGAAACTCAAAACATCCTAACGGAGATAAAAATAAAAAAAAAAGATTCTTACCTTTTTTGTAAATTATGTCTAAAGGAAACAATGACGGCTATAAAGGGACAGCAACCGGTTTTTTACTGGACGAAAGTCTTAAAGATGATAAAAACATGCAAGGAATTTTGAATAACTTTTCCAGCAGCATTGAAACTTTGGAAAATGATCTGAAAAACGCACTTGAACTACAATCAAAAGAAACATTAACCATAAATGAGCAAATTAAACTGGAAACATATTTAGCATATTTAACCAGCACATTGTTTTGGATAAACCTTAAATTACAGGGTGCCGATGTCTCAAAGGTAGGAGGGCATCTTGGCATTAGCCGGTGTTGCAATAGCAATTTCATGTCAAAAAGTTATATTTTTCCGTTTTCTTTTAGCACGGTGTGATGCACGACTTGGGCCGAGCTAAAGAATTACTGGCCCGTGATAAGGAAATAAACGCTTCTCTTGCGGCTCCAAGATTGGATGTAAAAGCTGCCAGAAGATTCATCTCCGCCGGAACTCACACGCGGTTTGTGGACATGGACGGCGTTATGGTCACCGAAAAACAGTACAACAAAAGTCTGAACAAAACCAACTAATAAAGCAATCATCCAAAATTGAAAAGAAATAGAATAGCCAATTTCCTCACACCGCCATTAAACTAGAACATACACAAACAACTCATAAACATTTAAAAAGAACACTTGTAAGGGAAGTGTATCTTCTAAAATTCGATATTTTAGGAATATCATGATTTTATTTCAACGAATTTATACCAGACAGTCAAAATAAAGCATACTCCTCGCTTTGTATGCCTTACGATATATGTAAGTTCTTCGGACTCGAATTGATTTCACCTCCCTTGGTAAATACATACGACCATACTTATGTGAATTGAATTAAGCCAAGCCCCAGTTAAGACAAAATAATCTTGTAAAGCTGGAAAATAATTTTAATTCGTACGTTTCATTCTAAATGGCTTAATTTACGGTACAATACGATATATTACTGATGTTTCAAAACCGATAAATTAACATTAGCATTGTCCTTAACTTTATGTTGATCATATTCATACTTTAACCATACAGATATTAATATTTCCGATTTAATTTCTTTTCCATTTTCTTGAATTATTAATTATTTATGTATATAGCGTTTGTTTTTACTTTTACGTTTTCTTCATTTATTTTTAAGATTATTGAACGAGAACTGGCAATATAGCCCAAAATTTTCTATCAGTCGGTGTAAGATTGCCCCAATAAGGGGGTTTTTAAAGCCCGGGCTGGGCCCAGTGCACAATTGTATTTTTCCTGCCGCTTATCCGTGACCATCGAAATGTTCAAGTTCTCTACACGTCCTGCAAAGGATCGTATAATTTACTAACTAGCATAAATATTAATTTCCATATTTACAGCTGCGGTTTTGCGTTTTGTTATCCGTTTTTGTTTTTTGGTTTTTTGTTTTTTGTTTTTTATTTTCTGCTTTCTGTTTACTGTTTTCATCTTCTGTTTTTCTGAAAGTTGTTTTCCTACTCGAACGTTGGCATTGCTTGGTCCGAGGTATGCAAAAAATATGTAAATATTTCCCAATTTTTATTTCGTTAATTTATCTTTATACGTATGCACGTGTACGAGTATGAATATCAATTGGGATTTACTCACTTAATAATTGTATTAATCTATGAATAAAGTATGGCTATGTATTTACCACTCACACATAAGAATACACATTTTGTTGTTGCTTGTTAAGTTTTTATCCTCTTTGTTTTTTGCTTTTCCACTTTTTTTGTTTTTGTTTGGTTTTGCTTCGCTCTCCATTTACGTTAACTAGTTTTGTTTTGTTTTGGTTTTGCTTTCCTTTTCCTTCTCCATTTCCATTTCCATATCCATTTCCATTTGTTTTTTCCCGTCACATTTACATATAATTACTTAACTACTTAAAGTTAAATTTATTTATGTGCTTATACACGAGCAACGTATGGTAACTATGCTAAAGTAATCATAAAGGTCGATACAAATTTCATTTATTAGAGTGAAAGCTAGCTGCGCGCTGGCTCCGGGCACATGTGAGTGGGCGTGGCTGATTCGGTTACTGATTGCATGGATGTGAATTTGGACGCTGATCCGGAAGTGGATGTGGATGTGGATCTGGATGTGGCCTATGCCTTCGCCGTGGCTATACCTTTTCTGATTTTTGTATGCTAACAGTAATTGGGATGCGGATACGGATGCAGATGCAGATGCAGATGCTGATGCAGATGCTGATGCAGATACTGCGGATGTGGGTGTAAAAGTTGTGGCATAACAATATCAATGCTTATATTCCGGGTAGCAGCCATTCTCGATGATTTGTTCGGACTGACTGTTGTTGCTGCTGCTGGTATCGCCTGATTGCTGTTGAAGCTGATGCTGCGGATGCTGCTGATAAATTGGCAGCTGAAGAAGCTGCAACTGTTGCTGCTGCTGCTGCTGATGCTGATGTTGCTGCTGCTGCTGACTTATGACCGCCGCCGTGTCGACCTGAGACTGCAAAGCGCGACGAATGGGCGGCTGGATAACACTTCCACTGCTTTCCGTTTCCGTTGAGGGCGGGGATGGATAATAGTCCCTCTGACTTACACTTATACCATTTGGGACGACCGGCAAACCCATTATGGTACTGCTGGCCGAGGTCGCCGCTGCCGCTGCCGCTGCGGAGGATTGATGATCGCCGTGGTGCTGATGCGGATTGTGTAGCTGATGCTGATGCGGATGCTGATGGTGCATGGCGCTGTTCGTTATAGCCCCCGCCGAAATGGGTCCGACGTCGATGTATGGTTGGGAATCCGACATTGTACCGGATGGCGGCTGGTCCAATACCACGACGGATACCACATCCTCACTCGCCCACCGGGCTAACTGTTGTTGAGCTTGAATAAAGTCATCACTAGAAAATAATAATCGTAGCAGGAACAACGGTACATGGTAAGAACAAAGGGGGGCCATTGGATTCGGATGAGGATGCGGATGCGGATGTGGATGCGGATTCGGATCGGGATTGGTTAGCAGATGGGTTCGGCAAGGGGATCTGGATCACATGTATGCGGTAGATTAAGAAGCGAAAGGAAACTATCTTCGGCAAGATCAATGTTTTCCGTGAACCCTTCACAACAAACAATTGGGCAATTGAAAACTGTCTACAAACCAATAGGGGGATTTGGACAACAGCAACAAATGATACACAGAGATTGTAAAAAATATTAGTTGGTGTTTAACGATACATCAGCAGCCCATCAGTGATATCTACATAAGTTAAGATCTCTTAGAAGAAATCAAATATTATGGAGTTATGAAGAACGTAATTTGTTTCCATAGTTTTGAAGTTTGAAGTTTACAAATCAAGTATCTATTCCGAAATCTATCTGAATAGTTTCTTAACTTCTTAAAAGCTTCAACTGAGTGGTTAGTAATATATTTTATGAGCACATTATGCTTTGGAGCAAGGACAGCTGATGCATCGAGAAACTGGAGGGAGACCAACGTTCGACAGCGTGACAAGGACTCGGGCAATGGACGACGGATGGCCTGGTGGCGTGGTGTGGCAAGAGCAGAGAGTAGAGTACACCGAGTGGCAGTCAGCTGTCAGTTGTCAGCTGGCGGTACTTACCTCTCGCTATCTGGTGTCTCGTGGCAGTCGAGCCGGGCGTCGACGACGGTCCGGTCGTGGTGGTCGGCCGTCTCGTAGATGCCCTCGTCATCCTGCTGCAGGTGGGTGTGCGACGAGTGGTGCGACGAGTGCGGCCCATGGGGACCCAGGGGGCCGTGGGTGGCGTGGCCGTGGGCGTGCGAGTGGTGCGTGTGGTGGCCAAAGGCGTGCGGCGAGTGCGACTGGTGCGGCGCATGGCGCCCGGACGAGCCCGGCTGGCGGTAGCGTCCTCCGCCGCCGAAGGTGAACCGCGACTCCTCATCGGAACGGGGACGACAGCTTCTGCTGTAAGACGCATGAATTGTAGCGGTTTTCTGAGATTGTGGTATTTGCTGATTGGAGCTATTTTGGCGACCAGAGGACAAAGACAAAGAAAAGAGGCAAGCAAATAATCAAATTATTCCGTGGCAGTGGGACTTAAATGGGCTTTGGGTTTTTATTCGGGTTTTTGGTTTTTGGTTTTTGGATTTTGGTTTGTGGGTTTTTGGATTTTGGATTTTGGATTTTGGATTTTGGGTTTGGGGTTTTATTTTTCATTCTTTGTTTTTGAAACGAGAGCCTGAAACCGAGACCAAAACAGAGACCGATAGCCATGAGTAACTTAAGATCAATGTCAACGCATTTACCCAAAGTAAATGCTTGTTATTGTTTTTTGTTTTTTTTTTTTGGTTTTTTGGTTTTTTGGAAAATGGTGCAAGTGATTTACGTAAATAGGAAAACGATGTGAAGTCAAGACCCTTGAGAAATAAGCCCACCAGATGGTTTAAAGTTTATGTTAGTTAGTTTGATATTTTTGGTTTTGTTTTTTGTTTTGTTTTGTTTTTGTTTTTGTTTTTGTTTTTGTTTAGTTTGTTAGAGTGGCAACCAACCTTTATCACACAAGGTATTCCAGCCTGAAGCCTGCAAGAAATGCGAATATAAATTGGCATTGGCTTGAGTTACAATTTAAAATACTGCAGTACAAACAAGCAGTGGCTTTCATGCCTTAATTGGTAGGTCAGTTTTCAGTTTAAATAAACATCATGAATTTTGATTGTACGAGTAGTATATGCTTGGTGATGAGTATGAAGCTTTAGTCTTCGTTAGTGGGTTGTTTTTTTGGATTGGATTTTGTTTCGACTTTTTTTGTTGTTGTTGTTAATGAACATGTGAGATACTCTCAAGCCATCAAATGTATTGGGTTATTAATCACTTGCTCTACGATTTAGTTATGGGTGGTAAGTTGGAAATTTGTTGTATCATAGATCGACTATTGAGTATTAAGAATTACTGCCTACAGTTAAACCATGTTTACAAAGCGCACAATACAGATAGGTGGTGTAAAAAACGTCTAAGAAATTATGAATTTAATTCATAACATAGTTTGCAGCAGCCGTTGGACATTTATGTTTGAAGTAGTGTGTATGGGTGATTCCATATCAGATTTACAGTCGATATCGGGAAATTCGATGAGATATTTTTTTCATGCTCTTTATCGAAAATAAATCGACACGTATTTTTTTATTTGGCTCAGAAAATTTTTTTGACAAAGTTATGATTTTTTGAATTTTTGATGAACTGCCCTTTTTTTGATGACAGTCGCGTTTTCCAGCCCCAATAACTCGAAAACCGTACGTCGCAGAAAAAAATGAATAGGAAGTAAAAATTTCATACTTCCTTCTTTTTTGCAAAACTTTCGTGAAAAAATTTTTTAAACAATTTTTCACCACAAAAAGTTCAAATGTTTATAACAAATTCATTTTTCTCCAACTTGGACATTTTTGATTTTTTTTTTTTTTTCACAATAAATCCTTCAATTTCTTCTGATGAACATACTAAAATTTCAGAATGGGATCAAAATTAGTTTTTGAGTTATAGAATTTTAAAGATTATCATGCACGGTCCGCGCGTCAATTCGCTTCGCGCGCGCATAGTAAGGGTCAATAAAATGAATTTTTAATGCTATTTAATTCTATAACTCAAAAACTAACTTTGATCCCATTCTGAAATTTTAGTATGTTCATCAGAAGAAATTGAAGGATTTATTGTGAAAAAAAAAAAAAAATCAAAAATGTCCAAGTTGGAGAAAAATGAATTTGTTATAAACATTTGAACTTTTTGTGGTGAAAAATTGTTTAAAAAATTTTTTCACGAAAGTTTTGCAAAAAAGAAGGAAGGATGAAATTTTTACTTCCTATTCATTTTTTTTCTGCGACGTACGGTTTTCGAGTTATTGGGGCTGGAAAACGCGACTGTCATCAAAAAAAGGGCAGTTCATCAAAAATTCAAAAAATCATAACTTTGTCAAAAAATTTTCTGAGCCAAATAAAAAAATACGTGTCGATTTATTTTCGATAAAGAGCATGAAAAAAATATCTCATCGAATTTCCCGATATCGACTGTAAATCTGATATGGAATCACCCGTATACAGAATGTGATAGTAATTTATATTGATTTTGCTTTTATCATTTGATCGTTTTTAAGGTGGCTAACAAGAGGACCAAGAGGGACATTAAACAGAACAGGACTGGACTGGACTGGACAGGACACACAAGCGATTTTTAGAGGGCTTTTCGGGTGTCTGACTCGGTACCAATAGTTTTTTTATAGTAATTTTTTTTCAAAAGAGTTCAAAGAGGTTGTTGGTTGTTGGTTGTTGGTTGTTTATCGGTGATTAAGTTCGGAAGCAGAAATAACACTAACCCTTGAGATGACTCACTACAAGCTGCGGAACTTTCTAATCTATAGTGGCGATCGGCTTCTGTCTCCGACATGCGAATGTCCTCCGAGCCACTGGGACTCATGTGGCGCGACGAATGGTGCTCGAGCTGCCTGATCAGATCCTCCAAGTTGCGTATGCGCAGCGGTCCCGTCGACGGGGCATCGTCGTCGTCCAGCTGCTGCTGCTGCTGTTGCTGCTGTTGCTGCTGCTGCTGCTGCTGCTGCTGCTGGCCAACCGACTGCAGGCCCACCGAGGATGGCTGGTGCAGCTGGTGCTGCGACCGATGGTGGTGCAGCATGCTGCTGCCGTGCGGTATGCCCCCCGAGATGCTCGTCGATCCGCCACCACCGCCTCCGAGGCCGCCGAGGCCACCGCCACCGACACTGGATGCCAGGCCGAGGCCGCCACCGTCCAGGATGATCGCGTGCACGGCCGCATTGTCGCAGATGTTCTCCCGCGAACTGGACTTGGAGCCAATGTTCCGCTTGTACTGCTCGGCCGCGTAGCCCAGCTGGGAGCTGCTGCAGTCCTGCAGCGTCTTGCGCAGCATCTCCTCCGACAGGCTGCCGCTGCCGACGGGCGTGTTGCCGGTGCCGGTGCCGCGGTGCGTCGCCGCGTTGCGCAGCGCCTCCAAAATGTCCTCGTGGTAGCCGTTGAGCGACTTGAGCGTTCGCTCCACCTCCGAGGCGGCCGCCCCGCCGCTCGTCGACGCCAGCGTACCGTCCTGGGTAATAAGCTCGAGGTTGTCGGACTGATTGTCATCGCCCCACTTATCTTTCAGCTGCTCGCCGTGCACGAGCCCGTAGCCGTGCTTCTTTAATATACCCTTCTCTGTGTTTTCGTTTCGTTTTCGTTTCGCCGCCAATAACAATTGCAATTGCGAATGGCATTAGGTTTGAAGTTAGTATTAAGTTCCAATGCGCATGTAAGGGGGAAATATACAAATTTTCGTTGGTAGAGAAAAGGCACGTGACTGCAAAACAGCGATTATAGTGTGGGAATGACTTGAACTTAACGGCACAAGAAAACAATATGGGTTTTTAATTGAACTTTGGAATTTTCGATTGGGTTTTGATCGTGATGTTAGTGCGTTAATCTTGTTAAACTTGTTAAACTTGTGTTCCCTTGCGAAAGAGTTTCCTAATTTTATTTAAGGCATTTTCGACCCTATTTAATATATATATGTATATATTACATTATGTGAGTTTAAAAAACCATTAAATTACACAATACAATTCAAATTACATTTCGTACATATTGAAATACAAATAGGTAAACTCGCGTGGCGAAATAAAAAATGTTCTTCATCTAAATATCAATAAAACGGCGGTCCATCGATGGTCCTCCAAACTAAACAACATAGATTAAGATACAAAAAAGTAAATTAAATCCTTAAACGTTTAATTCATAAAAATTGATTTAAAAGGTAAATGAACAATTTTTGAAAGCACCAATCTGACCTTTTAAAGGGAAGAACGCTATATTACCCGAACTTTACATAAGATACCCTGTTGAAAAAGTGTTCGATCGATCAAATATATATACTTTATAGAGTCGGAAATGTCCTTTGGAATGTTTAATACGGATCGCTTAAATACTCCACGAGCAACGTGTTCAAAATTGATTGATTGATTTCGTTGTTAGGTTATGGGTTAATCTCACAAATCATTGTGTTTCTTTTAAAGGCCCGACAAAAATAAAGATCAAAACTTAGGTCGCTTAGAAAAAAAGCTTGTTAGGTTAGTGTAGGTACGTATATATAAATAATATATGTTCGCTGAAAATAAACTTGTGATCGCTATTGAGAGTATTAATGTAAAACTGCAACTGCAATAATAGAAGCTTTGAAGAGTACAAGCAGTCAACGTTAATCAATTATTATTCTATTTCAATTTGGCTTGTTTACGAGGAGGGTATCTAAACTGTTAAGCGGGAATATAGGAACACAATTTTTTCCAATCTGTTTTTGCACTTATATGCGATTACATAGTGTCTAAGGGGAGATTCCCGTTCGCCGTGATAGAAATCGATTTGTATTTCAAATGTTTGATCTGAATCTTTTTCTACGGTTAAAATAATTGCAATTTCTGTGCTTTTTTGTAGTTAAATAAGGGTAAAGGTAAAATGTTGTAATAAAACAAGAGTTCTCAGATAATCATTTTAGGAAATGAAACCTCCATGGAACGGAAACCTCCTCTTAATTGCAACTCTAAATTCACAGTCGGGGGCTTCACTGAAACCTCAATAAAAGTTGAAAAGCTACTTAAAATCCTTCGCTGCCAAAGAGCATTATTTATGTAGGTAAACAGTGGTATTTATACTGAGAAAATATATACAAATATGATATTTTAAAGCGTTTTATCAAAGTGTTCAATCTTTTGTTTAATTTTCTTTAATTTAGTTGACAAGAAGTTTGGATTGCTAGTTTGCTTTGGAACTTGGAGGTTTCTGTGACACCCCTTAGCCACGTTGTTTGTGTATCTAAACTAAGTAAGAGATTTAAAGGAATCGTAGACATAGTGTATTAACCTGCATGCGACTGATCGTCCTCGCCACATGTCGTGTAGCGTCGTCCATGGATTCCCTTGTCCCTGCGAAAGATACATTAAAATAGGTAGATAGATATACAATGTCTATTTGGAGCACCATGGCTAGGCTAGAATTACATAGTTGTAAACGTTGAATCAGCTGCAGAAAATCTCTAGAGATTTGAAACTACAGGAAACCACTAACTACCACTGCTGTGCAATATTGAATGTTTGCTTCAACTAGTTATCTCGTTATCTTGAATTGTAATTTGAGTGAGCTTAGGTCTCTGGTCGATATGCTAATGCATCGTTTACTAACGTCTGTTCTCTCCTTTCTTTTGGAGAAACGAAACGGATCCCTTCAGATCGAATTTGGTTTTGGGAATACACACCTGAAGCCCGTCTGATTGGCATAGACTAACTTGCTGGATCCATCCAGGGATACCTCCTCCACGGAGTGGTGGTTCGGTGCCGTCGCCGCTCCGCCGTAGGTTTTGGCAATTGGCTTCTTCGAATAGGGCGGATCGTACTTTAGCGTTGTTGTCTTTCGCCTATTTTGGCCATCCGGTCGGTGTGTCGTTGTTGTTGTGGTTTATTCATTTATATGCGTTATATATATTATAGATTTTGCATACACTCCAATGTATATAGTATGTGTAATAATTTTAAAGCGTAAGGTTATGCGTGTTTTACAGATATATGAAGTCAGTTATCGTATTTATTTCATTTGATTATGCAGCAAAATCAATTTTACGTCAGAGTGTTTGGTAATTAATGGGGCAGGATTCGTGGTTGATGGGTAATTCGTAGGTTTGTATATGTTTTTTTTTGGTTTTGGTTTTGGTTTTGGTTTTGGTTTGGTTTGGTTTGGTTTGGTTCAGTTTGGTTCGGTTAGTAAATAAATACAAACAATGTTTATGGTTTATTTGAAGAGTATGAGGTAGAAACGTGCACAAATACACACGCATGCACCGGGATTTTATTTGCATTTTTTTTTTTTACCATTTTACCATCATTTACCATTTTTTATTCGGTACGATTTTTTTTTTACGTGCATGCGTGTGTATTCAATGGCGCGTTGAAATATGTTTGGATTGCAGAGATTTTATCAGGAATTGGTTTTTTAATTCAATAAATACCGATTTGCATTGGTTTAATTTGGTTTTTTGTTGATTTTGTTTTGTTGGATCATTATATTGATGTTGTTGTTGATTGTTGTTTGGAAACGAAATGTTGCAATGAGAGTCTTGATTAATCAAATGCTTACAGATTTTGAATAAACATTTTGGGTTGAATATAAAGATTTTTGTTATGAATCGTATATATGTTTGTAAAAAAATGAACACACATTTAAACGCCAGGACTTTTAAAAATATATTTACACCCATTCATGCATATTGTTTAAGGTCACAAGGAGGAGAAAAAGCTAATTTTCTTCGGCCAGCCGAAGTTTTTATACCTTTGCAGTCGTCGGAGCTTGTTATATTTACAATGTATGAATCTTAAAAAAACGACAATGTTACGTATTTATAAACACATATAAAACAGACAGAATTTATTGACTTGTTTTTTCCGCTTAAAAGTTTTCACGAAAAAAATTTTTTTTTTGCAAGGGTATATATATAAGAAAATTTCGAAAGCCAAGAAAAAAAAAAAAATACAGGCTCGTAAAACATTGAGATAACAATTTGTAAAGCTTACAAATTGTGAACAGTTTTCAAGGAAATCATGATAAACAAATATTTTAAGCTCAATATCAGAGGAGAAAATTCTAATAGGCAAAGACATTAAGAATTTGAAGTTTTATGATTTAAGCGAATAAAAAAAAACAATTTGTATGATTCACATGCTAAACCAGATAGGGAATCGAAAACTAGTACCGATCAATTATGAGGTACATGCCACTACCCAGTTATAATTTTGAAACAAAAATAAAAGTAATCGAAGTATATTAATTATGTTCAAGTATTGAAAAGCCACCGAAAGATTTTGAACAAACTCGGTACTGAAAGTTGTAATGTGTTGAACGTACATTCTCAGCGGAAGTTTGTGCATGCACGAAAAGTTAAAATGTTGAAATGTTTAACCGGGAGTGATCAGTAGAATGGTTTCGATAGCATAAAGTTTAGTACTTTAGGTGGTTTCCAATTTCAATGTAGTTGACAGTAGTTAGATCAGTGTATTCGGTTTCCATGTACAGCTGTAAATGTATCTGGATCTGTAACTGTAACTGTAACTGTAACTGTACTACAATCTGTATCTGTTCATGTAACTGTTCGTGTTTTGAGATGTTTTCGTGTTTCAGTTTCTGTTGATGTTTCTGTTAATGTTTCTGTTAATGTTTCTGTTAATGTTTCTGTTAATGTATCTGTTAATGTTTCTGTGGCTGTGATTGTTGCTTGTATCGATCCCAATGTTGATACCATATTACACAAACAAAACATAAATGCTTTATGTGTGTACATTGTATACGTATTCGCGTTCATAAAGACGGCTTTTCGGAACACAGGAGGCTTACTCTGCAGAAAGCACCACCATAGCTCAAAGTCAGTTTCATCTATGTTGGGCCCTAAGCGCAAAGAGAAGTCGAAAAGTACTGGTCGCCTTGATCCGTTAGCTTTCGCTTGGATATCGCCCATTGGCATATCGGCAGTGGTTATTATTGGAGAGAAAAAAAGCGTAATGCTCGGGATACACCCCTCTGAAATAGGCGTGTATATCCGTAGTTCTACTCTTGGCTTTGGGCTGCAAGTTAGCGGTGGGTGGTTGGTTGGTTGGTTGGCTAAACGAACACGTTATTACGTTACGTATCTCAAATACTTTTACGGGGGGTCTATGAAATATATATTATATAGATACGGGCGGGGCACACTCGGCTAATACGCCCCGTGTTTTTCGTACTGCAGGTATATTAATGTATATTAATGGTTGGTTGGTGGTAGAAACGACAGTATTATTTATCTGTTTGGTTATTACATATTTACGTATATGTGGATATAGTTCTTGGCATGATTATAGTGCTGGACAGACTAAACTGAACAAAAGTAGTAATGAAAAACGTCAACGAGATCACCGCCGTACTGACGACAACGATAACATACACAAATGGCAATCCTTTGTATAGCCGCTTTCAAATTGTGTGCTATTGACTCAAAAACTATAATAATTTAAGGCCAGAATCGGTGACTAACAAAAAGATATAATATAAGTAATGAAACATGTTCAATAAAAATATGAAACCAATATGGTAACTACTTAATTTGTTAATGTTTCTAATCCATATTTAGTCTTCTTTTTTTATATTTATTTTACAAGGAAATCATAAAATAATGTCATTTGTTGAATCGTTAAGAGAATTCAGTTTATTCATAATTTATTTCAAAACATATACGTTTTCTATCTTGGTTTCAAATTTGTTAGAAAAAAGTGTCTTTATACACAACTAACTAAGGACTTTTGTAAGACGAAAGGCGGTCTTCAATTTGTACTATTTTTACAACTGCTTAATTTACAATTATTTCACGTAGTAGCTTTTAGAAAAGATTATCACACGTACTTTATTGGGTACCAACAGTAGCATAAAAAAAATACAAAAGTGGCACAGACAATAACAGAGTTTTGAAAATTTTAAAAAAGTACCAGCTTGAAATAAAAAAAAAATAGCACCAAAAAAATCAGATAGAGGTACTTGTTTTATTTCGTTACTATTTACAATTGTTAATATTAAACCCCCAAGCCAATAGCATCAATTTTAATACAAGGGTTCCATTTTTCCGCTCTTTTCTGCTTCAAGTTCGGGGGACTTAAAGCCTGTTTTAAACAGGGCAGTGAAATAATCACTTTTTGTTATTACTCAAGGACTACGCGTTTTTTGATCAAAAAACGTACCAAAGTGTAAGATTGTAGTACTTGTAACTCCAGTGAAATAAGAAAGTTGTTTCATGTTTGGAAGGTATTTATCTTAAAACAAAAACCTTGTTTCTTAATTTAATGCTCATTTCTTTGGGTAAACAATGTTAGTTTCTTGTAAATTCGAAATCTTAACTGGAGAAAGGGACTTTAAAGCACGAAGACCCAGGGAATTTACTCAAGGTAGTTCAAGAAGTATTGTTTAAGAAATGACCCTTAAGTTAAAAAACAATTTTATTGTTTTAAATGCGACCATTGAATTAAGAAATGTTTTCGTTTTTTTTTCTAAGTACATTTTCTATTAGTTTTGTTTTTTTTTTTATACAACACTTAATTGTTTTAAAGCAGGAATGTTTTTTCTTAATTCAAAGTCAGCCACGAGTTAAAGGCGATACTTCTAAAATTTTTAAAAAGATTGGTATGAGTGTAAGAATTATAAATATAAGAAGATGTACAGAGATGTGCAAGTGTGAGATAGGCAGTGGCGTACGCAGATTGTTTTTGTTTCTGGTAAAAGAAACAAGACAACTTAATTAGTCTATTGTATTTCGAACAAAAACACCGACCAATTACTGAAATACAATAGATAAATCATTTGGTGAACGCTACGGCGTACGCTACTGAGTATAGATTTTAGATATTACATCGAAGAAGTACGTACGTTTTGTGTTTTTTATATGAAGCTTAACAAAAACGAACAATGACAATGGTTTAAATGCAACGACACAGACAAATTTATCAAAATGCGAAACAAAATAAACAAATTTACTAAAGTTTTTTCATATTTTGCATTTGCAAGTGTTTCTTTTTTTTCTTTTGAGTTTTAAAAAATACTTTTATGTTACTTTTTGCTTGTTCTTTTTGTGGTTGTAATTTGTATTTGTATTTAAAGCTGGCTTTTTCATTACTTCTTTTCAACTAACCTTAGACACAGGGAGAAGTTTCTATGTACTACAACTGACCTGTAGCACAATGCCATCAAGGTGAATGTTATAAAAACGAACCCTACAACTGACATTAGAACACCGACTAGGAACACTGTATTTGAGCCGTGGTAGTTCTCTATACGAGGAATTTTCAGCCAAGTTTTTCATTTTGTGCCCATTGTATGTCGTTAGTGTGCAGTTGGTTCGTTTCGAGTGTTCGTTGGGTGGAGCAATACATTTAGGTTGATTCATTTCGATTCATTTCAATTCATTTCAATTTATTTTGATTGTATTGGATGATATATATATTTCGGGTTACGTAGGTGATACGCCAGGTGATTAACGGTTTATTTCGAGGACGATATTTCGTTGTTATTCATTTCATTATTGCAGTTGGGTTGTGAGTCAGCCGAAAAAACAAGGAAATACAAAGTTTTGTTGCATTGGGGGGAAATACGATATAGTATGCATCTCACACATTCTTTAGGGAGTCTTTTCATTTCATGTTACTGATTTAGAATTTAAGCTAAATTTACTTATTTAATATGAATACGTAAGCTAATGACAACGAAAACATGCGTTCATTGCAGCTTGTTTTCTCATCGCGGCGGAATTCTTTTCGGATTGCCAAAGGTTTCGAAATGGCCAAAAGCGGATAAACGATTCTCACAATTGCTTAAAAGTAAGTTGAATGTTTTTCCTTTTGTTTGCTTTTCTATGACAATGGTAATCCTATTTGTGCACACTCAGGGCTTAGTTACCACTAATAATGAGCCTGCGATTTTGTTATTAAGTAAAGTTGTGTTAGTTTTCAAACAGAAAATCAGCATGAGATAAAAAACTTGTTTTTAACCACATTTATTTGAATTTTAAAGTACGTACAGGTCAAGCTTGAAAAGATTAAAATTTTTTACATTTTTTAATCGACTTGAATGAGAGTCCTATAATTATTTATTTCATTGTTGTTTAGTGTTTTCAATTTAAAAAGTCATAAAATTATTTAGGAGAACATACTTTGGCAAGTCTATTTATACCCTCGAAGATTTATAAATAGTTAAGTCTGTCCCAAGTTTTTTTTGTTAGTTATGAATTATTTAATTATGTTCTCAAGTCGATTAATAATGGCTGATTAATGTGTTTTCGTGAGTGTGCCTACGAGAGGTGTGATTAAAGATACAACTTAAAAATATGACCTGGCAAAACATCATTTTTAATTATCAATAGCATTTTCGCGTTAATTTATAAACAAAAATTTGTATTCCCAATTTATTTCGAATATTTTGCTGTGTTTTATTTTATTTATTTTTTATTATTTCTGGATAAGATCTCATATGCTATTTCTCATAAATAATATGGAAAATTATATTATAATTCTATTAAAACCCAAACTATACAAACAAAAGATATAAATATTAATATTATTCACTTAGTGGATTACGACGACAAATTACAAGCACGTACAATTTTGAAACTTATAAAAGCACTACGAATATTTTACACACAGCGATAAATCCAAAGAGCAGTCAAAAAGTAAAATCTTTAATGAGATATGTAAATGTAGTTATGAACGAACACTCATATATTATAAAAAATATGTATGCACTCTGTTTTAAAAAGTAGGACAGAATGGGTCACAGACTTATGTACAAGTATTTATGTTAAAAAGAACTCAGCAGTTGAGGAAAACTTCAAAAAACTGTATATATTATTTTGTAAACAGGGAGTATCCTTATTGCAACATTAAGATTGAGGCCTGTCAGGGTTTTCAAAATGCATATTCAATGCGAAGTTGTATACAAATCAACGATCTTTAGTTCTAGAAAGTTTTAATGGCCACCACATTAAAGACAAATGCTAAATAAGTATCAGGACAGGTCCAGAAAAATTAAAAAAATTAGCAAACTCTTGTCAAAATGAACAAGAAGGAAAGGCCTATAAAACTGAGTTGTACATTTCAAACATTAAATATTTGGAATCAAGCTTAGGATCGTTTTGTGGTCCCCAAGATAAACATGAAGTAGGTGTTAAATTTAAAGTTTAAAACCTACTTGAACTCCAATTTGAGGACGTAAAAACGAACTCAGTTGATTGAAAAAAATGTTTTTTGACCATGGTAATGTACGTGTATACTTATGTGTGATGATTGGTAGTGTTACTAAATTCATAGGAGGAAGAGCTTGACTTGCTGGGTACTCTACCTGTAGCAAACGGCCAGTGTTGCAAAACTAATGAAGACACATTTGACGATAACTGTTAAAATGATGACCATGGTTAATGTGCTGATCCTATTTTGGTCAGAGGTGCCTGCAAATGGTGGTTGCGTTTTATTTTCAATCAAAGTAAGTTAATATAATTGCGCCATCTTTCGTCTTGTGGCTTTAAATTACCCAATAACATGTTTTGAATATAAAAAAACAACACAAAATTTCGATTTTTCTCGATTATTCGCACACAACATTTGAAAGTCATCCGCTGATATCCGGAATGCTTTTCGCCAAAAGTAATTTGATTTCGTTCACTGTGAAGGTCTTCAAGTTATTTATTATCCCAAGCCCTAAATTTCCAAATATTTTGGATCATCGGACAATTTTTATGCATATATGTATATATAACAAAAGTTACAAGGCTACTATGTATGTTTATTATTTATTTAAATGTTATAGGTTTTACGTTGCGAGGGTATAAAATCACAGATTTCCCAAAGTTTGCTTCCATTGTAGTTGAAACAAAACAATTTTTTTGGTTTGAACACCCATCTTTTCTTTCCGAAATATTTATAAAATATATTATTGATCAACAATTGAGGCGATTTAAGCATTTCCGTTACTTTCTTCAGATGCAAAGCCTTGTTTAGTGAAGTAGGTTGTGGTGTACTTGAGTAAATGACTTATTTGGATGACTGTTTAATGGATTCAGATAAAAATATATACGACATACACACACATGTATATCTTGATACGATTCTTTTTCAATTGAGTACACTGTCCAAAGAAACAAATTGACAAATTACCGGCCTGACTACCATTGTCATACAAGTAACAAAGTTGAATTGTACCCAATTATTCAATTGTGAGCTGCCAACGTCAATAGACCAGGCAATATTTACCTCGTTCAACAACACTTAGTTGGTATTGGAAAGAGCACTGCTTGAATTGATACTGAGTCAATGTATCTCATAGATTTATAATGACCTTAAGAAGATCTTAAGGCCTCAAGAAGAATTGAAAGATAATAAAACTTTGTTAGTGTACTAAGGTTTTAACAGTACGGTTACTGGTTTCAAGCAGAGCTCTGGGGATTGGAGTTAATATCTTAGGATATACTAGCTTGGATTTGGTTGGACCAGTTCCATTTGATATGGACTTCGATTCGACTGACTCAGTAGTTCATGTTCGCAAGTCTCTTCCGGCTGGCGCAAGGTGAGATACAAGAGCGTCGTTGAACTGGAGGCCATAGTTATTTCTTACCATATGGGGTTTCTTTCTTCTCCATCTTGATGGTGTTCTCCGGCGTGGACGGCGCTTCCGTTGGCTGTGCCGTGGTCAGCAGAACGACGGAGCTGCAGTCCTGCCCGCCCCATCCCATGTCGCAGAAGCAGCGATTCGTGTTCGTGCAGACCTGCAATCGAGAAATCAGCAAGGTTGTGGTCGTGCATTTGGCATTGGATTCGGTTTGAGTTTCGCCAGAGTTTCTACGGGTTTTAGCCAGAAGCTATCAAGTGCACTTACGCCGTGTTCGGAGCACTCTTGGCCCTGCGAATTGGCCGGGCACTTGGTCTGGTCCACGTGCGGAAAGAGACTGACGCAGGTCTGGTTCAGGCAGATGAGGTTGTCGCCGCAGGGCGTTCCGTCCTTGACCAGTCCGTGCTCCGGATAGCTGTTCGATCCCACCTGTCCGCTGGTCGCCCTGCGAAAAACCCAAACGATTGTTACTCTGCCTCCAGTGCCTCCAGGAATCTCCGCCTGGCACTCCGAACCGCAGTCGTCGGCCTTTGGCTACGCACTTGCACTCGTACTCCTGGCCCTTGATCGAGATGATGGTCCGCGAGTAGAGCTGGTCAATCCCGTCGTTCACCGGCTGGCGTTCGCCCTCCTTGCACTGCAGCGTGCCGCACTGGACGTTCCTGCGGGGAAAGTGGTTGCAAGGGGGGAGAAAGTGGTTAAAAGGGGGAGAAAGCGGTTAAGGGGGGATCAAGTATCCCCCAGAAAAACTATTGAAATGGTGCGCTATTATGTCTCAGTGAAGTTTAATTAGTGCACAACCTGTACAGCATACATTACTTATTACCCTCTTTTATTTATTAGTTTCTTTTTGTTTATTTATTGAACTAACTCCGATTGTGAGAGGCTCTTGTTCTCTAGCTTCTGATAAACCACATTTTCCACTTATTACTCAAGGCATATTTTGAATACTTTCTTGGGAATTAAAGACACTTACTCTGGGTCGCATTTGATGTAGTGCTCATTGGCATCCCGGCCACAATGGCCGTTGATGGAGCCCTTGGAATTAAATTGCTCGTAGCACTGGCGATCCGCGGCAGATCCGCCGTATCCCCAAATCGCCTCACACTGCAAACTCAGCGTGGGACAATATCCCTGGAAGCAGTAACCTAAACGGACCGAATCCTTAGTTAACTTCCACATATTATAATATATACAATAGGTTTTCATACCTGAGATGCCGGACTTGCTGAGTCCGCACGGCGAACCGTTCTTCTTGAAAACATCCGACGGACACTGACCAATCTCGCCGTCGCAATATTCAGGAAGATCGCACTCGTTGTTCGAGTCGCGGCAAATATAGTCCTTTGGACGCAACTGAAGGGGGGGAGAGGCAGTTAAGTTTATGGGGTCAGTGGTGGTGATAATCGTAAACCTACACGACACTGGTCGCAGCAAGCGCCACTGGCACACTGGGCCTCTGATTTTAGCTTGCAAGTGATGCCGTCGCAGCAGGGATCCAGAGCACAGTCCTCGAAAGTGCCGCAGTCGCACTCCTCGTCCTCCTCCACAACCTTATTTCCGCAGTTTCTGCGCAACTCAATCTATTGGGTTTGCCAAGCGGAAGAGAAAGTGGAAATTCAATGGAATAAAATACATAGTTTATTCTAAAAAGCAAGCTTTGCTTAGCCTTAAATTATAAAGCATGCAATAACATTTAAATTTGTGGAATTTAAAACCATCTTCCTCAGTAGTTTTTACTGACACCTTATTAATGTTTCTTTAAATCAAATTCTTTTGCTCTGTAGAGCTTTTGCTTCTGTTCTCTGTTTTGTGAAGCAACCTTATTATCGGTGGCCAGCAATCTTATTAACCCTCACCTCATTCGGCTTGTTGAGCAAACAGAGTCCGTGGCCAGTCCGCAGTGCGTCGATGTAATCTTTTTTGCTGCACTCGGAGAATTTGTATGGCTGGACGTTCTCCTGGCCCACAATCGACTGGGCCATGATGCAGCCGTGCCAGTCGCGGCAGAAGCACTCCTCGCCTGCGGAAACAAAATCGAACGGGCATCGAGATGCCGTTTTGGCCAAAAACCAGAAACGTAATATCGATGAGATAATCCTTACGTCCGTCGTCGTGTCCCATGCCGATGTTATGGCCAATCATGTGGGCCATTGTCCCGGCCAGAAGGTGCGGCTCGTACACGTTCACGTCCACGCTGATGCCGACAGCACGGGGCGTGCAAACAGTTTCGGGCACCGCCATCCCAGCCTCGCCCCCAGCAAACGTCTCACCACTGTGGGAAAAAGGTTTAAATTTAAATTAAGAAAATAAAAAGAAAACTTATTAAGTGTAGAAAATGTTTTCTATAAAATATGATGTTCGTTACTGTTATTATTTTCTTTTGAGAAAATGCTATGTAGCGAAGTACATTTCTTTGTAATAAGAAGAAATTTTTTCTAATATTTGTTGAAGTGTTTTTTAAACTTTCATTTGAAAACAAATTGTTTCTGTTTAACAAAATATATTCTATACCTTTAGAGATGTACATATTTATTTGTAACTCATTGTAACCAGCCACAATTTTTTGCAATTTGAAAAGTACTTGATAAATTAGCATGCTGTATAGAAACTTACGTGAGCAACTGTGTGGTGTCCCGCTCGATTTGAAAGAGATTCCGGGAGGTGTAGTCGTTGAAGCTGGATATCGCCTTGCTGATATCCTTGCTGCCATCGATGACCGCCTGGTTCTTGCCCCAGGTCTCGATGTACACGACCGACACGCGGGTGTTCAGAGTGCGGAAGTACTGGGAAATGAAATCAGAAAATAATTATCAAATTTGTACAAAGTACAGAGTACAAAGGGGATGTGTGTACTGACCAGATCTGCTATGTTGGCCACCTGGATGGCATCGTGGACGACCTCCGCCCGAGTGCTGCCGTTCCGCTTGTCGAACATCGCCTTGTCAACGATGATGGCCGTCTCGATGTACTTGGTGGCCTCCCGCACGTCCCGCTTGTTTCGTCCTGCGCCGGTCTGCAGGATCTCCTCGACAACGCCCGCCACTCCGGCGGACAGGTGTTTCGTGCGGCGCGAGAGGCGCCACGAGTCCAGGTTGCCCGAGTTGGCGCATCCCTTGTTCGCCTTCGTCCGCGCCTCGAAAATCACATGGGGATGTTTCTGTTTTTCGCAAATCCAAAAATAATTAGCACTTATTGAAAGCGGCCAGGGGATTCGAGATTCGAGATTGGGGATTGGGGATTGGGGATTGCTGATTGCTATTGCTATTGGTATTGGTGGATGGGATTGTATAATTGGTAGCCTCTCACCGATAGATCTCCGCCGTAAAAGGGGTGAATTACGAACGTTTCGTTGCCAATGTGGATGACGCCACTCACTCCGTTGCAGGTGTGGAATGCCGCACTCGCCCCGGGATAATCCTTGACGGTCCCGTGGTAGTAGCAGTGCTCGATATCCTGTCGGAATACAGAAGGACAACACCCCAAATGGTCATAATAAATGGGCGAGTTTACAGCACTTTCTACACCATACTAAGCATTTTTTGTAGTGGCAATATAATACCAAATTATAAAATATATCATGACTGGGAAAAAAGTAGAACAGAAATCACAAAGGAATAAATTACAACAAGGGTATAAATAATAATTAAACAATCCATTAACAGATAAATATAATGAGGTTTTCAATACCAATGCTACAAATAAAATAATTATATAAAACAGAGAGTGAATTACAAAAGAGGAAAGCTCCTTGTAGTACACAACTTTTCACTGTGTCTCCCCAATAGTTTCAAACTTAAAAAACATAATGTACTCTCCCAAATAAAATAACACAACTTATTGCTTTCGAACTGTTGAAACCTTAACTCACATGTCGATTGCCGTCCACAAGATATCCACCCACGTGGTAATGTTTCTGTTGCACGTTTGGGGAAAGAAGTTGCCTGATGGAAGAATAAATACAAACCGAGGGTTTATAGTGCTGAGTGCAGTTTATTTTTTTATGCCGGAGATGTCAGTGTGTCGCCCAAGCAATTAATTAAAACAAACTTACGAGTTAAGCTCCAAGTCCAAACGAAATTTGTGATTAAATGCTTTGATTAGCAGCGATGTGCGATGAAAGTGTTTCTGTAAGTGAGAAATAGAAATGGCAGCCAATTAATTTTCATTTTCCAGGGAAGCAATTATCAGGTTTGTGTTCGGTTATTTGCAGTAGAACCCACCTTTGTTCTTCCCCGGTTAAAGCCACTGTCGTCATGAGGTCGTGGCCTCTGCCCAGGCTGTAAAATGATACATAAATATAGTATACAGAAGTTCTATATACTCCTCAGACCTAGCTTATATTGATTCCGTACCTTTGGGGGACTGACTTCCCGCGTGGATATGCCCATCTTCTCGTGATGGCGCAGCTGTACTGGATATATAATTTGGTAATAGTGACCCCCGATTCGACGGACAAGCTCTTGATTTTGCCTGTATTCTTTAAGTAATCTTTCCACCTCACCTGCAAAGCACACAATTTGTTGAATATTAAAACCCGTTTAGTTCACATTCGAATCAAAGATCTTATTAATAAATACAAAGGAGCCTTCAGAACTACTTTTCAACTATTACTACTTTTCGGTGTTTACTCACCAACAGGACTTTCTTCGTTCCAAAATGAATCATCTAGTGTGTAATCTGCTTCTGTAAGAAAAGCAAATTATTTTTTTATATTTTTAAAGGGGCTGATCAGCTCATGTTTAGTTATACTTTAAATGGAAAGGGAATAAACTCTAGACTAAGCTAAGTTAAAATCAAACATGAGAAATTGTCATGTTCTTTAATGACAAATAACTTTATATAAAAAATTCAAAAAATCAAATTTGATCCCTGACAATTTTTGTTTTTTTCTTGTTAATAAAAAGATAATGGATCGGTAGAGTTTCAGAATCCAAACGCTTTGCCGAATTTCGTATGCTACGGTAAAGCGTAGGAATTCTAAAACTCTACAATACCCAAAGACATTTATAACAATTCAATGGTGCTGATAACTTATTTTTCCTATTCTTCCACACTCTTCGAATATAAAATAGGGATTATAAGCTAATATAATATTTCCAACTTAGTTTTTTTGGGTAAACTAAGAATAGAAATCGTCGAATTAGTGATTTAAACTATCTACGATCGCTTTGTTTCTGTACAATCTGTTTATTGGGAAATTTACTGGGAGTTTAGTGGGTTTATTGGGTTTATTGGATAGTCCACTTACCCCCTGCAGATGTGACGAGAGCGCAGAGCTGAGCAATGATGAGGATTAAATAGGCGATTTGTATCCACATGACGGCGGCTGCGGTTGTGTGATTAAAAGTGAAGTTGTCCAATCCAGCCCCACTTCTAAGTCTTAGTTTTCTCTCCTACTTCCTCTCAGTAATAATTTGTAGAAAACTGCCCTCTGCATATGGTACTTAAAAATATCCTCCTGTCGGCATTAGTTAACCTTCCTCGTCCCCTAGTTTCTTTGGGTAATCCTCGATTGGCGATTGATTTGCGGCAATCCGTATCCTTATCGGTATCCTTATCGGTAATTGTTCGGCAGTTGCACCACCGCTTCAACCGAACATCTTCATCGGGCTTTAGCTGTGTGTCAGTGGCAGTGGTTTAGCATTCGAGGCCGAGACTGACTTGGCTAGATAACCTGAGGCTGGGTTACTGATGGCTTGCAGATTCCTCTCGGATTGTGCACTCATCCCAATCACAATCGCAATCACACACGGCGACTCACTTCACTCGGCTCAAGGAAGCCCCACAAACAATTGGGTTAATGATATAAAATTCAAATCTAGCATTCACACTCGGAGCGCAGTCCGCAAAGCCTTTGTTTAACAACCGTAGCAGGATTAAAATGCATCAAAATCCACCGAAAGTTCTGACCATGCGATGTCCTTTGGGGCTGCAAGTGGAAGATGGTTTGGGATTGGATTAGATTGCATCTTCCATTACAAAATGGAGCTTATCTTTTAAACACATATCAATTCAAATATTGTGGTTTAATTAAAGTTAAGCTGTATGAAGTGAGTTCATCAAGTTCTATAACCATTTTTGAGGTGGAGTTGATGTCTTGTGGATTTGTTGGATTTGTTCATATATTTAAACCACTTAACTCAAACGTTGAATTGTCAGATAGTTTTCTGGATTTTGGAACGCATATCTGTATCCATAAATTCTTAAAAAAACATATATATTTTTACTCACAAAAGAAAATACCACTGCTCTTAGCCAATTATACATTTTCTGGAGAGCTTGCAGCCGGCACTTGAATCCTCCAAGAGTGTAGTTTTTCTAGTTTTCATGATCAAGTAATAAGGCTGTGCCAGCAGAGAGATAAATGGCTTGCCAGGCTGCAATTATTTTTCCGATCTCAGTTCCGCGCTTTTCACAGTCGGTAAAATCGGCCTGAGGGCCTCTGGGTTTCTTCTGGCTTTCCTTTCCTTGAGAAACGAGGGACGAGCGAACGGAAGAGATGCGAGAAGCCTGCGTTGAATCGGCTCTGTTTAGAGCTGTGCATTAGCGAATTGCCCAACCGAAACTAATGAAAAGCCGCGTTGGCACTAAGGTGAATGTTGGCGACCGGACAGTGAAGAGCTCCGCCGAGGCCACAGCCGACAATTTTAATTTGCGCTAATTAGGCAAGGACAGACATTTGGCGGTGACAGAGAAATTGTAGAAAGAAGATTCAATTAGCAGAGAAATCCTATTAAATAATTAATATTCATTAGGCGGCAAGAAAGGCGAATGTCGAAATGCGAATGCGATTGCAAATGCGAATGCAAAATGCGAATGCGAATGCGAATCCAATGCAATCCGGAATGCATCCTCCATCGAATGACAGCGAAAAGTTTTCGATAAAAAATTTACAAGCTGGCAATAAAAATACTTGCTCGTCGATTTTACCTTTATTTTTGTGCCTGTCAAAGGTCCTTTCAATATTTGCTTATATCCAATTTTCGCTTCATCAATATCAGCCAAATAAATCTCGACTGTGGCTTTTTCAGCAATCGTCGGCGCAGAAAGTTTATCATCGACTAAAAAGCAAAAGCGAACATAATTTATTGCACCGAAGGGGAAAATTGCGAGCTGCGCTGCTGACGGCAACGTTTGTTTACTTTTATGAAATTTACTTTTTGCTTTTGCATCCCATTGCATTGCATTGCATTGCACAATTGCAATGATTTTAGTGGGGATAACAATTTGAACCTGCCATTCGGAAGACTGGCTTTGAAGATTCCAATAGAACAAAGTTCCCTCGCAAAAGCTGTTATGCTGAAATACTCGAAGGCAATGCAGAACAAGCTATTGAAATCCCTGCTTGATTTGGTTTATAGTGCAACACAATTTGTTATTTAATTTCCTGTTAACTGAAAGACGATTAACAATTGTTTGACTGTCTGACGATTCAACAGGTTCCCCTTTCCAGCTTTCCTAATCCGGAGATAATAGATGATTGAGTTATTGTTCATAGGAGGCATCCTCGAAATTGGGTCACTCGGCGAGAAGACAGTGAGATTATATTTTGGAGCCACAGGAAATGGCAATGGGAAGGGGAAGGGGAAGGGGAAGGGGAAGGGGAAGGGAATTGGATCGAAATGGGGGAGGCGAGAACAAAAGGGCGATTACAACGGGCATAACAACTTTTCATGTGTCCCGCCTCCTGGTGAAACCAAAGGAGGGATGCAGTCGTCGAGTCAAGGAGTAATAAGCCGTGAAATATTAGAAGCCACTGCGTCTGGCCAAAATATTTTGGTAGCGAGCGCAAAACCTCGTTGTGTCACTCTGTCCTTTTCAATGGAAGTCCAGCCAGATATGCTTTCATTAAAAACATGAATTCTGAAGCGTTTTTCAATGGGCGTGGCTGAATAAACTGTCTGACATAATTTCAAAAATAACAATTGGTTAAGTTTGAACCCAACTAAGAACCAAATGTGAACCTTAAAAGTTTTTTCTAAAATCAAACTATCTACTCAATTGTTCAAAGCTGATTGCAATTACTCCTTTTTAAAAGAATTTCAAATGTAGAATGCTTACTCAAAAGTATTGTTAATTAACTATTATTTTTTCAAGAGGTTTTTAAAACTATTTCTTGTTGAACTGATATTTCGAATAATTAGTTTTTTACTTACACCTATTTACGATGAATTGTATGCATCGCACATTCAAAGTTGAAAAGTATTTAAAAACTACAAATAACTTCAGAGGCAAATAAGTTTGGGGGTGTGGGGAAGCCTTTGGCACTATCGGAATTCGAAACTCGGAAAACTCGGAAAATAATCGCACATATTTCTCTGGGTGTTGAGGGCGTCCACGGTGGAAACCTTGGGCAGACACCAGACAGCGGCAGCTGACAGGAAAATAAATAAATAAAGGGATGAAAATTAAGAACGCGAGAGTCGAGGCGACTCTCTTCCGACTGCGCAGCCTCCGAATGAACAGAAAGGAAAGGAAAGGAAAGCAAAGGAAAGGAAAGGAAAGGAAAGGAATAGAAAGCAAAGGAAAAGAAAGCCAAAGATGGAAAAGTGCACATGTGTATAAATCTATAAGCCAATAAAATTCCTAATGTCCTCGCCATTTCATGAAAAGCGTATTTATCATTTCCCCAGCTAGTTAGTTGCACTCAACAAACTTTAAAACCCTCTCGAAACCCAATTACATATTAATGGCATTTGCATGCGCTCGACGTGGCTATTTTAAAGTTTTTAATTAACTTATCTTGTCATTTCCGCAATTATTATTGTTTTGCCGTGAAGTTTAACAAAGCACTTACCCATTAAATGGGAAAAAGTGGAAGCCAGTTCACCAAGCAAAAAATGTAAAGGCAAAGATGGCATTTTTTACCCATGCATATTGCTTCGAGGATTTGTTAGGTATTACCTACAGATATTTTTGACTTCGTCTTAAATAATAACTTACGGAGAAAAGCCCAAAAATTGGCTAAGAAAAAAATATAAAAACTTGTATTGAGCTTGGCAACAAGTGATTTGATTCAATCAGTCGTAGGTCATGGCTTCCTCGTTTAAGTGTAGGCCATTAACTTAGAACAATAAAAACCGGGGCTAAGTGTCGGTTATAATTTGTAATATAATATAAGGCGAAGGTAGTGGTTTTATTAGCTTATAAATTCAAAGTGTAAATGCAAGAGAATAACTTACAAATCAATTTCAATCCTTTTACGGCAAATTGAGCAGAAGAAGGATTTCTGTTTAAAATATTTATGCATCCATTATGCCAAGAATTAAATATTCAAAATACTCAACTTGTACTTGAGTGCTTACTAAACGTATAAAAAATCTTTAAGTAACATAAAGCCAATATATTTCCGAATTTTGAAAAGTAAATCTATCTTTTGGAAGAGATGGAATATAATACCAACAAAAAAAGAGGAGAGAGGTCGATCCGGCAGCTGGATAGTCAGCTGTTCCAGATCACCGAATCCTTGGGCGTTGCCACCAAAACGTGATCCTTGCTTCTCTATTTCCAAACAAAGTCAACAGAAATCCGACAGCTATTAAAAACGTAGCCATGGAGAGTAGTTCCCTACTGCTCCACGCCGGTTACCCCTATCAATTGGAGCACGTTCATCTTGGAGGCAAACAATTGTTGTGGGTGAACGTCCGGTGGCAACATTCATTTGTCGCTTTTGTTGCAGGCATTAAATGCGCAAAGAGCACCTAATGGCAGCCATCAAGTCGGCGGTAAAGTTTTTGGTGTTATCCTATGGGCTTATCGGAGCTAAACTAATTTAAAATATGTCACATTTTTTGCGGTGCCAAGTCCGGGGAAGGTGGGTCAATGGCAACGCATGCCCAGACTCTGAATAATTGCGAATAAATGTGCGCCACCAGAAAAGGTATTTAAGAAGGCAGCAAAAAAAAAAAAAAAAAGAGAAAAGAGCAGGAGATGGAGATGGAGATGGGGATGGAGCAGGAGGAAAGAAGTGAGGGGAAGGGAAAGGGAGAAAGGGGGGAAAGGGGAAACGTGACATACTAAACTTACAGCCGAGAAACGGTAAACTCCTATCCCAAAAAGCGCCTCTGTAAGTCAATCCCTGCGTGCCAATGCACTAGAGAGAGAATGCTGAATATGCATTGGATTACAAAGTGTGGGATAGCATTTCTGTATCGCTATTATTCATTGGTCATGCGCAGTCAGCCGCGCCTCGTTTCCGTTCAAGAGTCGTCGGGATTCGAGATTCGAGATTCGAGACTCGAGACTCGCGCTGGGGCAATATATTCGCAATAATACTACTATATAGGTTCTATGGTCTTTCGGGCTCTGCCCAGAGCCACATTTTGGCCAAAGGATACATTTTCCCCCCGTAATTGCGGCACCAGAAACACCGAATCCCATCTGCCACTTGGCCAGTTGGCACTTCTTGGTGGCCAACTTACATACATCGTATTTCGTATCGCCGCACTCGCAGGCTCTTCAACTATTTTTCGCCTATATACGCGAATATATGTACGAATAGTTGTACACTCGCACACTCGTACTTGTACGTAATTGCACGGGGAAAAAAATCATTATGTTTATCTGGGGTTATCTCTCTGTGTTCGACTCACCTACGGAAATTCGGAAAATTCGCCTGAATCCATTGAAAGATTCGTCGCTTCAATTAATTAGTTATTTGTTTGTTGCTTTGTTATCCTTGCGTTTGTTTAAATCTGCGTATAATTTTACATTGTACTGCTTTATGAACACACTCAGTTTGTTTTTCTTTTGGCCAAACAGTAAAAAAAATATGCAAAAAAATTTCATAAAATATGTATTTTATGATCTTTTCTCCATTCCCTTTTCAGCATATATCTATATATATGTAGGTATATATATATATTATTCTATTTGTATTTTTCCCATATTTGATTTAAAATGTGCTGCCCTTTTTCAGCCGACTTTGCTTTACGTTGCGTTGCGTTTGCTTTTGCTTTTGCTTTGCTTTGCTATATAGCTATACTCGTATATATATTCAATCGTTTGATTCTGAGTGGTATAGTTATTTGTTGAGTTTTCACATTTTGGCCAACCCGTTCGGCGTTTTTCATTAAAAAGTTCACGGTGCGTGAGATTTGAGAACGAAATTCGATTTCTGTGTGCTTTGTTCTTTTTCTTTTGCTTTACTAATTTAAATTTCTTTTACTTTTTCGTTTTCGTTTTTATTTTTTTCGTTTTTTGCTTATGCCCTGTGTGAGTAATTCAGTTGTTCAGTTGTTCCTTGGCAATTTGATGGATCTTTGGGCGCCGACTCCGATTATTCCTGTATTAACTATTGCTCCACTGGCTCGAACTCGGCGATTCTTGCAACTTGCACTCTTTTCTATTTAACTATCACCGTGTCTCTTGCCTCGCTACCGCTTTCCGCAATTGCAAACAACGTTCTAAAGCTCTCGAACACGTCTGCAGGATTTGGCCATTTGGGCAGGCCAAAGCCGAACTGGTCCGCCAAATCGACGCAGTCGCACAATCGCGGCGAGAGCTGCCTGCGAATCCCGGTCATCCCGTCCTCGTCCTCGTCCTCGTCTCCTCGTCCTCGTCATCGCCATCGCCATCATCATCGTCATCGGGAATTGTCATCTCGGTCGGCGTTGTCATCTCTCAACTCTCAGCATCTCATGCTCTCCACTCTCTCTTACTCTCTCTCTCTCTTTGGGCTCCTCAGATTCACCATCCGAATCTCAAGTCCGATTCCGATTCCGATTCCGAATCCCCAATGTACGAGTCCGATTCCGAATCCGTATCCGAAACGGAATCCCAGTCGGACTGCTGCCACCACGAGGACTTCCACTCGGCTCTCTCAAGCGATTCCAAGGAATACGAGGAGGAGTCGAAGGCTTTACCTTGGGGCCCCGACCAGACCTACACTCGGGGTAAATCTGTTTACGCCAGTCACCTAGATAGAAACCTGTACATCAAACAGGATGTTTATACACAAATTTAATATATTTGTATAATATTTATGTACTAATATTCAAATATTCATATTTTATACAACATAAACATGCACTTAAATGGAATTCATGTGCCCTTTCCGCTCAAGTTAAGTTTAATTCTTTTAGAGATTCCTTTTTTGATTGTATCCGAGATTTGGGTTTGATTGTCGGTTTCTTTGCCCAACAGTTTTTTCTTCAGTCTGATCACGCCCATAAAATTGGCCTACCTTTTGTACACAGCGAAAAATAACTTACAAATTTAACACTTCACAAAAACTTATTTATACTGAACTATTTTGGAAGTGCCTTTTTTAGAGTTTTAAAAAGTGTTATAACATTTGTATTTGAAAACATTATTTTCTCTGACTAACTCTAAATATTTATATATACAATTCTATCTTCGGGAATTCAATTGTTTTATTATTAAATAGTTACTTAAAATATTGCTTCACAGGATTCTATAAACTCCAGTATCTCTATCTTAGTTGCCAAATTGTATGTTGTTCCATCAAAGTTTAGTTTCCTTTAAAGAAAATCCCAGTACGCCATCTTTGATATACGTCTGCAAAACCCGTGTCAAATTTAAACCCAATGCCTTCTGCTAAGTAAAGCATGGGTTTGAAAATGCGTTTGATCAAAATTGTATATTAAACGTTTAATGATGTGGTGGTGCCGACGTTTTTGGGGTGGCGAGTGCGTCTTGTATGCAAACACTGTTTAAAATATTTACTCTGTAATTAAGGAAAATTAAACAAGGGGGTAATTTTACGCACAGTAAATTCTCTTTTATATTTGGTTAATGTTTGCGTCTTGACCGCCTATAAAAACGCTGCTTGAAATGAAAAATCAAGTCACTGATTCGCTAGAAGGACATGTTCTACTATCATCCTTATAAGGCACTTCGATTTCCCATCCAGTGCGTTTGGCTGAAGCTGAATGGCTCTTGGCCTTTGGCAGAAACGTCGGGGAAAAGCAAGAATAACACCTCTTTTGGCAGCTCATTTTTCGCCACTGCTTATATAATATGGGCGTGGTATGTTATCGTCTCCGTCGGGATAACAATCAGTTATCAAACAGCTTTCTTGATCAAAAACCTTTCGGATATTATTATCACCACGGAGAACTGCTGTACCACCTTCATGGGAGTCCTCAATTTCGTGAGACTCATTCACTTGCGTCTCAACCAACGGAAGTTTCGAAAACTGATTGAACACTTTTCGTATGAAATTTGGATACCAGAGTAAGTCTTCAAAAAGGTTTTGCTATGGAAATATAAGAGAGAGAAAACATATTTAAATAGAAAGCATAAAAGTCATAAGGATAAATCAAAACGATTTACATTTTATTTAAAACAGGAGTGTTTAAGTTACTTTTTTGATTGATTTTAAATCTGAAAAATTATATTACTTATTTCTTTTTTTTTGTCTAATTTCTTTGTTTTTCTTTATTTTCAGCAACAATTCAAAGCAACATATTGCTGCAGAGTGTCGGAAACGCATGGTGACATTCAGCATAATGACGGGATTGCTGGCTTGCCTGATAATCATGTACTGCGTCATGCCCCTGATTGAAATATTCTTCCTCCTGGGCTGGAACTCGGAGGACAAGCCGTTCCCCTACAAAATGGTCTTTCCCTACAATCCGAACAAGAATGGTATCAGCTATGTGCTGACCTACATGTTTACGTCGTATGCAGGAATCTGTGTGGTGACCACGTTGTTTGCAGAAGATACAATTCTGGGCTTCTTCATAACACACACTTGCGGTCAGTTCCGATTGCTACACGAGAGAATCGACAAATTATTTACAAAAGTCAACAATAGTGTGGAATTGAGCGAAGATGTTCAGCGAATGCGCTTAAAAAGTGTTGTGGAAAAACACAATAATATCATCAGGTTGGTACCGTTTCATTGAAATCAAAAATTTATACCTTTAAAAGGAAATTCGTCATAGTTTCAGTGGTGTTTAGCTCTTATGCATTTTGATGACTGCAAGGGTATATAAGCTTCGGGTTACCGAAGCTAGCTTCCTTTCAGTTCAGCTTAAATTTCAGAAAATAAATTTTTTCGAATTTCAAAATTTGCACAAAATGGATTGGCGGAAAAATTATCAGATCCCAGCACTTTTGGGCGCATAACTTTTCTAATTTTTATCCGATTTACAAGTGGCATATTGCCCTTATGCATTTTGATCGACATATTTGATGACTGCAAGGGTATATAAATTTCGGCTTGCCGAAGCTAGCTTCCTTTCTTGTTTGTTTTTTATCAATTTTGCTTACCCCCATCCTTTCAAAATTACCAGAAGACGGATTTGCAGAAAAAGTGACCAGATCCCAGCACTTGCAACCTATTTGTATCTAATACATAATTGCTACGAACAAAAAGCATTAAAAAACATTTCTCAATAATTACTATAATATTAAGCTGTTAAAAATGCTCTATCCTTTTTTAACAGGTTCGCTCATCGCCTCGAAGACTTTTTCAACCCAATTCTATTAGCCAATCTTACGATTTCTTCAATTCTGATTTGCATGGTTGGATTTCAGATAATAACAGTGCGTATAAGTACCGCACTTAAACTCTTATTTTTGAACTTTAATTTATTTAAAAAAAGGGAAAAAACATGTTCATTGGGGATTACGTGAAGTTCATAATTTATATCTCCTCGGCTCTTTCGCAATTATACGTTCTCTGCGAGAATGGAGATGCCTTGATAAAACACGTAAGAAATATAAATTAAATTTCTTCAAATATTTAAACCTATGAATATTTGCAAACTACAGTCAACTTTAACGGCTCAAATTCTTTACGGATGTCAATGGGAGGAATCCGGTCAAGTATCCAAGAGCAAGTACATCCAAAATCACCTGTGGTTCATGATACTCTGCAGCCAACAGCCCGTGAGGATTACGGCGTTCAAGTTCTCGACTTTGTCCTTACAAAGTTTTACAGCGGTATGTATCCTAATTAAGGCAAATTAAAGCATATTTATAGTAAATCAAATTCACAGATTTTAAGCACGTCCATTAGCTACTTTACTTTATTGCGGTCAGTTTACTTCGATGACGAAAAGCAACAGAAATAAATTATGCAGAAATAAATTATTTAAAGGTAGATACAACTTTCATTTACTATGTTTTGTAGGCCTTAGGAATGTTGTACGTAGTGAATAAAAATTGTTAAAATCGAACAGATGAAAACTAATTTTCCTACTCTCTCTTTCTTAACTGCAATTTACCATAAATAACTTATTTTAAGCCTTACCGTTTCTTCCCCACACATTTTCACATTGAACCAATAAAAAACGGCAAAAATATTTTCAATTTGTTAATGAATTGTTCAGACAAACATAAGATCACAAATAGTAACTATTAATATTTTAGTTAATTAAAATATGTACTAGCCATTCTTGATTTAAATATCGTTCTTGCCGCGCACAGTGCTGCCCGCCGGCGTCGACGAGTTGATGATGGAGCCACTGCCACTGCCACTGGATGCCCCACAATGTCCGGTCTGCGCGGCGGCACTCGACTCGGCCACTCCGCCCACCGAAGTCTGGGCCGCAATGCCGTGCTGGGCGCCCACGCCGACCAGGAAGTCGTGCTCGTTCTTGGCCTGTCGCAGCCAGTTGCGGAGATCCCGGGTCCGTTCCACCAGACAAGTGGTGTAGTTCACCGCCCGCGGACTCTGCGAAACGATCGTGTTGGCCGTCAGGATGGCGGCGCCCATGGAGCTCTGCATCCTGCCGGCGGCCAACTGGCGATAGGTCTCCAGGCGGTCGGCCAGCGTGGGGATCGAGTGGGGAATGTGCACCGCCCCGCCGTCGATGTCGTCGGACAGCGAGAAGTTCTGGCTGCAGCTGTTGGTCTGCAGTTGGCCCGAGGAGTGCTGGTGCTTCAGCACATGCGACCAAAGCGATGGCTCATGCGACTGCTGCTGCTGTTGCTGCTGTTGCTGCTGTTGCTGCTGCTGCTGCTGCTGCTGCTGTTGGTACTGCTTCTGGCCGAAGATGTCCAGGATCTCGCGGATCTCCGCGTTGAGTATCTCCAGGTTCTCGATGCACTCGTTCGACTCCTGCTGATAGTAGTCCTTCTTCTTGTGGAAGTCCGCGGCACTGGCCAACTCGGTGCTGCTGAAGCCGGAGCTTGAGTGGGAGGACAAGTCGCTCAGCGTGGCCGCATCGTCAATGGTGCCCAGGTCCAGGATGGACTTCTCCTTCTCGTAGATCCGCAGCAGACTCTGCTCCAGGTGCCGCAACCGAATGATCTTCTCGCCCAGCAGCGAGCGGGTGCGGTGGAGGTTCACCTCCATTTCGGTCAGCTCCTTCTCCTCCTGGATCAGCTGGTCGATCGAGTGCTTCGGCGACAGAGCGGTCGTCTTGCGCTGCTGGCCGATCTCGCGCTGCCTCAGCCTGAAGTTGGTGCGCTGGGTGCGCAGCGATTCCTTGGCCCGGCGCACCGAGTCCCTCTCCAGGTGGATGCGGTGCTTGAAGAACTCCAGCTCGGAGCCGACGCCATTCGGCTTGACGGAGATGTCGGTGAAGGGATAGCGCAGGCGGTACGGCGCATCCAGGGTGTTCTCGGGGAACTGATCCTCGAGGGCCTCCAGCTTCTGCAGCTGATGGCGCAGATTCTCCACGGGAGTGCAGGGCCTCTCCCCCTTGTAGCCGGTGTCCGAGTTCAGGCGCGAGGTGGACGCCGACTTGGTGCGGGAGAACACGATCCGGCTGATGCCCGTGCTGCCGTGCTCCTTGATCTGATTGCTGTTGCTGTTGCTGTTGTTGTTCCGCTCCAGATTCGATTGGAGGGCCACCGCAGTTCCCACCAGTTCCCGCGACGAGTTGCCATTGTCGCTGACTGTGCGGGCCGAGAGAACGCCGCTGGCGGACTTCAGAAAGGGTCCGTAGCGACCGTTGTTGTAGGTATTCGACAGCGTGGTGTCCGACTGACTAATGGATGTGTTGTCGTCCTGGATCTGCAGCTGCCTAATGCATGTGCTGTTGTACGACTTGGTCAGCTGACCCTTGTGCGGCACGGCTGGCTTCACGACGGCCTCGCCGGCGATTGCCTGGTCCGAATAGCTGAGCGATCGGTTGTCGCTATTCCCCGACTGCGGTTTGTAATAGACGACGGAACGCTCCAATTCCGTCCCGGACTTGGCGCTATTCGTGTGCGTGTGCGTGTGCTGGGACACCACCACCTGGGCCTCCCTGCGACGGTTCCTGCGCTCCAAAGACAGCTTGACATCTGTCTTGAGGCGAACGTACTTCTCCTTCAGGCAGCGGTACTTGTCCTCCAGCAGTCGCTTCTCGCAGCGCACCTTCTCGTACAGCCGCTCCTCGCCCTTCTCGCGGAACCGCTGCTTCTCCGCGTCCAGCTCCCGGGCGTACTTCTCGCGCAGCTGGGCGAGCCTGGCCGCCTGCTCGCGGCGCAGGATCTCCTCCTCGCCGTGCAGCTCGCGCTCCAGTTCGCGGAGGATCTCCTCGTGGTTGCTCTGCAGCGCGTCGATCCGGCTCTTGTGCTCGCTGACCACGAGACCCCGCTTGGTCTGCAGCTGGCGCTCCAGCTGCACGCGGTACTTCTCTATCTGCAGCTCGAAGGCCTCCTCCAGCTTGTGCTGGTGCGAGGTGAGGCGCAGGTCGTACTCGTGCCGGAACCTCTTCAACTTGGCCTCGTGATCCCGCCGTATGGCCTCGCACTCGGTCTGCAGCTGCGCCTCGCTTAGTTTGCTATCGGAGAACATGGGGTTGAGGGTCGAGTTGCCGGACAGCGACTTGTCGGGGGCTACTTGCGCGGACTTAAGTTGTAGTTGCTCCAGTTCGTAGCTGTGCCTGCGGCCCAGCTCCTCGAGATCGAAGCCATTGTTGCCGGCCAGCAGGGACGAGTCCTGCTCCGACTTGTTAATGATAAAACTGCGCACAGAACTGCCCTTCGAATCGGAGTCTGTGTCGTCGTAAAACAGCTTGGGTGTCTCACTCTCGTTCGGCTTGTCCGCTTCCTTGGACTTTTGTGCGCTGGTTGCGTTTAGAGATCTACTTGCGTCTAGCATAAAGGGATTTAAGTTGTATAGGCCCTCCATGACATGGAGATTGGCACCTTCCTGGTTCCACACGAGAGGCTCCTCCTTGGCTTCCTCATCCTCCTCGACCACCACCTCAACGTCCTGATCGTCCTCGTCGTCTTCGCTCTCCTTTCGCTTGTACGTCTGCGTCAGCTTTGTGGATAGGTTCTCCTCGGGAAGGTTCTTCACCCGCTCCGCCTGGTCGAGATTAAAGCGCACACTCTTCTTGTCCTCCACCTCGGACGTTGGCTCAAGGCGATCGAGCCGGCGGCTGATGTCGGTTATGCTGGAGTCCCGCAGGATACCCTTCACACCCGATGGCGAGGTGTAGCCATCGCTCTCCAGCTGACGACGCGCCTTCTGAAACATGGACACCGCCCCGGAGAATTTACCCACTCCAACTGCCTTACCATCGTGTTCCTCGGAGTTCTCCGACTTCCCATTCGGTGTGTGGCTGGCCAGACAAGGCTTGGCCGCGATTTGCGGCTTCGACTTGGCCACCTCGAGGCCCAGCTGATAGAACCGCCCGCCATCCTTGGATGCCGAGTCCAGGAACCGACTCTTACCTCCGTTCAGTAGACTTGGTGTCAAGAAGCTGGCCTTGTTGGCCAAGGACAGCTTCCTGGCGAAATTGTTTTGAGGCATTGGACCCGGCGAGGGGATTTCATCGATGCCCTGCATGCTACGAATGCCGGAGTCCAACTGCGAGTGGTCATCGGAGGTATCGGCGACTGCAGTGGTTTCCACCAGCTTTTGGCGAGCCTGGTTTACCAAGTCACGATATATTGCGTCCAGCGGGTGATCCCATTGCGACTCTTTGGTGCGCGTATTGTGGTAGTAGTGCCCGTTTTTCTCCTCCGAGTAACTGGCAACGAATTATGGAATGATTGCTGTGGCCAAAACTATTGTTCGAGGGATGATCTCACCATATTTTCCAATCCGTTGGCAATGCGGCCATGAGCCCTTCCTTAGCGAGGTAAAGCAAGTGCTGTTCCCGATGAGGATCGATGCCAATAAGAGATGCATAGTCGTTAATTTCTAAAAAAAAAAAAAAATAAAAAGATTGTGGCTAAAACTTTTAATGTAGTATATATTATTTGGAGTAGGAATTATTTAGCAATAATTTATATTAATTTTTAGCAACGATTTATATTTGTTAGCAATAATTTATATTATTTAGAAATAATTTATATTATTAAGCAATCATCTATAATTTGGCAATAATTTATATTATTAAGTTATATTTTATATTATTTAGCAATAATTTATTTTACTTAGATATATTTTATATTATTTAGCAATAATTTATATTATTATGCTATAATTTATATTATTAATTATTTATATTATTCATCAAAGAATTAATTGGCAATAATAAAAATGGAATTTAATAAAATGATTTTTGATTGTTTCATTGGGATACGATCCACACACGATCAACACCAATATTGGGTTTGAAACTCGGCTATGGTTTTTTGGACTTTGTTGCCACCTTCTAGGCATTTCTGTTCGCCTGGTATTTCGTTTTTAAAAATTGTCAATTTGGCTGTCCAAATGGACAAAAATACTCCTCGAACTGGTTGATTTTCATCGAATTATTGGATTTCCGCAACAGGCTCACATAATTCGTAGTAGGTTGCTACTGGTAAATTAGAGTTTACAGAATTCGATATCCACCTGCAAGGCGTTTTTGTTCACCAAATTGATATGCCAATTTGGTTGTCCAAACCAAACCTTTGTTCAAAATTTGACTACAAGCAATCTTTGCGTTCGATTCCCCTGCGTTTGGTTGCCCCCTCTTCCTTATCGATAGAAATTTTAATAACCTGGAAAAATTGACTTTTGCCCTTTTGCATTGCTACCCGCTACAAAATTTCACTTATAATTTGTTATCCTTTGCTATTTTATTATTCCTCCTCGAATTGTTTAAATATAAAAAAAAATTTTATCATTTAAAGTAGCCTAACTTTGTTCACTCTTAATTTTGCAATTCTGAAACATGTTTATGAAAGTGGGCGTTTTAATAAATAAATATATTCTACAAAACGTACCGTCGGATGAGGGAAAGCAGGCCTCGTCAAATACTTCCTCACAAATCACCGATGTACCCTGAGATGAATTGCTCGAAGGCTTTGTTGTTGAGACCGCTGTGGCTATTTCAGTTGTTGCTGTTGCCGAGGAAATCCTCTTGCACACACTGGTGGTTGTCATTATTGGAACTTTTTTTAATTTCACTAACCGACGAAATTAGGTGGAGCTGCCAATCGTTTTCCGAAATTATCCGTACTCAAAGTGTTGCTCAATATATTTACATATATCATTATATTTTTCACAATTGACAATCATAATTCTCCATTTTATTCCTAAGGACGAGCTGCCGACTGCAGAGAAAATGTCAGAATAAACGGATGCAGTTTGACCTAAAAATGAAAATATAAATACCTACTGAGTCATCGGTCCCTATGCGTGTGTGTGTGCGTGTGCAAGTTTGAGCATGCTCTGAAGGTGGGCCGTTCCGTTGCTGGCCAATTATCTGGTTGGCAACAGGATATTGCACCGAGTTTACATGTCTGCGCAGCCTGACAACACCGGGTTCATTTTTGACCACGAAAACAACCGAAAAACTCAATAAAAAATTGTTCAATGTTGTTATTATATTTTTGGTCAAAAACCACTCACCTTAAGCCTTAGGGTAGAAAATCCTTCCACTTGCCATTTATTTTTCGCCTAATTCCGTTAAATATATTAAGGTGAGTTTTCCAATTTTCATCCTTAACGGGTTACCAAAAAACTTGTCCTACTTCATGATTAGGAATAACAGAGATTCCGGTCTCCTAGGGATGCATTTGCACTATACTTGCGTTTTGACCAGAGCTTAGTATTTTTCATTCTCCTTTGCGTATGAGCCTTTTGCCCACACTGCATTTATTTGATGTCATCGTTTATCGGAACATGTCCTGCTAGAAAGTTTTCTCGATAGGAAAAAGTTATACATGAAAAAAAAGTATTCTTCGAATGCTATAAAGTATCCTATTACATTATTTTTTAAAAAGTCGTTCATAGCTAAATTTAAGTTGAATATTTAACAAACATTTTTTTTCCAATAAATATTCAGCTTTGCGATGGTGAAAATGGTGGAAACAGTGCATATATCATTTAATCGATCATTTTATAAATACATTTTTGGTATTTTATTTGCCATAGTCTCATTTACTTCAAAACAATTAGATATGTTTAAAACACTTCTCAACCCTTAACGAAAATAATAATAATAATAATAATATAATTATTCAAGCCCCATCACATAAAAAGGAAACGTTAGCTTTGTTATGGCGGGTATAAATAACTACTTAAAGTTCGTATATTGACCCTGTCACACCAAAATTTACTTTCTAATAAATATCATTCTTTTATAGATTTCAAACGGAGCGTGGACATCGCGATGATCACCTTGAAAAAGAACAACGGACTGGCGATGTACCCACCTTTAGTCCTAGAAAACACTTGGGAAGCAGGTACCACCCAACCCAAAATGTTGCAACCATTAATGTTAAATTATATAAATTCCCACGAATCTATTGAATCAGCATCGAGAAGTCGATTGTGGATAATATAACTGCCGACCCAGATGGCATAACGAGAATCCAGTATGTTGATTCAGACAACGCCTTATCGCTGCCATTGGGAAAGCATAAAGTGCTGGACAAATATTCGGATAATCAGGAGGATGGTAGGTGATCACCCAGCAGACTCAATTGTATCTTGTAATTTATATATCTTGTTCATGTCATACAGATATATCAGTTCGCAAGTATCTAGTTGTTGGCGTTCAGTGGGTTTCCCTGGTCACCGAGAACCTATTAGGCCATCCATTTGTCGTACTTCGTCGGCAATGTCAGGTGTATAATGCCTCGAGGCGCTATCACTTGCATCCCTTTTCACTTCTGCCTAGTATTGTTCATCTGCACAGAAGGCAGGGATTAACTACTCTATGGAAGGGAGTGGGCAGCTGTCTCCTGGTTCGCGGGATGACTTTGGCCATAGATGACTTTATCTCGAAAGTAACCAGCTGGCCCAAGGATGTGAACAGCAGAACATCCCTGAAGCGATTCGGTCAGCATATTCTACTCAAATGGTAAGCCTCTTGCACTTTCCCATGGTCCCATCCTGATTCCCATTTTTTTTAAGCATAAGCATTGGTTTGGTGGTGCCATTTCATGCAGCATCTCTGGTTGAGACCGTTCAAAGCGATATAGCCAGTGAAAAGCCTGGACTCTTCGATGTCTTTCGGGAGGGAAGTCTGCGACTCTTCTACTGGAGTTCCCCGCAAAAGGGACGAATGCTTCCGGCCTGGGCCTTAATTGGGCCAAGTGTTTCCTTTGGCATTACAAAGTATCTTTTTAATTTGGTCATTAGAGGCGTATCTTCTCGCATCATGCGAAGACGAATAACGAATTCCCAAGACAGCCAAGGTGGAAAGTTCTACGACAATACACTGGAGCACCAAAATGCAGAAATATATGCTAGTCTCATTGCTATACTAACCACTGAAGTCATATTCTTCCCCCTCGAAACGATTATGCACCGTCTGCAACTTCAAGGGACTCGAACTATAATCGACAATCTCGATAATGGCTATGATGTCGTCCCCATTTTGACAAACTATCAAGGAGTCGTCGACTGTTATCAAACAACGATTGTTTCCGAAGGCGTTAGTGGTCTTTACAAAGGATTTGGAGCAATGATCTTGCAATTTGCGGCACATGTTGCCGTCATTAAATTGGCCAAATGGGTTGTGAATCAAATCGCTGAGGTCATATCCAATCGGCCACCGCAGCGAATAGTGCAGTACTATAATCTTGATGGAGTCGCTTGCAACTCGAGATCCACGACGTTGTCGCCAAGCCTTTCAAGCACCGAAATGGAGGAGAACAGTGTTGGACAGAATTCACTAGATTAGTTAATTGCTAGTCCAATTATTATGCAAATGTAAATTATATGACACAATTTAAATCGAATTGGTTTTCGTTTTATTTTGGGCGGATGATTATTTTGCAGATCAAGTTTTTCTTCAGAAAATCGTCGTTTGCACCAGATAATTTTTGCACAATTTTTGATGACAGCCAATCTTTGAATCAAGCCTGCACAGCTCCAAAGTTCGTATTTACATCGAAAGGCATTTATTTGTTATAATCCTTGTGATCCACAAACAATATACACAACAACAGAACGTTAACAGAACAATATTTAATATAATTTCTGTTCATAAAATGTATATCGTTTGATGTTGCACATTCTAAATTTTTTCTACACGTTCTTTATTTCCTATACCACATCTGAAGAGTCTTCATGCGTTTAACCTTCTTCTGCAGCTGCAGAACGCCGTACATTAAAGCCTCAGCCGTTGGTGGGCAACCAGGCACGTAAATGTCGACGGGGATTATCCGGTCGCAACCGCGGACCACCGAGTACGAATAATGATAGTAGCCACCACCGTTGGCGCAGCTGCCCATCGAAATAACCCAACGTGGCTCGGGCATTTGGTCGTACACCTTTCGCAGTGCCGGTGCCATTTTGTTGGTCAGAGTGCCCGCGACGATGATGACATCGGCCTGACGCGGAGATGCACGGAAAACGACACCGTAGCGATCCATATCGTATCGCGGAGCAGCGATGTGCATCATTTCGACGGCACAGCAAGCCAGACCGAAAGTTAGGGGCCAAATCGAGCCTTTGCGACCCCAGTTGAGCAGATCATCCAGTCTGGCCAATGACCATTCGGCCACGGAGGATTGTTTCGTTCCAAACGGGGAGTATCCTTTCTTTGGCAAATTCTGCGCCACTTCGGCGACCGGAAGAGTTTGTTGTTTGCGTACCAAAACCATATTCAGTGCTGGCACAACCGATATCGTATTCGAATTCTGGATTGCCTTTTGAAATCCCCGGGCCAGGGTCGATGACATGATCGCCGAACGCAACATTTTGGTCCTGCAAAATTTAACGTAAAGTTATGCTTGACTAGTGCATTTAAACATTTAATACCTATTTATGTAACTTCAACTTATTTCAATTTATAAGGGATGCGTATAGTATGACCGACGATTTAATAATTGAAAATACCATTTGTCACGCAAAAAAAAGACTATAATATACCGACTGATTTGTTAATATTGTATTCTTACAGAAACACATCCACCGAAATTTATCGAAATAATACCTTTTTTCGACGAACGTGTCCACGATGTTCCTATTTCAAACCGTTCCAGATAGTCAACGCGTCATAATTTTGGATCCAACTACTAAGAAAAATAATATAAGCTTAAACAATAATATTAATTTTCTATCATTCTGTTACGAGGAACGTGAACCGAATGAAAAAAGACCTATTTAATAAATTTAGTCTAGCTTTTGCACTTTTTTCTTTATTTTGTAATATGTGTTGGTGTAATTAAGTTCAGTTATCGTCTATTGTTACAGCGGCTTGGATAATGTTATGCTAAAAATTGAATTATAGTAAAGCGAAAAATGAAAATCAAGCGACTCGATATTATTTGAGGGGCACTCTTAAAAACAAAGATCAAAAACCACTTATTGATTTAACTCGCTAATTTATATTTCAGTTAGAAGAATTGGTAGATTGCGCTTGCTTGATTTTACTTTTCCAAAATACTACTGATCGGAAGTAGCTGTATTTCAATTTTATTTTAGATTTCGTCAATGTTGATCTCGTCTCCTTCTTCATCAACCTTAACCTTATCCACTTTTTCGACTCTTGATTTGTAAACGGGTTCATCTTCTTCCTCAGACTCGGCATCAACCTCACTGTCAGAGGACTCCTCTTCGGCATTTTTCAGCCACTGGACGAACGGCATAACCTTCTCATGAATCTCGGTAGCAATTTTCTTAGAGACATGACGCTTGCTGACTTTTTGGGCCCAATCCAGAATGACCTTTTCATCGAGTATGTCTAAATCATAAAATATTTTAAAAACTCCAGCCACCTTGCTCATCAGTGTACTTGTATGCAGCTCGACAGTTTGTTCAACTCCGCCAATTAAATAGCGCTGTGCTTTCGGGTTATTGATTGTGAAGCGAAGAAGCAAGTTACGGTTTTTAGGCACCTCTTTGATAATATTTTCAGTGAAAAGCAGCTCGGCCAGGACCAGTGGTGCCTTATTGAGAATATCCAAACGTTCAGCTTCGATCAACAGTTCTTTGTGAATTTGTAAATCATCCAATTGCTTCTTGTCCCGCTTATCCTTTACCAATTCATAGAAAATATCAATGCGTTCCTTTTCAGTTTTATCATAGTCATCCGAAATAGTCATGCCCTTAGCACCATCAGTCAAATCTTGCAAGCGAGCACGTATAGCCTCCTGCAAAGAAAATTTGTATATTACCGTATGGGTTAACAATGTGTTTAATTAAAAAAATGTACATACCTTCGAAACATCGACGCTCCATCCCTCATCGTCGTCTTCTTTGACGCTCTTCTCCGGAATAGCGGCGCTAATTTCGGCCTCCGTTTGGCTAGCCTGGTTTGTGCCATTGCCGCCATCCGATTCTCCGCCAGAGTTATTGGCCAGAGAGTTGTTGGTCATTGAGCTATCCGAGTTGTCGTTCTTTTGCTTTTGCTTCTTCGAACGTTTGCCCTCGGTCAGCGACGATCCTTGGGCAGCCGGATTAAGCGATGGGGGATTTTTCACAATAAACGTGTTCACTTTGTGGTTCACCTTCAACAGACCATGGAAGCCACATGCCTTGCAAGACTGGGAAATGGTTTGGTTTTTGGCAGATACAGTCAGATTGGTCTCCGGATTGTCGCATTCGGGGCACAGCACAAACTTGCGAATGAAGCCATCCAGTAGATCCTGCAACTTGTTCACATCGTGCGATCCGTTCACAACAAAGCGTTCGTTCTGTAATTCGAACGGAACAATTAGTCGGTGAACAAGGCAACAGGATAATTACTACATACCTTATGATCGAACAGAGTCTGGGCGCCCAACTCGCAGCCGAAATACTTTGTTGGATAGGTTGCCGGACGGCCAATAGCGCGAGCTACTTCGGCCATGTTAACGAGAACGGTTTTAATGCCGTTCCCCTTGCCTTCGACCTTTGCCTGCAGACGTGGCATCTTGTAGCGATAGAAGATGTCCGTCACGCTGCGGTTTACGTTAACGGTGGCCATTTTGTATGCTTTTCGGTTCCAGGGGGGTAGTGCTAATTTGGCTTATTGTTCGGATAGTGTTCGTAATAGAGGGGGCCAGTGGTATCTATTGGTTGTTAGTGGAGGGTACTTTATTGACTTCAGGTTTTTCGCTAGTTTGTGATCTTTCCAACTTTCGTTTCCGTTCATTAAATTTTCTTTTTTTGGTATTGCCGCTGCTGTGTGTTCACTCAACAATTTTACCGAGAATAAGCATGAATTTTTATCTTGCCGGAACTGCGAATAAATTGTGCTTTTACTCAAACAATGGTGCGCTCAATTTGTAGATTCAGCTAGAATTGCTTGAGAGTAATATTCTTATAATTGTTTCGCAAAAATATTGCTTGGTTGTCGTTAAGCTGAAGTTCTGGTTGATTTTTGCCTTGGTAAATATTCAGCTATTCTATTTTTTCCGTTATTGTATGAATAATTAAATATATACATATATATATCTATATATATAACTATGTATTTATATATATATATATATTTATTTATATTGTAAATTTACCAGTTCAAGTCTTTAAATAATGGCAAAACAGCAGGCTCATGTGTACCTGAATGGCTGTAACTTCCGATGTCTGTTACTCGAAGTCCTGCAAAGGCAAAAGTTTAAATACGTTTGTAAATCGTTGCACAAACAACCAATAAATTAACATAAATGGTTCTTCTCTTTAAGCGCCTTACAGTCGCTCAAATATATTTTTAAAAACATTTCACAAAATAAAATGGTTAAAATAATAAGTCTCAGTCTTCTGCGTAAAGCGAAGAAAATCCGAATTTTTTGGTCACCAAGCTATAATTAAACCTAAAAGTTGAATCAATTTTCAACGGGTATTAAACGCATTTGGTATTATAGAATCTAAAAACTTCTTATTGTCTCCAGAATTGGGATTATACATAATCATAAATCTGATAAAAATTTTAATTCTACACTCAACCTTGGGAATTCCTTTTTTAATTAAAAATTAGTACACTAAGGATTTTATAAATGTTTGAATTCCCGATTTTGGATTACAAAAATACGGAACACTTGAGTTGAAATCACTTAATCTCATAAGAAAGAGACAAAACAAAGCGAATAATTTTAACTGTAGCTTTGCGTTTTACTTACCGGTGACTTATGGTTCGCCCTTTTGAATTCATGCACAGCTCGAACCCTTTACTCCGTTTTTGTTGAATGAGTGGTGCGGTTTTTTTTGCTGGTGTGTCTGAAAACAATTTATTGTTTATTACACAGATATAACAATAACTATCAGTTCATATTGCATTCGAATTAATGATACTTAAACCAACAATGCTTTCATACATCGACTGAATTGTAAACATAACACTACGAGAATTTTGAAGCTGATAAGGACTTGTATTTGTTCAATTTCGTTGGGAGCCAACTATAACTGAAGCCGATTTTCTTTGTTGCGGAGCAATTTTGAAGCAACAAAAATTTGAACCACGCAATAGGGCGATGCACTTAGCTCCATTTATTCTGCAATAAACTTCACAGAAACGTGTGTCCTCAAGATTAATTTTTCGAAAGGGAAGAGAGTAACCGCAAAATAAGGTTTACACAGAAAATTTGGGTAGATGTGATTTTAATAGTTTCTATTGATATCTCTACTGGTATACTGATAAATCGTTGAAACTGACAACTATTTCAGTAGCGATTGGGATTCCTATTTATTCAAAAATTGAGAAGCTTAAATGTTAAGTAAACTAAGATCCAACTTTTGGATGACATTATACAACTTGGCAAAACATTATCAGTTTATTTTAAAAATTTAAAAACAAATTTCACAACACTGTTAAAATCTTTTTAAAAAAGGTTAATGAATTTTTATTCTATTTTTATCATCAATACAATTTTTTACATTTTCTTTTAATCCAGGAACATTCTGGATAAAAGTAGCTTATATTGTTTGACACCGTGTATAAACAAGGTTCAAAGGTATCACAAAACATAAACAAAAAAAAATAATAATTCACTCCTTCACTCTTTTTTCACTTTTGAAGCGTTGAATGTCGTAATATCCTATTGTTGTCGCAGAGTTATATTAAATATTCTTAGATAAATAAACCCACAATCCATTTATCGATTTAATGAGATCCTTAGTACTTACCACCGTATCTTTCAAAAGTCATATAAGATTTTGTTTCCCCTCCTTGGGGTGCGCAATGCCAGTTCGCAAATTAGACAAAAGATTCGTACTCTCTGGTATTCTTTAAGTCAATTGAAAATTGACTCGGAAAATATATATAGAAATCAAAAGCAAACGAATCGCACTTCCACAGGAAATCGGTAAGTTTATCAGCAGTGTTTCCAGTGCTAATATTTAAATATAAGTGACGACGCTAAAGGCGTTATATATCGCAAAAAATTTAATTTCTGTCTCGACTATTCTGTAAAGAAAAAAAGAAAAAAGTGGGTAAAATTAGGAATGCGCATGAACGAGCATATGTATACCAAACCGAATACCTTATATTGCCTACTCTAACTCAACTATTTAGTTTCGAAATTAAGGTTAATATTACACTCGAGCACATACATATATACATATAATTACTTATGTATTCAAAAGTAAAAAAAAATACAAAACATCAAATATACTATTTTTATATTAACGTGACTTATATGTACTTTGCACATGGTTTCAAGTTTTTCAGGGATGTTCGATTAATCCAGCGTTATTGAAAGTTTTTAAAAGCTTATTCGCTCAATATATGTACATTTTCATGCACGTATGCATTTACATATGGATGAAGCCACGCCATTTGATTTTTTTGAGGTTGTGTTCGTATTAATCACACTCACTGTTTTATACCTTTGTATCCAAGATTTTCCAATACGTTACGTGTAACAATCAAAGTAAATGAATAATTTTGCTAAATAAACCATTCAGGAATATATATATTCTCCAAAGTTAAACATACGACTATACGTCACTGCACAATATGACCATAATGATTTTAGAAGGGATGCAATTCGATGTACATCGATTGCTCAAATATGTTAAAATCCTCACACTATCGATTTCTTGCGATATTAATTTTCAAACCACGACATGGTATTTTTAAAACAACCGAAATATATTTATACTAATTTTTATGCCAAATCGCTGAGTTCGTTTTTAACCAATTTTTTTTATCGCAAATCGTTTTTTGTCAAATTTAATTTTTTTTTTGCTTTAATAGTAACAGGAGATTCTATTGTCAAAAAATTGTTTAAAAAGTTTGCAGAAAGAAACAATTTATTTTTAAAGGCTGTCACTCTTTATTTAAAAAATAATTATTTTACCCTTACAAACGCAGTCTGCTTTCACTTATTTAGTAATATATTTTTTTATACTTTTCCGATAGAACTTATGACTAGCTGCCAAGAAAATATCGCCTTTTTTGATATGCTGAAGACAAATTTCTAAAAGCTTCTTTGATATATTCAACTTACTCAGATAAGTAAAAACATTGTAAATTAGTTCATTAGTTCGATGTCGATAATTCACGCGGGCAGTGTATAAAAAACATAAATAAAATTAAATTAAAATATCGATTTTAAATGTTTAGCCTGTGAAAATACTTTGGTATTAATATTTTTGCCTTGGCAAGTACTTATCGATATTTTTATATTCCTTGGCAACCTTTATCATATCGATTTATTTTTCTGCGTATACAGAACGTACTTTCCTTTCGTTGTATTCACAAAAATAATATTTTTATACACCTGCGGAAACCTTTTACATTAAAAAATGTGTCGCTAATTTAGTGTGTATTGTATATTGTATACGAATTGCCCGGCAGATAAATAAAAAGTCAATCGCAATAAAAACAGTGAGTATAAAACTCAAGTGGACGCTTCTGAATACGTACCTTCATATATATCGATATGAAGATATGTGTATATATCTTGTTATAAACAGTTTAGAATATTTTCTGACGTAATAAACATCCATAAAGATAAACCTAATAACATGTAAAACTTTTTAAACTATAAGAATACACTATTGGAACAAATACCTGTATGTATATATGTATATTCAAATATGGGCAGGTTTCCTGAAGCTGTTTTATTTTTTTCTGTTCCCCCACCAGAAAATATACTTACAAGTGTATGTATGGATGTACAAAATCCAGCGTCATATCTTTGCATACAGGATAAATACTTTAAATGTTATTTACAAAATACAAAGAAAAAAGAAAATATAGATAATTGCGGAAATTATATTTGTTTTAAACGCTTCAAGAAGCATTTCAACCCCTAAAAGATATCCTGCGTTATAAGTTTGCGACAGGTGGAAATTATTGCTTTTATTGGCCATTTAAAACACAGATTGTCAGCCCCAGACGCAGTTTTTTTTCCAATCGGATAAGAAAATGTCTTCAGAGATGGGGATTATGGGGGAGTTTGTGGGATTTCTGCCGTAGATTTTTTCGGTTGCAATGAAAATAGAGCTACGTCTTAGCAATATTTTTTTTAAGTAAACTTATTGTCAATATTAAAAAGTAATAAGAAAAACTTCACAGTTTTCTTACAACAAACAAAAAGATCCCAAATTAAAATAAAAACTTAAGAATTACTTTAAAACGGACTTGCATTTATATTAAAATTGAAATTATTTTTATTTTTGTTTTGTTTTCAGAAATAAATATATTTGCTTGCTTTGAACTTAATTGGTGAGCCATGGAGGATCCGAATCGCATGTTGGCTCACACCGGCGGCATGATGGCTCCGCAAGGATACGGTTTGTCTGGCCAGGACGATGGCCAGAATGCTGGCAGCGAAAACGAGGTGCGCAAGCAAAAGGACATTGGCGAGATCTTGCAACAAATAATGAGTATTTCTGAACAATCACTTGACGAGGCGCAAGCCAGAAAACATACACTTAATTGTCATCGGATGAAGCCGGCACTCTTTTCCGTATTGTGCGAAATTAAGGAAAAGACTGGTAAGTCTAGCAGTAAAGTTTGTATTGTTTCAAGATATATGTACCTGCTGTGAAAACGATCTATCCCTATTCTTAAATTCGATGTTAGTTACGAAACGTTAGTTAAATTTGCCAGGCTATAAAGGCATCTGTTTTCTAAGGTTCTCAAACTCATAAAAACTCTATCGTTACAGTCCTTTCCATTCGGAATACCCAGGAGGAGGAGCCCCCAGATCCACAACTGATGAGATTAGACAACATGCTGATTGCTGAGGGCGTGGCTGGACCCGAAAAGGGAGGTGGCGGAGCGGCCGCAGCATCTGCGGCTGCTGCCAGCCAGGGTGGATCCTTGTCCATCGATGGCGCTGACAATGCCATCGAGCATTCCGACTATCGTGCCAAGCTGGCACAGATCCGTCAAATCTATCATCAAGAGTTGGAGAAATACGAGCAGGCATGCAATGAGTTTACCACGCATGTCATGAACCTTCTACGCGAACAAAGTCGTACGAGGTAAGCTGAGATGCTTAGGTTGGGTTTGTATATGATTTAAGTTGAATCATAATTTCAGACCCATTACACCAAAGGAAATCGAACGAATGGTGCAGATTATCCACAAGAAGTTCAGCTCCATACAAATGCAGTTGAAGCAGTCGACCTGCGAGGCTGTAATGATTCTTCGTTCGCGTTTCCTAGACGCTCGTCGCAAGCGCCGCAACTTCAGCAAGCAGGCATCTGAAATTCTCAACGAGTACTTCTACAGCCACTTGAGCAACCCATATCCATCCGAAGAGGCCAAAGAGGAATTGGCACGAAAATGTGGCATCACGGTAGGTTTAATCATTAACTTTAGTGCCTTTCAATTTCAGCATAATAATTTCGAACTCGTTTGCGGGTTAGGTATCGCAAGTGTCCAATTGGTTTGGCAACAAGCGAATTCGCTACAAGAAGAATATTGGTAAGGCACAGGAGGAGGCCAACTTGTATGCGGCCAAGAAGGCTGCTGGTGCTTCACCGTATTCCATGGCCGGTCCTCCAAGTGGGACAACCACACCTATGATGTCACCCGCTCCGCCACAGGACTCGATGGGCTATCCAATGGGCTCGGGTGGCTATGACCAGCAGCAACCGTACGACAACAGCATGGGTGGTTACGATCCCAATCTACATCAGGATCTAAGCCCCTGAGGATCAGGGCTGTGAACCACTCCCAATCGGAGACTCCCCCATACAGTTGCGGTCAAAATAACTGCTCTGAAAATCTATCATGCAGTTTCTTCCTAACTAAGTTCTCTTGCGGCGAAATACGTTTTATATTTGCTCTTTTGCCAAGACCAACAGTTCTGCTTTCCTTTTTTTTTCTCCTTCAGTTAAGTTTTAAATTCGCGCAGATTAAGATATAGACATTAGGACTTAAATACGATTACTTAATAGTTTGCGTTTGCTAGATTTTGGTTCGTGAAAAAACATAATCCTTCGAAACAAATGAGTATAACAATCAAACCGGGATATTAAGAGCTCGCTTAATTAAATGTTTGCCTGTTAAAAAGTTTTGGCAATTTCTTATAGGCTTTTTAATTATCGATCAAGTGCAAGCATGTGTTTAACATGCAAACTGTAAAATAAACAAATACGTAATATTTTATTAAGGCAGCTATACTTTTTTGGCCCACAGACATCGGAGTCAGATCGTAACATGAATCCTTAAGAGAAAAGTAATTAATGCAGAGCCTTCTTCTGTAGGACGTCATTAGCTTATATATTAATCATTGAAAACATATTCAAAGAAACGCAATTTAACTGGTAGTATACGAATATTTTAATATAGAACGGAAGCACAATTTTCAGGGCTTTCACTTTGACCGCAGCTGTGTATAAATATATTTTAATACATTTACCTATATTTGCGGGTATATACAAATATTGCATGTGTAAATCATACTATGACGATTCTTTTTGGCTACAGTACGTATACGACAGCAAAATAGTGTTTACTAAATTTAAACCTGTACGAAATTTTTAACTTGAACAATACGAAACTAAACCATGTATACGATGTATATCAAATAAATAAATAATACATGTTGTTGTTATCCGCACACGTCAAATAATTAAAACTATTTTATATGTAAAAACGGTTAAGTCGACAACAAATTTAAAGCCCCATTCCTAACGAAAGACGAATTTTACAGTTTAAAAATATTTGAGCAATAACATTTTTGTTGGCAATTTACAAAGCTTAACATTTTTTGTGTTTTATAAGTTTTATTCTACACACATTTTTTCAAAATATTGCTGTTGTCAATTAAAAAATTTAGTATACTTTTTTTAAAATCGGGTTTAGTGTTATGAAAATTATTTTTAAATTGTAATCGTACTTTACTTAGTTTTCATTGATTCGTCTTTCGTTTCGAATTAAAAACAAACAATTCCTTGCCTAAATTTAAAATTGATACTAAAACAGACTATTTCAAGAAATACAAAACGATTATAATTTTAACTGATAAAAATTATATGTCTTCGCCCGTCTTTCGCTCACTTAAAGGTAAAAAACAAACCATTCAATGTATTTCAGTAAGATAAGGTATTGCATTAAAAATTTTGGATAACAATAGAAAAATATATAAATACACAACTTTACACGAATAACTAAATAAAAAAAGCCTCGTATTATTTAATGGGGTTAAGGGAAGAATCAGTGTTCAAATTTGGTTTCTGTTTGGCTGTCAAGTTTTTAAGATCTTTCTTCTTTTCTTGAAACTATCCTACAGATTCGCAATTAAAGTATGTACATATGTACTTATCAAGGAATAAATAGGTAAGAAGTCTTATAGCAATACACGACTTAGAAAGAGATAGAGAAAGCCTTTGTAGTGACGCTCTTGAGGAGTGGGTTTACTTTTCCCCTTTAGGGGGCCAAAAAAACACTATACCATATTAAATAACATTTAAGCTGTCCATAAATTTTACTAAGATTTTGGTTTTTTCCAAACATAGCTAAGGGGTAGCTTGCTTAAAGCATAAAAAGCCGTTATATGGCCATTATTTTAAAATTTGAATTTAATAATAGGTGTAAGTGTATAAAAAAAATATTTAAAATAATTTTTTGAATTGCGTTTCTTATTTCACAATTTAAGCGAATTAAAAATTTTATTTGTTTTTTAAATAAATGTCTTTTAAAACTTAAGCCTGTATTAAATAAAAAAAATCCATATGTTCCAGCTCCAACGTTCCATTCGTGAAACATTTATTTGTCGCGACTTAACGCGCATACTTGAAGCCGGAATGGATTTATTGAAATTGTAAAAACGGTCACATTGTTGGCAACACGTGCATGATTTGATTTGAATTCGATTCGGTTTAAGGTGATTTTTACTAAATCACATTAAAAATGGGCAAGAAAACCAAAGTTGGAAAGACCAGGAAGGATAAATTCTACCAGCTAGCCAAGGAGACTGGTCTTCGATCGCGTGCTGCCTTCAAATTGATTCAGTTAAATCGTAAATTCGGTTTCCTGCAGCAATCACAAGTATGTTTGGATCTGTGCGCAGCTCCCGGAGGATGGATGCAGGTGGCCAAACAGAATATGCCCGTTTCGAGCATTGTCATTGGCGTTGACTTGTTCCCCATTCGACCAATTGCCGGTTGCATTGGTCTCGTGGAGGATATCACAACCGATAAGTGCAAACAGTCGTTGACCAAGGAGTTGCAATCCTGGAAAGCCGATGTTGTGCTTCACGATGGTGCCCCAAACGTGGGTCGCAATTGGTTGTATGATGCCTATCAGCAGATTTGCCTCACCCTAAATGCCCTCAAGTTGGCCACACAATTTCTGCGCAACGGCGGTTGGTTTGTCACGAAAGTTTTCCGTTCCAAAGATTACAATGCCTTGCTTTGGGTTTTAAAGCAGCTCTTTAAGAAAGTGCATGCCACCAAGCCGAGTGCCTCGCGTAAGGAATCCGCTGAGATATTCGTCGTTTGCCAAGGATACTTGGCACCCGATCATATTGATCCCCGTCTATTGGACTCGAAGTATGTCTTTGAGGAGCTTGATCTTGATGCAAAGAAGAAGAGCAGCCTCCTTCATCCCGATAAGCAGAAACGCATCAAAGCCGAGGGATACACAGCACAGGATATTGCGCTGCGCAACGACTTGGCTGCCACAGAGTTTTTAAAGGCAGAAAATGCCCTGGCAGTCCTACAAGGCATTGGTTCTATTCGCATCGATGATGATCGCATTGCAAAGCACAAGAAAACCACGCCAGAAATCCTGGAATGCTGTAAGGATCTCAAGGTGTTGGGTCGCAAAGATATCAAAGGGCTTGTGCAGTGGTGGAAGGATGTAAGGGAACTTTTTGTGAAGAAGGAAACGCCATTGGAAGTCGGTAAGTCAAATGAAGAAGAGGAAAAAGTCAAGCCATTGACACAAGAGGAACTGGAGGACATGGAAGATGCTGAACTGCAAACGCAAATCGATACCATTATGGACGAGGAGAAAAAGGACTTGAAGCGAAAGCGCAAGAAGACGCTAAAGACGAAGGCCAAGTTGCATGAGAAGATGAACCTCAACATGGTTATCAAGGGCGACGATGGTCCCGTCGAGGAGGCTGAGCATGAAATCTTTGATCTTAAAAACATCAAAACAGCCGATGAACTGGACGAATTGCTCGATGTTCAGCCCGATTTTTCGGTGGATGAATCTGCGCCCGAGCAAGCTAAGCTTGCAAAATATAAATATTTTGACAAAGATGACACGAAAATGAATGACGATTTGCACTACGAGGACGACGACGATGACGAAGAGGAGCAAAGCAATGCTTCGGATGATGAAGCAAATTTAAATAAACAGGGTCTGGGTCTCAGTGACGAAGATGACGACGTTTCAAAGGGTAAAAGCAAGAGGAAAAAGCGCACCGAGAATCCACTTATTAAATCGTCTGATTTTCGCGATAAAAACACCAAGCGCGAGCAACGCGTACAGCTTTGGTATGAGAAAGATGTTCTCCAAAATATCCAATCGGATGATGATGAGGAGAACTACGATCTGGACAATCTGGCAAAGGAGTATAAGGCAAAGGGAGTTTCAGTATTGGGCGAAAGCAGCACCCTTGCCGCGGATGCAAATGAGGAAGTTGTCAAGGGCAAGAAAGCCAAACGCCGAGCACGTCATCAGGAATCAAAGGAAAGCAGCTCAGAGTCCTCCGATTCCGAAGACGAAGTTAACAAGGATGGCGAAGAAACCAATACAGGTTAGTATTAAACATTTAATCGTTATGCTGACTAACAGTTTAAAACATATAAAATGCTGGTCACTAACATTTATTGTCAAAAGAAAAGCCTTTCTAAATTTGCTTTCACCATTTGAACATTCCAGAGGCACCTGTGAAAAAGGTTCGCTTAACCGAAAGTGAAATGGCCTTGGGAGCATTTTTAACACGCAACAAGAAAACACGCCGAGACCTGATCGATGCTGCCTGGAATCGATATGCCTTTAACGATGAGAATCTGCCCGCCTGGTTTGTGCAAGACGAGGATGAGCACATGACCAAACCGCAGCCAGTTCCCAAGGAGCTAACTGCCGAGTATCAACGCAAATTGCAGGAGCTCAATGTGCGCCCGATCAAGAAGGTAATGGAGGCCAAGGCCCGCAAGCAGCGTCGTGCCACAAAACGCATGGCCAAGGCAAAGAAACTGGCCGAGAAGATCATGGAGAACACCGATTCCACCAATCACGAAAAGTCGAAACAGCTCAAGAAGGTGTACAAGAAGGCTCAGGAGAAAAAGAAGGAGGTTACGTATGTTGTGGCCAAGAAACAATCGGCAGCTCGTCGAGCGCGTCGTCCAGCTGGAGTGAAAGGTCGCTATCGCGTCGTGGATCCTCGCGAGAAGAAGGACAAGCGCTCGCTGGACGCAAAGAAGCGACGCGAAAAGGGTGGAAAAGGGCGCAAGGGCCGAAAATAAAATATAAACTGTATAAAGAAATGTAACAGTAATGTTTTTTTTAGATATTAAATATATGCGTAAAAATTAAATTGACGTTGAAACTTTTAGAGGGTATATTAAAAAATAAAAATTTATAATTTTTATTAAATAAAAAAGGTTCTTATTGGGTGGTTAATAATGAATGGAATATCTTCACAGGAAAACGACGTAAGACCTCTGTTAAACAGAAAACTCGTCAAGTCTTAATTAACAAATAAATATTTTTTGTTTGGATCTCTTCAACCGAAACAACTCAAAGTTTAAATCAAAATATTATTGTCTGATGCCAAACCACAAAATCCCACCAAACGGAAGAGACAACAACGAACGATAAAGTAGGATGTACATATGTGTCCATTGCCACACCTTAAAACGATGTGTCATCAAAAACATCTGGATAAAATTGCACTTAAAAAAAATGGGGAAGGTATCTCCTTTGGGATTTTGGTTGTTCTTCACCTTATTCGAACCCACCTACACATTAAAAACTACAATGTTTTCAGAAGTCTTTCGTACTCTTATTAAATTCAATTGGCATTTAGTAAACTAATTTATTTCGATTTTATGCGTTATTTTTAAATCAAAAATTGTGCATTATGACGCCTGGTATTTGACGATAATGCTTTAAACACAATATTAAAAGCAAAACCATGTCCATTATCTGAGTTTGCGGCTATACGAAGTATGCCGGATAAGCTAGTGTATTTATAAGTAATTTTTAATAATAATAATAATAAATAAATGCATACCGGTCTGTTAAATATTTGTTTCATTTCATATAAATAATTTTTATAAATGATATTCTGTTTACTATTCCAATACAATTCAACCAGTTATTATGAGTTCTTATTTTATGTATTCTAATAGTATACACATATAAATATTTTTATAAAAAGGTATGAAGGGACTTGTAGATAGATAAGAAGACGACAGCTCTTTTATTATCCGTTCTTCGCACTTTATTTTAGCTGATCATCTCGCGATACTTTAGTTTATGCTTGGTCAACATGTCCGTAACTGTGACCAGCTTTTTAATTGAAAGTATGTTGGATAATTCGTGTAGTTCTTGCGAATGTGACACGCAGATGTGATGCAAGGTAGCCAGCTCGCGCCCTTGGAGAACAATAAACAAAATATATTTATTTATTAAATATGAAAGGAATATTAGTTTTGAAAACCAAAGTTCAAATTAAGTTGGCAGAAAAATGATTTTATATTGCTAAAATTTGTTTTTGCATTTTTCTAAACATATGTACATATGTGTATATAATCCGAAAGGCCGAAGAAATCATCATTTTTTAATGTGAATGTGCAATTTAATGTTAATTAATGAAATGACTAAAGCAACAGTGCATAAATAGCAAGATAAATCTTATTATGTGTGTTTGACAACTTACCAGTGTCTTGCGAATTGAGATTTGTACTTTGTTCGACAAACATTCCAAGCGGAGGATTCGGATCGGTTACCAAGGATAGTTGATCCAAGAACACAATCATGCGTTCCTTGTTTTTCAAAATAAACGGATTGACAACCTCCATGTATTGTTCCTGAAATAAGGAAGTGCAATTTTGCAAAATAATAATTATATAAATATGTATACCATAATTCCACTCACTTTGCCGCCAAACTCAATCAAGTTGGCCAGATTCTGCAGACACTTGGCGACCATGACTAATGAACGAGTGGCTGCCATCGGAGGCGTCTCACTGACCAGGCCAAATTGGCGCGGATTCAGCAACGCCGGGCACAATAGACGTAAGAATATAAAACCAGAGACGACTCGGGTGCGCACCAGCCGCTCTGTTGGCCACTTAGCCATCACAGCTTTCTGAAGACAATTGCAAATGAAGCGCACGTTTCGTGGACAGGCGTCCGGTGAAGTGAATATTGACTGGGTAACAAGATCAAGGATCTGCAGAAGGAACTCTGCATTCGTACAGGCATCATCGTTGACGTCCATTTTAGTTGGATTCAATTCAGCCGACTGTTTACTTTCGAGAATACGCTGTACAGTTTCGCTAACTGCCGACTGCAGGAAACCACTGCATTCAGTGCGCATATATAGATCCATTAGTGTTGTGGCCAGAGAAGCGCCCCGAAACAGCGTTGTCGTCTCATTTTCACGCGTCACCTCCGCTTGGCACAGCATTCGAATTAATTCCGTCTCCCGTTTCTCCTGCCGGAATACTCGCAACAGAGCCGTGGCCAAAGGAACGCGATCGTTGTGACACAGTTCTGCCAACGCCTTCACAGCATAAAGTTCCGATTCGAGCAGCAGTTGCTGCAGAGGACTGTACTCCTCGCATGGCATTATCAGATCGTCGAGGTAGCGCATACGCAGCCGCAGCGAACCCCATTCACCCATGGGCGTCATTCCGGTGAGCTGGTACCAGCCCTCGGTCTCCTGTCCATTCTTCAGGCTCGACAAGTCAATGGTTAGCTCGGCCACTTCGGAATCTTTGCCACGTTTTCCCCGAGATATTAACGTTATGGTTAGGGAGACAACATCTGGCGGAACATCGCTGCAAGAAAATAATTCATTATGTAGGTGCTTCTCAAGCTCTAAAAAAAATATATGTATTAAAAACAAACGAATAAGAGAAGTTCGCTTCGGGCTAATTGGTTTTTTGGTTTAGCTAAAAAAAATTTAAAAAGTAACCCGATAAATACTTACTCTAGTACAAACTCCTCCTCCCAAACGGGTTCGGGTGCAATTTTGACACGCGTCTTGCCCACTTTGACTTGGTTTAGCGAAATACTGCAGTATGGATGTGGCACTAGTTTGAATGGTAAGCGATGCGCTTCGAGCACATGCAGATTGAGACAACGAAGCTCGCGTAGACGCGACACCTTCTTCTGGGCCCGACTCAACTGTGAGTCGCACTGGGCCTTCAGAGAGTTGATCCATTCCACGTAGCTTTCCTGACTAGGAGCACAGAGATATGTCACGGTGGCCAAACAGGGCAACGCCCTCTCGACAATTTGAAAGCAATAGGGACGCTCCCACAGAGAGTCGTGACATTGATAGAGGTAAGCACATGACAAATCGATCAGACCCTTCGGTTTGGTCTTCTTCGGATTGTCGTAGAAACAGAGTTGCGTCTCAGATCCGTCGTTAATTAAAGCGAAATATAGTTGCTTCCATTTGGTCGTTTTATCGGATTTTTTGTTTAAATGCCCATGGTGTTTGATTCCTTTGATTTTCTTAAGGCCAATTTGGTCGCGACACTCACGCAGTGTTGCGTAAATCTTTTCAGCAGCCTTCTCCACGACGTATTGCTGATTGAACTCCGGCTGAATGCCATTGACAACGGGATGATTGAGTGAGTGGCCCTCGACAATTTGCTCCTTACGATATCGATTTATAACTGCGTCCAGGCATTCAAAAGTCCGCCCGCCCATCAAATATCGTACGCCCTTCTTCTCAATACGAAAGCGTTGGATTTGGTTGTTTATGTGGAAGAAAAGAGAGTAGTCACCGGGAGAGTTGTCGCTGGGACGAACCAAGAAACTTCCTGGACCAGCTGTAAAAATGCATAAAAAACAATTAAATAAGAAAGGATATAGGATATAGGAAATAGGAAAAGTAAACAAACCTTTAACCAACATATCGACGGCTTCGTTTTTGGTACAGTTCGGGTGGAACCAAGGAAACACGGTATTCGGATCAATCGATACATCCAAGTCATCAACAAGTTCTCGGAAAATCATTCCCTGCTCGCCAGTACGATGGGCCGTCACCCACAACCATCCGTCGCCCATGTCATTGTGCACGAAGAATATATCACCTTTCTGGAAACTCAGCTCATCGGTCTCTGGCATTTTGGTGTAAGGCAGGATGGCAACGACGCGCTTCTTGTCATTTACTGGCTCCGGCGGGGCAACTGGTATGGCTAACCTTTCGCGTTTTAGTAGGTCGCTACATGAGGTATAATAGCCAACTAGATCGCTCAAGGAAATGAATTGTCGTCCACCGATATAAAAGTCTCCGCAAACGGCTGTGATTCTATAAAAGAACATTTCAAAGAAAATAAATGTAATATGTATAAAATATAAATATAAACATTAAATAAATATATGCCTAAGACTATGTATAAACATTTTAATTTAGGGACTAAAGGGGCTACCTTAACAAAACTTAGTTCTAGGACAAAATACACTTACCGAAAATGGTTTATGCCGGTGCGCCCATAATAGCTTAGTACATAAGAGCCAGGCTTGCGGTCACTTTCACGGACTGCCAGGCATTAAGATGCAGCGGCAGAACAGATAAATTTATTTAGAACCTTTTCACCCAAAGCAACAAATTGTACTCACCTAAATAGCTGCCCAATTTACTGCTTCCCCTGAGACGCGACTCTGCGGAATAGCGATCGAGTCGTCCATGGTACCATTCACTTTCCGGAGGAGCAATAATCGCTGGACGTTCACCTTTAATATGAATTTGAATTTGCCGAAAACGAACAAAAATTCAGTTTTAAGAAGAAACAAGGCTTGTGTTGCATTCTTTAAATATTAACTCCAGAAATAATAAAAAAAAAACAGACTAAAATAATTACAAATTTCGCTTACCATTTTGCATATGGGGTCCATCGAATTCGTCGTGATCCAATTCCTGTGCTAAATCGCCCAAGTCGATGCCACCAGTGGCCATTAGGCCATTGGGTGGCATACCCAAGCCACTCATGCCACCCAATCCCGCCAAGTTTCCATCGTCGGAACAGCCCGTTGGCGATCCGGGCTTATCTTTTTGAATGACCACATCTATATTACCCAAATGTATTAGGTCCGCCATGTTATGCTTTAAATTTCTATTCAGTAAATGGCAGTCTTAGTCTATATTTAACTTTTAGCTGAGTTCGTTTTAATAAAAGCCACATATAGCAACAATATGTTTGCGTATATTAAAAAAAAAAAATTTGTTATTTTGATTGTATTGCGTTTTCCGTGCTGATCATGTGTTTGGCTGTAAAAAGAAAATTATAGCAATAAGATCATTTTTTATATTCGTGAATACAAACAATTTAATTGTAAAGCATATTGTTAATAGAGCGCTGTTAAATAAATAATATACCTAATTTTTTACATGTTTTATTAGGTCATCTAATTCTACGAATCACTTATGATAATGCGACATTTAGAGGCAAGCAGATTTGTCTGTAGAGAATAAGGATCCGAACAAAAAATGACTCATGTCGAAAAAAATCATACATTTTTTGACTAATCAAAATAAATACATATTTGAAAATCAAAAACTGTCCAACAAAAAAATTGGGGACCGAAGTCAATCGAACAATTCCACATGTTTAAGAGCAACTAAAGTTAATTGATTTCGTAATTTTAATAAATGTTAACTTTTGAGATTTATATATATATATATATATATACTAGAAATTCAATGGGAAGGGCATTCGCTCAATTTGTTCGAAAAATATTATTGCCATTTGCAGAATTTCAACATTGAAATCAAACTTTTTCCGGATAAGGCAGTTTAAGCTCAAAAATCTTTTGGATGAGAAAAGTAAACATTTTATGGCCGAATAAAATGATAAAAAATATTCTTTTTTAATTACAAAAAATAGGAGTTTTGGGTTCCTGGTCAACTTTTTCAAGTTGTTTATTTGTCTGTCTTATGACATGAAGATTGAAATACGAATTTGTTGCTTGTATTATTGTTTATAATTATGGTAAATAAACTATGGGTTGCATTTATCTTTAAGTTTTATTGTCAAAATGGGATGCTTAGCGGTCCTATCGGGTAAGCTTGGACATTCCCAAAGTTACAATATATCTTTCCCGTTACTTATTGGTCTGGACTGAAGGGTCGTCCATCCAATATATTTTTTTTATATGTATATGTATCGGTTTTCGAACCACTGACAACTGCTGCACCCTCTTGTACATCAACAGCTATCTAAAACACAAGCAATTAATATGGAGCCACACACACAAACTTTAAGGCTAAGCCCTTTTTGGCAAACGAGCCGAATGAATGAAAATGTACATTCGGTTCTTTTCTTCATACATACACGACCCGAAGTCAAATCATATCATAGACATTATTGCCTCCTCATGCGGTCGAAATATACGGGTTCCCCAGAATCTCAATTGTGTTCGGTTTCCGTGCAATGAATCATTAAACACAACCACTTATTTTCCTTTTTTCGTATGTCCAGCGCCCCAACAAACAAAACCCATCTACACAAAAGATTTATCGGTTAATGCGCGTGTGTAAACATAAATGTTCATTACACTGTTTTACATTGCTGCACCAAGTTAAATCAACTAAACTAATCAGTTGTTCAGTACTTAGCTTTATTACGGGCTTAATCTGTATTATTCATAACAATTTCATTTAATAAAAAAAAACAACCCAAAATTTCTTCCGTACCGATAGCTACAACCAACGATAGAATTCAATTGTGCATAGTGTGAACGTAGTGAATCATACCAATAAACCACAAACAAATGTTATCGATATTTTCCGCGTCAAAATAGCGGCAATGACTTGTCTTGAAAATGAAACCATAAATGTTTGGAAAGAAACAAGTTATTTATATAAAGTTTAGGGTTTAACGGTTTTTAAAAGAAATAAAAAAAAAAAAAAAAAAATTAAAAATGCTATCTCTTTAATTTTATTTTTTCTGGTCTGTGATGCTTTTGAAGTATAATAACATGGTAGTGAATATTTATTCACTTTTTTTTAACCTAGTGACCCCAAATATAGCTGTCATAACAAAACATCCCATCTTCATACAAAAGAAAGATTTTACACAAAACCAGACCAGCAATAATGCGATCAAAACTAAAAGACTAATATTTGATAAGGGCCTACCAAAGAACAAGATCTATAATGTCTAAACGTCAACGAGATGGGCTTGATGGCAATTTGAAAAAGGCTGCTAAAAATCGGTTTAGGAAGCTGGTTCGAACTGTAATACTTAACATGCAGTGGCTAAATGAGGCAACTGAGGACACGGGACTTTCGCTTAATGTCAAAAAGAACGTTGCTATGTTGGTGCGTCAGAAGCGCAAAGTTGGCATGATGACCATGGCCGTAAGTCGTAATAGTATTCCTACATTAGAGAAGTCAATCCTTCTTTCCAAAAATTGCAGGAAAAATCCCTGCTGCGCACTCCACATTCTACGCGTACCGTAGAGGAGAGGAAAAAGCTGTGCAACATTCTTGCAAACTTAGCATGCTTTTCAAAGTTCCCACCAGTGGGTAGTTCTTTTAAGGATTTCTTTGTTTCCATTTTTTGTTAAACCTTGTTTCTTTGCAGAAAGTACGCGCCCGTCTAGTTCCATATGTCAAATTTATGGCAGTCAGTCCCGGACGCGTAATCATGAAGGAGGGAGATTTTCCGATTACAATTTACTTTATAATCGCCGGAGAAGTTGAAATGACTAGAAGCGTTTTAAATAAGGTATGTTTAATTAATATCTCAGATATTTATTTAGAGTGTGAGAATTTGTTTTGTGTAGGCCAAAAAGGGTTATGTGGTGCAATCAGATGCTATCTTTGGACCCGGTGATTGTATTGGCGACATCGACGTTATGGAAGACGCTCCAAGAACCAACACATACATTGCCACAAGTAGGCGTAATTCTTCCAAGAGTAGAATAACAAGATATAATCAAATTTGCTCTTTACAGCTAATTGCGAGCTACTGGCTGTATTTAACACAAACTACAGAGTTGTCCTCCAACCTTTTATGCAAAAGCTGTGGCAGGAAAAAAGAACGCCCTGCGTGCCCTAGACTATTTTCACTTTCTTAACGAAGAGCAGGTAGGATCCTATATTAAACCAGACTTTTGATATAGATTCTCGTTATAGATTGTAAACGCCAGTAAGTATGGAACCATTCATCAGTTCGATCCCTTGGAGACGATTTACACCGAGGACTTGGGATCCATGAGCTTTGTCTATTTTGTCCTGAGTGGCGAGTGCGTTGTTCTACAGTGTCTTCACATGAAGGTGTTTTTATATTTTGTAATATTTGATTTTTGACGGGGATATGAATACTTTTTTTTTTTTACAATTTTAGGTGAGCACGGTAAACAGGGAGAAAGTATTTGAGCTGGCAATGGTGCCCAAAAAGGAGAGCGGAGCCCTTTCGGTGGAAGATGGTTCCAAGTCCACCGCCAATAATGAACGAATTTTTGACGCAAACGAGTACATGCAATCCACTTCATCGCTAGATGAGAACGCACAGAGCAAGAAAAGGGGGGTAGGTGCTAAAAATATAGTTATTCCCAGTTCAACCTTTTCAGAGTGTACTGACAATATTAGACTTTCTTAACAGCTACGCAAAATGGGTCTAAAGGAGATTCAGCGGGCTTGTGCCGATATGAAAAAAGGTCCGCCAAGGAGATCCACCAAGGATCAAGGACGTCTCAGACAACGGCAAAGACTGCGGCAGCGGGAGGTTGAATGTCAAGAAGAGCGGGACGAGTATGAGTTCTACTTAATGGGCGGGGGCGAAGGCGAAGAAAGTAATGTTGCCTTCGAGGAGTTGGTCGAGGAACGAGAAAGTGAAAAATCTATGAGGCATTCGCCATTTTTGGAGATAAGCGAAATGGTCGTAGAAAGCGAAACGACAAAGGGTTCGGAAATATTCACCGCCTCGTCCACTTCACTTCATCCCACTGTAGAGGACACAAATCCTACCGAGCACTATGAAACGCACTTCATTGACGTTGGCTCACTTACCTACGGCGGGATCTTTGGGTTGGGCGAGAAAATGGATCATCGTGTGATTATGGCTAGAACAACAGTGCAGTGCATTCTGATACCTCGTTTTTGGCTCTTTGAGCCCGCCCAAAATCCCGGTAACATTTGGCAACGGCAGCGTTTCTACCTTGAATGCAACATTCCAACCAGAGAGGCTTTGTACAAGGACTTTCTTAAGACACGAAAATGGGAAAAGTTCAGACATGACTATATCCAAAACATTTTAAATGCTGACTCATTGGCCAATTTTACAAAGGTGGAAGATATTCCCCTTATAAGTCGCGTTGTGGAGACAAAAGCCGACGATGCGTAACTTGGATTTTACTTACCATTCATTTTTATATTTGCAAGTTTCCAGCCTTATTAAATAATTAATAGTAAATAAGATGCTTGAATGGTGTGTAATGACAACATAAAGCTGTGACCAATCGCATTTAAGCGCCAACTTTTAAATCAGAGGGCATGACTATTCAATTTAAAGTAATTATTTATCAATGAAGACCTTTTAAACTTACTTGTATGAAAACTTGCAGCAGTTCTAATAGTTGTATTAAGTAAGCTCGATAATGCAGTTTGTAAATTGTTTTTGTATAACTTTTGCTTTTCTTATCCATATTTTCGCAGGTGAGTAATGTTAAAAATCTAAGTTCTGATTGGTAACACGCGTTTTTATTTGCAGAACCCGTTAATAATTCAAAAAGAATATTTTGGATAAAGGATCCAAATTCCAATCGGAACTTAGCCTTTTACATGTATTTATCTAAGCCATCGTTTTCTCATGAAAAACGTTTTAACTATTTTAGGCATACTACGACGGATAAACAATTTCGAGAAGTGCCCAATGTGCCGTTAAATGAAAAAGTTGATAAAAATTATGCTTTGAAATACATATATTATTTCAAATTTATGAATTCTAAGTTTACACCAGATATCACATCTAACAAAAAAATTGGAAAACAATTATTTAGTTCACTTTTTTAATTGGCCTATTAGCGGCTTCACCATCTTTCCAGTTTGGAACTATGATTTATTGAGGGTAAGTTCTTGCAATCAAGAAAAAAAAGTTTCTTTAATTGGATATTTTTGGTTTATATAGGAATTTTGGAAGAAAGACTTTTTCAATCATAATTTCTTGCACACCATACACCACAACAAGTTCTTTAATACTTCCGACTGGCAGTTGGTACTAAATCAAAATAAAGTAGCTAACAAATCATATATAAGCAAAAATACTGCAATGAAATTTATAAAATCACTACGCCTTGTAGAGAGAGAACTTAACATTTTGCGGAGTGGCATAACCGTTAAAAATCTACAGAGCTTTTATAAAAAAAAACAAATACAATGTTTTTCACAATTTATAAGTAAGAAAAGTACTTTAAAACGATGCATAATATTTGAATTCATCATTGAATCTTTTCAAAGCACAACCAACTTACATCGCAAGATAAATATAAAAGGCCGTGCACGAATGGTGAGTTTTTGGAAAAGTGTATTTTCGGAGAGCTCATAATTTAAGAAATGTATTCTAAGGTGCGGAATTCATCATATACCTACAAAACGAAATCAAAACATAACTATGTGATTAAAAATGCCCAGAGGATAGTTTTTTCTAACAATTCTGTAAAATCAAAAACTCGGAAAAAAAACGTCAATAAATCTACAAACAAAACACTAGAGATACTTAATTTTTTTGGTTATGTAAATAATCAGGTAGAAAAAACATATAACTTTTACCCTGAAAAAAAACATATACATAAGTATAATTTTTCTTATATAACGCTGCCAATAATTCAAACAGGTAAATTATCTGAAGCGATCAACAAAAAATATATCAGTGGCTTACAATTAAATCTAATTAACAATAAATCAGTTATAAAAGTGAAATCACCTTTACCTTTTACCCTCGTGAATATTTTTTTAAGCAGCGGGCTTGAGCCCGATAAGAATGGACTTGAAGAATCAGACACTATGGGTAATACAAAAATTCAAGCAAGAAACCAAATTATACTACCAGTTCTGACGACGCCACTAAATATAGAAAGCATGCAGAATTCAACGACGCTTTCAAAATCAAGAAAATTAAATTTATCACATCAGGCAATGGATTTATTAAAATTACCAAACAACAGCGTTACTTACTTAAAGCTGTTAAACCCGTTTCCTAAAGTTGGGGAAATATCGATGGCGCCCACAACATTATATCAGACAACCATTTGTGAACTGTGTGATGGCTTTACGGATTTAAGTGACTTTTCTTCACAAGAAGCATGCTATGAATGCTCAGAATCTTCACCCTCAACTTTAATGATGATGAACACAACATTAAATCCAACGTCCCTCTGCGAACTATGTGATGAGTTGACAAGATCATCTTCAGAAGAAGGCTGCACTGAATGCTCAGAAATGTCAACAAATTCTGGGACACCATATACTACTACAATGTCCGGTAGAACACCCACAATTTGGAGTTCGGTAATATATCACATAACTGAGGAGGAAAAAAGAACTTCCTTCTGCGAACTATGTGATGAGTTGACAAGTTCATCTTCAGAGGAAGACTGCACTGAATGCTCAGAAATGTCAACAACTTCTGGGACACCACATACTACTACAATGTCCAGTAGAACACCCACAGTTTGGAGTTCGGTAATTCACACCTCAACTTCTGGGACACCACATACTACTACAATGTCCAGTAGAACACCCACAGTTTGGAGTTTGGTAATTCACACCTCAACTTCTGGGACACCACATACTACTACAATGTCCAGTAGAGCACCCACAGTTTGGAGTTCGGTAATATATCACATAACTGAGGAGGAAAAAAGAACTTCCTTCTGCGAACTATGTGATGAGTTGACAAGTTCATCTTCAGAGGAAGGCTGCACAGAATGCTCAGAAATGTCAACAACTTCTGGGACACCACATACTACTACAATGTCCAGTAGAACACCCACAGTTTGGAGTTCGGTAATTCACACCTCAACTTCTGGGACACCACATACTACTACAATGTCCAGTAGAACACCCACAGTTTGGAGTTCGGTAATTCACACCTCAACTTCTGGGACACCACATACTACTACAATGTCCAGTAGAGCACCCACAGTTTGGAGTTCGGTAATATATCACATAACTGAGGAGGAAAAAAAACTTCCTTCTGCGAACTATGTGATGAGTTGACAAGTTCATCTTCAGAGGATGGCTGCACAGAATGCTCAGAAATGTCAACAATTTCAGGGACACCACATACTACTACAACGTTAGACAGAAAATCTACAGTTTCGAGTTCAGAAATATATCGCATGCATACATCACATAATGCAACTAAAACCAATTTAATTAAATCGCCGAAGCTGACATCGCGGGAAATTATTGAATCGCAAACAAGCAGTACACCATCAGGAAATAATGTCTGCAGGAGGTGTCCGTTACCACAAAAAAATTCTTCTTGCTCCTGTTTCACAAATCTTTTGTTTTATTTTTCAAAAGAAGCATTTACTGCACCATATGAAATTTTTCAATATTCCACAACACCTGATTCTATTAAAAGTCGAAGTGCAGCAACATTTCAAATAACTCAAGAGGAAAAATGGAAACAATCGGTGATTCAGAGTGCAGAAACATACCAACTTACTCAAGAGGAAACAAGAAAATCACCGAAATCTCTTCCTCATTCGAGTACAGTTTCCAAACAAACACTGGAAGAGTCAAGTTTCCTCGCCTGTGATTGTTCTTGTCAATTAGAAATGGGTGACGAATCGTGCATCTGCGAATGCATTTCGAAAGGCGCGAGCTCAATGGTCACACCAGGTCTATCATTATCTCCACTTCAGCCAAGTGCAACATCAATCAGTATATCTGAAAGGCCAAGTATGAAAACAGCTCACAAAGAGGAAACAAGAACAGTACCGAAGTCTCTCACTCAATCAAAGGAAAGCTCAATAATCACATTTGAAATGCCAAGTGCAAGTACAATTCATAAAGGGAAAACACAACTAACAATAACTCCACCTCAAGCAAGTGGTTCTTTTAAGGTTCAGAGTTCCGAAACATACCAACTTACTCAAAAGGAAACAAGAAAATCACCGAAACCTCTTCCTCATTCGAGTACAGTTTCAACACTCACCCTGGAAGACTCAAGTTTCCTTGCCTGTGATTGTTCTTGTCAATTAGAAATGGGTGACGAATCGTGCATCTGCGAATGCATTTCGAAAGGCGCGAGCTCAATAGTCACACCAGGTCTATCATTATCTCCACCACAATCAAGTGCAACATCAATTAGTAGATCTGAAATGCCGAGTAAGAAAACAACTCACAAAGAGGAAACAAGAACAGTACCGAAGTCTCTCACTCAATCAAAGGAAAGCTCAATAAGTACATTTGAAATGCCAAGTGCAAGTACAATTCATAAAGGGAAAACACAACTAACAATAACTCCACCTCAAGCAAGTGGTTCTTTTAAGGTTCAGAGTTCCGAAACATACCAACTTACTCAAAAGGAAACAACAAAATCACCGAAACCTCTTCCTCATTCGAGTACAGTTTCAACACTCACGCTGGAAGAGTCAAGTTTCCTTGCCTGTGATTGTTCTTGTCAATTAGAAATGGGTGACGAATCGTGCATCTGCGAATGCATTTCGAAAGGCGCGAGCTCAATAGTCACACCAGGTCTATCATTATCTCCACCTCATCCAAGTGCAACATCAATTAGTATATCTGTACAAGAGGAAACAAGAAAACTATCGTTATCTCTCCCGCAACAAAGTGCATCATCAATACGTTCACCGGAAATGCCGAGTACTAGACCAACTCACGAAGAGGAAACAAGATCAGTACCGAAGTCACTGACTCAATCAACTGAAAGATCAATAAGTACAGTTGAAATGCCAAGTGCAAGTACAATTCATAAAGTGAAAACACAACTAACAATAACTCCACCTCAAGCAAGTGGTTATTTTAAGGTTCAGAGTTCCGAAACATACCAACTTACTCAAAAGGAAACAAGAAAATCACCGAAACCTCTTCCTCATTCGAGTAAAGTTTCAACACTCACCCTGGAAGACTCAAGTTTCCTTGCCTGTGATTGTTCTTGTCAATTAGAAATTGGTGACGAATCGTGCATCTGCGAATGCATTTCGAAAGGCGCGAGCTCAATAGTCACACCAGGTCTATCATTATCTCCACCTCATCCAAGTGCAACATCAATTAGTATATCTGTACAAGAGGAAACAAGAAAACTATCGTTATCTCTCCCGCAACACACTCAAGGGGAAACAAGAAAACTATCGTTATCTCTCCCGCAACAAAGTGCATCATCAATACGTTCACCGGAAATGCCGAGTACTAGACCAACTCACGAAGAGGAAACAAGATCAGTACCGAAGTCACTGACTCAATTAACTGAAAGATCAATAAGTACAGTTGAAATGCCAAGTGCAAGTACAATTCATAAAGTGAAAACACAACTAACAATAACTCCACCTCAAGCAAGTGGTTCTTTTAAGGTTCAGAGTTCCGAAACATACCAACTTACTCAAAAGGAAACAAGAAAATCACCGAAACCTCTTCCTCATTCGAGTACAGTTTCAACACTCACCCTGGAAGACTCAAGTTTCCTTGCCTGTGATTGTTCTTGTCAATTAGAAATGGGTGACGAATCGTGCATCTGCGAATGCATTTCGAAAGGCGCGAGCTCAATAGTCACACCAGGTCTATCATTATCTCCACCACAATCAAGTGCAACATCAATTAGTAGATCTGAAATGCCGAGTAAGAAAACAACTCACAAAGAGGAAACAAGAACAGTACCGAAGTCTCTCACTCAATCAAAGGAAAGCTCAATAAGTACATTTGAAATGCCAAGTGCAAGTACAATTCATAAAGGGAAAACACAACTAACAATAACTCCACCTCAAGCAAGTGGTTCTTTTAAGGTTCAGAGTTCCGAAACATACCAACTTACTCAAAAGGAAACAACAAAATCACCGAAACCTCTTCCTCATTCGAGTACAGTTTCAACACTCACGCTGGAAGAGTCAAGTTTCCTTGCCTGTGATTGTTCTTGTCAATTAGAAATGGGTGACGAATCGTGCATCTGCGAATGCATTTCGAAAGGCGCGAGCTCAATAGTCACACCAGGTCTATCATTATCTCCACCTCATCCAAGTGCAACATCAATTAGTATATCTGTACAAGAGGAAACAAGAAAACTATCGTTATCTCTCCCGCAACAAAGTGCATCATCAATACGTTCACCGGAAATGCCGAGTACTAGACCAACTCACGAAGAGGAAACAAGATCAGTACCGAAGTCACTGACTCAATCAACTGAAAGATCAATAAGTACAGTTGAAATGCCAAGTGCAAGTACAATTCATAAAGTGAAAACACAACTAACAATAACTCCACCTCAAGCAAGTGGTTATTTTAAGGTTCAGAGTTCCGAAACATACCAACTTACTCAAAAGGAAACAAGAAAATCACCGAAACCTCTTCCTCATTCGAGTAAAGTTTCAACACTCACCCTGGAAGACTCAAGTTTCCTTGCCTGTGATTGTTCTTGTCAATTAGAAATTGGTGACGAATCGTGCATCTGCGAATGCATTTCGAAAGGCGCGAGCTCAATAGTCACACCAGGTCTATCATTATCTCCACCTCATCCAAGT